AAATCCAAGAGGAATACAAGTCCCAGGGCCTGTCCAATAGGCTGACAAATTTGAAGCTGTCAATGTTCACTGACAGCAACAAGCCATGGGCAGGTAGAGCTTCTTTGGATATAAAGGCTGGGGAAGCAAAGCACCTGCTTCCAGCCTTGGTCCCAGTCTTGGAAAAGCTGTTTGGACCTAAAAAGAAGAAGGAAGAAGCTAAGATGATCTCTGCTGCTTCTAGTTTGGAAAAGCTAGTGGCTTTGTGGGATCAAGCTGACACATTCCTCACCCCAGCAGAGTTTGGAAAAGCTCTTGCCCTTGGAAAAGTGTTCTTGCTGGACTACAAGTGGCTGAGTGCCTGGTCTTTGGAAAAGGACAGGAACTCTTTTGGCATTGTGTCTAAGTTCCACACCTTCATCCACTTGTTAGTCATCAGCCAGTACATGAACCCTAAGAAGCAATGGAACTTCAGGGCTGAGGATTATGTTGGGCACATCTCTAAGATGGCTCATTCCATATCCTTTGGTGTGGGGGCCACCAGGATCAGCACCAAACTCTGTCCCAAGTACAGAATTCATCTTCATTTCTTGCTCACAAGAGACTTGGAAAATGTCATTGGGTGTGAAAATGAAGAAGACTTGGAGGACTAGCTTTGGAAAAGGCCTGCTTTGGAAAAGGCACCTGTACATAGCAGCTGCAAGATTGGCAAAAAAAGGAGAAAAAAACAACCAAAAAGCACCTCCCTTCAATTGATTTGCTAATTGATTTGGGCTTAAGTTTTTCCTTGATTTTCCATTTGAAATTTGTCGATCAAAAATCAATATGAGATATTGATATTTGAAGCCATCAAATCAATATATTGATTCTAATCAATATCCGATGCTCAGGGTAGATAGATAGATAGATCGATAGATCGATTGATCGATAGATAGATCGATAGATAGATAAATAGATAGAAAGATAGATAGACAGATAGATAGATAGATAGACAGACAGATCGATCGATAAATAGATAGATAGATAGATAATTAGATTAGATTAGATAAGATTAGATAAGATTAGATTAGTTAGATAGATAGATAGATAAACAGACAGATCGGCGTCAACGGCGTCAAGCAACCCTCCAGAGAGTCACCAAGTGCTGCGCCTGCCAGCAGCCCACAGAGAGTCACCACGTGCTGCGCCTGCCACGCAAGACAGCCACAGCGTCAACGGCGTCAACGGCGTCAAGCAACCCTCCAGAGAGTCACCAAGTGCTGCGCCTGCCACGCGAGACAGCAACGGCGTCAACGGTGTCAACGGCGTCAACGGCGTCAATCAACCCTCCAAGGAGTCACCAAGTGCTGCGCCTGCCACGCAAAACAACCGCGGCGTCAACGGCGTCAACGGCGTCAACGGCGTCAAGCAGCCTTCCAGAGAATCACCAAATGCTGCGCCTGCCACGCAAGACAGCCGCGGCGTCAACGGCGTCAACGGCGTCAACGGCGTCGAGCAAACCTCCAGAGAGTCACCAAGTGCTGCGCCTGCCACGCGAGACAGCCGCGGCGTCAACGGCGTCAACGGTGTCAACGGCATCAACGGCGTCAACGGCGTCAACGGCGCATCAGCGTCAAGCAGCCCTCCAAGGAGTCACCCAGTGCTGCGCCTGCCAGCAGCCCACAGAGAGTCACCACGTGCTGCGCCTGCGACGCAAGACAGCCGCGGCGTCAACGGCGTCAACGGCGTCAACGGCGTCAACGGCGTCAAGCAACCCTCCAGAGAGTCACCAAGTGCATGCGCCTGCCACGCGAGACAGCAACAGCGTCAACGGCGTCAACGGCGTCAAGCACCCCTCGTGAGAGTCACCAAGTGCTGCGCCTCCCACGCAACGCAGCCGCGGCGTCAACGGCGTCAACGGCGTCAAGCAGCCTTCCAGAGAATCACCAAATGCTGCGCCTGCCACGCAAGACAGCCGCGGCGTCGGCGTCAACGGCGTCAAGCAGCCCCCAGAGAGTCACCACATGCTGCGCCTGCCACGCAAGACAGCCGCGGCGTCAACGGCGTCAACGGCATCAAGCAGATCCCAGAGAGTCACCACGTGCTGCGCCTGCCACGCAAGACAGCCGCGGCGTCAACGGCGTCAACGGCGTCAATCAACCCTCCACTTGCCGCTGTTCAGCAGTTGCGTGGTTGCATTTGTTGTTGTTGTTGTTGTGGTTGTTGTTGCTGTTGTTGTTGTTGTCGTTTTCGTCGTTTTTGTTGTTGTTGTTGTGGTTGTGGTTGTTGTTGTTGTTGTTGTGGTTGTTGTTGTGTTGTTGCTGTTTCTGTTGTTGTTGCTGTTGTTGTTGCTGTTGTTGTTGCTGTTGCTGTTGCTGTTGCTGTTGTTGTTGTTGTTGTTGTTGTTGTTGTTGTTATTGTTGTGGTTGTGGTTGTTGTTGTGTTGTGTTGTTGCTGTTGCCGTTGCCGTTGCTGTTGCTGTTGCTGCTGCTGCTGTTGTTGTTGTTGTCGTTGCTGTTGTTGTTGTTGCTGCTGTTTGTGTAAGTTGAACGCTCAACGGGGATATAATATAATCTTTGGTTGCGTTGTATTAGTGACCTTAGACTAGACCTGTGACGGATACAAGGTGGTGCCCCCAAATTTTAAGTTAGTTAGTTTATAACTCCCATTAAGTATAGGTATATCTACCATAGCCATCAACCCATTGAAGGAACAACATTGTACCATCGCACGCCACTTTTTTCCACCTTCACTGGGACATCCGTGACTGGTGTGAAAAAGATATAAAAAAACCGCGCCTCAGCCTCACGCAGCACTCTCACCCAGAATCAGTCTGGACCGTGGTCCATGACTGATCTGCGAAGCATGTGGGCCCTTAGGCCTCACGCATTGCCGCCACCCACATCTGCAAAAGCAGACTGTTCCTCCCAGAAGAGGATGCTGCGGAATCATCTGGCCCACCGCGGTCCGGACCTTGGTCAGGGTCGGGCTTCTTAGTCTGGTCAGACGCCCGAATGGGAGGCGGCGACCATTGCTTCTGCTGCTTCTTGCGTGGATGTCCCTCCGGCCATGCGCGAGGTCCCGTGCCGCCTTCTGCCCAAAGCATTTTTGACCAGCGGTCGCCATCTTTCTGACAGTCGGACCATGGTTGCAACTCCTTGTTTTGGTGCCAGACCCATGTGGATAGGTGGTACGGCGAACGGCAGTGCTGGAATGATCCAGCCAGTCCTCCTCCCACTGTCCTCTTACAAATTTCACACTTGTAAGAGGAACACTTGTCGGCAGCGGCATCATTGCCGACTTTGCCCTTGGGCTTGGTCCGTGGACCCGGCTTTCCCTTGGGAGGATCTTTGGGCTCTGGCGGCGGCTCAGAGCCGGACAAACGGCTTGGAGCCGGGGGCACCGGCGGAGCATTCTTGTGCCCCTCATCTGGTTTCGAAGCCTCAGCTTCCTTTGGCTCTGAAGCTGCAGGCTCCACGGATTCGTCTTCGTCTTGGCTTTCTTCTGACTCTGCCGACTCTGACAGTGACACCTCGGTGACACCACTGTTTGCCCCAGAGTCACGGGCACGTGACCGCGCGACAGGGGTCAAGACGACTGAGGTCTCGCCGTGGCGTGTTTTTTTTTCAGCCCGTCCTCTGTCGTCGCCAGACTCCTCGTCGCCACGGCGACGATCACGGCCAGAGCTGCGCCTCTCACGGCTTCGCCCTCTCCGGCCCCTGTCTCTTTCCTTGCGGCCGTCATCTTTTTTGGTCGTGCGGCCGGACTTCTCCTTCTTCTCCTTCTTCTCGCCCATCGCCTGGCAGGATGATGACATGATAGTCAATGATTTGTCAAATATAAGACTATTATAGTCACTATATTTCTAAATCAGACATGATATCGCACGAAATATCCTACTGTTGCCTCTTGATTCATGTACATGGTGATCCATGGTTCGCGAACTTAGATGTTCTTATAGACATCTATGACCCTGAGACTAAGATGTGAGACGATGTCCGTAGACATCGCGATGATGATCCGTAGATCTGAAGCGATGTCCGTAGACATCCAATGAAGTTGATCCGTAGATCTGCGAAGGTGACCGTAGACATCGTGATGATGATCCGTAGATCTGAAGCAATGTCCGTAGACATCCAATGGAGTTGATCCGTAGATCTGCTACGATGACCGTAGACATCGCGATGATGATCCGTAGATCTGAAGCAATGTCCGCAGACATCCATGAGGTGATCCATAGATCAGAGACATGTCCGAAGACATCTGGATCCGATCTGATGATCCGTAGATCTGATGCGATGTCCGTGGACATCAATAGACCCGTCGATCTTGAAAGTCGACTTGTGATGAAGTCGCGATCCATGGATCGAAGCAAGGTCGAAATCTGCGTCTTTATTTTTCTGACTGCAAGTATATAAATCAAAATCTGAAATAATTCGATGATTCGATGATATTGATTTGGAACTAACTACCCTTCCCGCCCGCGCCTGCACGTCCGGCAACGAACCAATCCCAGGCAGTGTGTCCGTGCAAAGCACAAGACCCATTTTCTTGGATTTGAGCCACATAGGAAGATTTCGGATACAGTGAGTCTGAGTTCAAACTGAATTTGGTTTTCCATTGAGCTAGTATACATGAACATTGGTAAAAAAAGAACCAACATTGTTTTCCAACGCAGCCATACACAGAAATGTTGGATGTGATTGTTTGTAAAATTACATGAGTGGCCACTGGCATGCGGTTAAAAAAAATTGAAATTCGAAACCTCTTCTGGTAGGGGCACAACAAAGGCTAAAAAACCAGATCAAAACCAGTACTTAGGAGGACAATCTGATTGCCTTTCAACCGTTGTAATGCAATTGTGTCAGCCATGGATTGCATCCTGAAGCCGCATTTTTTTTCCATGCGTGGTGGTTTGGGTTTCTTTGCGAAAGAAAGTCTTGCCAGCAACGATATCCGCCGGAGAGATGTTTAAACTCGCGGAATCCAAAATGTGCTGGTGTGCCGACTCTTGGCTTGACCCATTCAGCTAGGCTATGCAACTACCAAGGCAAGTCGTCTTTTTCCTCATCATCATCTGCAACTTCTTCCACTGGCGCCGGCTCCACAGAATCCGGGCTTTGGCCAGCCTTCGCCTTTCCTTTTGCCTTGCCCTTGGCCTTGGCCTTGGGTTTCGTGTCACTCTCTTCACCTGTCGTGTGTTTGCGTTTTTTGCCTTGCTGCTCCGGGCCTGCTGCCGAAGCATCAGGACGATAGTACGTAGACCCCTCGGTCTGCATTTGCGACACTATGAACTCAGTCAAAAGAACTTCTAACTGAGTCCCATGACTCTCCGTCAGTGTGAGTCCAGCATACGGGATACGTGCCATCAGGGCTGCTTTCGCAAGCTCACCTTGTGAGCTGCTGAGGTCCAGCCTGAGCCGCGCATTTCCAGGCTTAATAGGAGAGGGATCTTGTCTGTAGGAAGTAAGGGGCTATGGAAAAGAAAGATTGGACATATATAGTTTATAGAATCCATCTATCTATCTATCTGTCTATCTATCTATCTATCTATCTATCCATCTATCTTTCTGGTGTATTTCTATTTTATATACATACATTTTTTCTTGATTTCTCCTTGTATATTCAAGCAACATATGCTACGATACGATCCAAACTTCGGAAGGCCACTTGATCCAAAAAAAACTATTTCTATAATATAGAAAGGAGCAGCACAAGACTTGCCATGATGCACAAATAAGATTCTCCGCAAGGTGTAAAGCAGCAAAATTTACATTTCATGTCATGAAATCAGTCCTAGGCACACAGCTGTCACTGAGTTCGCCTTCAAGAAGCTTTTATAAAAGGCTTCAGGCAAAGCCGGTCCGCTAAAAACACTCTCTGCAGCAACCTCAGGGTTCTCTTTGCTTTTACCAGCTGCAGCTTCTGTGACTGCGACGATGCGATCCTGTCCCAAAATCGTCTCTTTTTCTTTCCTGGCACACACCAACAGCAATGACCAGGTCACAAAAACACTGTTTGCATACGATTCCTTGTTCCTCACTGAAATATCTGATCAAAGACTTGTCAAGTGAGACAGACCGCTTCGGTTCAATTTAGATACCCAATCCAAGATCAACCAAACTTTCACCACCGATCTAGCCATCTTGGACCAATGATTGGAATATGGACAATATCGCCTTCGATGTTTGACTAAAAGTGATCGAAACCATTTGAAGCATCTACGGTCCTGGACACACACCAGAGTTCCTCAGGCTGTAACGCAGACACTCCGAAGAAAACATCAGTGGTGTTGTGACCACTGAAATCTGGATATGCTTTTTCTGGCACGAGTGTTGACATGGGCACTGCAGAGAACAGGCTTACCGTTGACTTGGTTGAGTAAGCTCCTCGGAGCCTTTTCTTGCGGCTTCGGATGGATTTGTCCGTGTAGATAATCGAGATGTCTCGCTGTTCAGCATCTATGGGCTGGTCCTTTCTTGCCGTCGAAGGCCGAAAGACATTTTCAAGTTCCTTGCTATTACGATCAAACCCTGTGTGCACCATGACAACCTCTCCTTCTGCAGGGCATGTTGTTTCATCTCCTTTCCGCTGGGCATGTCGTCCAATCATGGCGCCGTGCAACAATTTCCGCAGCAGCCCGATCTCAGGGTTGAAGCGTTTTCGTAGCAGCGGCTGCTGGCTGGGTCCAAAGGATTCCCCCAAACCATCTAAGTCCATGTAGGTGAGCACGCAGCTCTGACCCACTTCTCCGCGGAGGTCTTGAAGCACACTGGAGGTCCAGGAAATCATCCCCTCCAATGTCTTCGGCTCGGGAGCGAAGCAGCAGTAAGTTCGCACAGTCTGGTTCGCGACTGCCTTGAAATAGTTTTCGCTTCCCTCTGAATATTGCGACGGAGGCTTCCTTAGAAGCTCCAGCTCGCACTGCTCGCCCGGACCATCATCCATGTCAGACTGCATTTGGACTGCGGCTTTGCGTTCAATGTCTTCGTTCTTCAGAAGATCGAGAACCTTGGTCCATTCGGCTTGAACCTGCTCCAGTTCAAGCACTGCTTCTGCCACAGCAGTGCCCTTGCAAGTTGCCCGCAGGGAGTTGTCATACTTTCGGCCATAGACCAATTCCTGAAAAAAGGCCATCGTATCTTTAAAACTGTTAAACAGATTCCCAGAATAACATGGGAGGGAACGGAAAAAGCTCAAGTTGTGCATGTCCCGCCTCTAAAAGATGAAAGGCCTCAATGGCTGATTTCTGTAGGCGGGCCATCCAGCTGCAGTCTCCATCTCCAGAATGAGCTCGGTAGATTTCAGGTAGTCCAGATTTCTCTTTGAGCAACAGACGATCCTGCTCCGACATGCCACTCTTCGGAAGGAGCACGTCAAAGAAGTGATCGTAAACCTGCCAGGGAGAGAAACGTTAAAAGGCGAAACCTTTGGTGCTGCTTTCAACCATTGCGCGCCTTCTTCTTCAGCTCAAACAAAGCTACTAGGCCAGTGTGATGTTTGTCTCCAGCCAGAGAAGTCTTTGAAATCTCTCCGGGTTTCAGTAAGTCCTGGCTTAGCCAGTCCCAAAGCAACTCGAAAATCCAATCTCTCATCTGAGATGTGCTGGGCTTAGTAGAAGCCACGTGCAAGCAACTCAGCTTGTGGAACGGAGATCTCGTCCCGTAGGCGCTCTCCATTTCCAACAGAATCTCCACCGCGCGCGGTGAAGATAAGACCCCTTTCTTGCACGCAAGAGCCTGAGAGATCAGGTTCGCTGTCAGCTTCCCGTCATTGTCGTCGTCTTTGCGGCCACCTCCTTGGACAGAGACCAGGCCCAACTTCACAAATTCCTCTGCTAGCTGGGCAGGCTGGAGCCGACCCTTGCAACCAGGTTGGCTTTCACAGACCAATCGAAATTGATCGATCTCAATTGCTGTTTGCATGGCTGTGCGCACCATGCTCTCGTGATCCTGCTTCAAGCTCTGTCGGCGATTAAACGCCAGGACCCAGACACGGTCCGCTTCGTTGTCCTGGTTGGAATCCAACATGGACACCGGAATGCTCAACATGACGCTCTTCCACAGCTGCCGGCAGCTATCCCACGCGTCTGCGTCCAAGGTGTCTTTGGACCTCAGCTTTGCCGCAGGATAATAGAAAAACACAACGATTATCATAAGAAAACAAAGGTAACACAGTGAAGCCCCATGTACATATACATGCAGACAAGAAGCCGAATAGCTTCCGCGGCGGCCGCAATGAGGCTGTGCACAATTTCCTCAGGGGAAATCATTTGGAGACCTTTGGGCCGATCCCCCAACGAATTCCTGTCCACATACACTTCTACCATTCGGCCGGTCATGTACGCCGGCTTTCCAGCTGGGAAGTAAAAGGATGCCATCTCAAGCACCCGTCTGCGACTCATGGGAATGCCAGGGGTCGCCGACCCCAGAAGGTTCAAACTCCAGAGGGCAATGCTGCACCTGTAGACATGGTGCATTTCCAAGGTTGCCCCCCCTTTTCCACATTGTAGGGCTCCTGAATCCCGGACAGAGTCTTGTCTGTCTCCGTGGAGGACAAGGGAAGAGGGCTTTCATTTTCGAGGCCAGGAAACTCTGCGAGAATGGTTTGCAGATCTGCTTCCACCTCGGCATAGTAACTTGCATTAGTTGGGTCAGACTTTGCCGCCACCGCCGGCAGGCTTGCAGCGGCGGAAGCATTTGCGGACTTCTTTCTTTTATTGGTTTTCTCTGCTGAGCTCTCTGGCTTAGACGCAATGGCTGCAGCCGCTTTCTTGCGCTGCTCGCAGGCCGTAGCCTTGCGCCGTTGAATCTCTCGTTTGACATCCTTTTCAACTTCCCCCGTCTCGACTCGTTTCTTCAACTCGTCGTTTTCTGCCTTGTTCAGCCGCCATGAACTGACATTCGGGATGTCCACATCTGCCATGTCCTTGACAGTCTAGCTTGAATCTCGCACGGTCTAGGAACTTGAGCCGAAAGCCTTCGTCGAGGAATTCAGTTAAGTGAATTCACATGCAATAATTCAACGTGTTGCAGATGTGCTCATCGCCCCGCATCCAAACTTGTAAAGTGAAAGCACATCTAACCATTTTTTCTGCACCGAAGACCACAGATTCACATTACTTTACCAAAGTGAAACCGAAAGCGATTGATTTTTCCACTGTCCTTACTCAACGCTTGAACTGCAGATACCAGTGCCCTTCCTCATCGACGGTGACTTAGCGACCAGTGTTCTTACTCAGTCAAGTTGACAACGCAGCCGAGTAAGGAGACTGGGATTTCCCCACTGAGCTTACTCACTCCCAGCCTAGGCCAGACCCGAGTAAGGACATCGTCCTTCGCTCTAAGATGATTGGTGCCAATCACTTCCAATCACGCGAGCTACGTTTTCCATTGTCCTTACTCACTCCCAGCCCAGGCCAGACCCGAGTAAGGAGAGTGGGATTTCCCCACTCCCCTTACTCAGTCACCGCTATGCACGGCAGCATTTGCCGACCTCCTTACTCAGTCCCAGCCCAGGCCAGACCCGAGGAAGAGCCGCGCCGTTCAGCGGTTGCGCGTTGCATGGGTGGCCGTAGCCAACTTCAACACAGAAGACTGGAACAGCTTGTCACTCAGTCCAGCCGCTTCACTATTTTCCACCAGCCGCCAATGTTCATGGCGTGACTCATACCGAGCCAGTCCTGAGTGATGAAGACCCTTCATTAAGACACTGGTTAGGACATTGATACTCATGCCATCCCCAAGGCTGCCTGCAACCGCATTCGAAGGTATGTTGAAGTCAGTGGCAGCCGCTACCATTGAGGCAAATACTTGTGAGGGAATGCCTTGCAAGGCCGCAGCCTCCTCTGGCAATAGCCGCCTCTGCAACTTGGGGATGTAATATCCTCGTTGGGACAAACGAGTTCGAGTGAGACATGGGGTTGCATTGTGAACAACACTTTGAAATTGTTCACTGCTGCCCACATCCAAGACAAACCCCTTCCGCCACATTCGAGCGCCCAGCAGCCGTTCGTATTTGGGCAGAGACAAAACTTCTGTGCCCTTCACTTCTTTCTGCAAGAAGTGATGCAAGTCCACCGGCTGCGTTCGCTCATCTGGCAAAGCAAGGGCGCCTTGGCAAGTTTCTGAGGCCACTGCCAAAAGATAAACCCGTGGCCGACTTTGCGGCACGGCGAATGCCTTGGTATTCAGAACTCGGTACACATACTTATACTCCAAAGATTTCAAAATTTTGAGAACGTAATTCCATACCTTTTCATGTTTCTTTTGTAAAATAGCTGCCACCTGCTCTAAGACAATCATCTTCGGCCGTGTGCGAGCTATGTATTCCATGCCTTTCAACGTCAAAAGACCTCTGCTGTCATTGACTCCCCGTCCCTTTCCTAAATTGGAAAAGGACGGGCAGGGGTAGCCTGCCACGTAAACGTCTGCCCTCAGGCACTCCGATGGTTCCCGCGACATCATGTCGCATGGTCTGGGAAGGCTTGCCTTCCAGCCACACTCCTTTGCTACTGCCTCGTGCAACACAATCTTGTTGGCATCGACTTCGGTCCACTGCACTGGAAATATTCTTCCTTGCAGCCCCAAAAGTTTGTATGCAATCAAGTCCGAGCCGTAGCCCGAACAATCCGAAGCTGTCCGAATCAATTTCGGTGGTCCACCGCACTTGTGCGGCTCCATTCTTTCTTTCCATTTTGCAGCGAGTTCATTGACTTTCAAGAGTTGCTGCCGCAACGTCTCCTTTGTCACGTGTACCTTCTTTGTGGCACCGGCCTTGCGGCGCTTCACCCTGTCCAAAAACTTTGTCATTTGAAACCAAAACGGCTACGGACTTTGAAGAGTAAATAATAATGAAAACGCCTGCGCTTTTACCGAATTGCTTGTGAGATCATGCCGAATTGAATTGAAACGTGACCTGCCTGCATAACCCACTTTTTCACTCCCGCAGACGTCCCCCACTGCAGGGTCAGCTCTCAGCAGCGCAGATTCGAGCGCCCTGTCGCTGGTTCACACAAGTTCGAAGCAGCCAGCGACGAAAATCCACACCATTGAAACATTTCACGGTGGATTTCGAAGTAAACCCCTGGACGACTTCTCCGTCCTGTCTCAAAAGCAAACTCGGCTTCCTTCCGCGACCCTTCAAGTCATTTGCCCTCACTGCGTGCCAACCACTTCTGCAAGCGTCTCGAAGCAAACTAGTCAGCCCAGGTTCTGCTGCTTTGAAGGCGTGGGTCACAAAAACTGCAACATCAATGTCAAGGCCCCGATGAAACTCTAATTTGACACCAGCTTTGCCAAGCAGCACAGACGCGGAGAGTACAACAGCCCCCAGCAAGGCTGCCATAATCTTAACCCTGTCTTCCACGTGGGAAAAATTGGCAACCACGATGAGTTTCGCTTGCTTCAGGTCCTGCCAATTCATGATGTACAAACATGCAGAATAACTTGATTTCAATAAATTAAACAGCATATACAAGTCAGAGTCCTGGCAGACAGCGCTCACCCCATGCATGCGGAGCTTCTATTGGATGACTGATGCCCGATCGCCAAGACGAGGATCTAACCAGGCAGGCTCAGGCAAGCCCTGAAGTTATATTGGTGGCATCTGACCCTAGATTGGTGACATCTAACCCTGGCTCCACTACCAAAAAAATGCAAATCTTTTCTCCACTGAGCCTGCTTGGGCCTTGTGCTTCTGATCTGGAACACTGCTTCTTTGTGCTCCTGCCCTTTGTTTTGACAAGCTTTGTGATGCAGCAAGTTTGCTGGTCTGGGACACAACTTCTTTGCGCTCCTGCCCTTTTGTTTTGACAAGCTTTGTGCTGCAGCAAGTTTGCTGGTCTGGGACACAACTTCTTTGTGTTCCTGCCCTGTGTTTTGACAAGCTTTGTGATGCAGCAAGCTTGCTGGTCTTGTGATGCACCACACTTGCTGGTCTGGAAATAAATGTGCTTCTGCCCCTAGTTTTGAAGAAAGTTTTTGCATTAGCAAGGCAATCTTGCTTTTCTTTTGAAAACGAAATGGTTTGGACCACATTCTACATACGTAAAACAATAAAAATATAGAATACGACATGATTATCTTCAGGCCAACATATATAGCATTTTGACTTTTACAACCTCCGTCCGCCACAGCACAGGTGACTCAGGTGTGCACAAAAACTTTAGCAGCCCAGGCCAGTTTTTGGGGTGGACACAAATTAAAAGCCCTGGTAGACTTAAGAAAAGAAAAATACATCTGGGAAACCCATGGGTTCTGCTTCGGTTCACCAAGCACTGTGGCTGCCTCACCGCCCCAGGCACATCTATATTGCGGGTACACTTCTGGAGGACCCCCTTGGTTGCATTGATAGTTGATGTTTAAAACAAATCCTTATTTCTAGTTGATCCAATGTGATCCAAATAAAACCAAATTCAGGGAAGTGAAGCATTTTAAGTTTGTTGGTGACATCCCCCCAAGAACATAGACTCTGTGATGGGACTCTAGCATTTTGTCAGATGGAAGCAATCTTACAACGACCTAAAAAGAATCTAGAACTAATCAAACCCCAAAACCTATTCGAGATCATCTTTTCGAGTAGGAAAATGCGAGTTGTGCAGGATTATGCACAGCTTCTACACCCAGCTGTCCAAGGCGGGATGTTTTCTGGGCGTTCAGAAAGGCTACTTCCAGAGTTTTGGGATCCGGATTTCTCTCGAGTTTTGGGCTCTGGATTTTTTTCGAGACATGTTGTGAGAAGTTTAGGGTTCAAAAACATTTCGGTATTAACATTGTGACTGTTCATTTTTGAATACCTATTCGTGTTTAGATGTATGTAAACATATACTAAACAAATATATGCATCTATATCATTGTCCTCAAAGCTGCATGTCCTCGGTTGCCACAGCACTTGCCACCACCTCGTTCCAGGCTTGGGACACAACATTGGCCAACAGTTTGGGAGCTCAAGCAGCCAGCCAGGGATTTCAACTTTTGACATTGTGATATCAAGCATTTCGATTTTTTCCAGACTTCGTTCAACATCCAAATTTCGAAAGATTGTGAAGTGAAGATCTTTTCAACATTGTTTACATTTAGGGCTCAAGCAACTCCGGTGGTAAAACTGTTGGCAATGGATTTGGCAGCATTGCTGAACCAGAGACAGCCAAAACCGAAGAAACGCCCTGCATGTGCCCAGAGACATGTTGAATACTTGGAATCAGACTCCGACACTGCTGCTGATGCGGCCGGTCATCAACATGTAGCAGCTCCTCAAGTTGGACAAGATCCGCCCGATCCCCAAGTAGCTGACTGCTGGCCAGCAGTTGGAAACATGCCAGTGCCTTTATATCTCAAACATTCTCACCCTTGGGTTGCCAAGGGGTCCCTACCCAGTACCGAAGTCAGTGCAGGAGCTATCGTTTCTGGGTTGCTTTTGGTGTGTTTTGATGTCATTACACAATGTCAATTTCAACTACTATCAAGCACCAACTTGGTCCAACAGTCTTGAGGCTGTGGGCATTCGTGCTGCTTCGTCGGGTTGCCGCCGCATTTGGTGAGAACTTTGTGAAAACAAAGCTAAGTGCTTTGGTAGCACAAACTGACATCAAGAACTGTCAACTAGTCACGGTCCAGCTGGATGAGGTTCAATCAGAATCAACACAAATTCAACCATTTAGAGTCCACTCTTGACAAAAACATACCTGACACCTGGTAAGGCACTGTAGGGTGGAAGTGCTACGATCTATTTGCTGGATGCCTATGCCAGCGCCGAGCTTGGGAGATGATTGAAGCTGCATCCCTGGAGATGTGGGGAGTGAAGCCTAAGTTGTCCTTTACGTTCATGGTATCTATTCGCATTTTAGCAATACCCTGGTTTGAAGTCTTATATGTAAATATGTGTTTTTTAATATATATATATAGAACTATATATGTGTATGAAGATCCATATATATATATATAGTTATTTTAGTTCGATTTAGATTTAGACAGATAGATACATACATATATATATATATGGATAAAGATATAGATATATTTTTTTTCCCTTATAGTGAGAACATGTTTCTTTCGGGTTTGATTCGGCTTGCCGCTCAGGTAGAAAAGAACCGTGCATGCGTCAAGCTGTGCAAGGAATTGGAGCCATCCCAATGCATCTTCCCTGACATACTGAAGCTTGTGGAGACCCCGGGGGATTCAGACAATTGGACACCGTCCAAACTGAAGTTGGTGAAAGAAGCGTATTGTGCCCAACACAACAAAATGCAACTCAGCGAATAAGTGGAATTGAAGACGAAACATTGTTTAATTGCTTACCCTTTCGTCAAACAACTTACTACTGCTTCTATGCTGTGAAGCTTTTCAACCCTTTTCACAGCTCAGGTGCAAAATTGAAACGTCGAAGGATGATTGTGGCCTACTCGGGGCCCCGTGCATCCTTTTCAGCAAGTGCGCCCTACTATCCTGAAAACCAGTGGAACAGTTTTTGGAGCCCCAGCTTAATCTGATTTTTTCCACAGGTATGGCAAGCGGGAAGGATTCCAGAACTTGGAGGGGAAGAAACTTCATGATGTATCTACCCGTTTTCAGCAGCGATCTGGAGTGTCGCTGCACGAGAATGTTCCAGACTTCGATGAGGCCAGGGGCTCAATCCTTTTCTGCTCATGATCCAGTATGAGTCAAGCTTGGGTTGGCCAATACAGAGAACAAACAGCTATGGGCTTGGTAGCTTCGACTTCACTCACAGCTTCTGCTAGTCCTACCTGACAAAGAACTTGAAGTCGCACTCCATCCAGAGGACCCTGTCGGCTCCTGAGTTGTTGTTGCTGTTGTTATTTGTGATCTTCAGCCGCCTCATGAAAACAAACTCCCATGGTCACAGCTGAACCAAATATTTGCTCAGGTTGGATCCGCGACAGTTCGGGCACCCCAATAGGAGGTTGAGAAGCTGGCGCATTTGCTTGCACAACAAGCTCAAAGTTTGGAAATGTGATCTCAGCCTATCTGAACTGGCAGATGTTTTGCTAGCACCACTTGATGTGAAATTGGCGTTGGATCATTCGTGCTATCTAACAGCTTCAAGGGCAGATTTGATGACGCATTCTGTGTTCTCTGACAAGGACCTCCAGGGGTGGAAAAAAGTGTTGGTCGGAATGATAATTCAAGTTTTAAATGACATGATTTTCTTTTTGCATTTCTCACCCACTGCTGTGTGACCCTGAGGTCTCAGCAGAAGCACTTGGCTCTCTTTCAGGCGAAGCTCCCTGACAAGCAGCTGTACGATTTGTCGGCCAATCCCAACAAAAGGCGCAGGGTGGAGACAAAGGAGTCAGCCCTTCCTTGCCTCACTACAAGCTCCACTCTGTGGTCACATGCCTCAACAAGTTTCATGTTTAGTGGTTATGGTCCTTGTTAACAGTCTTCAATCCCAACAGGAAACCAGGAAACAAATGCTATGCTTAGCAAATTCTGCTTGACCAGCCTAGGTCAGAGAAAGCTGGACGGCTCATGCTGGGAAAGGAACAATTGCATAGTCTTGGATATCCGTCGACCAACATAGGAGCTCAGGCCGCCCGAGTTGAATCTTGATTCAAAACCGTGGTTCTCAAAAATCTTGTGTCAATACCTTTGATCCCAAAACATCATACTTTCCAAAATGTACTTTTTTGGTTGGCTCACCCGAGGAAGTACGAAACTGTTTCCACATGAGTCTGTCGCCCAGGATCCTGTCAACCTGGACAACTTTACTGAAGCTTCTTTGCGCCGCATGAGTGGCAACGGTATGTCTCTGCCGTGTGCAGGATTTGTCTTGCTCATGGCCGTCTTGTTTGTTGAGGATAAATGATGAGCATCATACAAATTCCTCCCTAATTCAACTGGTGACCATGGAAATTCAACTGATTACCAGGAAAGGTGCCGCTTGCACTGCCCACTGGTGCAAAAAACAAAACTGAGATATGCTGACTCTGAGATAGTTTTGACCCCGTGCGTTTCTTCCATGGATCACATTTGACAAAGTTATTCAGCCCAGTTTGATCTGCCATCCAGAGCTGTTGCGGCTCATTCATGCCACCATTTGGAAATGAATCAGAGGAAGCTGTTCCTAAGAAACTTAGTTACTTAAGTTTTGGCAGTGCTGCTAAGCCTCCCAGATCATGTCCTTCGCCATCGTTGTTTGGTGCCGAGCCTGACGAATCTGCTGGTAGGGCTGGAGTCCGTGGTTGCAAGCCATCTTCAAATACCAATGTGACCAAAATTCGCTTGCCTTTTCAAGACGAGGATGAAGATAACTTTGAAAGGCCCATCAAGCAGGCCAAAGCCCAAGGACCCATGCCCAGGCCTTCTCCCTTTGGTGCAGAGCCGGAAGAACCAACAGAACCTAATTTTGGGTCGAGTAGTGATGGGGATGCTGATGAATCAGAGTTCCAAGGGGTCTCAAAAACTGTGTTTTCCCTGGGATGGAATGCGCTGGTGGATTTCAACCGAGCAACTGCGTTCAAGGATCAGAAGAACAAGCCAGTAGAGAAACCCAAGCGAAAATATGACAATTCCAAGCGAAGTAGTCAAGCTGCATATTCAAGACGAAATCCGGAGTTCACTTTCAAAAAAAATGGTACAGACCCTGTCCGGTTGCAAAAGCTTTTCCAGCAGGGAACTTGTCAGTGTGCCTGTGGTGGCAACTTATGTTATTCCAATTCCAAATAGCTTACCATTTCTTTTTGGATGTTTGTTTGCACATAGGCTCAATTGGGTCAATTGAACCAACAATATCCCAGGTGCCAACAAAGTTTGCTTCCAGCAGTTCAAGGTCTCGAAGGATTTCACATCGTTTCTGGATTCTTTCTGGGCTCTTTCCAAGATCGATCAAGATTCCTTAGATCCTTTACGGAGAACATCAATCTGTTTTTTACTTTTCAGGTAAATGGTGTTGCTGCTCAAAAACACCAATGTGTTCCTATCGTAATATGGTGGCGCCTCCTCAGAACATAAACATCACTAAGCAACATTAAACATCACTATGGGGGCTTCTCAAAAATCCAGGCATGCCAAATCAAGCAATTTAAATTACTTCCTTCGAGTGATCATAGTTTCTGACGTACCACATGGAAGTATCTATGGCATATTTATATATATAATATATATATATATACATACAAATTCTGATTTTCTATCTGACATTCTTTCTGGCATATGTATCTGGCATATTTTCTGACATTCTTTCTGGCATATCTTCGGAGATTCTTTGTGCTTGAGGTCTGGTGGGGAACACTCTGATCCAGAGCTCGTGGTGTAGGTCCGGCAGGGAACACTTTGATCCAGAGGTTGCTGTTGGAGTTGGCGGGGAACACTGCAATCGGGGATTGCAGCTTGCAGTTGAGGTCCGGTGGGGGTCACTTTGATCCAAAGGCTGCTGTTCGGGTGTGGTGGGGAACACTGTGATCTAGAGCTTGCAGTTGAGGTCCGGCGGAGGAAGGAGGAGGAGGAAGGCAGGCCAGCTGACATAAAATCTAACAACCCTCACCCCTCACCTGACAGGTGGGGAAAAAATATTTTTGGCTTGTTTAGAGTGTTCACTATGCCACGTACCCATACTTTCTTACGAAGTATAGTTAATACCTCCTTACCCTTCATGTGCAGGTGCAATCATCTCTCGCTTCTTCTAGCTCGGGGTGGAAGAAGTACACCCTACTTGAGAAGGAGGTGGGGCACAAGTGCCTAGCCGCACTCCTGGGAGTCGGGCACAAGAGACTCCACAAGTTGGAATCCACCAGACCTGATCTGCGCTATGGCCAAAAACCATACATGTCCAAACCAGGGACGTGGACGGTAGACGCGTTTCTGAAGATTTCTTACGATGCAGTAGCAGAGACCCTGCCCGACGAGCTGCTAGACAACAGATTTTTTTTTACATATGGGGAGAGAGAAACAGATTATATATATATATACATGTTTTTTGTAGATATAGATGTCAGTTTGTTGATGGAACACTGTTTTGGGGTATCAAGCTTTTGATGCGTTAACATCATATGGGGTCGAAATATTGATATAACATATCGCACATAGTTTCATAATGTGCTTTTGGTTAGTGTATCAACCATCCGATTTTTCACACATGGACTTCTTGGAAAGCGGTCTTAGGTTCATCCGAAGGGGGAGAGCCTCACGGCCAAAGAGGGATCTCGATGGCGATGAGCCAAGTGACTATGAGGAGCTTTCTTCAGAGGTCGAAATGGATGACATGAAGGAATGGTTATGTATCACAGCGTCAAAGAACCAATTGCTTCCTCATCAAATTCTGGTAAAAAAGTTCTTACCCCCGGGAACAGTCATGGATCTTTACGAGCAGTACAAAGCAACTCAGTGCATGTTGGGTTCAGCCTGTGTCTCGTTGCTGGGCTTTGGGTGTTAACAACTTTTTACTCATCAATGGGTTGACTTCCCCCAAAGAAAGATTTTTTTGTTCACACAAAAAAACATGTTAGGTACAACACGTTCAATGCAGTGTACAAAGAACGATGGAAGGATGTGTTGGGGTTCAGGCAACGTTCCCTCTTCTCCACATGTGAAGTGTGTTACGCTTTCAAGACTCAACTAGCAAACCGGTCGATTTCGATGGAGCAAAAGCTGGGATGTTTGGAAGCCTACCGGCAGCACTTGCATGATACCTTCTGTGACAGAACCATGATATGGTCTATGCAAGCAGAAAGTGCTGACTTTAACTCATCTATCTTGGTCATCGCAACAGATGGCCTTGACCAATCCAAATTCGCTCTGCCACGGGAGCCGGAGATGAGGATCAATTCTGGGTTGACTTTTAGATCAAATGGGATGATTTTCCAAATGTTTTGCAACACCCTAAAGATATTGTTGGTAAATCTTGTTTTGGACCTACCTGCCCCAGCGTCGCTGAGGGCAAAGCATCAGCGGCCAAGAATGAAGGTTCATGGGACCTGGGCGATGGGCTACCAGCTCAATGTTTTCCTGATGGATGAAACTGCGCGACATGATTCGTCCGCGATAATAGAGATGTTGGCATTGACCATTGAAAAGGTGGGGAATTTCTGGACAATTATGCGTTGGGTAAATTTCCAACTCTGTGTTTCAATTTTTCTGACACATTGATGAGCATTTTTCAGATCTTTGACCAATTTTGGCCCTGAAAGGTGATTACTATTTGTGATGAGGAAGGTCGGCCACGACCCACTACGGTGGTGGTTGTGGTGCCTGGGTGATTTTATCAATTGTGTTTATTTCTCAGCCCCAAGCAAAGTTCGAGAGTAGGTTTATTTCGAGGAAGGTCAGGACATTCTCCTTGGTCCACACACCTGCCAAAAAACACAAGGCCGACAACACCGTTAGGGAGTGCAAGAACCAGTATTGCCTTACATACTGCCATTTGCTGGTTTCGAAGGGGCTATTCAGGTCTGCATGCCTCGCATTTTTGAGAAAAAGTCACACCCATTGCCGGTGTGGTATCTAGGCTGAAACAGGCATTGTATGTTTGAAATTACGGTCCCTTTCCTGTGGATTCTGTCTCTTTTTTCCGTCCCAAAAAAAGATGTGCCTGTTTTTTCTTTATTCTTTTTGAGCCTGCAAATCAACACAACTGAGACCAATTATTTGGAATCATCAGTCGCAGAATAGCAAATGAATCATCACTTCAAGATCCAGATGATGTGGCTGAAGCCATCCAAAGTGAGCTGACAAAACCCACCGTCAAGGATTGGGTGGGTATCCAAACCAGGGTGGAGGTGAAAAAAATGAATGCCACCCACAGCTGGCGAACACACTTGCCTGCGACTGGAGTCAAGCTTGAAGGTGGTCTGCTGCGAGACGATGAGGGGAACCACATGTTTCTGTGCATGCAGCGCAGAGGCAAGGATAGCCTCCCGAGTTATTCCCCACATGATTTTCCATTTGAACTGGGTCAAAAAAGAATGAATAAGTTTCAACTAGTATATTCTTCGTACCCTGTCAAACCTATAAGTCAACTTCTTCATTCTTTTTGGCCCAGCTCTGATAGAACAGGCTAATACCAAACAGAGCAATAAACCCAAAATGGTTTGATATTGGTGTTGTCCCAAACATTAGGTTCTGTTCCCAAAAAATACCCAAAAAATACAAGGTCTTCAACATCATGACGCAAGCAGACAATCGGATCAAACGAGATACGGGGATACCCAGGGAGATTTTACAACATTTAGATTTAGCTGAACTATCTTACATTCAATTGTTTGATTCAGCCCCAACAATTATATAATTAAATGGACGTTGGATCAAATGAATTGATGTTGGAATTTTACCATTAATTGTTGGAATTCCCAAGCATTGGGACCCCCGAAAATTCGGTTTACACATTTTGGCCTTAACACTGTCCCCTGCAGATGTTCCCACACCTTTAGCTGGTGCTATCGACAGCGGCAGTTTCAAGGGCGCCCCATCACCGAATGATGTGATCTCATTTTTGAAGAAACATATTTGCGACAAGGAGCTATCTCAAAGCCCTTTACTGGTTTTGACTAGCGCTCGTGCTGCAAGGATGGACATTGTCCCCACTGGAAAGTGTCTTGCTAACAGCTGCCATCCAGTTGCTATCATTTGTCCAAATAATGTAAGCCCTGGATAATCAGTTTTTTTTAGATGATCTTACGGTAATTGGTGGCAGGGTCTATGGTAATGGGGAAATGGTAATTGGTGCTTTGACCAAGCACTGTTGCAACTCCCATTTGGAGCCATTTTTATCACCAGACCGTCTATAGGCCCAAGGATGCTTTGAAATTTCAGGATACTGGTACCCTAGATTTCCAGATATGTAAAATTCGGGGAAGCGGAATACAGATGATAACCACACAGGATTTCCAAAGCATCCCTTTTTTCAAACCGTTCTTTGGCCGCTTTGTCCTTCCCAAAATGACATTCTAGTGTTGTTTAAACCCGCAAGCAAATTAGTGGGCTGCAACACCGCTCTGGCTGAGGCAACCCAACAACCACAGCGAACAGACGGGACGAAGCCTGCGAAAGCTGGCCGAGGCTGTGATGTATCACTATGGTCACAAGTACCAGCGGGCTGTGGATTACTTGCAATCCCTTGCCAACAACAGTTTTTGGGAAGAAGCTGAACTTCCAAGGTTTCCATTTCACGAACAGATTGCAATTCCCATTCCGGTGGGGGAACCACGGTACATCTTGCATCAAACCATTTTGAATGCATTGGCCCCATCTGTCCCATTGAGGGCAGTATTTGGAGGTGACCGCAGGCAATAGATGATAAAAAACCAGTTTAAGCTGACTTCTCACTTAGGCAACAACGTGGTCCAGCCAATCGTCAATGATAGTATGGCCATAGAATTGTTTCTTAGACAATAGACTTGTTTCTTAGGAAGATTCTTGTCCCAAAACATCACTGCAGATTCTTGGACTTGATTCCTCATCCTCAAGCATAACTACATAACCACAGGATGGCCAGGCTAGTTTTCCAAAAGAATTTGTGGGGTGATCCTCCAAAAGAATTTGTGGGGTTTGGGGTTGTCTTCCACAAAAAATCATGTACTTTTTGGGACTGGCATCCACAAGAATCGATGTACTTTTGGGATTATCACCCACAAGGATCAGTTCACTCTGAGATTATAACCCAAAAGAATCGATGCACCTTGGGATTCTCCCACAAAAAGAATCGATGCACTTTGGGATTCTCCTCCACAAAAATCGATGTACTTTGGGATTCTCCCCCCAAAAAGAATCGATGCACTTTGGGATTCTCCTCCACAAAAATCGATGCACTTTGGGATTCTCCCCCGAAAGAATCGATGCACTTTGGGATTCTCCCCCGAAAGAATCGATGCACTTTGGGATTCTCCCCCGAAAGAATCGATGCACTTTGGGATTCTCCCCCGAAAGAATCGATGCACTTTGGGATTCTCCCCCGAAAGAATCGATGCACTCGATCGATGCACTGGTGATGTTTTCCAGAACTTGATTCATGTTTTCAATGGTCTCCCCGGCGACGAGACCATTGAAAAATGGGGAAGTTAAGTAGGATGACCACTGGCCAAGAATATTTCAAAAATCAGTAGATTTGGGAATACACCTTCAAAAACACCATTGATCTTGATATTGGGCTGCAACATAAAAATCAATGGTCTGGCCGTGGAAGAGACCATTGATTCCTTATTAATTTTTTTTCAAGGTGTAATTTTTTTTTTTACCCCCCAAAAAAAATTGAACCTCTCAATTTTGAAAGAATAGTTTCAATGCACTGGCCGAGGGGGAGACCATTGATTTTTTTTTTCAACCCATGAAACAAGATCAATGCACTTTGTGAGCATGATCCCATTTCCCAGGGAACTTTTTCGTGGATCAAGTCTTGGTGTAGCTCTGGTGAGTGTTGCTGAAAATGGCAGCACCCTTCAGGGCAAAGGTAGAGGAACGGTCCCGCATGCTCAAGGATCAGAAAGATTCCGGCACAGCAGAGGAACCTCCTTCGAAGAAAGCGTGCTCTGCTTTTGAGAAGCAGATGTCCAAGTTGCCAGCGGGCGATTTGGAGCTGGTGAAAGATTCTTTGCTTTGATTGCAATAGACTCTGATTATGTTCAAATCAAACATCAGGAGTGTAATATTCTACAAGACCCCAGGTACAAGCATAATATATATATATATATTGTAAATATGATAAAACAGAAATATTATATAATATAGTATAACATATTATAATATATATATATATATATTATAATATAGTATGATATGATAATATTTTATGATATATTATAATATATTAAATAAATATATATATATATATATTTCTATATTGCATAAATGTTTTTGAACATATATGTTATGTCATATTAATAACCAATGTTTTTATATGATATATTTGTTGTATAAATATAAAATGTCTTTAATATATATTACTAAATAAATCTTTTTTAGTAAATATCTACATTTATTTATTTATTAAAACAAATGTTTTTTTTGCAAATACTATATGTTTTACAACATATGAAATATAATATTTGAAAATATGATATGATATTATGTATAGGCTGGGGGCTTTTTTGAAGGATTCCATTCACCACATCGGTCTATATTTTTCCCAGCAACGCAATTCCACAAAAACATGTTACCCCTCAATATGTGCTTCTGGTTTTTTCATGGGAACTTCAGGAACCACAAACCACAAATGCGGTTCTAAAATCTTTCGGGTCATTTATTACCATCATGTTTTGGTTGTTGTAACATCCTTCTGGGCATTGGGCATGTAGAATGCCATTGATTTGTTCCGGCTTGTGGATTCCAAAATGGTTTTAGGGGCGCTTGGTTAGCTACAAACTTGAACTTATTATTATTGGGTCCAAACTCTATTTTTGGCAAATTTGATTTATAATCCCCAATACAATATATTCCAAAAACCACTGAGGGAACTTCGTAAACCCCTTGATTTACAATATGTTGGTTCCAAAATCCTTTGACTGGGTTTTAAATTCTCTATCCCAGATTTGATTCCTGGCCATCAACATCCCCAAAATGAGATTGAACAATCCCTTGGGTGAAGTTGGATCCAAGGACCTGGTGCAGTTTGTCTATTCGTTCAAGACTGATCTTGGTGAAACGCAGATAGGATCCCACCCAGCAACACTTGCTCTTGATACCTTGGGGAGTGGTTCTGATGAGAGCAACAAGCTCCATGCTGCCCAGTTGGATGGGTGGTACAATGAATATGCTTGCAAAGTCCGCAAGATGCCGTATCTCTACCGACCACCTGCCCTCGTCACCTAGCTAGAGTTTGTGAGAACCTTCCAAGTTACAGAATATGAGAAACTTCCAAGTTACAGAATGTGAGAAACATCCAAGTTACAGAATGTGAGAAACTTCCAGGTACAACAAGTCACCAATCCACAGGAGAAACTCCAGAGTTACTAAGCCAAGGCTATGGATCCTAGCATGAACGACGAGACGACAAAGGTGCCAATCATCTGCCTGAGGCCAGAAAATGTTATGGGTTTCGTTCTCCATTTCACGGACACACACACATGTGTAAATGGACTGACACCTGTTCCACCCCATCCACAATTTGTGCACTACGCAGGTTCACAAAGCCACTGGATGGCTTACCAGTGTTGGAGGATTGGCTGGGCACCTTTGAGTCAATGCTTTTTGGAGGAATTGAAATGACGAGGGAACCATTAGATGGGTCCATGCAAGCGGATGGAGGCAAGCAATTGTTTTTGAAAGTATCAGCAAGGGATTCTGACATCTGTTTTTTAGGGATTTCATGTTTCAACCATTCAAAAAATTGTTGTTTGTCTTCCAACCCCTGAAGACGCCTGGACTTGCGGACCGCTGAGTGTGGACCAGATCAAGGGCTGGACTCGCACAACAATTGTCTTGACAATCCTCTTGGCTGCTTCGGAGATGGACCTTTCTGACCCCAGCTGTGTCCAGAAGCTGCAGCCTCTGTTCGGGGTGCTCGACAAGTGCTGGCTGGTCCCAGTTCACGTTCCTTTTCTCATTGAAATGCTGTTTTTTCTTTACACTGTTTTAATGTTTTCCAAACTGTTGTTTGCATTTGCGTTGTTTTGATCAACCCGGGGTTTTGAACATCTGAGTTCACCTTTGGAGCCGATCAAGCTTGGCAATCCTTCCGCAATTTGAGCTTGAGCTACCGTGGAAGCGAACGTCAAGCACCCAACACCTTACAACTATCACTTCGCTTTAGCCATGTGATGGAGCTTCGGTCTCAAGATGGCACCCATGGGTCAGGTCTCTCCACCGAGCAGCGCCTTCAAGATGTGGTGCAATCCTTCAACGAGACCTCTGGCCTGCAGAACAAACACAAGATCGACGAGGAGAAATTCAAAGCCATCTACAATATCATTGCCGGAAGCTGTCCTGTGATTTGGTGATGTTATTATATAGGGTTTGTTCCCAGAATGTTTGTGTTTCAAGGTTGGGGCTTCAGGTTCGTTTTTAAGAGCTGGGGCTGGTGGAGTTTCAGGGATGTTATTTTTTTTTGTGCTCGTTGCCATGTCAAGGCTGCTCGCGACATCATCCGCGCTCACCTTGATCGGGCAAAGTGGAAGGAAAGCGCTTTCAGTGTTGAACAGTTTCGCTCTGTTCGTTGGATGCTCAACACAGCTCCCCGGAGCTCTTGCTGCCCGACCACCCTGCGCAAGTTTTTGACCGTCACCGAACTTGCACAGTGCATGCACTTGAAGCTCGTCATTCAGAGTTTCTTGGACGCGGGACGCCGACTGAGAGCAAGTGCTAGGCCACGGGTACGCCTTGCCTCTGAGGGCTTTGACAAGCTATGCGATTTCGCTTGTGTGTACGCCAATGTCCTGACAGAAGCCAGATCTCTTGCTAGCTGGTCTGACGAGAAGGAGAAGGGATTCATGAAAGCGTTCTACCAGAAGACACTGGTTTGTGTTGAACACTTTTTCTGATTTTTGGTGTTTTGGTGTTTGGATGTGCTCTACATATACTAACACATGTTTTAGGAAAATACTTTCCAATCTAAGGGACTACATGTCGGAGATTGAAGCGCTCATTGTGGCCAAACTTCCTTCATGGCAGCCCCAGCATTTGTCTTTGTGGTCTGACCGGGTTGAGCCGCCAGCTACCCCATGCAAGGTGGCCACGGCTGCAGACATCGTCCAAATGGAGGACGAGGCTCAAGGGGCAAAGTTCCGGGAGATTAGGGCAAAGATCAGCCAGGACGTGGCAAGCATGACGGCCTACAACGCCAAAATTGAGGCCAACAAGAAACGGGAACACGTGGTGATGGTCATGCATGAAAGGAGCCAAATGCAAGTTGGGAAAGAGTTCCTTATCCAAACATTTACAATTGGGACCAATTAGGGAACAGTTACCAAAAAAACAGGGCACAGTTTAATTACTTTACATGGAGTTTTTTCCACAATGGCATTTCAAGGCATTTATTCTGACATGTATTCTGACATTTTACCTAAACATCTATTCTGACATTCTAAATGCCATTCTTTCTGGCATTTTATCTGACATCTATTCTGGCATTCTATCTGGCATTCTATCTGATCTGACATTCCATCTGGCATTCTCTCTGACATTCTCTTCTGACATTCTCTTTTGGCATTCTCTTCTGGCATTCTCTCTGTGGGAGCCCTCTGATCCTGAGCTTGCTGTTCGGGAACACTGCGATCTAGTGCTTGCAGTTGAGGTTCGGCGGGGAACGCTCTGATCCTGAGCTTGCTGTTCAGGCCCCGCAGGGAACACTAGAGCTCGCAGTTGAGGTCTGGTGGGGAACACTCTGATCCTGAGCTTGCTGCGCGGGTCCGGCAGGGAGCACTGCGATCTAGTGCTCGCAGTTAAAGTCGGCAGGAGATCAGGTCCAGCAGGGGAGAAGAGGGAGGAGAAGGCGGGACAGCTGACATAAGATCTAACAACCCTCACCTGACAGGTGGTGAATAATTAGTTGGGATATTTTGGCCTGTGCTGAATTCTTCTTTGTCAATCTCAGGCTCTGCGAATCCTACATGGAGAAATGGTGCCGCGTTGACATGACCGCCAAGAAGGAGAACTGCGATTCGAAGATCGATCAAATGGTTCGGGCAACCGCAGCTGCCAAGAAGGCTGGTCTTGGTAAACATACGGGACTGTCTGAACGGTTTTTAAAAGTTTGTTTAAGTTCCAGAAAACTGTAAACAACTTCCCCTGTCCAAGGTTGAACCCCGCGACGTAGACCTCATTCTGTATATGGATTGCACCAAGATGGGTGTGATTTCACAGAGTGAGATCAACTATGTGGGTGAGACTGCTGAGCGATTGCTGTACCGAAACCCTTCCAGCTTCTTGCTTCCACACTGTTTTCAAAGGAAAATGTTCATGTTGACTCCCCTTTGTTTCAAGCTTCAATAATTCTCATTTTTCAAACATCCCACCCCAAGCAGTAAAATGGTTATCTTATATCATTTTCTATCCAGTTGTTCCGCCCCAGGATCAACTCTGCTCTTGTTGCCACCGCTCTTGGTGGGTTCTGATGGTGGAGGCAGCCTCCGAAATGACATAAGGCTGGGTTGTTCAAAAGGTTGCTCCATGACAGTTTTTGAATTGTTCTAAGCTGACCAAATGTTTGTTGAACACGTGAAATTTGGCAGGAAATTGGAGGACAAATTGCTTGCTCACAAAATTGAGCTGAAGCCCTTCACAATCAACCTTGACCAGAAGGAGCTCCATCGGAACAGAGACCTACCCTCTGCATTCATTGCCTTCATGGGGGTAGTTGACTCGACGCTCCCACTGAAAGGCACTGCGCACCGAGTGGTTCGTGGTGCTCCTGAGAGTGAAAATTCCACGAATGTGTTTCTCACTTGACATCAAAAAAGTTTTGGGTGTATGTTGAAAGGTTTTTTACTTGTGAGCTGGTATCCCCAAATTCTTCATATATTCAATATCAGTAATTATTGAATTTCCCTGTGGCTTGAAGTGTAGTCCCTCTTGAAAAGACAACGTGCAAGGTTTTGCAGTTCCTCCTTGTGGCTTCGTCAATCGCTCCGACCCGAAGCTTTTCCACCAGCCCTAGCAGAGAAGGAGTTTGTCGTGCCAGGAGAAGCTTTCACATGCAACGACACACGCAGGAACTATTCAGACCAGCAAGAGACTGCACAATGGCTTGGCGGCCAAGCTGTTCCAAAGGCTCTTCTCCAAGCACTCACAGGTCAAGGGTGCTAGATGGTGTTGAATGGTATATACTCTTTTTTCTTCGAGTGATCTCCACACTAGACATATGTATTGCTAATAGGTGTCCAAACTATGTTATATACACTCGATTCACCTAAAACAAAAGGGTTCGTTGGACGGTTGGAAATCTCCCTCACAGGTGACCGGAAGCAGTTCTATGGCGCAGTGGTTGTGCATCCAACGTCCTATGATGCATGCGTGGAGCTGGCTTCATTGCAGCTTGGTCTCTCTGTCATGGGGAGCAGCAGTGTGCAAGCCAATTTCCAGTGCGCCAAGGAGATGGCCAAGGGTCACCTCCTAGAGGTGGGGGTAACAAAAATACGTGTAGTTTTCAATTTTTGGGACCATGTTTATAACATGTTACAAATGTTATTTTATTCCATTCTTTTTCTTTCAAAACTTGTTTGACACAAACTATTTTTGCTCCATTGCGTTTTGCAACAGATCCTGCTCAGGCTTGGAAAGCGGCCCGAAGTCCTATGGACAAAACCCAACCTCGCTATCACAAGGAGCCTTCGCCTGACAGCCTTCCTCAGAAAGACGACTTGCCTGCTCTCAAGGTCTGTCAGGTATCTGACAACAAACTGTGCCTTCCGAGGGACATTCGGCAGATGTTCCTTCAGTGCCCCATCTACGGGCCTGAATGGCGCAGTTTGCTGAAGGAGTTTGATGCGCAGCGGGGTGTGCCTGCATCAGATGGCTCTCCGACCCCACGATCCAGTGCCAATCCCAATGGCACACCCAGCCCTGTGAAGGATGAGGTGAAAATGGAGAAGGATGAGTTTGATTGGAGCACAGCATTTCCCGACGAGCCCAAGACCATGGACGCAATCAAGCAAAAGTACGGGCAGGACATCACCGAGATGCCAGGCCATGACCCCAATGTCACCTTTGTCCTCGTGCCGGGTCCAGCCCTCTTTGTGACTGTCAAGGAAGCCATGGTGCTGAAGAACGCTGCGATCAATGGTCCCATTGTGGCGCACGGGGCAGGAGTTTGGCTATTGGGGGACAAGGCAGACAAATTCAAAAAGGACAACCCTAACCGTGGCATCCCGTGCAGTTGTCACAACGATGAAGGGTGGGTAGTGATGGAGGAGTGGGCTTTGCCAAAGTTAGGGGGATGTGGTTTCTTGTAACTTTTACTTTACAAAGTTTTGCTAACCCACCAAGTTTAAAAAACATACTAAGATAATGTTCAGGGGCGGCATTACCTGTGGCCTTGAGGAGCAAGGTGCTGATGGTGATGTGGTGTCACTGCGTGTTGCGCTTCAGCGTGTGGAGAAGGGCGGGATGGTTGACTTTAGCCTGGGCGGCCACACCTGTGCTCGTCCAGCAGCGGTGGCACAAGGTCATCAGGACGATCACTTTCAAGTGGCTCCAGACGCCGCCCAGGCTTTGTTGTGGAGGCCACATGCTATTGCGACCAAGAACCTCAAGGCTTGCAACGTTGCGAGCAGCTTTTTGTGGTCTGCTTTGGAGGAGTCTCCACTTGTGCTGGTTCCTTGGGATAACATGTTTCACAAATAATTTCAATGTTTTCAATTTTACGGTTTTACTTAATTTGGTTTCCTAGCTTTACAACAGTGCCCTCCATTCCCCCTTTTTGTTTCCTGATGTTCAACCATATCTGCATTTATGTCCTGTACTTTCTTCCACTAAGGTTTGGCGTTTGCGGATCTATGCGACCGAGAAGTGTGTTGCGGCTTGCAAGCCGTTGTGGTTCCTTCCGGCTCCATTGGACCTTGGGAAGGGCCGTTGCCAAAGGTTGATCTGAGGCTTTTTGCCGTCCTTAGGGTTTTCCACAGTTGAACCAGCTGTGATGAAGTTGGGCTGCGAAGCTTATGCAATGAAATTTGCATGGCTCATGCTCTTTCCGGTTTGGTGGATCATTAGGGGAAGCACAAGAACCATGCGATCATGTCCGAACAAAGACAGTGACATTTTGAAGATAAAGGGATGTGACAGCTAGTCAGTTATCTTGCAGTCATCTTGCTTAAATTTTTCATTGCATCTCACATGTTGAGAGTAAGAATGATTTCTAGTGGCAGCTCATTTTGGTTCTTTCATTCATTCTGTTTCACCTACTGGGTCCCATGCCGGATACGCAGATTGTCATTGATGACGAGCTTATGGATTACGAATGCTGCGTCGATTCCCCCAGGAATCACTACATGGTCTGTGATGCTTCGAAGCATTTCCTTTCGATTTCTGATCCAGTTCGACCTGCTGCAGGGAATCTCTTCCTTACATCTGGGTCTTCTCGAATGATGGCAGGGCCTGTTGATACTTCGGGGTTCCTTACATGTATTTATTCTTGAACTGTCCTATTAATCAAACGTGTTCCCTTCAAGTATGTTCCTTTAATTTTCTTATTATACATATCATCTGCATTGAGCCCCCGTCTGCCTTTCTAAGGCCTGCCTTGGATGCCAAACCGGGCGATGACTTCTGGCCTGAGGAGCCTGACAGCCAGCCTAGGGAGGAGTCACCTTTTTTTGGAGAATTTCCACCTGACGCCGAAGTGGCTGACACCCAGATCGACACTCCAGAGAAGTCTCCCCGACCAGCTTTTGTGAGAAAGCGCCGAAATTGGTGGGATGATATGGCTTCGCCTCCTTTGCCTTCTACACCAGTGCATTCCCATGGAGACCGCGCCAGCTATGCCCCCGATGACGAGGAGACAAAGACTATGAATGATGGTTTGGAGTCGCAGTCCGTACCCATGGATCCCACGCCTGAGGAACCTGTGCACCCAAAGTCCGTACCCATGGGTCCCAAGCTTGACGTGAGCCCCGAGACCGGCCTCCCATGGGTGTTACCACAGGTTCCTATGGATGACGCTGTGGAGGACCTGGTGCATGACCCCAAACCTGTTGAAAATCTTGGCGATGGTGAGGCTCCCAAGCCGGATGATTCCAAGCCGGGGGTTTCCAAGCCCAAGTGCAAAGCGAAGAGCAGCGCCAAGAGCAAGGCAAAGAACAAGGCTTTGAAGCCACCGAAGGTTTTGACAGAGGAGCAAAAGCAGCAGAAACGTTTCAATAGCCAAATCTGGCACACCAAGTGGGTCAGCAAAGGAGTTCCAAAGATCCCCAAGAACCCTACGCCTGCTGATGCTGGTGCTCCTGGCGCCCGCTCTTCCTCCAGTAGCTCGCCGACTGACTTGACAGGATCCCTGAGTGCAGCCCGTGACCAATTCATCAAAAGTTGGATTGAAGGCTCCGGCTTACCAAAGTCCAACGATCGTCGCAAGCGTGCTTTGGAAGCATGGATGGCCAGTTCCCGCCGTGCTGAACTTATGGCTGCACGCTCTGGCACCCAGAAGTGAAAGTGGAAATTATTGTTGCCCCCAAATCTATTGCTGTGACTCTTGTTCACACTGGGGACTTTTGACCTGTGCCTTTTGGTTCGATATATGATTGCAGTCAAGACATGCTGGGAACGCGTCAGCCCTTAGCCCCACTTGTGTCTGTCTACGGACCACAGGGAGGTACACATTTGGTGTGACAGAGCTTTGCGCAGGGGTTATGCCGAGGAAAATGGCAGGTTTGCAATTGTAAAGCTTCTCTCGAAACCTTCTTACAAAATCCACTGGCAAAGATATATCATTGACCAGGTGTTGAAGGTGTGTGTGTGTGCGCGTGTGTGTTATAAAGCAATTTTTTCCAGAATCAAACCAGCCCGGCTCCCAGGCCCGGATCTCTCTTCATCATCATGTGGCACCGGCAGCCCTGGGGGCCATTCTGTCCGAGCTAAAAGCTCCCCAAAGAAACGGGTGAAATTTACCCGTGGGAAAAATTGAAATAAGATATAGCCCCAAACTGGGATGCATCTTATTGAACAACAATGCCCCATCTAATTAGGGCACTTTTTCTATAACAACTTCCAATATCTCAACCCGAAAATAATATGTAAATTTCTCTGGTCCAAGAATCCAAGAAGCCCAAATACAGATTTCAATATGCTAAACTGGGATATATGTACACATATTTGGGCCAGGACCCCAAAAAAGGGTTTCAATATCCCAAACTGGGATACAACCAAAATTCTTTGGGCCAAGATCCACAAGAAAGGGATTTCAATACCCCAAATTGGGATACGAATAAGTTTCTTTAGGCCGGCACCCCCCAAACAATTCGGTGTGGGGGCAGAACAAATATCTTAAGTTGGGATACATATTACATATGCACCTGTGTTTTGACAAATGTTAAGATCGGTTTCTCAAGACATCAACATCCCCCATGTTGGAATAAATGCAAAACATCGCTACACAATCCAAATTTTCCAATGTTGGGTTCAATTTTAAAGCCAATTCTTATCACCATGTGGGATTCTGTATGACGTGGGTTCTTACAGTGGTTACAGTATCTGATATAACATATAAAAGGGTAATGAGGATTCAAAATGTGCACAGACAATATCCAAGATCATGGAATGGAATTCTGTATATTTCAAATCGTTTCCATGGTCTGTACTTGGTAAGGGGCCTCCAAGACTTTTCATTTTTTGGAGATAAAAAAGGACCTCTGCTACCATCAAGATCTCCTGTTTTTTTGCTGGCGACATATGCCCACAACCTGGTATTGTTAAATTCAGAGTTTGTGTCTTCCATCGGTATATACTGTATAGTATATATATTTTTTTCTACATAGTTCTAGACATATTTTTTTACACAATCTTAATGAATCCCAACCATATACCATAGAGAGAGAGATATTTATATATGGGTTTGGTACTTAGAATCCAAAAACAGCTGCGAACCGTGGCACCATGTGATTGCCATCGGTTTTGAAATTCCTGGGCCAGTTGTGCCCTTGATCGCCGTGGCGTCTGGGCGGGTGGGTATGGTTATGAGGCACATATATATATATGTATAAGTATTCATGCATGTATATATATATATAGTTAGTGGTCCAAACCATTTCATTTTCTGGAACCCTTTTTCCAAGGTAGACTGGCCAGAGAAAAGCTTACAAGAAAGGCTCAAAGAAGTTTTTTCCAAACCAACAAGCTTGCTGCATCACAAAGCTTGTCAAAACAAAGGGCAGGAGCACAAAGAAGCAGTGTTCCAGATCAGAAGCATAAGGCCCAAGCAGGCTCAGTAGAGAAAAGATTTGCATTTTTTTGGTAGTGGAGCCAGGGTTAGATGTCACCAATCTAGGGTCAGATGCCACCAATATAACTTAAATCCCCTCGACCGGAACCCGGGCAAGAAGGACGAGAACGCCCCGTGAAGAGAAGCGCTCCGAATCGCTCCAGGGCGCCGCCTGAGCCCAATGAGGGGCCAAGGGCCACAAGGAAGTCCTCTCAAGCAACAGGCACCCTCGTTGGCACGGTGTCATCCGAGGAGGCGCACCCCCGAGGGGAGTCTGCCATGAAGATGGACAGTGAGGACGAGAACAAATCTCGAAAACGCCTCCGCAGGGAGAGAAGGAGAGATTTTGAGAAGTTTTTGAGAGCAGAGGTTCTCACCGGAGGCGTGCCGCTGCGCAAGGTGGGAAGGTACATCATGCAAAACCTTGGGCTGCTGCACACCAAATTTGGGCAGCTGGTTGACAAGTTGGAGGAAGCCGCTGAGGACACGGTCAGGGCGTCGGGGCCCGCAGCCCCAGACTTGCTGCCCATTTCGGTGGTAGCAGTTCAGGAGACCACCATTGCTAGCTGCCCGGAGGTAAAGGATTGGATGGCACTTACATGCCTGTGCCTGAATTTCTGGTATTGCACCGGGTGGGAGAGGCCATCTCATACCTCGCACCCGAGAGAGTTTACCTCGACCCAGAAAGAATTTCTGGGATGTCACTTGGGGCCGGCGATAGAGAGGATGCTGGAGGGGGAACCATTGATTCCAGCATACGATCAACTAGAGCAGGTCCTTTCAATGAAAGGGCAAGACTATGAAGGAAACACGTGGGTTGTTATGGAACAACTCGAAGCGACGAAGGTCACCCGGTGCTGGCCGGAGGAAGGAAAGGCTGCTGTTCAACCATTGGAACGGTTTCTTCAAGGGTGGACCAAGGAGCTAGTGGAGATGCCCAGGATGACGATTTTGCCGTATGAGGAGTGGCCTGAGGAGATCCCCCAGTCCTACGTGAGAGCTTCAACGTCGGAGTGGGAGCTCATTGTAGCCGAGGGGTTCAAGAGAGGGCTCTTCCAGCATTGCCCGGAGGATGAAGTGCTTGTGGGGCCAGCTGGTGAAAAGATCCTTAACGGCGCAGGGGCAGTGCCGAAGGAGAAACATGGAGAGGTGCTGCAGCGCTTTATATCTATCTTTTGCCCGCTGAATGCGGTGTCAAGGAAGATTGAAGGCGAGGAAGGGAGCCTGCCGTACGTGGGGCAGGTTTCGCTGATCAATGTGCCCCAGGAGGCCTCTATCCTGATTGACTCCGAAGATTTGGAGAGCGCCTTCAACCTCTTTGAGATGCCGCTCGGATGGCGGGGTCTCTTTTGTTATGAGAAAAAGGTCAGAGGCGAAGTACTCGGCCTTCAGACACAAGAGGAAGTGTATGTGGCCCTGCGCACAGTCCCGATGGGCTGGATTTCGGCGGTGGGCGTTGTGCAAGCGGCCATTCGCCATTTGGCCTTTGAAGTGGCCAAGTTGCCCCCGGAAGGGGAGTTGCAAAAAGGAAAACCGATCCCGGAAGGCGACAAATTCCTATTATATTTGGACTCGGTGGACCAGCTGAGGGTGGTTGACCGAACCTGCCGTGCGGTCCTGGAAGGGACACCCTCAGAGGAGCACGAGCGTTTTGAGGCGGCCTGCAACCAGATGGGGCTGCCGCGAAACCATGGGAAGGCCTTAGCAGGGGCCTTGCGTGGAAGCATCCAGGGTGGAGAGCTTCGCGGAGACGAAGGCATCTTCATGCTCCACCCAAAGAAGATGCACCAGAATGTGGCCTTATGTCTAGCGCTGCTGGCCACACAATCCTGGGATCAGCGGAGGACGTCAGGCATCATTGGTTTTGCTGGCGCCTTCCGCCGGCCGTTGCTGGCCTGTCTGTCGGAGGTCTTCCATCACTTTGGACAGGGGGAGGAGAAAACCCCATCTGATGGAGCCTATGATGAAATCATGGGAATGGTTGGTTTGCTTCCACTAGCCTTTACCAACCTGAAGGCCAAGGTGGACCCGGTTCTGCACGCCACCGATGCTTCACCAACGGGAGCTGGCAGTTGCACAGCAAAACAAATCAAAAGGAAGCCAGGCGTGGCCAACTCAGCGGACCTGACCTGCGGTGAGTGTGGCCGAGACATCACCGAGATGATGGCCACAGCTGAGGAGATTGACTGCCCCAAGAAATGTGGCGGTCACTTCTGTGGATTGAAATGCTACCTGAAGCATCGCAGTGGGTGCCCAATGAAGAGACTTGGGGTGCCGTGCTTCAGCGAGCGGTGGAGCGGGCCTGGAGCCCCCCTCACGGTGGCAATGTTGAGGAGAGGATTTGATGTCTTGCCCCCTTATGATGTGCAAAGGGGAGAACACATGGACTATTTCACTGAGCGTGGAAAAGAGACGTGGAGGCAACTGGATGAGGACGATCCGGATTATGAGCACCACGCTCCGGACTACAAGACCTTCTCAAGAGCCAGAGGAAGGCCCTTCTACATTGACGGCAAGAGGTACGAGGGACCTCGAGCATTGAGAGATGATTCGAATGTGATGGGCTTCCGCAACCTGAAAGGAGCTGAAGCTGTGAAGGTCAGGCAGGGAAATAAGATGGCCTTGCAATCAATCAAGCGCTGCGAGGACCTGCATGACCACCAGAAGTTCTTCAGTCTGGAGCACCCGTACGGAAGCTTCATCTGGAATTTGAACAAAATGAAAGAATTGGCAGAGCGCGCAGGAGTCCACCTCACAGTATTCAGCAACTGCTGTTTTGGTGGGGCGCGAGAGAAGTGGACGTGTATCATCACCAACAACCGAGGAATCCATGAGGCGCTAGAGCGTAGGGAGTGCCCCCACTTGGTGGTCGGTTTTTAGATAGAATGCATGTAAATACTTATAGCACTTGACCTACTTACACAAACTTACAAGTTAACTTAGGAAACTTAACTTTTTAATTGCAGCTCTAAGTAACATAAGTTAAATATAAGTAACTTGCAAGTTTTTTAAGTTATTTTAAGTTATTTTGAACATGAAAGGAGAGGTATTTTAGCAGTTTTTTTCTTCATCATTGCGTTTTGCATTTTTATTTTTTGTGTTGTAGAAACCTTTGTTTCGTAAGTTTTCTTCGAATTTCTTTGCTGCACTTGAAAAGTTGATGATGTTTTTAAACTTTGGGTTGGACAATCTTAATTTGGAAAAAAATAAAAATGAGAGAGTTGCTGCCCAAAGGGCCGCAGGATAGAACACCCACGGATGACCAAAGGCGTGCGACGTGGCATTCTAATGGTTCATGGTTCTGAACTGTATGGCGGCCCATTGGGCCGCCTATACTTTAGGAAAATTGATTCTGGGTTGCAGTGTTGGTCGTTGAAAAAGAGGGCGGCTCATTGAGCCGCCACCAGATGCGCTGGCCGCACTTTTCCTAGTGCAAGCAGATCAAAATCTCCGCGCTCAAGTGCAGCCACCACAGAGGTCCTCGTCCGACCATCGAAATGTGAACCAATTTCTTCCTTTCAGTGATTTTCCAGCGTGACCAAAATTCGTTAGTCTCTTGTTTCTCCAGCAGTTGCAAAACCAAATAAAACTGGTCATTGGCTTGGATGGCGGAAACCACAATACCAGGGTGCGCCCCCAGCAATACATGGCGGCTTTCGTAGGTTGTTCCTGTGTGTTGCATCTTGGTAGACTCCCAACAGTTGGCGGTCCTCAACGATGCCGAATATGTTTCAGACACTTGAGGTTTTCCGAGCAAAGCAGTTTTGAAATTCTCTTTTTCCAAGCCAGCAACATGATGCTGCATAATGGCGCGTAGAACCAACTGACCATACTTGGCACCATCTTGGGACCAAGTATCAAAACGATGTAGTCCGATATGGGACTTGTACTGTTTGTGTTTCCTTTCCGTGGCAAAGCAATCCACATGAAATTGAATCCTTTGCATCTGTTCAGCAGCATGAAATCTGCAATGGTGTTTGGGTTTTACAAAAGAATCACCATAGCACTCCACAATGAGCTGTTGGTGCACCACCTGCAAGTCTTGATAGCGCTCAATATTAAAGCCAGTTTGGCAATACTGAAGTTTCCGTAATTCAATGGTGATTCGTCTCAAGGCGTCGAAACACTGCAATTCTTTCTGAAGTAAATTCATGGGTGGAAGAACTCTTGAAAGAAAATAGTGAAACAATGGCAAGAACAACATCAAGTTGCTGGCTGTACCTTTGTACGTGTTGCCTGCAAAGTTCCAGTCACTTCCCAGGCGCTTTCTCCCAGATGGAGTGCATACTCCTAGATGAGTTGTTCGCCAGTCCATCTCCAAAAACTGTTGTAGATTGCCAATATTGATTTGCTTCCATCTGTTGTAAATCTCTACTACCTCCCATGAAGAAATGCCATTGGACCAATACAAATGCATTGTGTCTAGCAAGAAGGACGAGGGTGGTAGAGCATCCCGTGTCAGCTGATGACTCAATAAGCCATCAGGATTGTGATTGAAGCCTGACGCCTTTTCTTTCTTCTGCAGTATGGACTTGGAAACACGTCCAGCTGCAGCATTCATGTCGTCAATGACATCAAAAATTTCACTGTCGCTTTGGGGATAGAAGCCTGACAGGTTGTGACTGCTGATACTTTGAAAGAAACCATCATACTCCTCCAGATGCGTATCTCTCTTCAGACAGTTCTTGCAGAAAACGCAGCATCGAATCGCTGCACTCCCCTTTGCGTCCAACGCGTACCGGATTGAATCCAAGTCGCTAACCATGTGGCGGATGTGGAGACGTAGCAATCCCATTCGTCCACCAAACGTACAGGAAATCCATGGTTCAAGTTTTGATTCAGGAGCTCCATGATTATTTGTTTGGTCGCTGCGCTAAATCCTCCTTGGATTTGATCGAATTGTTGATGTTGCAGTAGGCTAAGCGGATGCCATACAGAGTCTTTCCATAGGAAACCCAGTTGCCTCAAACTGAAATACCACAAGCTGACTTTTTTTGCTTGGTTTGGCGCCAAAACGTTTCCCCCTGTGGCTTCGTCATTGTAAAGCAGCATTTCAAAGATTGTCTCAGGTTGATCTTGAAGTTTTTTTTCAAGTAACGCAGCGTAGTTTGGGCATTTGTCTATCACGGTCTGAAGACATTTTCGAACATCGCACATGTAGAATGTAACAGATTTGTCGTTTTCAACGCTTGGTAGCTCAACCGGATAGAAAACATCGGGCAGCACCTGGTGTGAGACTGTTTTCCAATCGTGGCCATCTAACTGTTTGTCTTCTGCCTTCAAAGCTCTGCACGTTGCGTTGTAAATCTGGCGACGGGATTCATCGCTGACACTGTGAAGTCCCAGGGTGTTTTCACATACCGAGACAGCTGTTTCGAGCTTGGCCTTCTTCGAAGGGCGCTTGGACATGTAATCTTGAACAAAAAAGTTTCATATGTTGGGACTTCAGAAATATAATTTGTTTTATGAGATATTGCAGAGCCTGACCATGATAAATACGTTCTTAAAGAATTTATGGCGGCCCATTGGGCCGCTCACATTAGTATTCTCCAAGTTGACAGTCATGCTGCCATGTGTCAATGTTTCAAATTCATCACCAGCTTTCTTGTAAGAAGGCCATGCTTGTAAAGAAAATCTTTGCACAGCCAAGAGGGTATGTTGCAATCTTCAAGTCAGACTGGAAAGCCTGAAGTGCAAAAAAAAATGCCTGGATGTGACATAGAATTATGCGGCACAATGTGCCGCAGATGAACGACTTGCAACACCACATCTACTGACCCTGTGGTTCCGTTAATTGGTTGCTCCTGAGCCTGCCATCGCCAATGATCTATGGTACTCTTGGTGTATGCAGGTCACACACCGCACTGCTAAAGACACCCCAACTAGCAATGTTCCATCTTGAGAAAGATCTACACTATATTGCGTGTATATACCCATCATCGCTTGTTTCAAAACGATGAAAAAAACCCTAGCTATAGCTACACTTTCAAGCGCCAGCTTTGGCTGCCTTTCCGGCTGCCTTCTCCGCTTGCTGCTCCTTCTTAAACTCAGCAGTGATCTGATCTTTCTGACCTCTTTCGTGAGGGTACCTAAGTCTTTCAACTCCAAAGTGCACTCGCGTTGGTTCCACTCGAAAGCTGCCAGCTCACCTTTGTGGTTCTTGCTGATGTGGCCCAAAGCCTGAACACAATCCTTGCGCCTGCCATCAACGATCTCCAGCTGTTCGCTCAGCTTTTTGACCTGATCCTGAGTTGCCAGGCCGGCATTGTTAGCTTTCTGGAGCACATCCTCAGCGGTGGTGCATGCGGTGGTCAAAGCCTTGCAGTTCTTGGTGGATAAGCTAAAGGAAACCTTGGTGGCTTTCTTTGCTTCCTTCTTTCTTTCGGCCTCAGCCTTTTTCCCAGCTGCAGCTGCTTCCTTTTGCTGTTTGGCAGCCTCACGCTTCAAGTGCGCTTCCAACTTCTTGCCAGTCAGGTTCTTGCTGTCTTTCTTGCTGTCCTGCTCCTTCGCCTTTGTTCCTGTGAGTGGAAAAGAAAGTTCAGAAGCAAACTAGAAAAAATGAGTTGTATTGTTTTGGAAGCTGCCCATTGGGCCGCTAGGAAAACGCCACACTGATTCAAAATGAATTACAATCTAAACCCATCTGAAATTAACCAAACAGAAATATTTTGTGTAAATACTTGATGTACTAGGGCGGCCCATTGGGCCGCCAGGCTGCTTTCTTTCAAACAACATTACACCAATTTGTTTGCTGCCAACTTTGATAACAGTGTAGGCATGGATTGAGTGAAATTTTAAAAGATTCTTGACGCAACTTGATGTACTAGGGCGGCCCATTGGGCCGCCAGGCTGCTTTTTTTCAAACAACATTAAACCAATTTGATTGATGTCAACTTTGATAACAGTGTAAGGATGGATTGAGTGAAATCCGAAAAGATTCTTGACGCAAGTTCTCAACATATACAAATTTGCACGCAGATCATGAACATGAAAAAGGTCCCCAACCCCGCCTTCGTCTTCCGACTCCGACACCAGATCCATCACAACTGTCATGTCCGTCCTGGCACTCTTGGCTTCCAACTCCTCTGGGTTCTTCTCTGTCAAAGCCTCTTGCTTTCTCTTCCGGATGTTCTTCTCGCACTCAGTGATGGATTTCTCAATGGTGGATTTGATGTCTTCCTCATGGATACTGGTTTCCACCAACAAAAACGTCCAGTCGTTCAGACCGTGTGACCATTGTTTGGGGTTGCGATTCTCAAAGTCACTGTCGATGATGTATCCACGCTGGCGGTACACGCTGAGCGGCAGATACGTTCCTCCAACAGCGATTTTTTTCAAACGAATCTGCTCATCCACGAGGACTCGGGTCAGAGTCTCTCGGACCCGGCTGTAAGCAAATTGGCTTTTCTTAGCCGCCTCCTTTTCTTTCTGGCATCGCAGAAAGAACTGCTGCTGGGCCACATCATCCATGCCTTCGAACTCCTTGGGAGGCCAACGCATGTTCCTCTTCAACATGACGTAAATGGCATTACAGGCCAAACACCACATCTCTGAGGGCCCTCGCACCACACACTGGTCCAACTCCTGTTCTTGGCCGCACTTTTTGCAAGTACCAAAGTTCAGCTCCTCCATCTGCTGCAAGTCCTCTTCAGTCATAGCATCACTGCGGCGAAGAGCGTCAGTGTCACCAGCCACAATCTGTGACTCCTTTGGGCTGGACCCTGGTTGTTCACCTTCTTCCAGTGCAGTGGGCGCTGGCCCTGCCAAACCTTCAGACGGGTCTTGCTGAGCACTAGGAACTTCAACTTCACCCTGCTCGTTCTCTCCATCCTCCTTGGTGTCGTGACCGTAAAAGGTCTCACCCTGTCCGTGCCCATCTTGACTCTCGAACTGAGGGGTGTCGGGAATCACCAAGGTTGGAATTTCAGCAGTAGTCTCAGCCATGGTCAGAAAACCGAGGGAGCTAAGTTCAGAACAGGAGTTGTCGGTAGCCGCTACTTCCCTTGATGAAACATAAATCGCAACAATATTTTTTGATTGACCAGAGAATTATATAGGTATGCGATCCAGTGGGCCGCACTTTTGAATCAATAGACATGCTTATCACGCGTAAGGTCATTGCAAGAAATGCACAACGATATGCAGTCCATTGGACCGCAGTCATTTTGAAGGATTTAAATTAAGCATATCATATGATGTTATTCTACGAAAGCATGAACCAAAAAGATCACAATATACCTGAATGTGTATGGATGTGTATGGATGTGTAAGGATGTGTAAGAATGTGTAAGTCAAAAAAAAAATCCACTTACACATGTGTAAACCAAAAAAATCCACTTACACATGTGTAAACCAAAAAAAATCCACTTACACATGTGTAAACCAAAAAAAATCCACTTACACATGTGTAAAAATGTGTAAAAATGTGTAATTTTTTGTTGTGTATGTTCTGTTTTTTTGCAAAATATGATATGCCTTTGCTGTCATATACGCATTTTCTCTCAGCCCTCAGTCAAGATCAAAACTGAAAAGTCTTTAAAAGTTGGAAAGCTGACTTGACATCTCATTTCTTGCCCTTGCCGTTCTTCTGGCGTTTCTTCTTATTGTTGCTGCTGGTGCTGGACGTAGGCTTTGGCTCCATGTCGTTTTTGCCCTTCTCCTCAACCATTTGACGTTTGAAAGGTTCTTGACTTGAACCAGCGGCACCAGTGGTCTCAGCAGGGGCTTCCAACTCGGCAGGACCCTCTCGTGTTGGATTGTCAAAGTGTCCTTGCTTCTTCATCATGATCCACATGGCGTAGTACTTTGCCACCTGGTCTTCCGTGTAGGATGACTCGTCAGGGCTCCTAAGCACAGAGCCATCACTCCTGATGGTGAAGCCACAAGGAGGAGCGTCCTCATGAACGAACATGTCAGTCTTTGGCGGCATGGCTCCTTCTACAAAAGATCAGAACTCCAAGTTCTAAATCTAACTATATGCTATTGAGAGCCTTGGAAAAGCTAGCCAAAACGACCTCATGCTTTTTGAAAGCGATGGTATCTTTTTCATATCCAATAGCTGACATTCTGCAATATAGAGATTCATATTTGGACTTTCAACATTTGCAAGAACCGTTTGAATCAAAAACAAAGCACAGCTGTTTAAGTTGTTACCTGTCTCTTTGGCGGCTCAATGAGCCGCCTTGGTAGTAGCTTTGAGGATTGCACGTTCTCTGGATTCACTGTAATGTAGCTCACAAGATCTGAATTTGATGCTGCAGAGATTTCAGGATCAAAACAAAAAACAGAAGGTGGCAACCTAGCAATGGAACATGTGCCGCATCTCAATGAGCTGACTATGTGGCAGCTGGTGCAAGTTTTGCTGGCGGTGGCAAACGCAATGCAGAGAAGGATGGGCATGGGAGTTGATGGTCCTGAAGTACCACCTGAAGCTCCAGCTGTTCACAATCGCTATGGACGGCGCCATCAGTCCAATAACCAAGGAGGCGAAATTCAGCGTTGCTATGGCATGTGCTGTGTCTGTCAACACCCTTGCGTCAGGCTAGAAAGAGGCCATAAGCACTGCAAGTGTTGGACGCACATGCACACACGATAGGCTGACGCCTGCATGGAAAAAAGAGAGAACACTTCTGCCTGAGTCAGCCTGAGTTGCTGGGTACCAACAATATGTTTTCATTGCTTGAAGCGGCTCATTGAGCCGCTTGTTTAAAAATGAATATATTGTTACCACATCGACCCATATGATAGCCTTGGAAATAAATACATTTTGAGTTTCAAGCCTGTAACACTTTAGATATACAGTAATAAAGTATAAATATTAAGATATTTGATTTAGGACACGATTAGCGGCGCATTGCGCCGCTACGCACTGCTACCCTTGCAACATCTTTGGACTGCTGCGCTCACTCTTTTCATCCCTTTCCATGTTGCTTGTTCCGGTTAGCAACCTGCTTTCCAGCACGTTTGCGAAATTGGTTTCTCACCATCCTTTCGTAGTTTCTCTTCCCGTTGAACATCTCCTAGCAAGCAATGATAGTGGTGGAAGGTGTTTTTTGCTAAGTACATGTAATTACAAGCACATTGGTCCATTTGATGCCCATACTATTTGGTGAAATCTTGTCCAAAGGTTCTGGAAAGAATCAATGAAAGTTTTCTTAAATGAACCAAGTTGCGTAGAATCGACCTTCGTGTTCTGTTCCAGCGAATCCTCGAACTCTGGGAGGAGGTGGCTGAATTTGTACAGCCTGCTTCGGTGGCGGCGGAACCCGTGGAGGTAAGGGCTCAGCCACAGCCTCCCGTGCTGGAGGTGGGGGCGGCGGAGGCGGCAGAGGTGCAAATGAAGGTCCGAACTCTGCAGCAACCTGCTTTGGCGGTGGTGGTGGCGGGCACGCCCTAGCTGCCATAGCTGGCTTGGGTGTTGCGATACAAGGACCACTTGGTGGCGACATAGCTTCGGGTGGGGCTGCCAGATTCTTCACCTTAACTCCTGGAACTTCTGGTGGACGAAGTTGTTCTAAAACAATTCTCAAAGCAGCAGCTGTCAAGTTAGCGGTCAGCTCATCCATCTGTGTAGGAGCTACAGTCGGCTTGGCCTCAACAGCAGTTGCATCCGGAGCTTCTTCTGCTTTGACTTGCGATACGCCAAGTCCTGAACTAGGAACATCATGTCCATCATCGCCCACTTCTTGCTTCACTGCTCTGCGCAAAAGATCATACCTCTTGCGAGCCCAAAGTTTTCGCTGCGTTTCAGCGTCACTTGCTTCAGTGTCGCTATTTTCCATTGCCTTGATCTTCACATTTACAGGCTGTGGCAAAGGCCTCTTTGCCCTTTTCTTTTTGCCAAACTCCTCATTGACCAGCTGCCCATCTGCTGGCCCTGGTGTACTTAAAGCTGATTGCTTCGGTGGTCGGCTGGAGCTACTTTGTGAAGAAGTAGTATGTTCAGCATAGTCCCACGCCTCATAGAAACCCATATAGGTCTCATCTTGAGATTCCAAGAAAGCTTCAACGCGCGCCTTCTCATCCTTGCTCGCCATGTTTGCCACGGCGAGTTGGCTGAAAACCAAAAAACTGCAACAGTAAACAGTTATGTACACAAAACGCGATCGCACGCATGCTCCGTTTCCTACAGCTTTCATTTTGTAAGGGAACATGATGCCATGGTATATGTTTGAAAAAGATTTATAGCGGCCCAGCGGGCCGCTGCAGATCTGTTTTACAATATTACTAATGTTACATTGATTTCATACTTATAGCTGCCCATGGGGCCGCTTCCCTGGATGATATTTCCTAAAGCTTTCATATATTGTAAGGGAACAAAGTACCATGGTATATATTTGAAAAAGATTTATAGCGGCCCAGCGGGCCGCTGCTGATATGTTTTACAAGATTACTAATGTTACATTGATTTCATACGTATAGCCGTATAGCTGCCCATAGGGTCACTTCTCTCTGGATTATATAGGCAGCTCATGAGCCAGAACTTTGAGAAGAACAGAGAACAGCAGCACCAGATCTTTTTTCCCCGTCAATCTGACAAAGCTCAGCGTGATGTGCTTCAAGTGACTTCATGGCCTGCGATATCCTCTTTGGACCCAGCAGGAGTCACAGCAACCAGGGTTGTTTCTACATTTGGAACATCCCTTAGGTCTCAACTGCAATCGCTGCTTCCTGGATGGAACGCGGCCTTTGCAATGCCCAGGTGTCGCTGACACAGAGCTAGAAACCGACTTTGCCGATGGCTTCTTCATGGGACGCAATGCTGCTGCGGGCCTCTTGATGCTCGAGCTGGGCGGTTTGGCAGCAGGTTTTTTCATAGGTCCCTGCTTGTTGTCTCTTTCCCTTTCAGTCAATGCATCCTGAAGCTTCTCATTTGCAACCAAAGCACTTGGAACATCTGGCGCTTCAGGCAACTTCTTTTCAATGGGCACGGGCGCAGTAACGTCATGTTCCTCATTTGCAACCTTTGTAGGCGCCACCATTTCAAGAACATCTTCAGGAGTCTCAGCCGGAGCCGGAGGAAGTGCTGATGAAGGCTGCTGTAGGTCAGGGGGTGGCAGCGCCAGCTGAGCCTTGGGAACAGCCAAACTCTGAGACGCAGCAGGCATAGTCTCAGGTCTTGCCGTTGAAGCCGCTGCCAAAGCAAGTTGCGGCTGTCCAGCATTACCAAAGATCTGCAATCCTGCAATGACTGGTATAAAAAATGAAATATGAAAAGATAACATTCACAAATAGATTTGGCAACCTGCTCCTGGAAGGGTCTCATGTCGAAACTGCTGCATCTGAACTGAGGCCATCTGACTCAGTCCAAGCAATGCTGGATTCAACCCCATGGCATTCATCATGATCTGACGAGATGCCTTTGGGAAGAGCTCCAAGTTCTTGTTGTTACCCCGCTTGGAGATCATGTTTTCAATTTGCCTCAAACCTTCCATTGTCACACCCTGCGGAAACTGTCCCAGGTCTTCTCCTTCACCATAGGCGGCTAGCTTTACTTCCTCTGGAAGAGCACCCACAAGACTTGGCAATGTCCTCAAAGTTGGAGAGGCATTATGCTCCTGCGCTCCCAAGAAATCCTTCGCCAATTTTTTGATATAGAGATATGACGATCTCAATTGTTGGAAGTCACTCAGCCGCTCAGGTTCAGTGAGCAGCATGACAGCTGTGACCATGGCATACGTTGGCTCTGATCCATGTCGAAGGCCTAGGGGATACAACCTGGGCATCACAGCACTCATCTTCTGAGGAACGTGGAGTGATCTGTCCATTACAGCTCGCCAGTCTTGCTCAGTCAAGTACAAGGGGAAGTTGAGATAGTCCTGAAGCTGCATCCTTGCCTTCACAGTTTTGCCATTGATGGTGACCTCCACCTTTTCATGAATCACCTGCAGCAAAGTCTGCCTATGCTGGTCCGTCCAGTGAGCACATTGTTGCACCATGGCCAACAGTGGAGTTGCCTCTTGGATTTCCAACCTGTCCAAGCTCCGAATTTCCGTAACCAAAGAAACACACTGTTCCTCCACAAGTTTGTTGAAATTCGCTGCCCCCTGAAGTTGACTGAGGTAGCCATCAAGGGCTTGAAGCCTTTGGTACGCCATCAGAACGGCAGCTGTTGTTTTTTCTGCTCTACAGCTGAACCAAAACTGAACAGGAAACAAATATAATCATCCATTTTAAACATTTCCACTTCCACTAAAACATCATTCCGTCCCTAAAGGCGGTCCAATGGACCGCCAACATGTTGGAAAACATGTGCAGCTGCTTTGTGTTTCTTCATGTAGCCCCAAAAAGGTATAAATACCCTTGATGTACAGGCGGTCCAATGGACCGCCATACTATTGAAAAGGTTTTTTACACACCTCACATGCAGGAGCTGTGGCCTCATGATCTTTCCAAGGGCCCGAACGCTTTTTACTTCGTATCCATCCTGTTGTCCAAACGAGAAGAGGATAACATATCAACAAAAAGATTCAGAATCACAAAACTTTTCCCGATAGGCTTCTCATAGAGCCGCCTTCCGACAAAAATATCAAAAATAAAAAAATGTGGTTTTAATTCGTTTCCAACCCAAACCTTGTTTTTTATATGTTTTTATTCCAACACAAAAAATAATAGCTTTAAAAATCCAAAAAAAAGTTAAGTTTCCTAAGTTACTTATAAGTTATTTAAGTTGTTTTTTGTTAACTCAAAACAAAATAACTTAAAAAAAACTTACCATCTAGTTTATCTTTGGTAACTACTTACAACTACCGTAAAATAAGATACAAACTTAGCTTACTTAGCTTAGATACACTAGGGTTGTAACTACCTTACAACTAGGTTACAAGTTACTTGCAAGTGCTGTAAACCAAAACCGACCACCAAGCATGGCCGTGGGGAGAACTATCAGCCCTATTTTGAGGGCAATCGGCTGGTTTTTCCAACGGAGCAGGAAGCCGAGTACCCACAGGGATTATGTGAGGCTTATTCCGAAGGAGCGGCCGTGGATCTTGGGCTGGACCACCACGTCCAAGCTGCCCACCTGGAAGCCCGTGGTGACGCCATCCATAAGGAGCTGGCCGCCTACCACCGCTGCGGTGACCCAGAGCTGCGGGACAAAATGGCCAACCAAATCCTGGCCATTGAAAACATGATGACCCCCGGGCAGGAAGCAAAGCACCTTGCCTGGTTGCTGGCACAGGGTCATTATCGGGGATCCGATGTGAGGCTCTCCCTCGAGCACTGCGGGGCAAAGCATCTGGTCCCGTATCCTGCCATGCGATGGTTATGGAGAGAGACTTTATCCTTCAAGTGGAAGGCCGAGGCACATATCAATGCGCTGGAAGCACAGGCGCTTCTGTCACATGTGCGCCGAATGCTACGAGAAGGCACCTTTCGCAGCTGCCGGGTGCTTATCGTGATTGATAGCCAGGTGCTTTATTTCGCCCTCGGAAAGGGGAGGTCGCCATCTACCCAGTTAAATCGAGTGCTTCGGCGCTTGATGGCCATGGAGCTTGCCGCCGACGTCGCACTTTTTCCCGTTTGGACCATTAGCCCATGGAATTGGGCCGACAAACCTTCCCGCAGGAGGTGATGTCATTGCAGTTTGCAGGTCTGAGGGAATCTACGGTGCGAAGTTATCGGCGAGCTCTACAAAAATTCTTTAATTGGGTAGATGAGGAGGATGAAACTTTTCCAACCACCTTCAGAGGTTTGGACAGGTTGCTGAGTCGCTACCTCGAACATATGTGGTTGGATGACGAGCCCATTACCTACGCTGGGCATCTTTTGAGCGGCCTTCGTCGCTACCTACCCGAATCGAGGTGGCGCACTCCCAGGGCCAAGCAATACTTTTCAAACTGGCAGTCAGTGCATGTGGCCCATCAGGCTGCCCCCTTGCCCGCTGAAGCGGTGATGGCCCTAGCGGGGTTGGTGGTGGCTACCGACCAACCACAACTGGCCACGGTTTTTCTCCTAGGCTATCTGGCCTTTCTCCGAACGGGAGAAATGGTAAACTTGTCCACTGCTAAAATAGCAGTGGACTCTGAAAGAGGACGCACCTTGATAGCGCTGCCAGGCACAAAAACTTCTCGCCGGCGAGAGGAGACTGTGTGCGTTTCTGATGATCGGGTGGCAGCGTTGGTTTCACATGTAATTAACTTAGGTTTCACTTCCTTTTGGCATAGTTCCGCCAGAAGTTTTCGGGACATGCTTAAGTGAGTTTTTGTGTTTCTTTTCGTTGGAAGACTTTGGTTTTACTGCTTATAGTTTCAGAAGGGGAGGCGCTTCACATGCCTTCTCCACTGGTGTGGCGTTTGATGAATTGCTTATCAGGGGCAGATGGCAAAATTCTCGAACGGCCCGTTTGTATTTAGATACTGGCCGAGCTGCCCTCATTCAAACTCGTTTTACCCCCCCTGTTTCCCGCCTCCTTTTAAAGTACGCAGTCAAACTGCGCCTTTTTTGCGATCAACTTCGTTAGGGGCGCATGCTTTAGTGGGATAGCATGTGCTTAGGTGGGAAATGTGCCAAGTGGCAAAGGGGGTCTGACTTTGTGTGTACCAGTGAAGGTACCGCCAGGTCGCTCAGGCCTGAGTATGGTGTACAGCTGCGTGTAAAGCTGTAACTAGTTTGGGTACATTCGACGTGACCCACTAGGCACATTTGACAGCCTTGCCCTGACCCGTAAAAGAAGGGCATCTGTGCCTATAGATCCGTGTTTGACTGTAGTGACTTTGGAACGTAAGGAGAATATTTCTATAGGCTTGTGCCTGATCTTTGGGATGCTGATAGCATCTGTGGCTCCCGCCTCCCTCCCCTAGCGCCTGCGTGTTTGCAGTGTTCCGTCCCAGGGTCTCCCTGGTAGGGGGGGGTGTGGCTGCCCAAGTGGCAAAGGGGGTCTGACTTTGTGTGTACCAGTGAAGGTACCGCCAGGTCGCTCAGGCCTGAGTATGGTGTACAGCTGCGTGTAAAGCTGTAACTAGTTTGGGTACATTCGACGTGACCCACTAGGCACATTTGACAGCCTTGCCCTGACCCGTAAAAGAAGGGCATCTGTGCCTATATATATATATAATGATAATAGCCTATACAGATATATCCACATTCCTTGTGGTGATTAAACCCCCCATCAATCCTTCAGATGGCTTGGGTCATCCGTTCAGGTGCTTCGTACTGGAGAATGTGGAAGGCATCAAGTCTGTGGCTCGGAAGCTCCCAGGGTCCAGGTGACACGGTGACCTTTAATGGTTGACAATGGTTAGTGGCGATTCATGGTGACATATGGTGACTAATGGTGATTAGTGGAACATAGTGGAAATATCAATAGGATTTGTAACTAATGGATAGTGTTTTATGAATCATCTATTGGAATATAATATATATTTGGAATGTTTTGGATACTTCCGGTGCCATCAAAGATGGCAACTGGAAAATCCTCGATTTTTGGCCATGGAGGTTGGAATGGAAAATCATTGAACTAAATGGTGGATTTTCCAGCAAGCCATGTGACTGATTACCAGAGGGTTATAATCGTTCCATGTGGGGCATTCTCCTCTCCACAGTCTCACAGTTTCGAGGAGCAACGAGGCGCCTACCTGGGGTATTCAACCCTGCCACTGGATGTTTTCGTTTTTCCCATAAACATGTTCATAATACTTTCATAATTGGAGACGTTAGACAGATTGATTTAGTTGCAGCCAGCCATGCTGTTGGAGTACCAGAGCGTAGCTTCCTTGTGGGTAAGTCACGATCAGCAGGATTCATTTACACTGCCATTTCCATGTGAGACTTGCAGCATCGTCCCATCCCACTTGGTGACATTTAGTGTATTTATAACATTGATTAGTAAAATATAGTAACTTATCTAGCCATATCTAGCCCCTGAATGCCTGGCTGGGAAATGTTGAGAGAGTAATGGCCCGGTTCACAACAGCCTAAATGTTGGAGACGTCGTCCGTTGGGAGACTCGCCCAGGAGAGCTTCCCCGGCGGTCGTGGCATTGACGAAGTGCTGAGGCAAAAGGGCAGTCGTACGCTCTAAAAAGGCGACTCTTTTGATTTCATGATGATTGATAGAGTCTGATAGAGGGGTCAAAAGGGATCTTTGAGAGGCACATTTTTTTCGGGCGCGGTCATGATGTTTTTGTTTGGTGCACGGCGAATTTCACATCAAGACGTGATAGATTTCTTCAGGGATGCATGGTCCACATGCAGGCCCATCCACGTGTATAATTCCATATAATTCCATCCCCCCAGCAACTCAGTATTGAATGCTGCCCCCCCCCAAAAAAGGAATCCAATGCGAAAGACGGTTTTGAGACGGTTTTGCGTATTGAGGGATCAAGTACCCTCCGGCAATGAAACATGGCTTGCTGGACCCCGATAGATGATTTTTCCACTAAAACCTCCATTTACATCCATTTATAGTTGTGTTTTCCATTAAAACCTCCATTGATAGATGATTTTCCATGATTTTCCCATATTTTCCCTCCTTTTACAGGCGGGATTTTCTATGTCTATCATCCGGCTGTCCCCGCAGCTGCCAGACGCCTGAGAGAATCGGTTCCCACCTTCAAAATTCGGTGCCTCGCAAGCAGCGGCACGTGGGTCATGTTGGTCATGTTGGTCCAGCAAAAAGCCGACGTTTTTGTTGAGACATGAATTTGACCCGGCAGAATTTTTTGGATTTCCAGGTGTTCACCCACTTTTTCCCACCAGTTGTCCTATGATTTTTTTCTGGGTCCACTTGATGGGCAGGATTTACGACATGAACTCGCAGGACGCCTGCGGGGTCAGCATCCGGATGCTTTGGAACAAATCACCCCACAGATGGTGTTGTGTTTTTTTTCGCCACTCCGCAAAAAAGATACCATGATCATGAAAAGAGTGTTGTTTCTGTGGTACTTGTGTGTTCCATGATGTTCCATGTCTTATGGGGTCAGTAAATAGCCCGCAGATGAAATTGGGATCACCCAGATGTTCTCAGGATGGCTCAACCACCGGCGCAGTTCCCTCACAAGGACTACTCACTGCCCCAAAGCAGGGCACGAGTGTACATTGTGGGGGTGCACAAATCCTTGGAAGTGCCCCTTTGGCTGCAGAGCGGGACAAACTGATTGATGTCAAGAATTGCCGCAAGAATTCCGTGAAAACTCGACTTTTTCAGAGGTCTCCTGCATAGTCCCTTCCGATTTTGTAGCGCTACTAGATCCATGTAGATCTACAGAAATCCGATCTGACCCAGCCGCATCCCCAAGTCGCCCGAGGCGAGGGCGCTCCTTCTGCACGCCGTTTGGGGGCCTGGAAGCCATGAGACACCTGGTAAAGCCAATGGAACACGGGAACACATGGAGAAAACCTGAGAAACGCACATTTCTTCACTAAGGTTTTTTTTTGGGGGGGGATGTTGCTAAAAGCCTCAAACCTTCACACCACTGGTTTTGAAACTGTATAAATGTTCAAGTGGCAAAAGTGGATAGAGGTTAAGGTCAAGCAACCAGGGGCATTGAGTCAAGAACTAATGACCCTATTCCGCTATATGAACAAACATAGGGATCATTGGGACTGAACTTCAGCAAAAGATGGATCATGATAGACGCGGAACACGTAATACACCTGCCTCAAAAATCACCCAAATCACAAATCCACCTGGAACAACTTCTGCAACTGGGACCACTTGGAAGTTTTCAAGACTGCTCAATTTCTTGACGCCCTGGCTGTTGGGGATCGAGGGTAGCCATGGCTGTTCCATGTGCGCCGGGATTCGATCGGCCACTTGGCTGCGATTTGCCACTAGTATGCAATGAAGGTTGATGAGAACTCTAAAGAGATGATATGAAACCTGGTGGTTACTGTTGGTAGGTGAAGAAACCATTACATATAATCTATCATTATATTATACATATTTAGATGACAATATATATAGATGATCATAGATGACCATTATGAAGAGCTATGAATGAAAATGCATGGAGATAAATCCATTTTATGTATATCATTAGGTTCGTTTTAACCAATAGCCATTGTAATCAATATAATATAGCAGTATTATAATCATTGTAATCATTAATGATGTTCATGATTACAATGGTTTGCATGGTTTCGGTAAACAAACTATCATCATATCACATATCGTAATGTTTATCATTCAATAAGCCATGTTCTATATGTTAGTTCACCATCGGATATTTCATACGTTGGTATATTTTGGTTGCTATTCGATAAACATATATGATAAATCCGGCGTATCCTCCCCAGCAATGTCAAAAAACAAAGTATGGAAAATCACTATTTTCATAGGTAAATCAACGATATTTGGCAATTTTCTATAATTTTCTATAGCTTTTTGTCATGTTTACCGGCTGAACCAAGGATGGTTTCGGCCTGGCCCCTTGTGTCGCTTCCTTGTCGCGTCAGCGCCGCTGGGCCGCCGCCCTGGAGGTTTCGCACCAGGCGCGGCAGGCGAACGTGGGACACAACGTGTTTCTGGCCAGCGCCTGCAGCTCGGCGGTCAAAGGGCTGGGGAAAAACATGAAAAACTTACTGGTGCTTAGTAGGGAATGGGGGAATGGGATGATGATTAATATAGTTATTATTGATTAATATAGTTATTATTGATATACTTATTGAATTTATTGATCATTCCCCCATTCCCTGCTAAGCACCAGTAAGAAAATCGGTGCCAAACATCTAAAAACGATGTTTTTCGTGGGAACCTGATGGGAAAATGATGTAAACATGATGGGAAATATGTAGGATAATGTTGGAAAAATGATGGGACAGTTCATCGTATACACCATTGAAATGGAATTTTGCGAGCTAAAAATGGATGACTGGTTGGTGGCTTCAAACATGTTTTATTTCCCATAATATATGGGGATAAGCCTTCCATGGTTAAACCCACCGACCAGATGAAATCCATGATCTTTTTCACGAGAAAAAAATGGAAACAGTATGAGGTGAAGGGTTTGCCATCAAAAATTGCGATGGAAAAAAAACACAGCTGGAAATTAGTACCCAAGGATGTACAGAAGGTGAATGAGCCAACTGGTCAAGGATAGGTGAAAAGTTGGATGGGTGGATGAGATACCCTCTGGTAATTTAACATAACTATGGAAAATCACAATTTTTCATGGGAAAATCCACTATAAATGGCCATGTATCACCATTTTTAATGGGAAAATCCACTATAAATGGCAATGTATCACCATTTTTAATGGGAAAATCCACTATAAATGGCCATGTATCACCATTTTTAATGGGAAAATCCACTATAAATCGCCATGTATCACCATTTTTAATGGGAAAATCCACTATAAATCGCCATGTATCACCATTTTTAAGGGGAAAATCCACTATACATGGCCATTTTCAATAGCTATGTTAGTCATTACCAGAGGGTATCCAGCAGTGAACGGGGACATCACCGGGTTTTTCATCACCATCCGCGCCCAGGTCTCAATGCAGCAGGTGGAAAGAGCTGGCAGCTGGCAATTCAACTGTTGGAGGCGCTGAAGATGCAGTTCTCACGGTTCAAGGTGATTTGAATATATTATAATTATATATATAATATTATATAACTATTATATATATAATTATATAATATATAATATATATATATATGTGTGTGTAATGTAATGTCATGTCACGTCACGTCATGTCATGTAATGTAATGTAATTTATATATGTAATGAAATGTCATGTCATGTCATATAATGTAATGTAATGTAATGTAATGTAATGTAATGTAATGTATATAATGTAATTATATGTATGTGTATATGTTTATATAGAATTATATATATATATTATATGATGTGATATACATATTGTACCACCCTCAACTAACATAGACCCTGCCAAATAGGGGGCTGGAGGACTAGGTTGCTCCCAGACACTAAGCATCGGTTTGGTGGGGTATGGTAACCATGGGAACAACCCCAAACCTATTTTTGGTTGATTGACTCCCAGTTGTGATAGGTTGACACACATTCTGTCCCTGGTTGCTTGCCGACTTTTCGGTTGGTGAAAGAACCTTCTCTCTCTCTCTGTCTCCCTTTGTGGCATAAAAACACGTGATGATAACCCTGCAGAGAGATTGCCGCTGAATTGGATCAATCAGATACCACGTCAACAAGCGTTTGCAAACTACATTAACTACAATTGTATACATACAGTGCATCAATATGTCTCTGGTTGGTGGTTTCAGACACTTTTTATTTTCAATAATATATGGGATGTCATCCTTCCCATTGACGAACTCATATTTTTCAAGATGGTTAAAACCACCGACCAGATGAAATCCAGGTCTACATCTACTACTTCAATCTGCTTCATGTGTCAGATCCCCATGGCATGATGGACACCTTGGCAGGACGTTGTCACCTGGCGCCTGCGCCCGGATGCGCACGTCTTCGCCTCCCTGAGCTCCTGCTGTGCCCAGGGAAAGCAGTGGATCCAGGCCGGGTGATCCGATCCGATGAGGTTTAATGGTTTTAATATGGTTTTAATTTATAATGGGGTTTTAATATGGTTTTAATATGGTTTTAATATGGTTTTATAATGGGATAATGATGGGATAATACTGGGATTATGATATACCTCCGGTAAACGTGTCACATAGCTATTGAACATATGGTGATTTATCTAACTAATTTTCCCATTAAAACAGTGTGATTTTCCATAGTTATATACCTGAGATTTCGAAAAATCAATCAAGTTCTGATGTTCCATCTCGTTTCCCCATAGATTACCCATATGAGTTTCAATGATTTAACGGCGTTTCACAGATTTTCCTGTTAGTTTCTCAATATGTGTACCTTCCCATATTTTCATATATTTTCCCCATTGCTTTAATAATAGTGTTTTCCAAAATTGTCCTAATGCTATGTGTTTTAATAGATTTTGCACATTTATCATCATTTATCCAATGATTTTGCCATAGTCTTTTCCCTCCACACTACTTATGTTCACTTATGTTCACATAAAAGGGAAAAAAAACATGGGATAAACTTACGCAAACTATGGTGGGTAGTAGTGTCTTATGGTGTTCATTTACTGGTTTTCCACCTTTCCCATCCGTTTTCCCATCCATTTTCCGCACCTCGGTGTCAGGCGCAGGCGCTGCTGGTGCAGCAGCTCCGCCAGCTGCTGCAGCTGACCTCGGTGGCGCGGAACGTGCTGGCAGCCGTGGTGCGGTGGAGGGAGGCTATGAGGCCCGGCTGCTGAGCTTGGTGAAACTGCTGGATTTTCCAGTTTTGAAGAGGTTTGATGTAGAATGGAACAGATTGATATAGCTCATACTGCACTATCACTAGAAATTGCCTTGGCTTAGAGGTTTCCGATATTTTTCCCAGGTTTTCCCAGACATTTGACGTTGGTTTAGGCGTCATTCTCGCTGCGATGAGGGACGTATCTGCAGGCTGGTCGACTACGAGGAACCAATGCCAGACCAGATCTTGAGTCTCGTTTCCAGCGGCTCGGTCAGCTGGGTGGCTGACTATAATCTATAGCACCAATATAAAGATAGCACTATTATAACCTTTAGGGAAGGCTAGGAAAATGGAACATGCAAAACTAGGTGGCAAATCATGTTTTGATCTTTTTGGGGGTTGCTATGCCATGCTATGCCGTATTTTGCTATGATTTGCAGGGAAACCCCCTAAATAAATAGATAGCAGATTAGATGGCCTTCTAAATGGTGACAACCTTCCTTTTTTTGCATCCGGTGCCGACTGGTAGAGATTTACTGTAAAGCTTCAAGTTGTCCTATTTTTTACAATTATTCACGGGTACAGTTTTTTTCGTCCAGGCATGTCAGCCTCAAAGCAGGCCAAAAAACATTTTTTGGAGAGAGAGAGAGAGAGAGCTGCAATGTTCACCTCATCCATGTCATGTGGGCAAATCCTTTGAGAAACAAACATGTCATATTTTTTCGCCTGTCCCCTTTGATAACTCATCTCACAGTCTCCATTGTCGCTGATTTGGATCTCACCAGGACAGGAAGCAAGTTCGGGAGATGTGTTTTACCAAGTTCTACCCCCCCAAAGGAAGAGAAACGATGTGAATCCCAAGATATCCCAACCCTATGGATCCAGTCGTAGCTTCTTAGGAAGTGGGACTGGGGTATAATTTACTATAATTTGGAGGGTTAGCCGTACCTTCTCAGACAGTGTTTGGATCCATAGGGCAAGATATCCAGATATGGGGGTGGGTCAAAACCTATTATTATCAATTCTAATGGGATGAACATCCATTTACCAGCTATTTTGGGGTTCACTAGGTGCCAGGGTTTTGACCAATAGCCATATCCCAAGTGTGGTCGGACCTCAAAAAGGTCTGAGCACTTCCAACTGCTGGCGCCGCTGCCTTCCGCTGCCAAGCTCACGCGACTGCCGAAATCGCGGCTCCAAGGAGCTGGCAGCGATTAATGCCTGGGCCGTAGGGCGGCTGTGGGTCCAGCTATTGAGGGAACAATAGACTTCAATAGGCCTACAAAAAGGCCTACAAAAAGGCTGGAAAAATGATTTATTTTAATTTTTCAGGAGTTCATCCTCCCAACATTTGGTGGTTCTAGGGCCCTGTAAGGGCCATTTTTTTGAGCCGGGGAAATGAGGGGAATCCTGGTGTGCCCGCCGCAGCTGAAAGTGATTCTACTTGAAGAAGGAAAAGGACTATGTAGAGAAGCCGCCCCGCCCAAAAAAAAAACGGCTTGGCTGGTTAGAAAATCCATGAAAATTCACTTTCTTGTTCCCTTCAAAACAACTATTTTTCCTGTTTGCGTTCCCACTTGGCTGGTGGATTCAAGCCTTTGGGTATTTTCAATCCATGCTTGTAATGATGATCCCTAATAATTCATATTCTTGGTACGGGCTGACACCATCAATCCTTGGATTGCTAGAGAAAACCCACAGGAAACATCAATTTTTGGATGGAAAAAAAACTGTGTCCCTCTAGGTTTTCCATGGTTTTCTATAGGCGTTCTCTCGATGATCCCAGTAAATCAGCCGTACCTCCCATGACTTTCGTGATGGCTACAATCATTGATGAGGCTATCGCCAGCTGCTGTGTGCAGACTTCCCAGTGGCGAGAAGCATTGCGCATCATTGTGGAGTGCCAAGGGGTCCAAAAAGTGGACACCATTGGCTTCTTGGCTACTTCCCCTATGGATCCAAGTAGCTTCTTAGGAAGTGTTTGGGGTATAAGTTACTATAATTTGGAGGGTTAAGTACCTTCTCAGACAGTGTTTGGATCCATAGGGTTCAGCATGTTTGAACATGTTTTAAGCAACAAAAATACTGGGCTGACGCCAGGATGATCCCAAATAACTAGTCCTGGGCATGGTGACTCCATCGGAGGCCTCAACATCGCCATCTGTGCAGATGGCTTCAACGTCTTGGGCTGGCAGAGGGCAACAGGAACTCTGCAGACAATGTCTCTGCAGCGAACAGATGCAGCTCGTCGAAAAACTTGCGGACGCAACAGGGTGCCTTTTGGAAATCTTTGGAACCATGCTTGGAAAGGTCTGGTACCTTTCCAATCTGAAGGTCAGGCCCCAGCTTTGTACTTACAGAATCAGGGAGTGCGACCTACTCACTGAATTTCAAGTTTTTTTTTAAAGGCGAGAGCTTCCTGTACTTGGTCTCCACGATGCATTTGGGTATATTCTGGGTGTTGCGGAAAACCATCATTGAAACCATCATTGTTTCCCAAATATGATCATTGTTTCCAATATCATATATCTAAATAATATCATTAGTTGGGCCTAAACAAAACAAATTAATCACATTATCCAACATTATCACATTATCGCCATGTTATGGTATATTATTGGTGTTATGGGAGGCATTATCTATCGTTATCTGGTTGGTGGTTTGGAACATGTTTTATTTTTCCATATGTTGGGAATAATCATCCCAACTGACTTTCATATTTTTCAGAGGGGTAGGTATATGACCAACCAGTTACCCATTGTTTCCCAAATATTGTGGATCATTGCAGAGCTAGATCCAAGGCCAGCATCGCGTCCTACAACACGCTGCTGGCGCAGCACGCTGCGGCAGAAGAATGGCAGCAAGGGCTGCGGCTGCTGGCGACGAAGGAGGTGATCGGAGGGTGATGCCCAGCGGCGGGGACAATGGGTGTTTATACAGGGAATTATGCTGAGTTTTATTGAATTTTAGGCAATATGTAATTACACATGTAATCATCATTTAATAATATTTATATAATGAGTTAGTTATATTGAGTTACATGTTTGTGCGTAAACACAATAAACATGGGGGGTCTATGATATTTTATGATTGCTTAATAGGGGTTCACAATCGGGATGTCATTTCATGGTAGGCAGAAATGGTGATAGGATTTCATAATGGGTTTGCATGCCAAATACGCATATATGTGTATATGTTCATGTATTTTACCTATATCTATTGCAATAACCAACTATGGTTCCTGAATAGTTGGATATGTGATGACATATGATAACATAATATCATGCGGCGCAGTATGCATGCACGTTTCTATCACCAATCAGCGACATCCGGGTACCAGGTTGATGCTTTGTCATTCAGCAGCAGCATGTCAGCATGTCAGAGAGCCCTGCAGTGGAGTAAGGTGCAGTGAGGGGTCGCAGGTGAGCGAATGGCTAAAGTACTCAAGCAGGCTATCTGAATTCACACAAAGGTCTCTGCGGCAACCGAACCTGTCACTGGAAAATCACCAATTTGTCCATTGATAGATGATCTTCCTGTGCAAAACAACGATTTTCCTGCTAGCCTGGCAAGATGTGTAGCTGGGACAACCAATCAAATCTCAATTCGTTCTTCTTAAAATACTTCTCGATGACTTCAATTCTCAAAACCCAATTTTTGTTCCGGAGTTACATATAGATATTTGTTGTTTTTCATGGTGCACCCCAATGTTTATAGATGTTTATCCACTTTGAACGGTTGCCCCCACGGCATCTTCGCCTCCAGGTGCTCACGTTGCTACGCAGGATGGCCAGCTGGGCCCAACAGTGTGACCTCGTCTGCCTGAACAGCGCCGTGGCGGCAGCGCCCTGGCGGAGCGCGGTGATGATGGGAAGTGCCGAGAGAAGGTGCCTGGATTTGCCGGAAAATCCCATGGAACCATGGGAAAATGGTGGTTTAATGGGATTTAATGGGATATAACCTCTGGTAATGACTAACATAGCTATTGAAAATGGCCATAGGAATAGTGGATTTTCCCATAAAAAAAATGGTGATTTTCCATAGCTATGTTAAATTACCAGAGGGTATAGCACCCCCACCAGAAAAATTGTGATTTGAGATGTTTAGCGTCGAAAATGGTGGTATTATGGTGATATTATGAGGATAAGACTGGATAGGTGATGATTATAGATGATTATATATACTGTAGATGATTATAGCAACCCCCACGAGATAGAAACCTATAGAGTCATGACAAGTTTAGTAGGATTTGACTTGTCTATACCTTCATGGTTTTTCTTCTTTTTCTTGGTGGGGTTGCCATAAAGGACACCAGTACTTTCTATGGCCCCAAAAAGGGGGCTTGTCCCGTTTTAACAAACCAAGTATGGATTTTACCCAAGTGGGTTGTGAGCCGGGCGAGGAATCTGGTGAGACTGACATATGCTGGAAAATGATGCAGTAGAAAATTTGTTATATTGTTGTGTTTGTAAATGCTACCCATAGCATGTTTGCGTGGGTGGCACCAGTATGCACATATATTGTCGGCTCTGTAATATACATCATACACAATCATACACATACTCGTGCATTCATGTACCGTATATGTGCAGCACGTGTGCGGACAATTGAGCTTCTTCAGGCTCATATGCAACTGCGGAAGTAGAGAAGTTCAAATCTTTTGTGTTTGATGACCTATCCGACCTATCCAATGCACCCAAAGATTTTGTTTTTGCTTTATCCCCTTCAATTCCTGGGTGGGAATGGGAAGATCATGGAAGATCCAAATAGTGGAAATGAGGAAATGTGCTTGAAAATTTCCAAGCTCTGGCTGCAGGTTACCCTTAGACGAGATCACTTATAGTGAGACCTTGACTCTCTGCGCATCTGCCAAGCAGTGGCTGGTGGCTGAAGTCTTGTTGGCACAGATGCCGCTGGAAGCTTTCCCCGAACGCTTGGCAGATTTTCATCGAAACCATTTGAATAGCAATGATGGACATGTTTTTCAATCCAGGACATGCCATTTTTTCAGATGTTTTCTCATTTAAGATTATTTTTTATATATGATATATATATAATATATTAATATAATATAGATGTTTCCCTCGATGATTACGGCAAAGTTTACGGGACATCTCTCTGTGTTTCTTCCTGTTTTTCGGAATTGATCCAATTCCGGGAGATTTTTTCATTGGCTCAGCGAGTTGTTGGGGGGGCGAAAAATGGCTGCGTTTGGCTGATTTTTGGCCCATAGCCTCTGGTAATTTGTTGGAAAATGACCCATTTATAGTGGAAAATCGGCTATCAAATTTAACATAGCTATTGATAATGATCCATTTATAGTGGATTTACCCATTGAGAATGGTGATTTTCCATAGTTATGTTAGTTTACCATGCCATTGAAACTTTGGGTCAGTAAGAACTTCAGCTCATCAGCTTTCAGATCAGTGTTTCAGCATTTGTACTGAAACTCACCTTCAAGTTGGTTCATGAAGATCTGATGATCGCCTCATTGTGTAGGATGTTTTGCTTCAACCCCCGGCTCAACTGCAGGAGACCCTGCAAGCCGATTGGTGGTGCTTCATTCCAGTGCTGCAGTCCTTCGCTGGGAAGCCACTGTGGTGCCTCAGTGATGAGCAAATTTCTTCGCTTCCGGGAAAGTCAAATGTTACCCAATTCAACGCATGAACCATCAAAGATTCATAGATTCATAATGATTCATAGATGTTTATTGCGCTAATGGTAAACCACCAGTAGATTCCATTGAAATCATTGGGAGTTTTTTTTTTTGACTGTTGATGCGATTCTTCCAGCAATGATCTGGGTGTCGTCCAAGTTCTTGGGGAAAACAGAGTCATGGCTTGAACAGTCGGGGAAGCATCGTCTCATCGTCTCAGTGGCTTGCAACAGGATGTGCATTCCGTTTTTGCGAGCTGGACAACAACCCATTTGGATCCATTTGGCTACATAATGCTATGTACTGTGTATATATATATACACATTATATATATATATATATTTATTTATACATAAATTATATATATATATATTCAATATATATATACATATATATATAAATATATACATATATGTATGTATGTAATGTAATGTAATGTAATGTAATGTAATGTATGTCGAACCGGAACAGTATGATCAAACAAGCAAAACCAATCAAAACTGTAGATCAACGGGGATTCACGCAGGCAGGCAGGCAATTGTTTTCTGGGCATGCGATCGAGTGCGCTGACGTCAGCTTGATAAACAAAAAGGCGAGGTTGATTCATGTCTATGCCAACGCATGCTGCTCTACTGAATGTTTCACATTGAGAGAAAAGTGTGTCGCCTTTTTGGCCGACTTCATGCGGGCTGCACGTCTCAACCTTTGAGCCTTTCGTAAACCGGCTCGGTGCTGTTCCTTGATCAAATCATCAGGAGCGCACACAAGACAAATGAGACCTGAACGTTTCAAATCTCTCAAAAGCTGTTGCTCCATCTCCTTTGTGAGGCCATCTGCTAGTTGCTTGAATGTGGGTACCCATCTCAACTGTATCTGATCTTTTTGTATCAGATCTTTCACTTGCAGAATATCCAAAGCAGTTTGGCGTTCGTTCGCCATGTGTCCACATTTCATGCAGTGATCATAGAGACTACGTGCATCCGTGACCAAAAAACCAGCTATGTTCAACTCACTTCTCCATTCTGTGGAAGGTTGCGTGATGCCATTCCATAGGGCATCCCAGAGCAAACGATTGAACAACTGCTTATCGGCACATGATGACATAGCGCAGCTTTCAGCTGCCATAGAGCTCTTCACTACGCGTGACACTTTGTTGCTGTGATATTCTACCAGATTAGATGCCGTTGGACTCTTCAAAGATTCCTTGCTGGTGATCAAATGGATCTCTCCCTGTTGGGCTGCTAGCTCACTTTGTTTTCCCAGAGATGCATCAAAGAAAGAGACAAATATAGGTTCTCCAGAAATAGGTCTATACTGTATCTTTGCCTCTCCTCGGGCTGCTGCTTGTTTCATGTCGTTGAGAATCTGGATAGCCTTCTTCATGTCTGCATGTGTTGCCTTCGTGACTCTCTGGGCAAGGTGGCTAACCATGTACATGTACTCTGGCATGACATGCTGTGCAGGCCAACGCATTTGCATGATCACTCTGCGGAATGCTGTGACTTCCGATGGGTTAAGAAGATCTTTGTCTTTTCCTACCTGTGCTGGTGCTTGGATGTTCTGGACGTAAATCGTCATGTCATCGGTCAAGATGGAATTGGTGCAAGTCATGTCCATCCCCAGGTATGTCACAGGTTTCTCTCCAACTTGCTTCCATTCTTTGATGTTGAAGTTCTCGTCGATCCTTTTGATGAGCTCCTGGAATTCAGGATGTTGGAATTCTCCCGCGACCAAACCATCGTCCACATGGACGCAACAGGCTGCTATCACCTTCCCTTTTTTGTCTTTGTAGATGAAGGTGCTTCTAGCAAAAGGAAGCTCAGTCATTCCTACCTTCTGTAGAAGTTCTACGGCTCGTAGATACCAGAGTCTTGGCGCCTCAGCTAGTCCGTAGGCTCCTTTGACAATTCTCAGAAGCTCATATGGTTGGATGGTCTGCATCCCTTTTACTGCAGGCAATCCTTCTGGTGGTGCTCTGACGAAAACCTGTCTCTGAGTTTCTTGACCTGATAGGAAGGCTGTGCTCACATCAAAAATGTAGAGCAACCATCCTTTGGTGATGGCTATGGTCTTCACAAGTCTCACTGCGATGGGACTTGTGGTGGGTGAGTCTGTTCGGTACCCACCAAGCTCCGGGTCCAGGTGACCTGGAACCACCAGCCGACTCTTTGGTTGGATCTCCTCATTTGGTCTTCCTTTGTTTACCCTCACCATTCGCAAGGGAGCCCGGAAGATCATGTGGTGAGGAATGCTCCTTGCTTCCTTTGGGTCTAATCTCTTCAGCACCTGGTTACCTACCCAGGATTGCCACTCTTTCTCATCTGCCTTTCTGAATATCTTCTGTTCTGCCTCATCAAAATGTTTTGGGTCTAACTCTTTGCCGCTGCTTTTCAGCTTCAGCAGTAGGGCTTCTGCTGCTATGGCTGTCTCGTTCTCTCTTTGAACGAAGTGTTTCCACCCCTGCGTGTCTTCCATGGGTCCTTCATAGGTTTCTTCTCCTATCTGTATGTATGCCTTCTTCTCATCTTTCTGTGTTCTCTGTGGTCTGTAGAAGAGGGTCATTCCTCTCCATTTGTGGCTAGTGCTTCTGCTTGGTGCATCTGCAATCTGGTCTTGGGTCTCGAAGCATATCTGTGCCTCTCCTCTCTTTTCACCGATCATCACGGTGATACGTCCTCGTCTTTCTCCTTTCTTGGGAGGTTTCTGGAACTTCTTTCTGGGCTGTCTGTGCACTCTCACAGCGCATAGTGGTAGGTCTGTGATCTGGCTCAGTCTCTTCACTTCAGACCTCTTGAGCCATTCGTTCTTCTTCTGTCCTCGGGGAACTTCTCTTCCTGCCTTTGCTGCCAATGCTTGTGCTATCTCCTGTTCCATGACCACGTTCTCTACGTATGTCATGAGCTGCTGTGTGATGACCTGCTGCTGTTCCTCCTGGGCTGGTTCTGGCATGTTCTGTCTTGCTTTCTTAAGGGAGATGGGAACATCATCTAAGAGTGCTTTTCTCTTTGCCTGTCTCTGCCTCTGTACTTCCTGTTCCCGTCTGATGTAATCATCTTCCTGTTCTGCTACATGCTTCCAGAACTCTTCCTCCTCTTCTCTGGTCATCTCTGCTCCTTCTTCTACCGGAGTGCCAGGAGAATATCCTTCTGATATTTCTTGCTGGTCATCCTTTGTCTTCTTCTTTGGTCTTCTTGGCTGTCTGAGGTTGTACTTTCTCTTCAACATAGGCTCTTTGATCACGCTCTTCATGCTCTTCAGGCCTCTCATCAAGTCCTTTGCCTCTTTCCGGGACCTGCCAAATCGCCCTTTCTGTAGGATCGTTCCATCTGTCCTCCATTCTCTCTGATTCTTGTCTTCTTTGGCTTCTGCTTCCTTATCCCAGTCTCTGGGAATTTCTTGGTGCTCTTTTGTGGCAAGGTCTTTCTCTTCGAGCTCTTGCAGCTCCTTGAGTGCCTCTTTGCTGTCTTGAGCTTCCTCAACTGAGCTTGCTCTCAGATTGGCTGCTGCCACCAGTAGACACCGTCCTCGCCAGCTGATGAAATATCGGCCTTGGCTTTCTCTTGCTATGATGATGGCGGGACCTCTCCAGACTCCAGGATCTTTCTTGTACCTTTGCCCTTTTGGTGGTGGTACCCAAAAGTAGACCTTCTCTCCTGGAATCATGTCCTTAATCATGGTTCCCGGTCTCCTCTGCAAGGCATTCTTCAGCTTGTTTTGTGCATCTTGGTGCAAGAGTGCTCTCTTTGCACATGCTCTCATCTCGGCTTGTCGAGCTACCTCTGTGTCTGTGGACAATGCTTGTCCCAGTGTTGTGCTGGTGTGTGCTTCATCATCCAGAAGGTCTGGAAAGTTGCTCTGTTTGCCAAAGACTAAGGCGTTTGCTGAATATCCACGTCTGCTGACAGTGGAATTTTTGGCTTGTACTGCTGCTAGAAGGGTGTTCTTCATCTCTTCTCGCGTGGTGACCTTATGTTCAAAGATCAATGCCGTCCACGCCACCCCTAGTAGGGCTCCATGTCTCTCTGCTAGAGAATTTTGCCATGCTGCGTAGGAGCCGGTCACCCTGGAGAGTACTCCATGTTCCTCTAACATGGAGATGAAGTCTTTTTCCCACTCTCCTCCTTGGTCCATCACGACCTCTGTTGGCACTCCAAAAAGGCTCAGCCAACATTGCATCAGCTTTGACGCCACGTGACGAGGATCACGATTCTTGAGGAGACTGGCCTGGTGGTAGTTTGTAGCACCGTCCACTACCGAGAGTGCTACATAGAGTTTCTTCTCTGCATCCTTCATATATTTGAGATCTATGTGTATGACCTCGTTGAAAGCCACCGGTCTCATGTTGCTCCTCTGGTTTCTTGGTCTTGGCGGCATGGAGATTGATTGGCATGTGGGGCAGTTCAGCCTGGGCACTTCGTCCACAAGCCACTTCTCTGCTCCTGCCAACCGAAGCATCCTCATCAATGCTTCTGGTGAGGGGTGTCCCAGGCGTCTATGGAGCAGTTCTAACTGTCCCATCTTTCTCTCTTTGTATTCTTCTTCTTGTTCTCCTCTCTTCTGAACTGCCGGCACTTCCTGTTCTTCTTGTGCTCTATCTAAGAGCTTCTCTATGTCTTCTTCTTCTGGCTGGACTTCTCTTGTGTCTTCGAATCTCTCTTCTGGAAGTGTTTCTGCTGCTGTATAGGTGCATGCTTCTGTTGGCTTCCTCAGAAACTTCTCTGCTCCTCTGAGCACTGCCTCTGAGAACTTTCGTGTGTATCCTCCGGCAAATTCTGAGAGTCGGCACCACCTTCCTCCTGTCTGTACCATGCCCATAACTGGGGCATGATCGTGTCCGCCGTGACACGTCTTGCAGCATTCTTCCAAAATCTCCTCCTGTGCTGCCAACCTCGTAGGTTTCTTCAGGAAAAGGTGTTTCTCATCGGGCTTCTTGAGGCCATGTTGGCACATGTGTGTAATGCCATGAGGGAGTCCCTCAAACGCCTTAATGATAGGCTCTTCGTCCCATGCTTTGGACGTCTGGGGGTTCTCTCCTAGGACAGCCTTGCCTCTCATCCTCTGTCTTCTCACGGCTTCTTCTACAAAATTGAGAATCTCTCTCTCTTCTTGTCTTCTTTCACCCAACTCTAGGTGGTCTTGCCAGGTCTTACAGCTGAGTTGTTGGAGAATGCTCCAATATCGGCATGGCCAGGCAATCACCAACAGGTCTGGATCTACTTGGTCCAAGTACCTGAGTGCTTCATGCTGTTGTTGCTTGTCTTTGATGTCCCATCTTGGCAGTGTGATCGGCTCAAAAGCTTGCCAACCTCTCTCGGCGGCACAAATGCTGATCATGCACGTCCATGTGAAGATTTCCAAAACTCGAAGGGGTCTTCCTTTCGTTGCTTCCTTCTTCTTGTTCTTCCAGCCTGGCTCCTTTGCCAGGAAGGCTTCTGCGTCTTGGCATCCTTGGCGCTGGCTGGTCTTCCTTTGCAACTCTTCTTCGAAGCTTTCCTTTAGCTCCTTCACATGGTGTCCGATTTTCCTCTTGAGGTGCTTGCTCATAATCTTAACGCTTCCATAGCGTGCTTCATATTCATCTTCCGGCACCATCTCCTCTTCAGTGTCTTCTTCACTTCCTGCTCCTTCTTCGACACCAAACTCGTGAGAGCTGATGGAACCTTCTGAGGTGTCTTCTTCTGCTGAATCCTCTTCTGTTGTTGTCTGTCTGAGGTTCTTGAGTGGGAGTGTGTGTAGATGCTCATCCAGCTTCTGCATCCACTTTCTCCACGTCTTGTTCTCCTCTGCCATATCCTCTTCTCCTGTCTCTTCTGATTCTTCTTGTGTTTCACTGCTGCTGTCTTCCTCATGCTCGGGGTTTGCTAAGAATGCCCATGTTTGGGGATTCCTTTGAAGGATCTGGACCTTCTTCTGGATCTCCCCAATCCAGAATCTGGAGCCCAGGGTGCCATCCTGGTACTCCAGCAGGTTGATGGCGGGGTGTCTTGTGCTTGTGAGCTTCATGGGCTGGACCACTCCTTTCAGTTCGAGCGTTCTTTCACCGAACCTTGCAACTGCCTGCCATCTTGACAGTTCGCTTGGTCCTAATAGCCCGGGGCAATCCATGGCTCCTCCTTCAACCTTTGACATCCTCACCACATCATTCATGCCATGGATCCCCACTGGGTAGATGTATGCTTTGCTGCTCCTCTCTGGGGGTCCTGACCCAAAGCGAAAGGTCTCATCTTCCTCCTCCTCGTGCCAGGTCATTCCAAGTCTCCTCAACTCGGCCTGGAACTTCTCATGCCATGCTCCTCCTGCGACGGCACATCGACAGCCACTATCTGCAATGGCTTCTCCTGGGTTTCCTGCTATGTATGCTTCCTGCTCTCTTTTGGTCATCATCACTCCATGTCTCTCATGGTAGTAGATGACATGCTTCAGGTCGCACTTCTTGCATCGTGCGTAATGCCCATCGGCATTTGCTGACCATCTCAGCTGGTCAAAGGGGTGATTGCACCGTGTCTGTGTGGCGCTGGGGACAGGGGCGCATGTTGATGGGATCAACCTTTTTCCATCCCATTGCTCGTCATAGAGGCTCTTGCGGAAGTCTGCCAGCTTCCTCTCCTTCACCTTCTTTGGGATGCTGGGGTCTCTTGCGTCTGTCATGTATCCTTGTGCTCTGCTCTTGGCTGCTGCAAATGCTTGTGGGGGTGGTATTGGCCTCTGACTTGTATCTTCACTTCCACGGGCACCTGATGGTCTTCCGTCTTCGTCCTGGCCAACTGCATATTCCCACTCTGCTCTGTGGCGGCAGTAGGTCTCCCATGCTGTCTGTTCTTCTTCCTTCAGGAGACGATGTTTCAGAGCACGCTTCTCATCTCTGCTCATCTTGGGCAATGCTGCTAACATCTCCTCGGCTGTCACCTTCACCTTCTGCTCATCATCCTCTGGTTTGGACGAGATTTGTGCGGCTTCCCGCAATGTCCCCTTTCTGATGGGGTATTGCTTGGCCCTCTCGCCATCGCTGACGCTTGAGCTTGTGATGGTCTCCACATCATCCTCTTCTGTGATGATCTTCCATTGCCTCTTGTCTGTCATGCGGGCGTCACCCGGCACTCTAGTGCCACACCTTGAGCAGAATCTGTCCACTTCTCGGACAGGGAAGCGGCATGTTGGGTTCATGCAAGTCTTCTCATTGGGTCTCTCCTCATAGTGATGGTCTCGGCCCTCTGCCTCGACCTTCACCTTCTTGTCCACTTGGGTCACCACGTAGGTGAAGTGGATAGTGTTGTTCGGGGCTGGCTGGCTGGTGTTGCTGCTGCTGGGGCTCCTCTTGATGTGGGGTTTGTCTTTGCCATTCTTCACGTTCTTGCATTGCGGATCACCCTTCCAGTGTCCAACTTCCCAACAGCTGGAACATGTGGTGCCAACCTTCCTCTTATCTTCTTGGGCACCCTTGCTTGAACCTTTGCTGCTTCCTTTCCATCCTCGGAACTTCTTTCTGTCACTCTGTTGTGCTTTGGCTCTCCATCCAGCTGCCCATGCCTCTTTGAGCTCCTCTTCTTGGAGTTCTTCTTCTTCTTCTTCCATGTCTTCTTCATCTTCTTCCGGAATATCCTCTAATTCCGGATCCTCTTCGTGATACTCCAAGTAAGTTCGATAGGCTTCTTCATCCTTCTCGAGGTCTTCTTCTTCTTCCTCCTCTGGTCTGTCTTCATCTTCTTCGCCGTCTACCACATAGGTTCTGTGCTTGCTCTTGCCGTCTCCCTTCTTGGCCTTCATCGGGAGTACCTTCATGCGCTTGTTGCTTGTGAACCTTGTGTACTCTGCTCTCGGGAGTCTCCTCTCTTCTTCATGTGTCTTTGCGCATCGATGCCTGAGGGCAGTCTCTATGTCTCTGGACTGGTACTTGCCGCCAGCACTGAAAAAGACATCTAGTCTCTCTCTCCTGGATAGGGATGCTCTGTTGAGCATCCTCTGGCTCCATGCTCTGTCGCTGATGTGGGTCTCAGGATCCACACGCTGGTATTGGGCTCGAAGTCGCTTGAGCTGGCCGACATATGTTGCTATGCTCTGGCCTGGAAGTCTTCTGTATGTGTTGAACTCTTGTTCTGCTCTTTCGAAGAGTTCGTCTTCTGACTCTCCGAAACCTTCATCTAGCAGCTTCCATACCAGGCGCAATCCGCCTGGTCTGGTGAACTCTGAGATTGCCATCTGGTCTAAGCAATCCCTTGCGTCTTTCTTGGTGCTGAGGTAAATCAGCATGGCTAGTTCCTCTTCTTCTAACTTGTAGAGTTGCTGCTGTGCTTGTACTGCTCTTTTCCACTTTAAGTAGCGGCTTCTTTCTCCATAAAACTCCTCAATTTTTACGCTACCCAAGCTGCTTTTGGGACGATCTGGTCCCCCTCTTGCTCTCCTTCTGAGCATGCTGCGGACTTCTGAGGTGTTGATGCTAGACTCATCAGACTCTTCTGTTGGGTCTGTTGGTGTGTTGTCCGAGGGTGCACCCGGACCTCCGCCATCTCCCCCACCTCCAGGTTTCTGGCCTGGCTCAGGAGGCTCCTCCTCAGTCTTCTCCCTTTGCTTCTTCTCTCCATGACCCTTTCCACGCCTGGGCGGTGACGTGATGTGATACCATGAGCCGGTATCTACGCTACCTTCTCCTTTGCCATGTCCTTTCATCATCATCAACATTTGCATCATCACCAAGTCATGAAGTTGTTGATTACCTCCATATCCACTAGGAACATTGCCAGGATATACTCCAAAAGGTCCATGGGGTAGAGATGGAAAAAGAGACATTCCAGGCGGTGGCATGTGATTTGCTGGCAACCCAGCTGGCATCTGTGACATCCATGGTACTCCCAAACCCTGGCCCGGCTGCTGTCCTGGTGTGGCAGACAACGGCATCTGGCCTGTCATTCCTCCAGGTGCTACGGTCCCTGCCGTTCTGACTGGGCTAAGGAATGTGTCATTGTTCTGGACTGGTGACCCTATGTTTCCATACTGGTTACCATCATTCCTTCTTTGGGGTCCATAGCTAGTTGGGGCTCCGTCTGAAGAGCGCCATGGATCTCTGCTCATCAGGGGATCTTCGGTTTCATGGGTCCCCCCAGGTTCCGGCACTGTTGCCGACTCCTCAGCCATGGTGATCTGAGATCACACGCAAGCAGGCAGCCTATCCCAAACCACTAATCCAAAAGAACCAACAACAGCACAAATCAATGGAACAAAATCCAAGAAAAGAACCTAGGAGATACCCCGCAGGGCTCCGCTAACCAATGTTGAACCGGAACAGTATGATCAAACAAGCAAAACCAATCAAAACTGTAGATCAACGGGGATTCACGCAGGCAGGCAGGCAATTGTTTTCTGGGCATGCGATCGAGTGCGCTGACGTCAGCTTGATAAACAAAAAGGCGAGGTTGATTCATGTCTATGCCAACGCATGCTGCTCTACTGAATGTTTCACAATGTAATGTAATGTAATGTAATGTAATGTATGTATGTATGTATGTTTGTTTGCTTTTTTTGTGTATATAATATATATATATATAATCTATACTAGAATGCATATTTTGCACATACACGTGTTATATGTGAATATAGCTTGGGTGTAGCGCAGAAACTTCACCATCGGTTACCAGCTGCATCAGCCGGCGCCAAGGCTGAAGGCTCTGGCCCTGGCGCAGCACCTGAGTCCTTCGGTCCTGGTGCAGCTGTCTGTGGTGGACGCGGCGGAAGGAACCACGGGAGGTGCGGCCGGGCGGCCGGGCAGGTGGTGCCAACCCCAAAAGGTGTCGGAGCTGGGAGTTTTTAAGTCTTGGGATGGGGAGATTTTGCTGGGCAGACTTTGTGTCTGTGTTTTCTCTACATTTTGAAGATGGCTGGAGGGATCAGATGGAGAAAACATCCTCACATCGAAGTCTAGATGGCAAAGCAAAGATCTCTGGAGAGCCACTTGGAGCCTCGGAAACTGCAAGACAATGCCACTTCTATTCGGGAAACATACTTCCAAACCCATCAGCAATTCTTTCACCAAGATCTTACTGTCAATTTCGGCTCAAAGAGAGCTTTGTTTGTTGAGCATCTCAGAGCTGCTGGTTGTGGGTAGATTGTATTTGCAGTAATTATATAATTGCATCATCTAGTTACCATACATTTTACATTTTTTAACCATATAAGTTTACCCCACTGAGCCTATTCATTGCAATGTTTATTTCCGGATTTGCTCCCCATATGCATTATACTTCCCCTATGGATCCAAACACTGTCTGAGAAGGTACTTAACCCTCCAAATTATAGTAAAAAATACCCCAGTCCCACTTCCTAAGAAGGTACGACTGGATCCATAGGGTTCCAATTTGGTGCAAATGTCCTGCTGGAGTTCCAGTTGTCAGTTCTCAGGTTTCCCGCCGCTACTGGACTCTTTGGCCTCCGCGACGTTGCGCCGTTTCCTTTTCGAAAAACGTGCCGCGCGATCCATTGATGGAGCTGGTTAGGGGGAAGCGCTTAATGAGTAAAAAGAAAACGCCGTCGTTTTGGGGAGATAAGTCGATGCTTAGAGTCCCCAAATAGATGGAAAAGTACAAATCCCTACTAATTTGATGGTGATTTACTTTTCCATCTGGGGATTCATGTGGTTAAAACAATGTCATAAACCATCCCCCAGTCATCACCATGGGGTAAGCCTTGGTGAAGCCATGCATGATATGTATATCATCTATACCCCATAGGATCCATGGTGCTGCAAAAAAAAATGGTAACATGGATCCCATCAATATACCCCAAATGTTAGCATATATACCATACATGGATCCTGTGGGTACTATTCTGGAACCACTTTTCGATCTTTTCTGGGGTTACTATGTATAATACACCTATGTACTCAATATCTGATGATATTTGATGCTTCGATTTTCATGGTTTCACAGATGGCAGCGAGGCACAAGCATCGCAGCTGTCCCAAGCTTCAGGTTTTGGCGGGAGGGGGTTGGTGAATGTGTTGAGATGTTTTGTTGTTGGGGTCATAAATCCAAGAGGATACCCTATGGTAAACTAACATAGCTATGGAAAATGGACCATTTATAGTGGATTTACCCATTCAACATGGTGATTTTCCATAGTTTTTTGTATGTTTACCAGAGGGTAGCAAGTCCCGCAAAGTTAAAATACCATACCCCAGATTCGAGTCATGGTAAAACATGTTTATTTGGGGGAGAGTTGCCGGGTTACTATATCAAAGCCCCTTTCCCCAGAAAGTTGAATACCCGTTGAATGGAATCCGAGTTTAGGGGTGTTGGAATTGTAAGGGGAAGGGATTATAATGGGACGTTATATTATACTGTTTTTTTTTAAACCATTGTGTGGAGGAATCCAATCCCATCCCCCTCCTATCTGCTGAATCCCATTGAAGTCCTATGATTCCCCAAAATGATAAGATCCAAGACTAGAGCGACTACAAGAAGGGTCCTGGAGTGGTATTTGGTGGGATTACCAAAATGTAATACCCTCTGGCAATTTAACATAGCAATGGAAAATGGACCATTTATAGTTGATTTACCTATAAAAATGGTGATTTCCCATAGTTTACCCATTAAAAATGGTGATTTTCCATAGCTATGTTAAATTACCAGAGGGTATCCATCCCACTATCCATTGCATGACTCTTCAAAGAGGGGACCGGCGAGGGAGGTCTTGAGCATTCTTGAGGGCTCTGTGGCCATGTTGGCAAAGTTTTTTTCAAGGTGGTGCCCCCCAAGTGAGGTGTTTTGGCTCAGTTTCACCCCATGAACTATAGATATATCATGATATATCTACCATATAAATATACCATAGTTAGCTAACCCCCATGAACTATAGATATATCATGATATATCTACCATATACCATAGTGAGCTAACCCCCATGAACTATAGATATATCATGAGCTAAACAAAAGAGTCCTGGGATGATGATGCCTCCAATCAACTCACAGACGAGCCTCGATGGGGTTGCAGCTACCAACCAGATGGCAGTGAACAAAACCTCTGGATTCATATATAATCCCTATGAAATCCCTATTAAATGCCATTAACTATGGAAAGATCCACCATGTTTAATGGGAAAATCCACTATTTCTATGTTGCCTGCCAGCCATTTGTGACGCTTCAAAACGTGACCCCTGGACCCCGCCGGGAGAGATGGGGTGTAACAGTAGCAAAGACGGACCTACTGTCGTCGCCAATGTGACGCTTGGATGATGCTGCGTGGAGCATGTCTAATAAATGCAGGAGAGAGGGGGTAAACGTACCATACATGGATGATTTATGATGATTTGAGTCATAGTGACTCAGTGCTTTAGTCACTTTTTTTCGACCATTCGGTGGTAGCATTGTTCCACCAGTTAGGTAGTGAGTTTCCCAAAACATCCCATTTTCCAAACCATTGATTGGAACTTCATGAGGATCAGTGAACATTGAGGTATCTTTGATATCCCGAGACAGCAATTTCTGGATGCTGACATCATCAATCACGGACGTAGGTACACAGATGGATAAATATATGGAATCATATGCCAATAGGTCGAGAGAGAATGATATATAATGATAGATACAGGGTTAGCTGTGATAAGTATAGATGATCATAAGAATCATATCTACCACTAGATTAAGCCATTTAATAAGCTGATATTTCCACGACTTTGCAGCGCCCCATGCTGAGGAAGGCTGTCCATAACCCTGACAGCACCTGGCATACTCCGGTGGCCCGTGCCTTGTGCGCCAGTGGGGGAGGCTCTCGGGCCCTGAGCTACACCATGGGCGTCTACCGGGGCCTCAATGAAGCTTGGAAAACTGCTGATTTCCTGAACGTTTTGATCAGGGATAGTCCAAAAAGTCCCAGTGACATGGGATTTCATATGATTGAATGGGATGTTTGAAGATTACCCTCCAGTCAATCTAGCATAACCATGAACAATCACCGTGGAAATAGATGGAAATAGTAGCTTGTCGAACTCAATGGGCCATGGTTTCCAGTTCCCAACGTGTAACGATCCGAGGAGCTGAATCTCATCCCCAAACTGGATGCGATCAGCTCAGTTTCTGGTGGTTCCTTGCCGAACAAGCGAACGTTGGAGTGTTCCCACCGAGCCGGGGAGCTCCCACCAGATTTTATGGCCATATTAAGGAGGGAAAATGGTGAGATCCCAGCAGGTTTTTTGGGGCACCCTAACAAAGATATACACAGATAGTTAGGTACGTAACTAAGCTATACAAAGATAGGCATTTTATGATACTTGCAACCCCAGTCGCATTGGGATAATCAGTCGTATGGGCACTGCTGGGATTGCTTTCCAGCTGGTGACACGATGAGAAGTGCCTAAAATCACTGCAACTAGCGCCCTTTAGCACCACCACCACAACCACCATCATCATCATCATCATCATCATCATCATCATCGTCATCATCATCGTCATCATCATCAACATCAACATCATCATCATCATCATCATCATCATCCTCGTCGTCGTCATCGTCATCATCATCATCATCATGATCATCATCATCATCATCATCATCATCTACTACATCTATTCAGCTTTCTAAGATCCAAAAAAAGCAGCGCTGGTTGCTTTGGAAAACTCATGCCCAGGGCCGTTTTCAATGCCAAGGTACCTGGTGTTCCTCCATCTTCATGTTCGCCAAGAGCTACAAGGGCAACGACGTCACCACTGTGGAGTCCTGGATGTTCATGTCCGTTCCTATTGATTTTCATCCCCAGAAAATTGAGAAACTATGCCTGGAAGAGGTCTGATTGAAGTTTTGACCGTTTGACCTTGGTTTCCATCCTATTTTGTTGATCCAAATTGACTTGAATAATTTTGAATATATCTTTGAGATTCTTTGAGATGGGGCGGAAACTCATGTTTTTGACGTTTTTTTTTTGCGTTCTGACGGCCAATGGGTTTCTTTTGCCACCATAGTGGGATACGTTGAAAACCACTATCAATATAAATCACCGAGAAAGTTTTACACGTATAAAATCACCATCAAAAAAAAAAATCACCATCACCGAGCAGCTAGTGAACCCATCAATATAAATTAAATATCCGCACCAGTATGAATCACATTAAATCACAATACTTAGACCCTCCAAGTACCCATGAATATGGGATAATGTACCATACAATTTGTTTTCGGACTTTTACCCACCATTCTAGGTACTTGGAGGGTCTAAACATTTGGTTTTTAATAGACAACACACACATACATGCACATATTATATATATATATATATTATATTATATATATATGTATTTGCAAATTCACACACATGGATATATTATAAATATATATATATTCATTTGTTTGTATTTATTTATTTCTCAATTTGTGATGGCTAGTTCTCAATTTGTATATATTCATTTGTATTTGACATGTTTAAATAGAACTAAAGATCAAAGCGCAAGGTTGGAACATGCACCGAGATAAATCCTCACATTTATATGATTTTTTTAATTACATTTCCATCTACTGTATTAAATGTTAATTACCTTCCCATATGTTTGATAGTTTTTGATGGTTAATTGCCAACTACTTCCCAGTTTTGATGGTTGCTTCCTTGTTTTTCCCATTTAAGTTGCCAACTATTTCAGTTTTGCCATTACCCTCATCTAGAAAAAAACTAACATAGATGTGGAAACCCAGCAATTGTAAATATTTTTCCTAGGGAAATGATGGTTTTTCCACATTTTTTGTATGTTTATGTTTGCTATTAATATTTTTTCCAGTTTGATGCCAACTATTTCCAATTTTTGGTTCACGTAATTCCTGTTTTTTTCCCTCATTCAGATGCAAAGATCGGCAAAGTATGTCCAGTTTGATGCCACTACCCTCATGTAGAAGAACTAACATGCTATGATATGAACTGACTATATTAACACGTATTAACCATGAACATAAAAAAACAACTTACTATATTAACATATTAACATATATGAACATATATTAACCAAGAACCATGGGCTTTCCACATCTTTCAATTTTTTTAACCCGAGTTGCCCCTGGCCCATGGCTTCGATGGCTTCCAGGACTTGGTGGGGGCCGACACCACCCCGGCACTCCTCACCATGTCGGAGCTCTCCAAAGCACCGGGCGCCATTGCCTCGGGCATTGCCACTGGACGGCTGGGATGTCGATCCAGCGACCTCCCCAAGTGATAGCAGATCTAGTGGTTAAAACAAAGCCATTTTTAGAAAACCACTGGGAATGGCAAGTTGATACCACCTATAAAGATGGTGACTGGGGGATGGTAAACATGATATTGTTTTAGCCAAATATTATATGTGTATATATTTGTGTGTGTTTGGGTAAAATTATAACGACCTCACTGTTCTCCCGAAGCCTGGAAATCATGGTAATACTGTAAGGGGGATCATCCCTATGTGAGCCTTATTTCAGGTTAGTTAATTATCATGATTTGCCCAGATATGGTCACCCCACCCACCAGAACATAGTTTGAGATGGTGGACATTGCAATGAAACATTCAATGAAATAGAAGAAAAAAGGTAGGTTCTGGGTGAGGGGGTGGGTATGCACTGGGTATGCATATATACATACACATATACCATATGTGTGAGGGAAAACATGGATAATATGGGGAGTTCATCATGAATGATCATGAAAATGACAATCAGATGTGACAATCATAATCGGAATAGTAGTTGCAATAGTATGAATGACTGGTTGGTGGTTTGGAACATTTTTCTTTATTTTCCATAATATATGGGATGTCATCCTTCCCATTGACTTTCATATTTTTCAACGCGGTTAAAACCACCAACCAGATGACAATGATTATACATATATATATGTATATAGTGACCATTATAAGCCATTATTAACCATTATAAGCCATTATTAACCATTATTAAGCCATTAATAACCATTATTCACCATTATAAGTAAAGATGAGTATGAGATATCATGACCATTATTCACCAACCAGATGATATATTTATATATATATATATTATAACTATTTTGAGGTGGCAAGGGCTTATGAACCATCGATTTTAGATCGTCCATATCGTCCCGTCGACTTACCCAGTTTTCATAACCCATGACGGATCCATGGTGCTGCTATATATGGTAACATGGATCCCATCAGTATAACCCCTTTATGTTAGCATATATACCGTGCATGGATCCGTCATGGGTAAGTGAATCATCATTGGTTTCATCGAAGTTTTCATGGGCCTACCTCATAAAATGGGCCAGTGTTTCCAGTTCGCGAAGTGTTCAACAACCAGAGGGATCCAGATGCGAATGTTTTAAGGTCATGGGCGATTCGGACAAAATCTTGGCCGAATCGGGCATCGAATTCGTGGGCCGAGATGCTCGGTGACGGGAGTTGGAATTTTGTGAGTTACCCTCTGGCAATTTAACATAGCAATGGAAAATGGCCATTTATAGTGGATTTTCCCATGAAAAATTGTGATTTTCCATTGCTATGTTAGTTCACCAGAGGGTAGATACTCCAAAGTACCCAGAAAAATGAGGGTAAGCTACCTAATTTCAACCCCGGATTAATTAACCCCAAACGGCTGTTTTTTTTTTGGGGGTACCATTTTTCAGCAGCCACTTATCACTATTTGGGGGAAGCACCACAAGTAATTAATCAACCAGGGTTTATAAATCTGGGGTTGACATTAATTTTTTTTAGACTCCCTAACATGTCGAACCCGTGATTTCTTGCCAGAATTGATATTTCACCAGACCAAGAAAGATCATCTACCAGCCAGAATTTGGACCGTGAAAACGCCAAACTTGGCATTTTGCCCACCAACCTCTGGATGATTTCCGAACCAGGACTTGGGTTGCGTCGTTTCACAACGGCAAAACAGGCACCCGATTTCACTCACCCAGCTCCTGAGTTTTCAATCGGTACCAGTGGAACGTCTCATTCATTCTCATTCCTTGGCAGGTTTTAGGGCTTCCATGCCAGGTCAACCATGGCTGTTCAGGGGAATTTTTGGGGAAATGATGTATAATCAGGGCTCGGGCCCTTAAACATCTTAAACGCTTTGATCCAATAAATATATGGATCCGATGTGACCATGCCAAAATATCCAAAATTGGACATTGGAGACACAGTAAAATTTTGTCAATTGGCGCGGGCTGTGGTTGCAAGTTCTTGTGTCCAAATGTTTCATGGATAAATGGGAGGCTGATCCCCAACTTAATTAACTGTGTTGAATGCCATGTCTAGGTGTATGTAATGTAATTCATTATATACAGATTTTGGAGATATCATCAATTACTGGACATGATGGCATTTTGGGGTGGCTTTCCAATTATTATAGTATCCATGAGTCTCCATTGTGTATTCCATCCATCCTTCCATCCTTACATCCAACTCCCACTCCAACCCGATTCCAGAAAAACCGTAGAAAACCAGAAAACCCGGAGAAAACCCGTAGAAAGCCCATAAACCCGTAGAAAAGCCCACCGTTTCATCCTGTCCCAATCCCTCCCAGTTTCTCCGAATTCCCATCAGGGATTGTCATTGGAGCCATTGAGATCAGGAGATCAGGATGACCATAAAATCATATAAAATCCACATCACATACTGTTGATTACATACATATATATATGTATACATATATATATATGTATATTTGTATATATAATATAGTACATATGTATATATATATATATCTATACATATCCCATTGTATACCCATTATATTTCCAGTAGTTGTTGCTTAATCATAGCCCAAAAAAAGATGCCTTATACGGTGTACCACCAGGATGGCAGTTCGATGATATCTTCGGCATTTGTGACTTGCGGTTACCTTGTTACCTTTTCATGCCATGGTAACTTGATGAATTGATTACCCTCTGGTGAACTAACATAGCAATTGAAAATTGCCATTTATAGTGGATTTTCCCATTAAAAATTGTGATTTTCCATTGCTATGTTAGTTCACCAGAGGGTAACCATTATTCCCATTATCACCATTATAAGCAAGACATATATCAATACAATTATACATATTCCCATTATTACCAATTGATCAATTAAAAGTGGGGTTGCCAAAAAAAAACATCTATTAACCCAACATATTTCTCAAACAACCATTGAGTTATTGTTTTTTTAAATCAGCGAATTCATCCCATGTAACCTGACCATTTCGCCGAGGAGTACGAGGTTTGGCCTCATGTGATGTCGCGCTGGTTGCTGCGAAACTTTGATGCGCTGAAAGACGCTGGGAATTTCCATTTCCGGTGGTGAACAAATGGGGTGTAATATGATAAATATATATATATATAGTAAAATATGGTAAATTATGGGTAGTATGGGGAATACATTTACATGGGTAATGATAATAGTAAAAAAATGTGAATTGATCCCCTTTGGTTATATTCTTGGGGACAGGAAGGGTACTTCATTTGTTGGTATTATATAAAGTGGAGTTATATATTTCAATGTGTTACCCTCTGGTAAACTAACGTAGCCATGGAAAATTGTCCATTTATACATGGTTTACCTATTAAAAATGGTGATTTTCCATGGCTATGTTAAATAACCAGAGGGTAATATGACGGCATAAGCAGGTAATTAACCATCAACAGGATTTTGTGGATTCAATTTATCGACGTCGCGATGTTCTCACTGAACTGTTGAGTAATGACTAACCCAAATGACCTTCTTGCCGGTGAATGAATGATTATACCTTCCGGTAATCAAACTTGGCAATGGGGAATCTTACGTTTATAGACTATCCATGGAGGTTTATAACTGGAAAAAATCATCTATAATCCATAAATTATAGATTGTTTTCCCAGCGATCAACCTCCCTGGCTGCCGGGGATTTTCCAGCACGTTTGATGACGCCGTACCCCGCAGTTGGATGGGATCATACTGAGTAAGTCTTGGTAAAATCCACATGGCGGAACTGCCAATTGGCAGGTTCTTTCTAAATCCCAATTATATATAGCGACGGACTGAAACTTAGAATGCCGCACCCCTTCAGGTCGCGCTGTCCTAAAGAATGCCGCCGCGGGGGCAAAATCTTAAAAAACCCTGGTAAAATGCAATTTTCGGGTACCTGTAATTTGACCTGGTCTTTTTGTAATGAGTCGTTCGTAGGTAAATTTTGTGAGAATTTACAGCGTAATATGAGATTGAATGCCACACATAGAATGCCTCCGGCCAAAAAGTCCAGGTCACAGCATGTTAAACATTTGAAGCCCATATTTTCAAAATACTCGGTATACGTGGGGTTTTATGTACTTTGTGCAGCCCACAGAATGCCGCCAAAAACATATACAAATGTCATCATTCTGTTGCAAAATCTCTGTTTTTTTTGTGAAACACATGGTTCGAAGGATTGTATAAATTTACTATTTCATATGAATAATTGTATATAAATCCAATCTCATGGGAGGTTTCCTTTCACTCGCTGCCCGCTATGCCGCCATCCCAGCGACTGACGCCACACCACTTATATACAAATAATTCAACTTGTTGCACACACTCACACACGCATACAATCACACGCACGTTGTTTTTATGAAACGACAGTTCACCACAAGGAAGGGGAGCTTGCTCATTGTTCTCAATATATATATATATATCATTTTTATATACCTGATCTAAATCCCAAGTGCATGAAAAGAGGTATATCTTCGAATCAATTCCGGAGTTTACCACGAGATTTTTGCTTCAAGGGGTGCCCAGGAGATGAAGTCCTACATGGCCTTGGATGATGAGGCAGTGAGTCGCATCAAGACTGCAAACCCTCAGCTGGAGAAGCTACTTGGGCCCGCAAGCTGCGGTGGTTGAGGAATGGAGGATTCACAGTTTCACGGGGAAACGCACAGAAACCGTGTGGTAAAATATGGGAACATGATCTATAAATGAAGGTTTTAAAGGAGAAAACAACATTTTTGATGGAGGTTTTAGTGGACTTTTTTCATCTATAACTGATGGGGATCTTCCAGCAAACCGACTGATTACTGGAAGGATCTGGAAGGTATAAATCATGAAAATTTATCTGATTAGGAGGAGATTGTCTCTTCTACTTCACCCTTTCTTGCTGCTATCATCCCCTTATTTGTTGACTTCCAATTTGAACCCCTGCCCATTGGCGCTACCGAGGAAAACCTTCGTAACGCCGCGCTCAGACCGACCAAATATGTACATCATGTGCGGCACCGTCTCCTGGATTTTAATGTGCGGCTTGTCGATGCTGCTATGATGATTGTTATTTTTGTTTTACTGCTGTTTAATTTACTATCTTCGTGCTATGTTTATCTATTCACTATTATTTGTTGTTAACAAATGATTATTATCATTATCATTATCATTTTTCTTAGTTTACCATAGGTATGTTCCACCATGACGGGAATCTAGTGGGCTTATTTTCAACCTCATGTTTTTCCATTGATTCTGTTTGATTGACTCTACTGGGATTTGCTGAATCCAGCATTAGTTCCATTTATTTCCAGCATTTTTAATAGCTTCCTTAAGCTCCAAGGTTTTGTCACCGTTGAACTACTTGGCGAGCAACAGCAATGCGGTGTCCTTTCAACAAATGCCCGACTACATCGGCAGCCCCTTCTATCCCAATGATCAGCAAGTGACTTGGTCTTTGGTAAACTGCTGAAATTCCCCAGGTTTTGGGGTCATGGACAGGAATCTCTTGTAGCCATGACTTACTGATGGACCAATTCGCAGTGACTTACCAAGTTACCAGAAAGGGGCGGGATTTAACAATCCCAAATGACTGCTGGGTTTACCACATTAGATTTAAAAAAAATCGCAGGGCAATGAGCATGGCATCGTCACATACAGGGTATGTATATGTATAACTACCACACATATCCGCGTGTGCGTCACAAATCTTATCCCTATGTTTTAAAAGTCTTTAGCCAGTGCCAGGGAAGGTAGCCGGGTCGGCTACCTGAACTGAGGTCTACGTGCTTGATAGTACTGAAATGTATGCTTGGGGGTGTTCTGAAAATCAACTTTTCTAGAATGTACTCATAAAACCGCTCAACTTTCAGTTTCAGAGAGATCCTGAAGGTGACTTCCCATCTATGTTAACAATTCCCCCAGCGCCTGTTTCAACGCCTAGGTGAAGTATCAGAAAGCCGCCTTCTGTGGATGTGATGAAAACCTCTACAAGTGTTGTAAAACAACGCGCACAGTTGGCGGAGGCTTGGGAGATTTGAAACCTGGGTCCTGGGTAGGCAGCAGTTGGTTACCTACCCTCCGGTGTCATCAAACATGGCACAGCGAAAATCTGTAAAAACGGAAGCTTTAATTGGGAAATGATCGATAAACGGCGAATTTTATGTTGCAATGATGGATTCCCAGGTAACCGAGTTTCTGTTGCCCACAGTGACTTGGTTTCAAGAAAAGATTTTGGTAAGAACCCCCTATCAAATTCAATTTGAGATATCACCATGGAGTTTTACTATGTTTTACTATCCAGTGGTTATGAGGCAGCATTTCCGAGCTATGGGTATGCATAGTCATCATTATTCATCCATACTCCCTATGGCACTGTGGGGAGCCAAGAGTTGGTATCGGAGTTTCACAACCACATATCATAGTTGATTTTACGATTGGTTTTACCAAACTAACACCGAAATAGATCAACATAGAGATCATTATATATTATATAACAATTATCATGGAGATGTTCAGTTCTTTGACCTTTTTTTTAACCAATGGTCATCAAACTAACACCAAAATATAGGATATTATATGATATTATATGATATATTATGGGGATATCATGAAGATCTTCACCTTAAAATCCACCAGTTCCCGCTCAAAGCCAGCTTCGAAACCACCATCCGCCGTAGGTTTCGTGGAATCCTTCGCCTTCGGCGGCGAGGCGCCCAAAAAGCAAAGCGGCGGCGAGGGCATCGCGGTGGGCGAACCGGAGGCGCCCTGGGCCTTGCCCTATGCCGTGGGGACTAGCGACTTGGCAAAAACTTGCGAGGGGGGGTTCCATTGAAACAGAAATGTGTAGGACATATATGGACAAAAATGTGGAAAATATGGACATCATGTGGAAATAATATGGAAAATTATGGAAAGATGGTGTGTATCAACGAGATTTGGTTGTTTTTTTTTAGAACGTCAGCCTCCTGGCAATCGGAAATGATTCTTGGAGTATGAAAAATCGGTGCATTCAAAACATGGAGCTTCAACGAGTCTATCGAATAAACACTGGGATTTAAGAATTTTAGATGATTGAATCAGTTTTGAAATGTATTGAGTGGTTATCATATACAGCCAATCCAAGCAGCCAATCAAACATCCAAGCTTTTGATGGGACATTAATCTATTTTCGCCAGGATATGTTACCAGAGGTTAGCGTCTCAACACCGAAAGCCAAACAACCAAGAAATGCAAGGCCCTGGTATTTTTGAGAGCCCCCAGGGCCTGTCTGAAAAATGGCCAGATTTTGGAAACAAAGTGTTGAACCAACAGACCATCCCCCATTATTCCCCCATTTTTGCGAACTGAATGCAGTCCCGTTTTTTGTTCCGTGACCAAGGTAGCTGGGCACCAGGAGGCATGGAGAACGCCAGCCACATTGCCGGAGACATTGGCAACATCCGAGGCTTGACCGCAAAGCATCGTTGATTTGGGGACACCTTGGATGGGTAATGTGGGTACCCTCTGGTAAACTAACATAGCAATGGAAAATGGCCATTTATAGTGGATTTTCCCATGAAAAATGGTGATTTTCCATTGCTATGTTAGTTCACCAGTGGGTACAACCAAGGCCATAAACCATACATCACTGGGAATGGTGTATGCCATATAAAAAATGTGATGACTGGGGGATGGTTTATGACATTGCTTGCCCATGTTTTACCCACATTAAGCCAAATTGGCAAAACAGTCTAAGGACCGAAATCTTATGATGCTGGTTGGTGGTTTGGCACATTTTTTATTTTTCCATTCAGTTGGGAATGTCATCATCCTAACTGACGAACTCATATGTTTCAGAGGGGTAGGTATACCACCAACCAGTATTTCCCAGTCATCATCCATATTCTCATGGTATTTCCACTATAAACCATCCATATCATCCATTGATAGATGGGGGTTGGCTATAATCATCTAGTCTATAATGTCTATAATCAACAGTTATCCCATCATATCCCCACAACTCCACCAGTTTTTATAGTTAAATCAAGTTAAATCGCCATTTTTGCTGGTTAAATCACCATTTTTGGTATTTTTGCTGGTTAAATCACCATTTTTGCTGGTTAAATCAGTTTTTTTTTGGGGAGCAACGTTGAATCCAACCCTTTTGTTCGAGTTCAAGTTCCTGAGGCTCGAAGTATTGGCCGGTGACCTCTCCGATCTTGCCGAAGCTTGGCGGTGAGTTGTGGATATTTTTTTGGAGGGCTTGTTCCGTTGATTTGTTATGTACATGGAACATCACATTATGGATGGTAGATGGCTTATCCCGTTATAACCATAGTTTTTGGGGATATGTTTTTTTTGAGATATTTCAGGGTTTGGTTATAATGATGGTTAAAAAGGTTAACTAAACATCAACTATATCAACTTTCATGTGCTTAAAACAATGCCATTTTTACCACCCATGACTGGGAATGGTAACCATACCACATATACAATGACTGGGGAATGGTTTACTATTGTTTTAACCACACTATTATTGTTTTTTACCCTCTGGTAAACATAGATACAGCAATGGACAATCACCATCTCTAAGTTCGGTAAAACAACAAACTAAATGGGTCATTTTCAATAGCTATACCGGAGAGTATTAATTATGAATGATTCATGAATGATTATGAACTATTTGCCTAAGGTTGAAGATGATTTGATAGCCTAACATGATTTGATATGATGTATATAAGCATCTAGCATGAAAAATCCATGAAATACATCTAAGATATAAAGCTTTTAATGTGATTCGTATGATTTAATGTGACTCCGTATAATCATCAAACAGTGCGTCTATAGACGACTAAACTGGTTATGCCCTCTGAGTCGTAACTCAACATGGCTGGCCATATGTCATAGGAAAATCACGGAAAATCAAGGAGTGTTTGAAGGAATGGATGTATGATGTATTCATCAATGGATTGGTTTAAGGCAAAAATTACTGGAGAAAACCATACTTTGCGGGAAAATCCATGGTTTCCTGCCGATCTTCCCTTCAAAAACATCCATTGAATTCATCCCCAAACTCACCAATCATCCCATGCATGTCCCATCCCATCTCAAACGTCAGGAAACCGCAAGCCGCCACGACCTACGAACTAGGTGATGGTGGTCTCATTGACAACTCGGGGATGATGGCGCTGTTGCAACGGAAAGCCCCAAAGATCGCCACTTGGACCGCGACGGACTCCTTGGATGTCTGTCCTGATGGCTGGGGCTGAAGATCAGGGACCTAAACAATTGATATCAATTGATTTTGACGGCGGCTCATATACATCATACACACATATATATATATATATATACACACTTGATGATTGATTAAAACATGAAAAAAACACAGGATCCCATGGATTTTTTGCGTTTTTTTTATCGGGAAGATGGGGATTCTGGAATACAGTCTCCCTTGGAGCGATTTCGGGGGGTATGGGAACTTCACGTCAACATATAAAGCGCACGGAGATCTTGACCGATCCCCAACTCGATGCAACAAAAAACATTTTCAACTGTTCAACCCATCTGGTTGGTGGTTTGGAACATTTTTTATTTTCAATAATATATGGGATGTAATCCTTCCCATTGACGAACTCATATTTTTCAAGATGGTTCAAACCACCAGCCAGCTATTTGTTTGTTGATTTTGTGGCCATGTTGAAGCCTATGTTTCGCCATGTTCTGTAGGTCACAAAAACAAGCATAACCGCATATAACCGCCATTTTCTCCATAGATTGTATCGCGGTATCCCTGTCGACTGGGGTGCACCCAATTTTCAGACAAACCCAAATGAGCGTTACACCATGATGAATCCCCATTGTTGATGGTTAACTTCCAGAAGCTCCATCATGATGCTCCTGATGGTTAATTTTTTTTGCGGGTCAAAAATTCTCATATTAAGCTATATTCCCATCTTTCCATACAATTCCCATCCTATTCCCATCATATTCCCATAAGAATCCCCCTTAAAACTCTCATTTTCCCATCATATTCCCACTATTCAATCCTCATTTTCACGTATATAAAAGTGACATTTTTATGACATTTTTAGTGACCACGGGATGATCATTTTTGGTCAACATATGTCTGGCCATCCTGAGGTCTGGGTGGCCAGTTGCTTCACCAGCTTCAGCACCAGCTACGACTGGGCCAATGCTACGCCGGAGAACTTCAACCCCGCGAGCGCAGGGGTGACGCGCTGGAAATTTCGACGCGGTTGGGATGTGGATGGTTGGGAGGGTCATTTGATAGTCATGTTTAGTTAATTGAACTATTGTAGTTAATAGATGTTAATAGTTATTATCACAAATTGTGATAGTCAACTATCTATTCATGGAAGATAGGTTAAGGGTTAATATCTCTTGCTCTAGTTAATATCTCTTGGGATCCCTAGGGTAAACTAACTGGGACGATTCTCCAAGTAGTAACCATACTTGTAAGCTACTTCTGTGTATGGTTCTATATTAGGGATAACCATGGATAGCCCTTCAAAAAGGATACCACATGTGTCATTAAACCATTTAGACCTAGCCCCGGTTTACAAGGCAAGGTTTTTAACCACATTTACAATATATATACATATATATATATATACAATGTACGAAGCATTTAACCATTTAGTAAGTGGGATGATCCTTCAAGTGCGGGGGTCAACATCGATAGATAGGGACTGACCTTTGACCTTGATTTGTTGTTCTTTTCAGTAGGCAATGAGTAGGATTTGGAAGTTGTTAACTTGCTTCCTTTGTGCCATTCACCTGCGGCGTACCCGAAAGCAAACGTGGCAATTGAACATCCACCATTTAGTTCGGGGATTTTCCAGCGATCCACTTTCGATCACATCGGAAGGTAATTATTTGAAAACATCTAGAAACTGACTGTCTATGATAGACCAACCATAGATATCGATCCTATGAATATTCTATTGAGTTTTTGATATGGATAAATCATATGTAAATCATAAACCATCCCCCAGTCATCATATTTTTATAGGTGGTATACCCTCCGGTAAACATACAAAAAGCTATGGAAAATCACCATGCTATGAATGGGAAACCTGGAAACCTCACGAACTAAATGACCATTTTCAATAGCTTTTTGTATGTTTACCAGGCCGGGTAAAGCCTTCACCATTCCCAGTCATAGTTGACCACCACCCGTTGCCCGTTCCAAGGTGGTCGATCAGCTTTATGCGGCTCAGTCTCTAGCGATGTCCAGCATAGAGTTGTAGCCCAAAAAAGTGGTAGAACTGGCTGAAGAAAATTTCATTTAAGATATATATATATATATATATATATAATGGTAGTTATGTATGTATATAAAATTAGACAAATACTTAATATGATATGTAGAACCTGAGTTCCGGGAGTTATACTCCCAGTATGGGGAAGATCAAATTTTTGGGGTTTTCACTTTCCAAAACTATGGGATTTTAGATGATGTTAGGCCATGCTGACGTGAGACAACCAGCATAGTTGGTAAATCGAAGTTTGGGAAACTCAGCCGGCCGGCTCGAGATCCGCCCGGCCGGTACTTGGATGTGTCAAAAATGGCTAGCAAACATGTAACTGGTAGCTGGAATTGATCCCTTTTTATCTGGTTGGTGGTTTGGAACATGAATGGATTATTTTTCCATTCAGTTGGGAATGTCATCATCCCAACTGACGAGTTGTCCATCATTTTTCAGAGGGGTAGGTATACCACCAACCAGTATTTCCCAGTCATCATCCATATTTTCATGGTATTTTCCACTATAAACCATCCATATCATCCATTTATAGATGACTGGACCAGGAGTCCTTCACCACCACATTTCCCATTGTCGGCCCCGCAGCATGGCCTTCCAGGTCTTGTTTGGGTACAACACAACTTCGGAAGGCTACTATTATGCCACCTGGATATACTGAGTTGGTGACTTTTTGTTCATTTTTAATTTTTGTTTCGTCCAATTTTTCCCAAATAAAACACTATATCATTAGCAATATCCGGCAATTATGACACGGATGTATGAAATTTGGATGTTTTTGCAGTATTGCCTGAATTAATCAATATTTCCAGGCTCGAAAAAACATCCACAACATTCGGAATTGGCAGCAAACGCGCATTCACTGTCGACCGTCATTCTTTATACAGTACACATAACTTAACACACTTTATGACACTAGATCATGCTGCTGATGATGATGCTTATGCTGCTACTCCTGAACCTGATCCTGATGATGATGATGATGATGATGAGGATGAGGACCTTGATGAGGATAATTATGATGATGATGATGGTTATTTCTAGGGCAACCTTTTGACATCACACATTATGTAGAACTGTGTGCATCTAGTTACACACGCATTACCTTCAGTATATGTATATAATATATATATATATTATAGATTGGATTGTCTCAAAAAAAGGTGCCCCCCAAATACACTGGTTAATCGACACTTGTTTTTTGTTCAACAATGCTTTTCTATTTTAACAGCCGCAAAAAACAGGGGTGTACTCCATCTGGTGAGATGCATACCAGCGGCTGACTGAATTACAACGACGTTGCCACGATGTCACCCAACAATTGTCTCATTTCATGCTTTACAATTCAGCATAATTAAGCCATAAATGAAATGTATGTGTATATATATATGTATAGATATAGTTACATATCCAGAATATGAAGTCGGATTAAGATTAAGAATCTTTAACATGCATGTAGATATACATAGATGAATGGATGGATGGATGGATGGATAGATAGATAGATTTATAGATTAGATAGGTAGATAGATAGATAGATAGATAGATCAAATGACTAAATCCATCCATGAACTTCGGTTTTTTAGGGCTTCTCAGAACCTAGGCCAATGACCAAGTCTTCGACCAAAGCCTATGTTTTGAGACCTGTAAAGAGCTGCACGACCTGCAACTGGCAGGAAAACCTGTTGCTGGGCGGCAGACGTGGGTGGTTGTGGCGGCCCAAGGCAAAATATGGGGATGTCTATAAGATTGGGCGATGCTCATGGGATGTCGACGGGATTTTCATGGGATTTCATGTGATTTCATTGGGGGATTTCGTAGGATTTCATGGAATTTGATGGAATCCATGTGTGCTTACCCTTTGGTAATCTAACATAGCTACGGCGGACGGCCCGTGTGTAGGCGATTTACGAAAAAACGTCGGTGGTTTTCAGCGTTACCAGAGGGGATGTCATGGGGAATCATGGGGATGGGTTGGTGGTTTGGAAGTCTGGGAAATCAGAGTTATGTGCAAAATAGATTTGAAACATGTGTTTTTGTTTTGTGTGTGTTTTGTATTTGTTTTATTTTTTGTTTAACTAATCTAAATCTAATCTAATCCTAATCCCTAATCCCTAATCCTAATCCCTAATCCCAATCCCTAATCCTAATCCCTAATCCTAATCCCTAATCCTAATCCCTAATCCTAATCCCTAATCCTAATCCCTAATCCTAATCCCTAATTCTAATCCCTAATCCTAATCCCTAATCCTAATCCCTAATTCTAATCCCTAATCCTAATCCCTAATCCTAATCCCTAATTCTAAATCCTAATTCTAAATCCTAGTTCTAAATCCCTAATTCTAATCCCTAATCCTAATCCTAATCCCTAATCCTAATCCCTAATCCTAATCCCTAATTCTAATCCCTAATTCTAATCCCTAATTCTAATCCCTAATCTTAATCCCTAATCCTAATCCCTAATTCTAATCCCTAATCCTAATCCCTAATCCTAATCCCTAATTCTAATCCCTAATCCTAATCCCTAATCCTAATCCCTAATCCTAATCCCTAATCCTAATCCCTAATCCTAATCCCTAATCCTAATCCCTAATCCTAATCCCTAATCCTAATCCCTAATCCTAACCCCTAATCCTAATCCCTAATCCTAATCCCTAATTCTAATCCCTAATTCTAATCCCTAATTCTAATCCCTAATTCAAATCCCTAATTCTAATCCCTAATCCTAATCCCTAATCCTAATCCCTAATCCTAATCCCTAATCCTAACCCCTAATCCTAATCCCTAATTCTAATCCCTAATTCTAAATCCTAATTCTAAATCCTAATTCTAAATCCTAATACTAAATCCTAGTTCTAAATCCTAGTTCTAAATCCTAATTCTAAATCCTAGTTCTAAATCCTAGTTCTAAATCCTAGTTCTAAATCTTAATTCTAAATCCTAATTCTAAATCCTAAATCCTAATTCTAAATCCTAATTCTAAATCCTAATTCTAAATCCTAATTCTAAATCCTTATTCTAAATCCTAATTCTAAATCCTAATTCTAAATCCTAATTCTAAATCCTAATTCTAAATCCTAATTCTAAATCCTAATTCTAAATCCTAATTCTAAATCCTAATTCTAAATCCTAATTCTAAATCCTAATTCTAAATCCTAAATCTAAATCCTAAATCTAAATCCTAATTCTAAATCCTAATTCTAAATCCTAAATCTAAATCCTAAATCTAAATCCTAAATCTGAATCCTAAATCTAAATCTAAATCTTAATTCTAAATCCTAATTCTAAATCCTAATTCTAAATCCTATAATTCTAAATCCTAATGCTAAATCCTAATTCTAAATCCTAATTCTAAATCTTAATGCTAAATCCTAATGCTAAATCCCAATGCTAAATCCTAATGCTAAATCCTAATGCTAAATCCTAATGCTAAATCCCAATGCTAAATCCTAATGCTAAATCCTAATTCTAAATCCTAATGCTAAATCCTAGTTCTAAATCCTAGTTCTAAATCCTAATTCTAAATCCTAATTCTAAATCCTAATTCTAAATCCTAATTCTAAATCCTAATTCTAAATCCTAATTCTAAATCCTAATGCTAAATCTTAATTCTAAATCCTAATGCTAAATCCTAATTCTAAATCCTAATTCTAAATCCTAATTCTAAATCCTAATTCTAAATCCTAATTCTAAATCCTCAATCCTAATTCTAAATCCTAATTCTAAATCCTAATTCTAAATCCTAATTCTAAATCCTAATTCTAAATCCTAATTCTAAATCCTAATTCTAAATCCTAATTCTAAATCCTAATTCTAAATCCTAATTCTAAATCCTAATTCTAAATCCTAATTAAATTCTAATCCTAATTCTCTAATAATCCTAAAATTCTAAATCCTAATTCTAAATCCTAATGCTAAATCCTAAATCTAAATCCTAATGCTAAATCCTAATGCTAAATCCTAATTCTAAATCCTAATTCTAAATCCTAATTCTAAATCCTAATTCTAAATCCTAAGTCTAAATCCTAAGTCTAAATCCTAATTCTAAATCCTAATTCTAAATCCTAATTCTAAATCCTAATGCTAAATCCCAATGCTAAATCCTAATTCTAAATCCTAATTCTAAATCCTAAATCTAAATCCTAAATCTAAATCCTAAATCTAAATCCTAAATCTGAATCCTAAATCTAAATCTTAATCTTAATCTAAATCTAAATCTAATCTAATCTATCTTTCTAAGTATTTGTCTATCTGGTTGTTTGTTTGTCTGTCTGTCTATCTATTTACTTATCTAATATATCATATCCAATATATGTATTTGTTTGTCTGTCTATCTATCTATCTATCTAATCTATCAATCTATCTATCTATCTGTCTATCTATCAATCTATCAATCTATCAATCTATCAATCTATCAACCAATCTCATATATCTACATAATCTATCTATCAATTTATTTGTTTGTCTATTTGTCTATCAAACTAGTGAAATCTTCTCTGATCTTAATCTAATCTAATCTGAGCTAATCTAATCCAACCTCTCTAATCTTTCAAGTCTGTCTATTAATCTATCTAATCTATCTAATCCACCTAGTCTACCTTTTCTATCTGATCTATCTAATATGCCTACTCTATCCAAGTGACCTTACCTATCTATTCTATCTAAATAATCTACATGAAAGCAAAGCAGAGAAAAAAAAACAGTTTCTCTTGAAACAAATTCCAGTGTGGTCCTATCCTGTACAGTACTCTGACTGATGCAGGTTTCATGGAGTTTCCATGCAGTTTCCATGCAGTTTCCATGCAGGTTTCATGTTGGTTACATGCTGGGTTTGCTGATTTAGCTTACTGGTGGGTAACCTCCATGACAACTCCCTGGAACCTGCATGGAATCTGCATGGAACCTCCATGGAACCTGCATCAGTCAGAGCGCATGGTAAAACCAACAAGTGTAGATAGAGGCATCACCTCCATAACGCACATGGAAACTGCATGAAATCTACATCAATTCTCCATGGAACCTGCATGGAACCTCCATGAAAACTGCATCAGTTAGAAGGCGCCATGCAACCATCACGTTTAGACACAAGAAACAACGGAACCTACATGAAACCTCCATGAAACCTACATCAATTCTCCATGGAACCTGCATGGATACTCCATCAAAGAAGCGCCATACAAGCACCAGGTGTAGATACAGGGAACAGAGACTTTTTTTTTAGTGGACACTACCTGGAAACCATCAGACGCTTTGACGCAAATTGATCGCAAATCGATCGTAAATCGATCGTAAACTGATCGTAAAAAAATGCACAAAAACTGTCATAGCATCTGTGCATTTTGATGTCGTTTTCACTAGGTCATCTGTCTTTGTTGATGTCCCTTTTTGTTTCTGCACTGGAAAAGTCAATTTCTTCCAGAGTTTCTATTTATCCTGAGTGTTCACTGCTTGGTGGTTTCGATTTTGGCAAGGTTTCAAATGTGAATTTTTGTTTGATGTCATTTTGATGGAGTTTTATGTCTGTCTCGGTGTCAACTTGATGGAGGTTCCTAACATATAATATTGCAAACTAAGTTAATTAAAAGACGAAACCACCAAGAGAAATGAACTCACTTATGTCATCTTGGATTCTATGATCACCAAACCATATGAATACATGAATTGGCAAGTGCCGTTTTCTACAGGCCTTAGGTTCTTGTCGATGTCATATTGATGTTGTTTTATGGCCTTCTTATTCGTTTTTAGGCCGATGTCAAATCGATCGACAAAGGATCGCAAAATGATCGCAAAACAACGTCGAAATCCTACATCAAAATGACACATTACAAAGTCCACACTTGAAACCCTGGCCTTGCCAACATCAAAACCGCCAAGCAACGAACACTCAGGATAAATAGAAATTCTGGAAGAATTTGACTTTTCCAGTACAGAAACCTCAGCAAAGACAGATGGCCTAGTGAAAACGACATCAAAACGCACAGATGCTATAACAGTTTTTGTGCGATCAATTTAGTTACGATCGATTTGCGATCGATTTGCATCAAAGCGTCTGATGGTTTCCATGTAGTGTCCACTAAAAAAAAGTCTCTGTTCCCTGTATCTACACCTGATGATTGTATGGCGTCTTCCTTGATGGAGTATCCACGCAGGTTCCATGGAGAATTGATGTAGGTTTCATGGAGGTTTCATGTAGGTAACCGTTGTTTCTTGTGTCTAAACGTGATGGTTGCATGGCGCCTTCTAACTGATGCAGTTTTCATGGAGGTTCCATGCAGGTTCCATGGAGAATTGATGTAGAATTTCATGCAGTTTCCATGTGCGTTATGGAGGTGATGCCTCTATCTACACTTGTTGGTTTTACCATGCACTCTGACTGATGCAGGTTCCATGGAGGTTCCATGCAGATTCCATGCAGGTTCCAGGGAGTTGTCATGGAGGTTACCCACCAGTAAGCTAAATTTGCAAACCCAGCATGTAACCAACATGAAACCTGCATGGAAGCTCCATGGAAAATCCATGAAACCTGCATCAGTCAGAGTACAGGATAGGACCACACGGTTTCAAGAAACTGTCTTTCCCCCATTTCAAAAATAAATAGACAAGTACAGAAAAATGCACTAGAATTCAATAATCAATTAAACAATCACGTGAAATTATTGGACATTAAATAAGTGTACATTTTCCGAGATACAAGATGAATATCAATTCAAAAACAAACCCAATCTGGTAGCAATCATTGTTGTTTTAAATTTGTTTTCTTTATTTTCAACGATTTCACTGTTTGCAGGGTTTGATATGTTTTTTCCTAAGTTTACAAAACCATCAATTCCCAGACTTCCAAACCACCAACCCAAACCATATATATATATTTCTTTTTTTGAGGGAACAGCTACAGTTTTTTGAGTCAACTGAAAACCTGAAAACGGGTTGTCCTAGTGTCACTTAGGATGTCTGGACAGGTCATGTTTTTCAAATTTACCCTCCGGTAGGTAATCAAACATGATGATGGAAAATCCACCATTTATAGATGATTTTCCCATATTTTGCCATGAACTTCTCCATTTAGAGGGGATTTCCCATTGCCACGTTTGAGTACCGAAGGGTAAGCGCGAAGATAACTACAACCAGCCCAGTTGTTTGTGCCAGAGCAGGCATTACATACATGCAATTTTCAGTCAGTTTTGCCCCAGGGTTATTGCAATCATCTCCTATACTTCACGGGGTCAAGAGGACATCAATCCAGGCAGTCTTGAAGAAGAAGTTCACCGTACTCCAGCACCTTGGAGAATCAAATCTCTGGGGTCGTAAAGTCATAAAACCAATTTGTTATTTGTTGTTTTTCTTAATGGTGGGAATTGCATCATTTTTTTTTTGATGTTTCACTATTCTTTTGGGAGATAGTTTTAGATGAGTTGTCCCTCTAAATGTTGATGATTTGCTATACTTACCTTTTTTTTGGTAACGTCAACAACCTCGGGAGGTCCGAAAAGCCGGCCCCCCTTTGCCGGGCCTTCAACCTGGCCGGGTGCTCCGTTCACGTTATATCCCAGCTTATGGGACTTCAAATGCCATGGTGATAGCAATGATAGCAAGCTCGGCTGAAGCCCAACAGTGGATGGAATAAATCCTGCACCAGTTGCTAGATAGTCAGATAGATCAGATAGTTTATCCCTGTAAATCATTCCATGATTTGGAGTGTTGAATTATGTCACCAATAGTTACCAACTGGTGCAGCATTTCTTAAACAGAATCCATGAGAACGTTGCAAATCCATTGCAAGTGAACACCTATACACCTGACATGACTACAGGATACAAAAAAGGCAAAAGGTTGAAATCCATGGTCGAAAATCTGCATTTTATAGATATGCTCGAAAAAAAAAAAGTACTCAAAACCTGGCATCCTGGAAATGATGAAGAACTCCTTACCAACATCTCCATTTATTGATTTATAGATTGATTTATGAGCAACGCTGCTTTTCCGGCCATGTTTGATTCTTCCATCCACCGATCTTGGCCCAGGAACAACTGGTGGGGCATCGTTGGCGGCTGGGAGGTGCGGGTATCTCAGAGGTGGCATTGGGGGATTTTCCTGGAATTTTTGGGTGGAATTCTCCTCAGATGATTTTCCCTGACCAAAAATCTCCTGGAGATTCGAGAATGGATATTTTCAGAAGGATGTTCCATAATTTTTCGGAAAAAAATGTTTTTTTTTCGTGGAGATCATTTCAAAAAACGGATATTGAAGCGACTGACCAAAATGGATTTTCACTTGGAGGCTCCCATTTCGCCGGTGTTTGGCAAACAATATCAAACAATGCGTTCTTGGCCAACTGAACCCCTGAATCAGTTGGTTGATGACAATTACAACGAAATATGATAAACGATTATACTTTTCAGTTTAAGGATGCTCATTTCATATTATTGATATGAAACGGGCATTAAGATGATTACTACTCTAACTCATCCATGGGAAGCCACATGCCCAACCATCGTCCAAACGGCTCAGGTGGAGTGGGTTGTTTTGTACTTAGCAAAGTCCACGAACTTCGAAAGTCAGTTACCAGAAGAGACGCAGAGCAAAATCAACGAAGGCCGGGCCCCGTAACAAGAGGGGGTGGATCCCAATGGCTTCAGCCATTTTAGGCTTTGGGATTAGCATCATGAGATATCATGATAATATAATATCCCACCTATGGGTTAGATTGTGGTGTTTACTCACTGTGACATCCGAAAAAAACTTCACTTTCCCCTGGGGGAGGATTCCCTTCAGGATGTCGTGGGTATCTCGTGAGGAGACAGTGGTCCTTTTGCCAATTTTCCAATCTACAAGACAGAGCCCCTTGGCCTGACGGAGCCGGGCCTCCCTGCAAAAAAAGACGCCGACTTTTCACCATAGAAACCGATGTTCTCTTGGGAAAGTAACATGTGACTACTGTTTGCAGCTGCAGAACCTATGATGTTCCTATTTCGCCATCTGAAAAACCCATCATTGCTCGTGAAACTTGGCTTAAACTTCCCCTTTATTCATCGTTCTGTGATTTTGCTACTTACAACCCGCTGTTTAAACGGTATTTTAACCCTCCATATGGTGAGATTTGCTGAAGGTGACTTTGCAAACATGTTCCCTATACTGGTTGATTTGCTGTTGGGAAACTATTGGGATTCCCTTCAGGGTATGATCGGGAAAGCCATTGATTGTCAAGCAAGTCTTAAACAGCTTAACAGTTTGTAATCTTCTTTGAACATTCAAGACTTATAGATATTTGCACTTTGGCTGATTGAAGAGTAATTCAGTGGATATATCAATTGATCAGTGGATATATCACTTTACAAATTGATCATGGATTACTTTTCAATTTGCCACTTTATGGATCTTTATGGTATAATCACTTATTGATGAAAAGATAGGTTTTCAAAGAAAACCTGGTTTTTGCTGCAAACCCCCGGTTTTTTTTTCAGTTTTTTCTACAATTTTGTAGGTCCATGGCTCCCTTGGGCTTGCAGGTGGATGTTTTCACCGTGACAAGTGGAAATCTTGGGCAATTCACCACCAGACATACCCTCTGGTTGTGTCAAAATAGCTATTGAAAATGGCCATTTATAGTTGATTTTCCCATTAAACATGGTGATTTCCCATAGTCATGTTAGTTTACCAGAGGGTATGGGACATTGTTGGCACTTGACTGAAAACAAACTCAGAAACAAAACACCAACAAAAACATTGGATATGGACATGCTGGGTAGTTGACAACCAATATATTAGGATTTAATGGGTATATCATATGAATATAACTACTTGACCCTTATGATATCTTCTTTTAAATACATGTTTGGCAAATGGTTATAGATGACAAATCACAATAATCGTTTAAGTTTATAACATATATATGTTATATGAATATAATTGAATATAAAGTTCAAATGTGTGTAAGTCAGTCCATGAGCTAGTTAACTAAATCCTCATTAATATCAATTTATATATGTATATAATGATACACATGTCCATGAATTTACCTCACATAGTTACATCCATTGATATATCCACCCATAATCAGCACAAATCCCATAATTGTGAATCGTTTAGCCTCTGGTAAACGTTTACATAATGGAACATCACCATTTTCAATGGCTAAATCCACGATGTCCATGGCCATTTTGCCAAGCAGCGACTTTTCTATGTTTACCTGGCCGGGTATAGTCAATGGCCATGACTCAGGAACCGATTGATTGGAGGTACCAATCCCATATATAAGGTCTATTTTTTAGGCCTTAATTTCAGGGAATATCCCCAGAAAATATGGCCAGAAATATGGTACGTTTACGTACCTCCATTTTAGGATGCTGAAGATCTCCCATTGAAGTATTGACACCCAAAACCCATTAAATCCCATTAAACCACCATAAAACCACCATTTTCAATCAGAAATAGCCATGAATTTGCCATGGTTTTCCCAAAATCAGGATGCAGAATGGCGCCGGAGACGCCATCGGCCTCACCACGGAGCAGGTGAATTTGTTGGCTGCGCAAGGTGCGGTGAATGACCAACCGAAAAATCGAACGGGGAAATCACCGTTTTAGGCGTTTTGGAAAACCGAAAAATCACCATGGTTATAGATATTTTATAGATTTATAGATGGTTGATGTTCATATTTAATGGTTGATAAGCATGATTCATCAGTAATTATCATTACTCACAATCAGTCATCACTGATCGGGAATTATCAGCCATTCTCAACTATTATTATCATATATTCAAATATATTCTCATTAAATACAATGTGAGGCCCCTCATTTATAACTGCAAAAGCTCAGGTAGCTCCAACCCAAGCCACAGCCTAGCCGCACGAAGTGCCAGGCAGCAACAGCGACAGTCGCCTTTTCAGGCCTGCATAGCCAGTTGAGGTCTCATGCGCCCGCCCTGGGCCAATAGCGTCGGATGACGCAGGTGAAAAGAAAAGGGTCACGGAAAAGGTGCAAGGCATGCAACTTCACACGGAGGGAAATTCTTGGCCTCACGTGAACTGCATACCAGGTGGTGCATTCACCACACGCACCCCATGTTCATCAAAGAACTGCATGGCGTCTTCGCCTGGAACCACTAAATCCTGCCGTGAGCAGACAGCGCACGGTTGGAAAATCCTAATCTCTCGGCCACTATCGTACAGCTCATCGCATTCATCATCGCGATGCCAGACTGAGCTTCCATCCTGGATGTGGATCTCATCACCAAGCGGGCATCGACGAACATGCTGTCGCACATCCATTTGAGCTTGGTATCCAGCACCCAAGTCTTGCGTCGCCAGCGCCAGAGCTCCTTGAAGTTCTTGGGCTGCAGCACGCTGTTCCACAAAAGCTCTGCGGGCTCGATCATAGGCAGTGGTCCTTCGGCCGAAAGACTCTCGCAAACCATCGTACATCACCACCAGAGCATTGGCACGGTGGTTTCCATGTTGGGTCTCGACTTCCAAGTCGTCAATTCGACGCTGAAGTCGCACCTGGTCCGCTTGAAGTCTCCAGACATAGATGCCAGCGCAGCATAGGGCCAAAATGGCCAGCACCAAGAAGATGGACTCCCAGCTCTTTGAGCTTTCCGTCTTCACCTCCTCGTGCTCGGTCAGGCACATCGCCATTGGGGCGGCAGAGGCACCAGGCAGCTTCATCAACCACCATATCACCATCACCAGCTTGAAGAAATTCTTCCACCAGCATCTCGCAACAGAGGCATCCATCGCCAGAGGCGTCAGGGCATTCTGTACCATATCCACATACTCAAGAGGGTCTGCGGACTGTGCAAAGTAGGTCTCGGCAGGGACCTTGGCATACTGTGACATCATGTCATTCTTTGGAAATTGGGCATTCTTTGGGGTCAGGTCATTCGTTGGAACCTGTTCAAAGTCAGAAACCAGGGCATTCGTTGGCGCCAGGTCATTCTCAATCATTTCTACATCTTCAGAAGCTTCCAGCTCCTCCTTGATGATTCGCAGCGCAGACTGCGGTTTCTTCCTCTTGGTGTTTCGGCTTTTCGTTGTGGATTCCAACTCATGTTTCTTCTCCTCCAAGGTTTTCTTCTTCGCAGCCACATAGTTGGGGTCGTACAAGAATTTGATGCGACCATGGCGCAGCTTGTTTGCGAGCTGCTGTCGCATACTGTCCTTGGTCAATCCGTCCGCCAACTGGCGGTCAGATGAAACCCATCTGAGTCCACCTCCAAGACCAGAGATCTGCTCCTTGACGACGCGGATCTCCAAAGAAGACCGTCTGTCGGTCACATTTGACACCAGACTCTCTCTGTGGTAAGAGTCAAAAAGTGCCTTGGCATCTGTCACCAAGGTCGGTGCCAAGCTCGACTTGAGGTTGAGCAGGGTCGCCAGGGGAACATCAGGTTGAAGAAGATGTTCATAGTACCTGCAGGCAAACCCGGTGGCGTCTGCAGCACATCCTGCCGACTGAGCTTCGGCAGATAGAGAGCTACGTGCAACTCTCGGCAGCTTGAAGGACTTCCAGTCCAAGATGTGGTACACATCTTCCTGGGTCTCCAGCACATGCTTCGGGGCCAACAAAACAAAGTAGCCACCCTGTGAAGTGCCGTCGGGTCTGCTGCAGAATGACGCGTCAAACGCAGTGATCATCCGAAGGTTTTCCACAGGGCCAAGTGGTGGAAAAGTCAAACCCACATCACTGTTTTCCTTGGCAAACTTGAGAAGGCGGTTGGTGTCCATGGCCGTCTTGAGAAGGCCTTTTGAAACACTGCCGGAGTACACTGAAGTGCTCGCTTGTAAATGCGGGCTGCTTTGAACGGCAGGCCACTGCAAAGAACCCAAGAGCCCTCGAAGCTGTGTCACCTCCGATTGGGACATCTCATGTTCAGGACCCAACCGAGGCAAAGTCATAGGCTTGACCTTGTGCAGGTACTCCTTGTGGTGGAGCTTGATCGTGCCATCAGGGCTTTTGGTCATGGTGGCACCGCAGTATTCCAAAGCATCACCATCTTTCCATTCTCTGAAGGAGAACGTGTTGCGCAGCTCTTCAATCACCTTGCAGTAGATTTTGGAAGTTTCATCACCGCATCCAAGCATGTCATCAACATGTAGGCATATCATTCCAACCAAACCACTATCCAGGAAGGGCTGTTTCGCCTCAGTGTCAGGGCCATAGAGCTCTTCAAAGTCCTGGGCATACACAAGGAAGCAGCACGGGTCCAGCAAGTGCTGGCGAAGTCCAAGTGCTTTGAGTCTTCGACATGCTTCCAGCCACCATCGTCTGGGAGCATCCAACTGTCCATAGCAAGGCTTTCGGAGAAGCATCCTCGTCTCAGGTCCACAGCCAAGTAAGGCCAGAGCATCAGCAGGAAGTCGAATCCAAATCTTCCGCTCTTGAGGTAGACCTTGAAGGAAGGCAGTTGAAATGTCCGAAGTCCAAAGCTTCCAACCCAAAGTTGAAGACAAAGAAATCAACATGTTCCTGGAAAGTCTTGTAGTGGTTGGACTGCTTGTTTCAAGCTCGCCATTCAGGGCATCCACATCAGCATAGCCCCTCACGATCAACCGTGCCTTGGCTCTAGGGGAGCCATCTGCATTCTTGCTCCAAGTCAAGAGCATCCGAGCCGACAAGGTTCGACTGGGGTCGGCATTGGCATCGGTGTCAAAGATCCAGACATCGTTCTGGAAGAAGGACTGAAGTTCCTTCGCTTTGACAGCTTGAAACAGAGCTCGTTGATCCACATCCAGGCGTCTTTCATCCACAGTCTTGCTGTTGGTTTTCTTGGCCTTGGTCTTGAGGTCACGACCAATCTTCTTGGCATTCAGGTTGGCATACATGCCAAGTTCACGCCTGGCTTGACCAGTGATCTGGTACACAGTGGCGCCAGTCCAGGAAGTAGAAGTAGAGGAAGTCTGGCTGCCATCATCGTTGTGGATCTTCAGGCTTCCGTCAGGAAAGCGCATCATAGTGATCCGAATTGGATCAAGGTACTTGGGCTCGATGGGCACGTCCTTGTAGTCGTGGATGTTCATGGTGTTGCGTCGGGGTGCAATGTGGTGTCTGATCAAACACCCAGCACGCACTTCCCAAAAGTCATGCAACACATCTTTCAAAACGAAGGCACCATCAGAGTCGACATGCCATCCAGAAGGCAGATCATCACCTTGGATGTCCTCCACATTGAACACTTGAGAGTAGCTCTCATGAGGTTCACCAGCAGAAGCAGGCCTCGGATTCGGAGTAGAGGAAGTCGGCTCAGCTTCACCTGGATCAGCTCGATGTCGAGAGCGAGAGCGATGAGCTCTTGATGTGGAGGGCAACACCAAGGTTTCATGCCGTTCATGTTGTTGTCGTAGAAGTCGAAATCGGTCATTTGGGCCAGCTGGCTCATACATCGCCACAGTGGCAGGGTCCAAAGGAGGCACTTGTGCCGGAGATCGCACTGAAGGTGGTCGTGATGGCTCCTCACTGGGTTCAGTTTCATCAGCAGTTGGAAGGTGAGGCCGTAGAGGCACGTGTGCAGGAGGAGGCATCACTGCATCGGAGTCATCTTCCACCAAGATCGGTGGTCCACCAGGTTCTGCAGCATCAGGCATCGTTCCAGCCGGAGGTAAGTCCAGGCCCTCCAAGTCCATGGCTGGATCAGTGTCATCCAAAGGCGTTGTTGGAGTTGGAGACACATCAAGTTCAGGCCGCTCCACAAAGTCCAAGTGTGGAGATAAGTCCAATCTCGGCCGTTGTCGAGGAGGTCCAGGAGCACCATCATCATCATCAAAGAGCTCCTCTTCATCGGACTGAACCTCTTCAATGTGCCTTTTGTTAGCACGCTGCAGATCCACAAAGCGGGTGACCCCTCTGGATTTCAGCTCAGAGACAACTCGTCGAGCTTCTTCAAGGCCACCAATGTTGGTGTCAGAGGCCACTCGGTAGTCGGCACGGACATGTTGAGGAGCACATCGAAGCAGCTGGGTCTGATGGGCGATCCAGTAGACGATCGGCTTTCCTTCGGCATCATCTTCACGAAGGATAACCCGAGCAGGGCCTTTCCATCTGACCTTCACCAAATCAGCTGCACGTGCATCACGCCAGTACCAACAAATCTGGCCCGGCTGCAAGAGCATGTTTGTGCCAGAGTAGCGCCTGAGAAGTGCTCGTCGAAGTCGTTGATCTTGGTCTGCTTTGATCAAAGCTACCTTGGCTGCTGAACGCTTCTCCAGGGTCTGCTCGAAGTTGGAGCCATCCAAGTGTGATGGATTCAGGCCTTCGCTGGTCAGGTCGCCAGCAAAGTCAGGCTGATAGCCCAGGACCCATTGAGTGGGAGAGTACCCCGCCACCGTTGGAGAAGAGTTCACCTGGGGCAGCACATAGGCCAAAGCTTGTCGAAGTCCATCAACATCTTTGAGACCACGATCGTTCATGTAGATCTCCACAGCTTTGCGTAGAACTTGGTGACGTCGTTCTACTGCACCCAAACGTGTGTGGGCTTCTCCCGGTGCTACCGTGTGGAGAATGTTGAGCTCAGCCAGGAAGTCGATCATGTCCTCATGGAGCCAGCCACGTCCTTCATCTGTGATGAGTTCCTTCGGCATGCCAAAATGGCGGAACCATCCACGTTCCAGTGCCTTCTGGTAGTTGGAAGCTTTCTCGGCCTTCACAACAGCTGCAGCTTGATACTTGGTCGCCAAGTCAATGAAGTGGACCACAGGGATCTTGTCCTTGTCCAGCTTAATCCACATCACATCGGCCTGCAGCTTCTCGTTGAAGTGTGAGGCTTGAGGAAGGGCAGCAGGAGCTGCTGTGTTGGGCTTCCGGTATCGTTCACAGGCACTGCAGTGAAATTCTCTGGCTACCTTGAGAACTTCTTCAGAAGCACCACGAGATTCCAAGAGCTCGATCAGGGCCTGTTTGGGAGGATGGCCCAAGTTCCTGTGCAGTCTTTGAACTGTTCTGACTGCTTCCTGCCTGTTGCCGCTGAGCAGCTTGATCAAAACTCCAGTCTGCTCGCGCTCTTCAGAGACCGCACCAGCAAAGTCATACAGTTGGGGAACCTCAGGCACCATCAAAGCCGCTGCCAAGATCGAGGCCATCGACGGCTGATAGCTTTCCATGTGCCGAGTTCGAAGTCCAAGACCCGGTGCATGGCCTTCAAGTGCACAATGTTGATGATCCCCTTGACATCGAAGTTGAAACTCCTTGTGCACACTCATCTTGGTGGTCATCAGGCTGGTGGTTTTTCGAACAGGTTTCCAAAGTCCATCCCTGTCCAAACATTCACATCCATAGCGACACTGATCAAAGACGCATCGAAAGCCAGGCAGCTTGCTCAAGGAAGTGGTCTTCCATGAAAGAGCCGGTGCAGGCTGCTCCACGTGGGCGTGGCCACCTTGAAGAACTTGGGTCTCATAGACCTTTCGCACGAATTTCAAGTGCACGGCGTGATGCCATTCTCGAAGTTCCTGCAAGGCTTCCTGCTGCTCCAATGTCTTGGCGTTGAGGTTCTGCATGGGGCTCCAGGGGCTGCAAGATGGTGCTAGCAGCACCTCATCTGGAACTTCTGCTTGAAGTCGTTGAAGGAACAACTTGCGGTGCTCGGCAAGGTCAAAGTCCCATCCAGTGGAGTATCCAAAGATCTCAACTTGGGCACCCAAGCTCTCAGCAATCTTGGAGACACGGCCCTCACTCGTGTAGACCTCCCAGATCAATCGAGGCTTCGGCTCAGCATGAAGTTCTGAGGTCACATAGCCGTGGAGCTCGTTGTGGGCCTCGCAGATGATCTGGTCGCAGGTTCGAAGTAGATGACGTGGAACAGGTAGTTCACCATCGGCATAGGTCTCGGCCGGGATGTCGTCATCTACAGTGATGAAGGCAGATTCCTGTTTGCAGAACTCCTCATAGCCAACAGGTCGTGGATCCAGGTCGCCATCAGGAGCCAGTTGCAAGTCAAACTGGAGAGGCAAAGGCTTCGACCAGTCCACAGGTTCAGCAGGATCCCAAAGTCCAAGCAGGTATTCTCCATGTAGGCCGATTGTGGCTGGTCGCCAGGGTCCATTGCGCAGCTTGATCTGCTTTTTCTCGAAGTCCATCGTGATCCCCAGCGCCTCAATGATTGGGCGTCCACAAAGCAAAGGAGTCTCACCAGCCAACAAAAAGACTTGAGCTCGGCCATGATTGCCACTGATGCACATTGGAAGTTCAACAGCCCAATGCGCCCAAGATTCACCATCACCTCCAAAATGAAACTTGTGCCTGCATCGGAAAAACTTCACATCAGCCACAGGGTAACCTTGTTGTCGGAGAAAGTCCAAATACCGACGAACAGGTCCATAGCCGCTGAGGTATGCTGAAGCTCCAGGATCCAGCATGGTGACATCTGGCCTCTCAGCGCCAGTCTGGTCCTGGAAGGTGACATGGGCGTTCTCCAGCATCGCCACGCTCTCAGTACATTGCAGCTCGCTTGGTTCCCTTTGGACTCGAACTGCCTTGGGTCTTGCTTGGCATGGGGCAGTTCACAGCGAAGTGTCCAGGTTGTCCACAACGAAGACAAGTGAGTGCAGCTTTAGAGCGTCCTCGAGGGTCAGTAGGCTTCATGGGGCTTTTGTTGTAGTGGTAAGTTCCCGACTTACCTTTGGAAGGCTTGCCCTTCGACTTGCCCTTCTTTCCTTTGGAGGACGGGCTGCCAGCAGGTGAGGTCACACCAGGGGCCAAGTTGCCAGCCGCAGGGTCATTCAAGGCGACCACAGGGAGGAATCCTCGAGCCAGCTTCAAGTCGGAGAAGCGACGTCGAGCATCCACATAGGCTGCATAGACCTCATCGTAGGTGTCCACGTCCTGCAAGACAGTCTCAGATGGATCGCCAGCGGTCTCCTCGTACTGGTAGTAGGCGGCCTGAGCATCAAACTCATCGGCATCTTCCCATTCATCATCGTCGCCACCATAGTACGAAGGTGATCCATCATCGCCCTCATAGTAACCCCATTCATCAGTCCATTCATCACCATAGTTGTTGTAGAGCTCTTCAGAGTCCGCCGCATCCACAGCCACATAGCCACGGTTTCGTCCACCCTTTCCAAAGCCACGTCGGTCATGAAAACCAGCCTGAGTGGTGTGCTTGTAGTCCTGCCCAAGCACCAAGTACAAGGCTTCAGTGACCTTGGAGATCTCGAGCTGAGGTGCTCTCAGGGTGATCAACTGCTTCTGCTCCTTGGTGAGGTTGCAGCGTCATAGAAGGTGCCAGCCCTGCACGGCATTGGGCAGGTCCACGCCATGCTTCGACAAGCGCTTCAGGTGCTCGTTGTGGAGCGTCACAAACTCCATCAAAGACTGCCCAGACTTCCTTGAAAGCCCAAAGTAGGCATCGAAGTCTGCCGGCAGCTGCACCCGGCTGTCGTACTCGAAGTGCTGGTCCAGGATCTTCAGGATGCCTTCAAAAGATCCTTCCTTCTCAGCTGTTGTCACGTCGAAGTCCTCCATCAAGCGCCATGCAGCGCCAGTCAACGTGCTCACCAAGTTGATGACTGCTTCACCACGGCGATTACTCAGAGCCATCTTTGCATGGTACAGCTGTATCCTTTTCCTCCATTCTCGATAGTCAGCCGGCTGTCCCGTGAACACAGGGATGTAGGAGTCGCGCTGTGTAGGGCTCTCCGGTGATGTCGCGGCAGTTGACATTCCTCAGGAAGTCCTTACCTTCGAATTCAGTGATCCAAATCAGGTGCTGGAAGATCTAATGGCCGTTGGTATACTGTAAGAGGTCCAGCACTTGGATCAGCGCAGCAAGGGCCAGCAGATCGCTGGCTCCGCTACCAATGCAAAAGCTCAGGTAGCTCCAACCCAAGCCACAGCCTAGCCGCACGAAGTGCCAGGCAGCAACAGCGACAGTCGCCTTTTCAGGCCTGCATAGCCCGTTGAGGTCTCATGCGCCCGCCCTGGGCCAATAGCGTCGGATGACGCAGGTGAAAAGAAAAGGGTCACGGAAAAGGTGCAAGGCATGCAACTTCACAATAACTTATAAGTTGGTTTATAAAGCCCATGAACTCCAGTTATAAGTATGGTTGACTGGAGTTATGTTCACCAGCTTCGCTAAGGGGACATAGCTATGGACAATCAGCTGTTTTTTATAGGTAAACAATGGACAATGGCTTTCTAATTGTTTAAATTTGTTTAAATTGAAATTGTATAGGTAAATATCTACAACCATGGTTTCTAAAGAATTAAACATAGGTAAATCAGCGAACTTCCTGGCCATGGCTTCCAGTTCACAATCCCGTGGTGAAAACTCACATCGCCATGGAAAGTGCGTTTGCTGAAAATATAAACTGCTTGGTTTGGAACATGAATGGATTATGACTTTCCATTTTTTGAGAATGTCAGAATCCCAACTGACTTACTCATATTGTTCAGAGGGGTTGAAACCATCAACCAGTAAATAAGTGAATTATATAATATATATATATATACATAGATAATATAGTTCATATTCACTTACAATCTACAAGTATAAGGCGTTCTATATCGTAGTATGATATTTTTCATTACCATCGTCACTGACCATTCGGGATGGCGATGGAGAGATATTACTAAGTCTTGCAATTCGATTATATGGGGTATCGTAGGTAAATCCAATAGTAAACCATTCCCAATAGAGGTTTATTCTCGGGTATACCGGATACCTCTATTTGGGATGATGATGATGATGATGATGATGTAAATGGACGCAAATGGTTGTTTAATGGGATGGTTTTCTATTAGGTTCAGCACATTGTTATAGTGTGTATGTATATATATAATACATGTATACATACATACATACATGCATACATACATCATATATTATATACATATATTATATTATATATATATTGTTTTAGAACTATATCCATAACTCCATATCTCTGTTTCTAAGTTTGTATGTGTGTTTGTCTATACTATTTATATATCTACTTGTTTGTTAATCTGCCTGTTAGTTTGTCACTCTATCTGTTTGTTGGTCTATCTCTATGTATCTACCGAAGCATCTGCCGATGTGATCGAGTCCCCGGGCCACATTCGCCAGATGTTGGGAAGCATTCTGATGTTTTTTGTAGGAAAATCACCCATTTAAAGGGGAAAACCACCATTCAATCAGCAAGAATCAGAATGTCAGTATCTCAATCATTGGCTGCTTCGAGCTGTGTCAGGTGAGTGGTCGGTGCTGGAAAACGCTCCCCTTTTCACTGAACTTTTGAGCTGATCCGCAACAAGGCCGAAGAGCGGCCTTGGTGGTGGTTGAAGACCTTCAACCTTGTCTCGATCGTAAAGTCAGGTGTCCCAAAGTTGAGGAGCGTTATAGATTTTGACTAGTCTTTTTAGTAATTTCCGGACATTGTGGCCTTGCATACGCCTTTCACACACAATATACATTTTTTTTTCATTCGCAGGCTTCAAAGGAGTCTCCTTGCCGCCTAATGCACACAGAGCGGCTATGCAGCTCCAATTAAGTACAAAAGACCCAAAGTCACCTGTCCTGAAAATCGGGAAGCCATGTTGCTCCCCGTCTGATCTGGCCACAAAGCACACACACAATATACGCATATAAACATAAAATAGATAGAACGACAAATAAGTATTTAAATAGATGTAAATAGATAAAAACATAATAGAATAGGATAAATAAATATATAGAATGTACACTAATATAGAATTTTACCCATATGTTTGGGTGCCTGAATTGGCTTCTGAGTTGGCCAAATTCTGAGGTTTTAAAGATGCCGGCCAAAACCGGCCAGCCAGAAACCATCAGAAACCTCCAAAAAATGCGGCGTTTAACCATTTCTGAGCGGCACTCGCCGCATGGCTCTCTGGCGATACTTTTGCACTGCCCCGTTGGGTCTGTAGATTTTAATTTGTTTGGACCGCTTTTCAGAGAATCGTACACCGGTTTTACTCAGGTGTAGCAGCACCCAAGGATCGATGTTGGGCAGTGCTGCATTTGGAATTTGGAATGCGATTCGATAGACTTCGGTGATATTTTGTAGCTTTCGCTTGCCTCAAAGTCAGGCTTGCCAATGGGCGCAGAGAGATTCTGAATCAGGAGAAGAAACATGAGAGAATCGATGTTGGACAAGCCAACCCTTTCATTTTTCTGAACCAGTTTATGCTGAATTTTGGATGAATCCTGGGGTACATAGGCTGCCCAGCAATCATTTTTTTGAGACGGTTTCCATGCAAGTTCCACGTGCAAGCCACGCAAATGAGTGGAACAAAGATCCCAAACTTCTGGGTGAATTACACAAGGTTGTGCCCCATAGCTAAGTTGGTTTGCCACTACCATTACTAGAGTTTATTGGGGATATATATATATATATATGTATATTTATATTATATATATATATATTTATATCTCTATTTTATATGTATCTGGAGTATTCCAGAGTTAGATGGGGTACCAACCAAGCTTGTTTGGGTCGTTGGACGGAGGTCGTCACAAGGTCGCATTTTTCGAAGGCGATGCGAAGCGATCACGGTGAAATCGGGGGATTTTAGAAAAATGTGGCCTCTTTATGGGTTAGATGGCCCATATCCCATGAACTTTAGTATGGTTTAGGTGGCCCAATATTAGATGGCTTATAAACAACAAAATAATTCTGTCTGAAAATGCCATTCTCTTAGACCAATTCTCACGATGAATGCGCCCATTGAACATTGTCCAGTGCGCATCTGACGCGCTGGATCTCAAATCGAGCCACGCAGGGCGCAGCGCACAACGACACTCTGGTGGAACCTCTACCAGATCTAAATGCTGGATTTTTAATGGATTTTCACCGGCCACAGTTGGATGATAATGCCAAGTCTGGATCAATTTCGAGGCTACTTTAGAGTCAACAGTCAGGGTCTGGACGAATTTCCACATAAATTTGCTTAACCTAGCTGAACTTGAGGAAGTGTGGTGACTCTGAAAGATGTGATTCTTAACCAAGAACATCCAATAGGCTACACGTTTGCCATCCCTTCAAGGTGGGGACCCATGGCCAGAGATCCGATCTCATCCCAGCTGAAAACAGAGCGCAATCCCATGATTCTGGGACTTTCAGCCTCTTTAAGCCCTGGCAAGATGTCCTCATCGCCAGGAGTGGCTGCTGCCCACAGAAAAGGTCCCGGAGAACTTTCTGGAGGCGTTGGTGCTGGAGACTCGACATGGTGAGTTCGCAATGGAGAGACAGAATCCAGACCGAATCCCAACGTGAAAAAAAGGTCCCAACAAATTGAAGATCATCAGCTGATCATCGTCATCCAAAAACGATCCGAAAATTCAGGGGGTTCGTTTGAACATAAGCTTCGGAAGTAAATATATGATTATCCGACAAACCCACTTAAATCATCAGTTTCTTTTGTCCCATTTGGGCTTCCCACAATTAGACAATGGTTGGTTTATGTTGGTTTTATACCCCGATTGAATGCATCCGATCCGACTGTTGGCACTTGCAAAGCTATAGTCTAGTACATTATACCAAAGAAATACTTGAACAACCCTCATTCAAATCAAATTCATCACCCATCAGTCGTTCTTCAAAAACACTTCAATTGCTTGTTGTTCATTTTCTCAGAATTGGTCACAAGACTGAGAGGAACAGCTGTAGAATGTTCCTTTCAAATCCTCAACATCAATTTAAAGTTCATATCCAGAATCCGCTGTTTTTACTCAACCGGATTTTAAAAACAAATAAAGTCTTTAGAGTCTCGAGATGACAACTTTACTTAACTGGCATTTTAGTCTTTCAAATATGTTCAAATACTTAACATCAAGGTAGTGAATAAAGAACATCAACTAACTCACTAGTTAAGTTAGTTACCCTCTGGTAAACTAACATAGCTGTTGAAAATGGACAACATTTATAGTTGATTTTCCCATATTTTCCCATTAAAAAATAGTGATGTTCCAGAGTTTTTCGTATGTTTACTAGAGTCATAGAACTGGATGATGGGAAAATTTACAGGAACCCCCTATATTTTATGGTAAAACCCATGGTTTCCTGTAGATTTTCCCTTAAGCCAATCCATTGACAGAGGCTAAGTTCTCCTTCCAATCAACATCCACATCCAGCCCGGCCAGCACACGGCCAGCTTCCCACGGCCAGGTCCCTGAGCGCTTGCGTGAGAAGAAGCGGAAGTGGGGCGATGCCTTGGTGTTTCGGCTACCCATCGCCATGACGGGTGATGGGTATTACCCTCTGGTAATGACTAACATAGCTATGGAAAGATCCACCATTTTTAATGGGAAAACTCACTATTTCAATGGCCATGTTCCATAGTTATGTTAGTTTACCGGAGGGTATGCATGTTCTAATGATTAATATATTCTGGATATATCGTGGATATATTGTGGAGATATTTTGGAAATATGTTGGAGGTATTTTGGGATATATTATGGACATCACTTGGATATAACTTGATATAACCATATATATATATATACTTATATATCGATATATTATATGGTGATGACATGTGATGACCAATGTTTACCCTCTGATAAAGAAACACATAACTATGTAAAATCACCATCTTGAATAGGTAAATCAACTATACATGGTCAATTTTCAATAGCAAACTGTTAGAATTACCAGAGGGTATCATTGATATATTATGGATATATTTGGGTAAAATATAACAACCTCACTGCGACCGAACCCTGAAATCATGGTTAGGATTCGGGAAATTCATAACTTGATAAAACTAACCTATCATCCATATATATGATGATGACCCAATGGTTATGGATGGTTAATGGCTATTATTTATGGGTATTACCATGATTAATGCATTTCTTCAAATGGTAATATCCATATTACCCTATGGTCCTGGTTAAAGACCCCGCCGGTGGTTTTTGATAATTTTTGAGTATGGATGATTATGTTGTTATTGACCCGCATGTAAATATGAATGCGACTTGTCAATATGGGATATATTCGAGACGTATTGATCATAGGTTTGTCTGTATATTTATATAGAATAAACATGAATCTCCAGTTTGAATGTGGTAAGATATGGTAAAATGATGTAAAATGGCAATGTGGATAATGGATCCGCTCTGATGATGGTCAACGTCACCATCCCCAATGGAGGTCTTACATATTGAAATTGGATATGCCCCGTTTTTTGGTAAAATGTCCCGCAAATGATTAGCCAATGGGCAATCTGACTAGCTTCACCTGATATATTTTACGGACCTGCACGGTGGAGTCTCTACATCTATGTTACCCGCTTGTAAACGTTTACATAACTATGGAAAATCAACATGTTTAATGTGTAAATTCACTATTTCTATGGCAATTTTCAATAGCAAACTGTTAGTTTACCAGAGGGTATGTCAAAAATTATTGATGCTTCAACTTGTATATTATATATGACAGGGCTATGTTGGACCATGGGTGGCCTTAGGGGATGCACCCGGCAAGGCTTCGCCTCTAAATCAGTTGGCAATGGAAAATCACAATGTCCAATAGGTAAATTCATCTATATTTACTTATATACATACATCAAAAAAAAAATATATATATATATATAATACTCTATATATATACATATTATGTGTGTGTGCGCGTGTGTAAATGGCCCATTAGCTATGTCAACATTTCCCGGAAGGTAGGTCATTCCTGAGGCAGAGCGCGCCCCAAGCGATTGGAGCGTGGCGTGTCGGGTCCCTATGGGTCCCTGGTGCACGGAACTGGTCACTGAGCTTGGGATTATTCCAGTTATATAATGGCTATATATGGCATATATATATATGGCTCAACATGGGTTATAAGAACTAAATGGGTGGTATAAACTATAAACCCTAAAAATGTTGATGGTTTATTAGTGTTTTGCCAACATTATTCCAGTTGCAAATGGGTTATAAGAATTAATGGTTACTCACTATAATTCCTAAGTTACTAAGTGGGACGATTATCCCACTTAGGAACAGCTTGTTCATCATATTTCATGTTAGTCAAGCAATAATAAACCACCCGTATTTTGGTTTATACCATGCATAAAACATGGTAAAATTGGGGATAGTGGATCATATTGCTTTACCAGAATTAGGGTTTGTTCATTGTTGGATTCCATTTGTCAGGAGGATTTCCTGAGGAATAGGACCATTCAATCATTCATCAGTCTGGATTTGAGGTCTAGATTCTAAATACCCTCCCCCTTTTCCTGGGTATATTAAATGTGAGCGGGGAAAGGATTAACTGAGATATAACTGATATAACCAAGGTTTTGACATGAATTCAATGAGACATATTTACCCCAGGTGCAACAAGTTAGCCTGACCTGAAAATAGTGTACCCCAAAATACATTTGTTTACCATGATATTAATCCATTAAGAATGCAATTGTTTGGGTATACCCAATTTTCAGACACAACCCTATTCCTCTAGCTATTGAAAATGGTCAATTTACAATTGATCCTATAAAAAACTGGTGATGTTCCATCGCTATGTTCGTTTACCAGAGGGTATCCCATTCAAAAAATCACCTATTTTGCCGGTGCATCGCCCAGCGAGGCGTGGACATTGACAAGAGCCTGGAGAGCAGCTGGACACAGCTGCGCTTTGAGACTCGGCGGAAGGAATCATGGGATCTCTTCATGCGAAATCACCATGTTTTATGGAGAGTAACCATTGAGATCCCAGGGTAAAATGTACCTATAGTTTTTTTGTACCATAACTATCATGGTGATAAATAATGGTATATAATAATATATAAATGGCCGTAATTATAGGTATATTATGGTACATTAACTATAATTACGGCCATTTTCCATGTCGCAAACTGTTAGCCATTACTCTAGAGGGTAATGGGGATATGAATATAAATGAATGGGATATGTATCAATATTGGTGGTATCTACAGTGGGAAATTGATGGGGATATGTAGGGGATATACTAAGAAGTACCCTCCGGTAATTAGTCAAACATGGCAACTGAATCCAAGTTTAATGTGGTTTTAATGTGAAAAATCATCCATAAATGGTGAATGTTTGCTTACCAGGGGGTAACTATATATTCCAAAATAGCCGAGTTGTTTTTTTGGTTGGTGAATTATGATGAAACACATCCAGATATAGAATGAACATCCCTATCTATCTATTCGTTGTGCTGAAACCATCCAGAGCAATGCTGAAATGCACTTGGCATATGGGTTTGTTTGAGAACACACCCAGACTTAAATGGTTTGTCATCACGTTCTCGATAAATTGGGGACAGTCATTACATATTATTATATTGTGAATCCTACATGAGGAAGAAATGACATATGTTCCCTCTTAGGGTTGGAGGTTTCAATCCTTATTGATGTTCAAATCATATTCTGGTTGATCCCCAATCAGTTTGGCCTGTTCATGGGATCAAACCACTTAAAATCTGCAGGAAATCTGATGGCATTTGATAACAGTTAGCCACTCGCTTACATGTTTCCGGTGAACATGTTCCAAACACCAAGGCTTTTGACATCAGATGTTGTTCCCATCCACCATTTTTCCTGGTGAACTCTCGGTTTGAACCATGGTGAAACCCTTGACTAACTGTACTAACTGCCTGGTCGAGGTCGCTTGTTCCGCCGGATGCCAGCCTCCAACACCCAGGATGGTTTGCTGGGCACCATCACCACGCAATTCCGAAGCCGGCCCTCGGATGGGGGAGGAACAGGAACTGGCTGAGCTGCCTGAAGTACATTATCATTTAAGTAATCTCTGCCGGATCGTTGGCAATACCAATTCCCCGGTTCAATGAGTTGTATAGATGATTTTTCCATATTGTTCCATTAAAACGTTCACGTTTAATCACGTTTATAGGTACATACCTCCAATAGGGGACCTCAACATGAAAAGATTCACTGGGCTTTCGCTTGGTATGTGACCTGCGACCTGGAGAAATCCATACGTAGTTTTGTAAGCCCAGCATGGCTCGGGCTCCCAAAATGAACGGATGCAAACCATTTCCCCACGTTGTTTCTCTTCATAAAGGGTGTTTCATCACGATGATGGGGAAGAGATTGGCACTATTTAAAAGAACCAACCGCCAAACAATGGGTGACTGGAAGATGATTTTCGCATCGGAACACGTCATTTTGGTGTCCTGGGGGCTATGTTCTCACATGACCTCACTGTTTAGCAAGGGCGGTTGCGGACTCCAGCGATTTGTCGGGAATGTTACCTCTGGGAGTATCCACGCCATGGCCAAAAAATTGGATTATCTACCCATTCTTGGAGGTCGTCACTTTGCCCGGCTGCCATAGCCCATGACGGATCCATGGTGCTGGTATATATGCTAACATGACTGGGGTATATTGATGGTAAATGTTACCATACCCAGACACTCCATGTATGGAATATTTACCTACATTTACCCCAAAAACGACCCAAATGTAGGTAAATATTCCATAGGTGGAGCATCTGGGATATATAGCAGCACCATGGATCCTATGGGTAGGGAATATGGCGAACCCATGCGAAGGGATGTCGCTGGCACATTTTTCTCCAGGACTTATGGACGGAACACCATGGGTGACAGCACGATGTAGGCCGTCCATGTCGCTGTATAGCAACATATGCACCCAACAATCTCCAGCACGAAACAAGAGGCATCCCGTAGCAAACCATCTTTTTTGACAGTTTCCCAGGAGAAATAGACATGGATAATCATGGATATAGCTTATTGACATACTATAATAATCCTTCTTCAATACCATAATAATATACATGGCATATACATGGCATATATCTACCAGGTTCAAGTGACATTTCCGTTGGGTCCCCATGGCGGACGGGGATCCCATTGTGAAAGCTTTGCAGCGACTGGTCCAAGAAATGGAGGGGTCCCGGTGCGTATCAGTGGAGTTTTCACATGTTTTTACCAGCAAAATGGCAATATCAACCAAATATCAATGGGAATTTCAGGATCCAATACATGGAGGTACGTTAGTACCATATTTCTGGCCATATGAATTGTGGGGATATTCCCTACACCATGGCCATTGAAGATATGAACCCTGCTGTGGATCATTGGGGGATAACCTTCCCAATCTATCGCATCAGTCAATCAGTGAAGGTAAAAAATCCGAGGCCCTCCCAGCCTTTTCTCATCCACCACCAGCATCATCGTGACCAAAGACAAAACTTACGGGTGATGATAAAAATAAGAAGAATATGCAATAATCACTCAGTGGTGCCAGCCGTAAACGATAACAAACACGGTCGATATCATCGATATCATCAATATCATCAATATCATTATTGAATATTATTGATATCGACATCGGTATCATCATCATCATCATCATCATCCCCCGCGCAAGGCATACTGCCGTCTTGCCCAGGAAAAGCAGCATCGCTCAGACCCTGAAGGCCGCGCGCGCGTCTCTGGCGGAGCCGTCTCGGCCGTACACGCCCTTGGATCGTCCCTTGGTGAAGGGGTTTCCAGGGGACGGAACACCTGTTTTTCAGCCTATGATCCTAAGATAACCTATGGTTTATGGTACCTATAACTATAGTTAATGGGGTTTATAAACCATCTTATAACTCATCAATGGCCATTTCAGGATCCGATTCATTGGAGGTACCAATCCCATATATAAGGCCTATTTTTTAGGCCTTTGATCTAGGGAATATCCCCAGAAAATATGGCCTGAAATTCCCATTGATATGATCCTAGGATATTTTCACATATTTTAGGTATGTTTCTTTACTTTCGTTTGTAGTTCAGGTTTGCAGCCGAACTAGGAATCATGAGCAAGGGGTGTTTGTGTCTCGTGATAATGCTTTGAAATGTACAAGGGTGGTATCAAAGTGCATCAGTCTCCAGATTACTTTCATTTTGCTGCCTATCAGCCCTACCATTTCCACCAGGAAAATTGATGAACAGTGTTTTCCAAAGTCAATTTTCTATGATTTTGTGGTTCCACCACGTTCCATCTTAGATTCTTTCCGCCTAAGCCTCGCGACTTCGAGGATCGCTCTTTCAGCGCCCCAATGAGGGCAGCGAGCCGCGTCCTTCCAGCAGCTATGGCGTGGATCAGGTGCAGCCCCAGGGCCAGGCCCTTTAAGATCCTGGAAGTGTCAGGGTGGTGCCCCGATGTCGGAAAAAAGATGGTTGAAATAACATGACATAGCTGCAACAACTGTTGGGTGTATGGATGTTTCTGGTGCATTTAGGTTGCGTGATCTAGATTAATATGATCTATAGCTGATGGGCTTAATGAATCTACTTATATCATTGGGGGGGCACCACCTTGTGGTTAGTAGAGTTACAAATGCGCCCTTCTAAATGTGCTAGTCGCGGACTTGGGACCAGTCCAATTGGTTTTGCATATTAGGGAAGCTAAAGGGCCAGGTTTAATGTAGGGCAATCGAAATCGAGAGCCCGCTTCCCATGCAAAATCAACAGGCATACAAGTCGAAAGAAGGGAGGCCCTAGTTTGTAGGTGGTTGTCACATTGACCATCACCCCATTGAGCTATTGATCTGAAATCGCTGAAGAGTGTCTGAAGTGGGCAACGAATTGTTGGAGAAACCTGCGAAGATGCGTCACTGCTTTTCTTTGAGCAAATTCCAGGACCTCGACACACAAACCCAACAGTTTTGCAGCGGGTTATTTTCAAAACAAATCGGTTTGCAGCAAACTTTCTGGATCAATCAACCCATGCTGCAGTGATCATCCCCCCATATTCAAGATAGAAACAAACCAGCCAGTCTCTTTCGGATTGTCCGACGGATTTTTCCTAAAAAACACCATTAAGACTTGTGAAAAGAATTCCTTCATGGTTATAAATGAGAACATATGAGAACTCGGCTCAAACTATGATTATTATACCGTAATAATACCGATATGTCAACGCTTTAGCATCAATGGCTGGCTGTGATTTTCAACCGGGGGGTCCATGGCTTATGACCCGTCCCCAAAAGTTGCTGCTTTAGTGACAATGGCAAATCACTGGAGCAATAGCCTATACTTAGACCCTCCAAGTACTTCCATGTTGACAATACAATATCCCATAGGATCCATGTATGCTATATATGGTAACATTTACCATCAATATACCCCAAATGTTAGCATATATACCATACATGGATCCTATGGGTATGGAATCACTAGAATGAATGTGGGTAAAACAATGTCATGTTTACCATCCCCCAGTCATCACCATTTTTTTTGGGACTGGTGGTTACCAGTCCCAAATGATTTGACTGGGTGGTTTATGGCATTGTTTTAATCACATTAACTGGTATTAAATGTTTATTGCTGTTGAACATAAAATATCGAATCACTGTAAACGATAAATTTTATAACCATAAAATAGGTCTCCTGTCTCCATAGGTTGGGATCATAACTATGTATCTTAGTAAATTATGACGACCTCACTGTTCTGCCTCACTGGAATCAATTCTAGGATGCGCGAAATCATCCCCAAATGGCCTTAATTCAGATTAGTGAATTATTAGAATTTACCCAGATATTACTACATAATTATTATATAACTTAATATTGCTATACTAATTTACCCAGATATTACTTATTATCATAACTATACTATATACATATATCAGGTATTTGGGTAGTATCCAATATTATCATAACTATAAATATCTGTAGATATAAAAATACTTATTATCCATAACTATTTTCATATCTCCCAGGTGACCTTCGTTCGCGACACCTTTGGAGCCCGCCCTGAGAGTGCCAGGTCCAGTCGATCGCGACCGGACACTGGGCGAACCGGGGGACGGTTTGGTAAACGTTTATATAGCTATGGAAAATCACCATCTTTAACAGGTAAATCAACCATAATTAAATTATATTAAATTGGTGATTTTTATTGTTTTTTAGTATACATATAAATGTTAAAATGTTAGTTCACCAAATATAGTTATCATCTATTCATGATATATACATGTGAGTTTACCATAGAACATGTAACATCTAGTAATTTCACAGTTTGCTATGGGTATAGTTACCATTAAATCATAGGTATTTCAACGAACTAAATGGGCCACGGCTTCAATAGCAAACTGCTATATAGTCATTACCCAAGGCCATGGTTGTTATGGTTGGACCAGGGCTGGGTTGGTCGGTTTTGATGTCCAGTTTTGGATGGGAGAATCGTGGAAAACCTCTGGAAAATGATGGAACTAATAGGGAAAATCTATAGAAAACGGATGAACACGGTGGAAATTATATGGAGGATAACACAAAATGGTGGACAAATGATGGAAATTGCATTTATGTGGAACATATGAAAACCATAGAAAATCACTTTCGACAGTAGGGAACGGTTTTGGAACATTGGAAACAAACACAATGGACACATATATGGAAAACTATGGGGCACACATGGCATATAAACAAAAATGTCAATATGGATGTGGAACGTGTTTGAACCCAGTCTGCAGAATGGTCATATGGAAACCATGGATTGCCAGAGGGTACTTTGACCGATTCGAATTCATTCCATCCATCGCATGGTGCACAGGGTAACATATAGTGCACATCCAAGATTCATGCGAGTGCCTGCAGGTCATGTGTGTTTTAGCTGCAGAAAATGTTGTACTTTTTCCCCTTTTATCAGTTATTATATGTATTGGTTTCATATGGCTTATGGTGTATCTCTTGAACCATCTTTTAGTTCTTTGCTGATTTTTTGACGCACCAACAAGAGCTTCGATACATTGTTATGAAGTGCAGATTCGCTGTCACACGACGGGAGCAATGATTGGGATTTGCTCAGGAGTGGTACTGTTATGCGGAATGTTGGCCATGAATGATGTGAGGAGTTTCCAAAATGGCAACCCCTTCCCATGCATTTGGTATCCCAGTTTTCCCATCGTCTCCTGGTTGCAGCACCTTTTATATGGCGTTGTGTTTGACCTGGCAGGTGAACGGCAGTTGTTCATCGTTTGTTTTTCCACTTTGTCCCGTGTTTTCCCGCCGTTCCACTTGACCCAGAGATGGTGAACCAACGAGGGTTCTCAATGGAAATCCATAGAAATCCTATGCGTTTTGGCCATTTTTCGCCCAAGTTTGCCGCTAGCTGCGCCACCAGCATCTGAGGATACCATTCAGGAGGAGGGCGTGCTGGATCAGGCGGGTCAGATGCAGCGCTGGGGGTTCCTGGGTTTCCCATGGCACTCGTTGATCATATGCAAAATGGCGAAATAGCAATGGAAGAATTGGAGAACATGTCATTCTGCATATTCTACCACATCCAGAAAATGCCAGATGACGGGCACATCAGATTTTTTCTGGGGAGTGATGGAAGTCATTGTACCAGAAGTACGATGGATTGCAACCGGGAAATTGTGGAACTAACACTGCTTGGAGCGTATTCCGAGATTCTCAGCTGCTCTAGGAAGTGGAGAGCAGCGGCAGCGCGACTGGGCCGAAACCAATGATTTGTGTGGGAAATAAGTGCTGAATTACTGGTTCAATTGGGTTGATAAGAGTTGATAAGAATTCATGCGCAGTTACCATCAATTAATTACCTTTTTGGTGGTTTGGAACATGTGGATTATTTTGCCGTATATTGGGAATGTCATCATCCCAACTGATTCATATTTTTCAGAGGGATTGAAACCACCACGATTGTTCCTCGATTGTCTCCCGCGCTGCGAGAAAGTCGCTGACAGCCCGCTTTTCGGGCACTCAAACCGAACTAATCACAACCATGGGGAACCTACATCTCTCGTCTCCAAGGGCACCCCAGTGCAGTAGAAGACCTGCGCACACCTCCAGGGCAATGATTCTGCAGCCACAAATCAACCCAGTGCAAACGGTTCGGATCCCATGGAAGAGCCAAACACCCTGTATGGAGCATCAAGGCTGCCGATGAAGGCCGGCAAAACTTGTAAGTGCAGGACGCCCCCAAATGGCGCAAGCATTCTTTTAACACTTTTGCAAACCAGCGAACCCTGACATGAAAGGAAATGGACAGCAGCTCCACCTCCGGTGTATTGGCATCTTCAGTCCAGCCTCGCAAGTGTAGGGGCCCACTCTCACCACACAAAGAAAAATCCAAGTACAGTTGGATTGAAACCACCAACCAGTAATCCATTACTGAGATTCTAGTTCCAGCATTCGATGAAGCACGTTCTACGCGTGTCGCTGGTGTTTTGCGATGCCTAGCGCTCGGCTTGCAGCCAATGATTCAATAGTAAAGGATTTTTTTTTGTTTGTAGCACCGGCTGGACAATTCAGAATGTGGGATCATGTATATATGTAATCCATATTCAAGGCTACAATGAGTATTATAAATGGCATATCCCAACTTAAGTATGACATGATATATCCCAAGATTTTTTTAATAAGATAACCACTATCAGTTTTGGAGATTTTTTTGCCACTAAGTAAGGTTAATTAACCACATCTAAGTAACCAACATTTTTCCATAGCCCTCTGGTAATTTGAGGTAGCTATGGAAAGCCAACAATAAACACACAGACAAATCATCATAAATGATCTATTCTTATAATAGCCATGGCTTCCATAGCTATGTGAAATACCCATAGGGTGCACGTGATTTTCATTTTTATTAATCAACCAATCATCTATCAACACATTTGTGGTTAACTTTCATTTATACTTCACATAAACAACAAACATATAGGCTTTTATGGTAATAATCCATGATCATCTATGATAGTGAATAGATAGTTAATAGATAGTTAGATAGCTAATAGATAGTTATATAATCGATAAATTATATAATGGATAATCAATATAATGAATAGTTCATAGTACTAAGAGTTAATGTTAATAGATACTTATTTGGTAATTACTAGATAGTTCTCATCAATCCAAGATAGTTAATAGATAGTTAATAGATAGTTCATCAACAGTTAATAGTACTAATAGTATCTTATAGTGTCTTATACACTTAATGTTAATAACTTAGGTCCAAGGTAATAGTTGATGATTAATTAATGTTAATTAACTAATCATCCAAGAACTTCACCACATCCGCCAGGAGGAGCTGACGCCGGTGCAGGCCACCCCGCCTCCGGCGGCCCGCGCGACCTCGGGCTCGCTGGGTGCCTCGCCATCGGGGCCGCCCAAGCCGCCACGGCCACCGGGAGGATATCCCGGCAGCGGATCCAGGTGGAAGACTTGGGATGCTGGTGATGTGTTTTTTTGTTTCGAAGATCTTGGTGTTTTCAACTTGTGGTTTGTATTTAACGGAAAAGTTTGGGGTCAGATAGTGTTTTGGGATGGGTTCGCATCACTAGCAAGCCCTGGCAGGGCCTCCCTGGGCGGCTATCCGGATGGCAATGAGAAGTCGCCCATGCGGTGCCTTGATGAAAAAAAATTGGGGCTGAAGGATTTCTGTCATGTTTTATCAATATTCTTTGAAGATAAAACAGTAAACTAAGACTAAAATTAGGGGAGCAGGTAGAAACGAAAATCCACAGGAAACCTTTCAATGCCTCTATTTTGGTGCATTTGTGTGCTGAACATTCATAGTATTTGAGGCCAAAAACATATAACACTGTGTAAAACTTGGAAACCTCTTTGCGCCTATTTTGGGGACTCGCCACCAAGACTACTAAGAGAACAATAATCATGAAACAACGTGTGTCCTGCAGGGTTTCCTTGAAAGTGGTTATTTGAAATTAAAGCCGTGGAACCAATGGAGCGTCAGAGTTCTTGAAACACTCCATATTACTTGGATATACTTGGCACATCACGAGAAAGAACTCCAAGTAAGATCCGCCCACCATCTACTCAATCATTCTGTAGTTGACCCACCATTTGCTTCATTTTTCTCCCAAGATTTCCCACAGTTTCCCCTCAGCCTCCCAAGGCTCTCCTCGTCCTCTCCGCGCCGCCGTTTGGCCAGCCTCTCCGATGCGCCAGGGACCCCGGGCTCCGCTGGGCGCCGCTCGGGCAGCGGCTCGCGGCGTGCGAAGGGCGAAGATCCGGCGGCGCGGCTGGCGCAGGCGCTGGAACTGGGCAGCTCGGCAGGGTGGACGCTGGGATGGGGAGCCTACAATCTGGTGAATGGGATTGGGTTTGCATGTTTTTTTTGCACGGATTTCCCCAAAATATTGAGTCGAGGTTCAAGATTTGACCCCTATTTCATATCATACGTGCCCAAGAGGGCCGATTTGAACGTCAAATGATAATGCTGTTTCATTTGTAGATCCAGTTGTATATGCAACTGCTTCCCCCATTCGCATTCCCCCACCAGGGGGTTTCTGCTTTTATTGGATCATGATTGAGCCCACTTGACCCTGGCGTCCTAGGAAGCGTTCCGGTGCCTTGGCAGGGTTAGCATGGAACTTGCTGACAGGTGGCTCATATACCCTCCGGTAATTTAACGTAGCTATTGAAAATCACCATTTTTAATGGGAAAACTCACTATTTCTATGGCCATTTTCAATAGCTACGTTAAACATAACCAGAGGGTAGATTCCATCAGAAGTGGCTGTAGAATATGATAGATGGGATATGAATATTCGCACGCCTCTAGCAGATCGCAGGAGTGGATGAGAGTGCCTGGCCCATCCTTGACAGGTGGCTCGAGCACCCTGCGAGGTGGTCATTGGCAGATTGCAGTCCTTGAAGGCCTCCAAAGAGCCTCAGCCAACTGCTTGGGGATGGGCAGGGGTTGGCAATCTTGCGAAAAATCTCGCATCGGACTTTAGATATCTTTAGATTGCATATGTTTGTTTTTCTCCCTTTTTAAACTTTAGATGTCAATCATCAACTTTTATGGACTGCTGCTTTTTACTGTGGCACTGTGGGAGAGAAAAAAACAGCCGTTGAATGGGCCGTTGAGGATGATCCATGTTGATCCATGTTGAACAGATCGCCCCTAGGCCATCAGCTGCTCTCAGGACAAGGGGCTGGACAAGGAGGACTTTGCTCAACTCTGCGACCGGATCCTCACCCTGACGAAGGAGATGAAGGCCAGACGCATATGCCGCATATGTTTGGGATGTTCATCATCCCGGTCATGGTTGTTTATATGTAACTTTACAGTAGACTTGTAAAATCACCATTCAATCATTGATCAGTGGTTGATATGTCAGGTTCTATCAGAACTGAATGGTTCTTTCTGTCATAGATGCAGAATGTATTTGGGGAAGCTGTGGTTTTTGGTTCGTGTGGCAAATGGTGTGCCACAAACAAGAGGAAACACACCATCTTACCTTTAAAAACAATGGCAACTATTTTTTAGAGGGCCGGTGGACCAGATATATTCATTCAATCATTCATTCATATTCCATATTTGTTCTAGGTTCTTGGAGGGTCTAGGTGGGCTGTCAACATGCCATCACTCCCAGAATATATATATATATATACAAGTGGAGCATTTACAGGATTCCCACCGAAAAATCAGGGCTAAAAGTCAGCCAGTTTCAGGTTTCAGCGACGGTTTCAGATGTTCCAACACATTGAATTGCAATGAATTAATTACAGCTATTACCCTCTGGTAAACTAACACAACTATGGAAAATCACCATTTATAATGGGAAAATCCACTATAAATGGTCATTTTCAATAGCTATGTTAAATTACCAGAGGGTATCAGCTTTTTAGTTTTCATAAATCCACCATGTTCATCCATTTTCCCTGGTGAAACTCATCATGTCATGGTCAGCCCCCATCTACCCATCGTCAGGCGGGGCAACATGTGGACTCCTCCGCGCAGCTGCTGCGGGAGATCATGGGATTGATGGACGTGAAGGATTTGAAGGACGTCGGAGCAGTTGATAGATGGGATTTACATCCCATGATTTATAGATGGTTTATCCATGTTGATGGATGGGATTTACTGGTTATATATCCTGGAAACTGGTATTATGGAGAATTTCCAGGAAACCAATGGAAATACTGGTTGGTGGTGACTGGAACATGAATGGATTATGACTTTCCATAAATTCGGAACAATGATCCCAACTGACAAACTCATATTTTTCAGAGGACTTGAAACCACCAACCAGTATAGATGGTTTATCCGTGTTGATGCATGGTTGCGAAATCCTGCACCAGTTGATAGATGGTTTATGAATGGTAAACATCCCATGATTTTGTTGGATTTAGCTGGCCCATTCCGCAGTAGCAAAGATAGAGATGTGATACTTATGCGTAGATATCGACTATAGACTATAGATTATTCTAAACTGTTTTAATGAATCTCACGTGATTGATGACTATTGAATACCAATGAGAAAATGATAGTGCATAGGCTAGATTCACTTTGGTGTAGATCTATTATATACTTTACTTAGTACTTGTTTAAGGGAAAATTTACAATGGGTGACATTCAAGCAGTGGGAGGGATCTTTGATCGGTGCAATCCAGAGATTCCAGTTCCTCTCCTCCACATCATTTTTCTGGGGTGTACTGGCCATTGAGTTCGTTGATTTACTGATCAAACATGGTGATTCTCCATAGTTATGTTAGTTATTTAAACGTTTACCAGATAACATGATGGCATAACTAACATAACTATGGATAAACATAACCTACATTAAACATAGTTTACCAGAGGGCAAAAGTTAAATGCTATGTGATGTAACATGATGTAACTATGTTCAATCCCAGAGATAGAGATAGGGTGAGATCTGCCACTGGCTGGAAGCCTGTCCCCAATGCAACCGGATGTGCTGGGAAATAGGTTGCCCATTACCCTGAAGTCATTGGTTAAAGTTAAAGAATTAAACATCATTTCCCTATGAAAGTGCTATATATTGGGGGCGTACCATGGCGTACCCAAAATTTTCAGACAAGCCCCACCCAAAAAAAACACTTAAATTTGATTATATATCCCATAGAATATCTCCGTAAAGTTCAATTAAATCATATCATATTATCAAGTCCCGATGTTCTCTCAATGGGTGATTTCTCCAGTAGGAGTCCAAGTATCTCTTCAAGCTTGCTCGCTGTGCTTTGGCCTTGCTGTCTGTGGACGCAGCCACTGCCGGTGTCCCCATCTCTGGAGTCCAAGCAGCGTCACTTCGGCAGCGCCGTCCGGCCTGGCGTAGACCCTAAGGTAATTTGTTACATAGCTATTGAAAATGGCCATTTATAGTTGATTTACCCACTAAAAATGGTGATTTTCCATATAGTTATGTTAGTTTACCAGAGGGTAGACCCTAAGGTATCAGAACATTGCACAAGTCTTGTTCAAGTACTCGCAGAAGGAGCCGGGCGGGTGTTGCTGGGCCCCAAGACCCCAAGAGGGTAGGGCCTTTGGGCCGGGCCCTGTGTTCTGGCGACCCATGGCAATTCTGTTTGAAGCCATTTGCCAATCCAGAATTGCCTTTGTGCTTCAATCATTTCCAGTCCATTTTCTGTTTGAACCATTTCTTGGTCATGCAGCTCTATGCACTCAGTTTCAATCCATCGTCATTTGTTGACCACCATGTCTGGAGACGTTCCCGACAGGAAGGCAATGATGCGGAGTTCTTATCCGCCAAACTCATTGAGCCCTTGATCGAAGTGGCCCGGCATACGCCCTCATGTTGAGACATCTCATCAGCTGGAAACCATATTGAAACCATGGCTTGAAACCATGGCTTGAAACCATGGCTTGAAGCCTGCCCGATCTCCCCAAGTCACCGAGGGTCTTAACCTAGCTATCTCAATGGGACTACAGAGGTGACAGAGAGAGTTTTTGGGTCACCAGGGGAGGGGTTACAATTGAATTGGGGAAATGGGATGGAAACGCTGGGAGGTATGTTGATTTTCCTTGCAGATCTTGCAGTGATCCCCTAACATTTTTTCTTCAGGGGGTTGAACACCACCAGCTAGTGATACGGGGTGGACATAAATTATCATAAATTGTTGGTTGACAGAAACTATAGAGAAATAGAGCTCCATGAGTCTTCACATGACATGTGCGCCCATTTGCCCACGTAGACGATAAGGGCAGGTTGAAATTGCCACCCTATCAAATATAATACTGTATAATATATATATAATATACCCTCTGGTTATTTAACATAGCCATGGTATAGCTGGCCCATTTATAGATGGTTTACCTGTATATTAAACATGGTGGATCTTTCCATGGCAAACTGTTAGTCATAACCAGAGGGTAGATCTAGTTCATTTCTTGGGGACACCCATGGGTTTTTTCCGTATTGATGTTTGGATGTCAGGTCACTATCCAGTGCCAAGCACCTGCAAGCCCTTGAGGTGCTAGAATCGACTTCGGACTCATGTTCATCCACGGATCTCCGAGAAACTTGGCAAAACATGGAGGATAATTTCCAGGAAACCAATGGAAATACTGGTTGGTGGTTTGGAACATGAATGGATTATTTTTCCATCTATTGGGAATTTCATCATCCCAACTGACAAACTCATATTTTTCAGAGGGGTAGGTATACCACCAACCAGAAACATGTTCAGATTTTCCTGCAACCAAGTCGACTTGGGAAATCTTGGGAAACTGCGATGCGTTTGTACCAAGCAGGGCAAGCCCCAAAAATCAGCACTTGTCCTGTGCCACATGGTAGTTCAGGGCAACACAGGTGCCCCCAACAAAATTTCAAAGGCATATAGCCATAAGATGCCATACGATAGTTCACAGGGCGCCTCATCGCTCCTCAGAGAGAGGTGGTGAGACGGCCACAGCCGCTCAAGTTGGAAATCATCCCGACTCCCCATCCTTGCGCCGTTGACCAGGTTTACATCGTTGGCATCCTGAAGAACGTGTCGAACGACTCCGCGAATCAAAAACTTCTGGCGCAGCGGGGTGCCGTTCACTGCCATGAAGTTTAGCATGTTTTTTCTAGTGACCTAGACCCTCCAAGACCTGGAAGAATGGGGTAAACCCATTATTTTGGGACTCTTACATCTCTTACCTATTTTCATGAATATGTGTAAGTCCATATGGAAATATGAATTGGTGTGTTCTATCTGTTTTTATTCTCGGACTTTGGGCTGCAGGGCGATTAATGCTGTGGCTGGTTGTCCTCAGCATCAGTCAATGATTTTGTGCTTTACTCGATAAAGAACCCACGGTTTTCAACAACCTGTCTACACAGCAGCTGTAGCATTTCTTGAAACACCCCCCCTGAAAACTTGCATGAACCTGCCCCAAAACTGGTTTCGCAAGATGATCTTCATCGCAAATCATCGGTCTTCTCTGGTTTCCATCTCAACCTTCAAGGATGTACCCTTTGGTATCCCCAGCATGTAGAATCAACATGAATCAACCAGACAAGTCCAGACAACCCAATGATTTTTTCCGCTGCTCGATTTGCGGCACGGATCAGGTTACTGCGCTCTTCAAGTTGATGGACCTTTTCCCTTTGCTTAGCGCGTTTTTTTTGGGGGGATGTGTCAGGTGGATGGTTACACCTGAAACTATCTGAAACAGACATGTCTTGACATGTTCCTTACCAGAAATGATGCTGAAAGAGTCCACTGCAACGATGTTCAGGTTCGAGGATTTCAAACGACTTATATAACGAATCTTAATGATACTTATAGTATACATAGACATGCCCTTTCATCAGAGGCATGACATCAAACGAGAGCCAGTCCCGGGCGCCCTGCAGCCAGTCCCTTTCGCCCGAGGACGGCAAGATCCTGACGGGAACTCCAAAGGAGGTGCCTCTGTTGATCCAGGTCACAGCCAGTTTGAGGAATTTGGCCAGCAACCAGTACAAGCAGTTCCTCACAGAGGACAGGACCAAGGAAAACCCATCATGAAGATCCCTAGATGATGCACCCGTTGGAGTTGCCCAACATGGTAATTGATGGGTTTTTGGGGTGAACTTGCGGTTGCTGATCTTTGGTGACGGTTGATGATGTTTGGATGGGAAGTTCTTTAAAGGAACCTCCAAACGGACCTTTGGAAGAAAAACAAAAATAACAATACATAAGCGGCCTGAAACGAAGATGAACCCCCCAAAGAATGGTTTTGCAATCTGATTTTATTGTTGGGAATGCAAAGTGATTTGTTCCATGCTGGATTTTGGAGGCATTTTATGTTTGCATAGCTGAGCTGGGTCGAGAGGTAAAAGATCTGCCTTTTCTGCACTGTCATTGCTGGGTTCACAGCCTGACAGGTGACTGTGATGGGGATTTACTTGGTAAAACTTGGTGACTGGTAAGTTAGTGGCTTGTTTTGTCCCATAAGTGGCGCAATATGGAAAAATACATACAAAAAAATAGCAGTATAGGGGCAGAGTGTCAAAGATTATCCATGTTTTTTTGTGTTCTGATCCCACATTTCTTCACTATTCGATGAAGATCCCAATGTCTCATGACGTTCTTTCTTGATCCCCGGCTTGCCGGCAGGATCACTTGAATGCCTTGACTAATGTCATGGCCACCTATGCCGGTCATGTGCCTAGCCAGGACAAGAAAAGGTTGATGAATCCCCAAAAAGAGAATGTTTACGGATTAAATCCGATCATATCCATGTTATCTACTGCAAGATGGTGACATATATATAATAATATATATATATTGGGTTTGCTTCATTGAATCCCACTATATCTCCATTGTAATCATTTGTATTCCATATCACCGATATCACCATTACATCCTCAATCAAATCCCAAAATATCTCCATTACATCTCTATTATGCCTTATTTAGCTTAACAAATAACCGCATAAATAATATCCCAATTAAATTGCCCCCTTTATATATCATCCCAATCCCAATGTTCAATATCCCCACAATATCCCCATTTTATATCCCCAACTGAAACTTTTAGCGTATCCCCAGATTGTATCCCCTTAAATGTGGGTAAAGCAATAGGATCTGTTAGAATCCACTATCCCATGTTTTTTCATTTTGATGGGTACGATTGAAAACCATCAATCCATACGGGTGGTTTATGACATTGCTTTACTAACATTAGCTTAATTTAGCTTATATTATACTTTATTCTACCTAGTGATCCATGGTTATCTCACTTCTATACCGTCCCCCTTCCCCCAGGTTTCCCACACTTTCCTCGCACATACTTATAACCCAGTGAAAATTGAAATAATCCATCGATATTGGACTCATTCATCCCTTCCCCCTATGAAAAATACTCCCTGGAAACCATGGTTTAGATTCGTTTAGTAGGGAATGTCCACATCATTGGGATCATAGAATGGGGGTGTTTCATATGGGGGATGAGATTAACCAGGGCTATTCACATTGGTGGAACTCATTACTAATAATGACTATATAATAATGACTAATAATGACTAATAATGACTACTAATGACTAATAATGACTAATAATGACTAATTGACACTGAGAAACACATCATCTCCAACCTATTATAGTTGCTTTACCGTTTTTTAACATGGTGATTTTTCACTTCGCAAACTTTTTTTCTCCCCCAGAGGGTAACATTATCTCCCAGTGGGAGGTGGAGCTCCTTACCAACGTGGCACGCATCTTGGCCAAGCTCACCTTGCACGACAAGGCCGCTGAGGCCTTGGCTCGCTCCGACGCGCCTCGGCCGCGCGGTGGGAAACGTCAGGGAAATGTATGGAAAATCAGCAGGGTTAGGGTTACTGGGTTGCTCCAACTTAGCTTTTTTTCTATCAAGGATATGATTTCTCGCCACTGAATTGCAGGTTGATTCGGTGGGATTCCGACTCAACTCCGTTTCACACATCGCAGTCAAGGAGGATCCCGGAACCGACCGATCCCTGATAGTTTTTTGTTGTTGGATGCAGCGGCGTTCCATTTTTTTAGATGGGTGGTTTTCAATCAGCGTTTTTTTGAGGGCCTAAGGGCATATGGCAACCGCCAGGGTGGAAGTTTGGCAAGTTTTCGGTATTGAGGTGTTAGGAGCAAACCTGTCAATCAACGAGAATCAAGGTTGATTTAAGTGGAACAAGCTCGGCAAAGACACCGACAGTGGGATGACGCCACCAACAAGAAACTCACCAATTAATAGTGGGGATTTAACCACAATAAGAACATTTTCAATGGCCATTTCAGGAACCTAAATTGGAGGTACCTCCATATATAAGGCCTATACAAGGCCTATGTAAGGGAATATCCCCACAAAATATGGCCTTATATGGTACAGTACCTCCATTTTAGGATCCTGGAATTTCCATTGACATGTGGTATCAGAGACACATGTTGATCATAGAGTGCGACATCAGACATCAGTGCCCAACAAATGATGAGACTCCTGGGAAATGTCAAGATTTCATCTGAGAGAAAGGGTCCCTGACATTGGCACTTTTGGCATCTGCTCTGGATCTTGGTCACAGGGACACATTGGGAGTTCAAGATGGAGCTCACTGTGGTGCTGTGGAGCGGACACAGTTACACAGTTGCGACGTATCCAAGAAGTCCAGAGTTATGGTGATTAGATACCATGAATGGTGATTAGAAAACCCTAGCTGGGTGTATCACCCAATTAGAGGTCCCAAGGTACCAATGGTGTGTCGAAAAGTCTTGGAAGAAACCATCTGGGATGGGATGATCCCCAAATCCACGCCGTGCTTTTGTTACTTCCCCAATCATTGTGAGAGCGGTTTTATATTATATATATACACATACACACAGATACACACACATATATATAGATAGATAGATAGATAGATAGATAGATAGATAGATAGATACTTGATGTACTAAACATTCGCGCCACTGGCTGAACCAACATGTTATTTTTTCATTTTTCCCACTGGTTGTTTGAGGAAAGAAAGGCTTACAGTGATGTACCTGCTTGGCATTCACCACCTGTCAAGGTGGTTTCACACCCAGCCATTGAACCTTTCACGCCCGGCTTCTGGTTTCCTGGTTTGGTAGGTTAATATTTCTTCAAGTTGTTTTCTAGAAAAGTGGGGCCAAGACTAGCAACTCGTCATTACTAGATATTACTAGTATCTACTAGTAATACCTAGTAATAGAACATAATTGACTAACAATGCAGCGAAAACCGTGTTGTGTCTTTTTGGGAGGGTAATATTGACCACGAGAGGAATGATGGAACAAATTAAGGCTGAGACAGCTGAGACAACTTGAAACCGTAGAGCAAACGATACCACTTGTTTTTTCCGGAACATTTAGATGACTGGGGGAAATCAAGATGTCTGCCAAGGATTCATGTACACGCCTGGGAAGAAATTGCCCAAAGTACAGCATGGATAGTATGGGTTTCAGTGCCTCGAACTAATATAAGTTGGTTTATATTAAACAATCCAATTATAATCATTATAAACCAACTTATGATCATTATAACCAACATTAATTTATACCCATCCACTAGTATAAGTTGTTTTATCATCATTTTCCCTTTCAACATTTTTTTTTGTTTGGGGGTACCACTTAGTATAACACCAGTCTCGTGTGTAACACCATTCTCGGACACATCCAAACATCATATTATGTTTTTGTCCGGAGTCAGTTGGTTAAATATACGCATCATTTAAAACTAACATAAAACATGGTATATTTAACCAAAAGGAATGATCATTGTTAAAACATGGTATCCCCAAAAAACATAATTAATCACGGGGTGGTAACTCTTTTGAAAACAATAATAATAATTTTGATTTCTTCTCAAATAATATCATAACATGTAGTACAATGTACCATAGCATATCACCAACATGTACCAATTAGAACACCCGAAAAAACAGTTTCCCATGATCATCTATGATAATCTTAGGGTATATGATGATATTTTTTAATGACATATATGCTGTGGAAATATGACAATATCACCATAGCATCCCGATAATAAACATATGGATTTGTCAGGAAATAAGGTACCTCAAAAGTCCTCAAAATCCAATGGTTTATTCTCATTTTCCCATTTAAAGGACTATTTTGGGGTATACCGGGTATACCCCATTTTCAGACACACCCAAATCATATCAAACTGGTTATGAATCCCATTATATAAGTCCCACTAAATCTCACAGAAATCCCACTTAAAATCACAATAATCCCATACTAGTCCCATTAAGTCCTCTTAAATCCCAACAAGTCCCAATAAATCCCAGGAAATTCCCGTTAGTTTCCCATGAATTTCCCATTAGTTTCCCATGAATTTCCCATGAATTCCAAAAAGGTGCACCTCCGTCAGATCGTGCAGACTGTGCGCAGCAACATGGACTCCCTGGCCTTGTGCCTGCGTACCTCGACAGGGAACATCCTGAAACCATGGTTAACTATGGTTATTTATATATCATTATTATATCTTTATATATCCATATATTCCCACTAACATGTTTTTTATTTTCTGGTTTGAAGCCTAGGATCCCAAAAAGTAACCTAAACAAATACGAACAAAACAAAACATGTGGGGATCATCGTGACATCGTGACATACTGTGGATGGTTGCGAAATCCTATACCAGTTGATGGTAAACATCCCATTTATAGGTTTCAACATGTTTCAACCATCCTTTTGGTGGTGCAGGATTTTGCAACCATCTACAGGAGGATCCAGATGTGAACTAAAAAATCATGTACCAATAGATGATTAATAGATGGTTTGGTTATATAATTAAATTCAAATGTTACCCTTTGGTCATTTAACATAGTGGACAATGGTCCATTTACAGATGAAAAACATGATGATTTACCCGTTATATAAACATGTTTATTTTCCATAGCTACGTTAAACTACAACTAATTAGTTTTTCGTAGTGATCATTAGTTAGTGATCATTTTAATAGATTTTGTCATGAACAATGTGATCATCTAACTCATCATTCTTTATCCTAGTTTACCTTGTGGTAATTTAACATAGCTCAGCTCATAGAAAAACACAGGTTTTATAGGCAAATCATCTGGAAAATGAACCATTTATGACGTACCTCTCAGAAAGGTGATGTTCCATAGGGGAGAACAAAATTGTCTCAGCCTCATCTCTAACTGCATATTTTATTGGTGGAACGGTGGAATCTACTAGTGCCAGGTGAACTTTGTAAAGGGCAACCATTTTTCACTTGCCGTGCCTAAAAAGGGAAGCCGACTGTCCATTGGATTGTCGGTTATATCTCCATTTTTGATGGTGAAACACACAATGTTGACCGGATCATGGAATCCACGTGGTGGGTCAAGAAACTTGCTTTCCATTTATATTGTCTTAATCATTTGGCTATTTATAGTGGATTTTCCCATTAAGAATGGTGATTTTCCATTGCTATGTTAGTTCACCAGAGGGTATGTTATCTTCCATCATTTCTATGTACTTGTGAATTTTCATCATCATTTCTATAAGATTCTATAACTATACTTGTGATTGTTCATCAACTTTCTGCAAAAACTTCCATTTCTTCCCTCTGGTAGTCAAACATTGCAATGGAAACTGAACCATTTAGAAGATGAATTTTCCATAATTTTCCCATGACCTCCATTTAGTGCAGGAATTTCCTCCCATTGCCATGTTTGATGACCGGAGGTCTGCTGTTTGTGCTGGGCAACTTAACGGAGCGCAGCGATCGTGTGCGGACGGTCTTCGCCTTCGCGCCTGGGCGAAAGGCCATGGATGTGCATCCTTAGGATCCGTGGATTTTTAATCCACATATAGGCCATATAAATCAACATAATCCCATGTGTAAGTGGGGATATTCCATATAAATATATATAAATATATATTTGGGGGTATACCCCAGTTACTAAGTGGGATGCGGCAGCATGTCTGGCTGGTTCTTTGGTTGGTAGGGAATCATTCCAAACTAACCTTCTTTATTATTGCCAGGTATATGATGGTAATATTATTCTATCAATCCATCAATCAATGGCATGCAATGGAATATCGCAGTGTTTTTCATCATGGAAAACTGTTGGTTGGTAGTCTGTCATGAACCCAATAGTGCGGGTACTTGGTGGCATAGTGAGAACAATCAACTAACGAATATAATTCACAGAATGCGGATATGATCAGGAAACAATGCAGGTATATGAATTAATCCCCAATTTGTTCAATCATTGGGTATACCCTGTTTTTCTTGGGGGATGATATTGCAGATATAACCGTCACATCTTTGCTTTTTGGATGGTTCGCCCGGGCGGCCCGGGCCGCTGTTTGAGGATTGCGAGGGAACTGCGCTGGTTCCCGAATTGTTGGGCCCCTTGGCGGAAGTTTCCAGTTTTTGTCAGGCAATGATGTGACGCGGGGGTTGTTAAAATTGTGAAAAAACACCAAAAACCACACATATTTTGGCCCTATGGTTTGACCCTTCACCCGTAAGTAATCCCCAATGATGACACCCAATAGTGTGCATACCTTGAGGCAAGTATTGGCAGAAGGAACGGCAGCATGCTGCGGAGAAAAGCAAGGCGGGCAGCGCGGCCGGCGCCTCGGAGTTTGAGGAGGTCTTAGTGAAGCTGGTGAGGCGGGGGAAGTGCAGGGGGAAGAAACAGCTGGGGATGGTTTATAGAAACCATTTAGGCATATTTAGGCTCTTTTTTCGCAGATGGTTCTCATAATTGCATTTGCCGGAATATTGAGGAGACACCTGCCACAACGGGATGGTGCCAACATTGTTCGTGATAGAACAATGAGAAGAGAGTGAGACAGCCAACCAACATGTCTTTTTGGTGGTTTCTAATTAAAGAGTTTTTAGTTTCATGTGGGATATACCTCAACCATCCTCAACCCATCTCAACCCCCATGTTCGACGGATTTTTTACCCTCTGGTAAACTAACATAACTATGGAAAATCACCATTTTTAATGGGAAAATCCACTATAAATGGTCATTTTCAATAGCTTTTTGTATGTTTACCAGAGGGTAACCACTACCCTGGACCGGTGAGTCACAGGTTGTTGGCCAATGTTGCCATCAGCCCCAGCGCGGGCCCCACCCTGGCTGCCAGCAGTGCGGTCGCCGAACCCTTGCTGGACATGTTGGGAGCGAAGCGCATCAGCGACAGTGAAGAGCTGGTGGGGGACCCCAGGGGATCCAACCGGGGACCCAACCGGGGATCCAAGGAGGGAGGCACTGCAGACCTGGGGCTGGGACGTTTTTTTTTGTTCTAGGATGAGGCATATGAATTCCGTGTGTTTTGGCTGATCTCAGAAAAAACATGTTTTAGTAGTTACTCAAAGATGGAAAAGTAATCTATTGTTTATTTATATATATATATATATCATATATTGCTATTTTAGTGGGATTATACTTTTGTATTTTGGGGGGGTTAGTACTGGTATGTATGTTCATAATTCAGAATTATATATTCGATACATGCGTGTGAATTTTGCACCAATGTATATATATAATTATATATATATATAGAATGTTGATGCTAGTATAAACATACATGGTAGCAAAAATGATGGCAATAGTAGATTGCCTTATTGATCCTTATTATTGGCAAATTAAGTTGGATGCTTCCAGAAAGAACAAAACATCATGCTCCGCTAGGTCTTAAATGTGGTGGCCGCGATCACCAATTTGCTCTTCTATGATGTGCCAGCGAACCTGCTGTTTCACGAGGATGTTTGGGCGCCAGCTGATTCTTGAGGCGTTGTAGACTTGGAAAGCCAGCAACTCTGCGTTGGCATCCAGCTGGCATCAGATTTGACTAGCAAATTGGCCAATTTCTCTTGGTCAGGTGATCCACAATAATTAACTGTCCATCTCTCAGCTGGCCATTTTTTCCACGGTTTCCACTTTCATGCTTCCATAGATCCTACGACGATGTTACATTTGTCTTAAGTTCGCCCCAAAAAGATAGAGGCTTGCTGAGTGCTGAGAAGTGGTTGGTAACTTGGTCACTTAAACCTCTTTCTCTAGATAAATGAAACAACCCCCAATTTCAAAACCATGGAACAGTATTCACCATTCTTCACCACAATAGATGAGTATGATGATATTAGTAGGAATTTGATGTCCCATTCGGAGAATGTTATAGATTATATTTCCCACATGTTATAGATCATTTCAGTGGCAGTGTTTTTTTTAGTATGTTATATTTCCCAGATTTCCCACATGTTATTTTTCCCACTTAACATATTCCCACATGTTATTTTTCCACATGTTATTTTTGGGCCGGGGAATGCATTGAATCATATGTCCTCCCACGGTCCGTATGGGCACATCCCTGTGAGGAGAGCAAGCAGTTGCTCTGCAGATTGTTCAGGCCATTGCTGCTGGAGTCCTACAACGCCACTTGGATTTTTGGACCCCACCAAAGGTAGATTTGGTGAAAACAATGATCTATATATACTTGATCTATATGTGAAAAAAATAGTTTCAAGATAAATCATAATAAATCATGATAACTCATCATAATCCCTATGATTAACATGAGATTTATATATGATCTATATATTACATTATATGATTTACATACATTTTCAATTTTCCCTGACTTTCCTCATCCTCTCCACATCGGCACATCGACCTAGGTCGAGGCGCTGGTGGAAACGGCCCGTGCCTTGGGCAATTTGTCCAGACATGCGGATGCCCGACGATGCATGGCCAGTCTTCGCCTGGATGAGATCCTTGCGACCTGGTGGCCAGTTCTCATCCCATTTTTTGGGGATTTTGATGAACGATCCTGCTATTTAAATAGGGGTAAGTTTCCCTGACTATGAATATTATGAATGGACACCTGTACGAATATTTGGATGTTTTTTGTATTGGTATTGGTTCACTTCGCCTTTTAACTGGAATTAGCCCTTGATTTTCATGGAAGAAGTGTATATGAGGGGCATCTATGAGGAGCCATGCCACTTTAAACCGGACTTGGGTTAAGTAAGGCTCAACTTACAAAGCCCAAGGGTTTGATGGCCAAAAAAAAACACGCCAAAAACCATTGATTTGATGGATTTCCGGTGAATTTTCATCCATTTTTCATCCATTTTTCATGAACATTTTCCCTGGAAGATCCAGCAGTGAGGTCATTCTGTTGGACCATGATGACCGGGATTTGGTCTTCTATTCCTGTGGTGCTTTGGTGAACCTCGCGGCCGAAGCTTGGCAGCAGTTGTCCCGATTGATTTGGATTGATTTGGGTGATTTCCAACACCTCAACACCTTCGAATAGTAGCAATCCCCCCAACAAAAACCTCGAAAAACGATGGAAAACGTACCTCCCCAAGCATCCCCAAGCTGTGAATTCAGTAGGATTTCATCCATTGGTTTTTGGGCCATATAAAATCCATAAATTCCATGCTGTGTATCCCCCGGCGAGGACTCCGAGTGCATCCCCCGTCTCGCTGGGTCCACGCCGGCGGTGCAGAAGTTGGCCAAGCTGCTGGGAGATGCGCCCTGCAACGATCCCATGCTGCAGCTGGTTGCGGCACCGTGGCGACACATTCGAAAAGGTGGAGCTTTGATGGAAATACAACCCATTTTGCTGCGTTGAACGGGATTTTTAACTGCGTTGTTCATTCCAATTTTTGAGTAATTCAACACCAACATCCTTGTATATCCTTGTTTACGATATGAATTGATATGCAAATCTCATATCTGGTGCAGTTCATTGCAGTTCGTTAGGTCTTTGTTCAGTGAAGTTCGTTGCACATGGACGGTCCCGGATTGGTGAGGTAAAGGTGCTGACCAACCTATCACTGGACTCCCGTGCTGCGTGGCCCATGGAGGATATGGAACTGGTGCGCGGTGTGTTGGCGCAAAGCATTGCGGACAGCCAGGAGCCGTGGTGACCAGGTGTGCTTAGGCTGGGGGCTGGTGCTTCAATGGGTTGAAGGTTCAAGATGTTTAAGGAAGATGGTGGCTGAAGTCAAAGTGATGGCTGAAACTGGATGTTTATGGATGTTTTGTATGATGGCGTGAGGTGACGCAAGGTGGCAATGCTAAGATGTGAAGCCATCTCCAACGGAACCCCCCAAATGACAGAGATGATATGGCATCATCTTCCGCCCTTGGCCTTAGCTTCCTTCCGCCCTTGGCCTAAACGGCTCCGACAATGGACGTTTGCATGTTTGTTTCTACATATATATATATAATATAATATATATATAATATACATATATATGTTGGGATGTCTAACATCATTACGACATATCATGACATTTTCTCACATTGTTTGACATGATCCAATCATCACATTGTCTCACCTTATTTGACGCTATAGTCCCCAGAAGTTGATAGACGTTGACGGAAGTTGGTGAAATCCCACTAACAAAAAAGTCGTATTACAGTGATGATTTCACATGATTTCCAAACTTCGATCTTTTTTGGGGGTTACCCTCTGGTGAACTAACATAACTATGGAACATCACCATTTTGTATGGGTAAATCAACTATTTCGGCTATTTTCAATAGCAAACCGTTAGTCATTACCAGAGTTATGGAAATAGGAAAATCCATGGAAAAATGCAGGTACCTTATATAAGTCATTGGAGGTTTCCTAGTCATCGGGGTTACCTTGATTCATCCCAGGAGGTCGGGGACGATCATGAGAGGCAGCAGCTGATTGATCTGGCCCGACACCTGCAGGGGCGCCTGCCGGCCGTGCCACGGCCGCCACGGCCATGGGCAATGGCAGTTGTTCACCAACGAATATGGTGGGATTATGATGAGATGATAGGATTCTGATGGGATTATCATGGGATTTCATGGGATTAAGACGGGATGATGGAAGTTGACACAATTTAACCATACAGATTAGATGATATTAGATGTTTAGCACATTAACAATGGAATTGAGGGCATGAAAACATACAATGGCAAGATTTGGCCAACAAGTTCGTTAAGAAGAGAACATGATTATATGGCCCATGGAGGTATTTGATGATATTTGATGGAATATATCCATAGGAATCCATACCTATGTAACCAAGCAATATTGGATTTGGGGTGGTCCAACCTTCTTCTAAACAAGAGATAAGCCCAGCAGAAGTCGTCTTTTGTGGCAGTGCTCCTTCATCATCCTTTTACTATTTTGTTTGAACCCTCTTACCTCATTCTGATCCAGCTTCTCCCCCTTCAGACTCGAACGGACCCACCAAGACCCTTCCAACAAAAACACAAAAGCAGGCTGTGTTTGATGCAGTCGGTTGAACGGCAGCGGACCCTTTGTTCCTTCCAGGCGCCAGACCCCCCTGCGCCGGCCGCGCCCGCGGACGCGGAGTGGTTCTACTGCCGCGCGGAGGGCTGCGGGCGCCGCTTCGGCAGCGGCGAGAAGCTGGCGGCACATGTGCAGAGGAGGCATCAGCAGGACGAGGTGCTGGAGACTTGACATAATGTGAACCCATTAATAAAAGCAATTACAAGCGAAGTTTATGAATATGGATTCCCCCAATAGGGTGTCCCTTTATACATGTTACTCCCCATATGGGAACTAGGGGTTTATCAATCCTGGGTTGATAATATATAAGTATATATATATATTATATATGTATGTATTTATTTATATATATAAATGCACACACACACATATATATATATTAATTATTGTAGATCCAGCAGCTGGGATCGAACATATTCTTGTCGGATATCACCAGCCGAAAATTTGGATTTTGGATGGAACGAAGCGTACACACATGGCAATTTCAGCACCAAAGCCCAAACCTGGTGATTTAATAGAGCTTGTAACTATACACATCCGGAGTTAACGCAATTTCATCAACAATTAATTTGGATTTAGCGGGTCAATTACTGTATGGGGTGATGCAACTGAAGTGATGGTAAAATAATAAGCATGCAACTGACAGGAGCAGCAAACATGGAAGATTTTTTTGCTTTCATCTCCAAAAATTGCTGCGCAACCAGCCACAGGTCACTATGAGCCAATAAGTTGCAGCACGATAAAATAGATTAAAGATGGGTCGTATTTGAGTGGAATATCAGCTTTCACCGCTCGGATGTATGGATTGATGTACTGGAACAAGAGAGATACATCTGGATTTCAACATGCGTAAAGCCACCAGAAGGGAGATTGGTGTGTTAGATCCTCTAAGAAGCATGGGGGATTGGGGGTTGTCACCATGAGCGAGTTTGGAGAAAAGCAATAAATGATAAAGATGGCATTGAAAGCAACAACCAAGAATAGTTATATGCTGCAAAAGTGGGATGGACGCCCTAAAAGCTGTGAGGATGTACAATGTAGAGAAATCGGTTGCAACAAAATCATCATGCCACATTGGCATACTTAACAACTGGATAACTACCAAAAATGGATAAAACATGCTTTCCACTTGCCAACTGGGACAGGAGGCTACAAGCTGTAAAGGGAATGGCATCTTCAATCCAGGGATTGAAGTCTCCCAAAGCGGGATTGTAACCAGCAAACACCCAGATCTAGAGAGTAGCACAGATGCTGAAGCAGGGTACAACCAACAATCGTGGTGACAGGTATGGTAGCACCAGCAATGGCTACATATGGCTACCATGGCTGCGTGATTCAGCTACGCTTCATGTTCCATCCTGCTGCCAAGGAGTAATAGTGGTGAACAATTCTTGCAGTGATGGATTTGGGCGAAGCATAGCTGGAAACGACCGCCTTAAAGGAGGTTCTATCTTCATTTATTTTCCATATTGGATCTACAAATTGAACTTGCTACATACGCGGGACCTTTAACTGGTTTAAAACATCTGAGGGTCTGAAAAATCTAAATCATCCATCTACAGGTTCCACTGATTCTTCCGCTCAGTTTTCGCATGTGTTTCGCCCAAACTGAAGGGCTCACAGACATAGTCCTCGGAAACTAGCAGTGTTTCACCTCGAGCTCTCACCCCGAAAAAAGTCAGAGAAGTCCGTGGTGCCTTACAGAGACCTCACTGGAATGATGGTTAGTCAGGGTAACTGTACCACGAGAAAAAAACCTATTTCAGGTCAGTGAAATATTATGATTTACCCAGATGGGTGGTTCATAATGTTCATAGCCCATAGCATTAATAGTTCATAATTGTGTTTTGTTCGCATTATCTATGTCCACTACACCCACACAGCCCATGGATTACATACGTTTTTCACGATTTGTGTTAAGATTTCTGTTTCTCATGTTTCACCAGGTTACAGCACTCATAACCAGAACTGATGGACCAGCTCTTGAGTTGTACTTGTAGAACTGAAAACCTGCTGATTGGACAGCACAATTACCTCGGTTTATCCATCCAGTAATCAAAAAAAAACCTCCCTGATTACATAGATAGGTTGGTCAAAAATGGGAAGCCCACGATTTTCTGGGGAAAAACCTGCTTTCTGCTGGAAATCTATTGATCAAACCAGGTTGGGTCTTTGTCCGGGAACCTCCAGTGCAGAGGCAGGGTTGGGCAGGTGCAAGAGGTTGGCTTGTCTGAAATTTCCTCGCAAAATCACGTTTGTTCATGTTGCATATCATAAAAGCATGTGTTGTTCATGTTTGTAATGTTCTTCCAAAATCATAAATAATGGTTTGCCATCATTTGCGGGTATGCCACATTTTAGGACATAGCCCGTTCATGCCCGTTCTATTTTTTATTCCAAGGTTGGAATTTGTTTGAATCATGAAACCACTTGTCTAGAGTCTAGTTTTTTTTTTGCGTGCTTTGACGCAAAGGGTGTTTGAACAAAACCATGCTAGTAGTGGTTATGGCTTAAAGTGGATGGTATGAGACTCAAAATGGCCAAGCCACATGACTAGTTAGGGTGACTGTAGGCAATAGGCTTTCACTCAAACTCATGGTTTGTCAGACCAGCCATGTTAGGTGAGCCAAAGGCGCACCTGGCACAACTTACATAACTAGACTGAATTTGGCTTTGAGGCAGGGGCTTTGCTCAAGATACAGCTTCAAAGCAGAGACTTTTCTAGCATCATGGGGGCAATGTAGGCAGAGAGTCTATGTCTCAATAGGGACTCCATGGCAACATTGGTGTCGATGATGGCTGGACGGCCAATTCCTACTTGGAAGCAGCTCTTCACGTTGATAGCTGCAATGGCTGCAAAGCGTGCTAGATGGACCCAGGTCCTCACATTTATAGCTGCAATGGCTGGGAAGCCACGTGCTAGTGGACCCTGGTCCTCACATTTATAGCTGCAATGGCTGGGAAGCCACGTGCTAGTGGACCCTGGTCCTCACATTTATAGCTGCAATGGCTGGGAAGCCACGTGCTAGACGGACCCAGGTCCTCACATTTATAGCTGCAATGGCTGGGAAGCCACGTGCTAGACGGACCCAGGTCCTCACATTGATAGCTGTGATGGCTGGAAAGCCACGTGATAGATGGACCCAGGTCCTCACATTGATAGCTGTGATGGCTGAAAAGCCACGTGTAGATGGACCCAGGTCTCACATTTATAGCTGCAATGGCTGGGAAGCCACGTGCTAGTGGACCCTGATGGCTGGGAAGCCACTTGTAGATGTGATGGCTGGAAAGCCATGTGCTATGTAGACCCAGGTCCTCGATGGCTGGAAAGCCACTCCGTATCCACTCGGTATCCACTCGGTTTATGCGCCCAGGTCATGAAGAAGCACGTTGGTTCTCAAAAATGGCACCGTATGGCGTGGTTTATTGCTGAGCTTTCTGCGAAGGCATGTTGCAACAGGTCCAGAGATGTCGGAATTTTGGGCGGGCTGGCAGCAACATCACATTGTGCCCTAAACGGGCGTGAAATCGGCCCTTGGAGGCCTGCGGGACCAATGGACCAAGGGTTTGAGCATTGATAGGGTCTCTAGTTTATATAATCATTTTCACCCGCGTTGGCTGCTAGAGTTGTACACACTGATAGTGCATGGGTTGGTGCTGCTTGCACTTATTGTCATTCCCTGGGATTTATACTTGCATTTAAATATATTTAAAATTATTTAAATGTATATTTGCATTTATATTCTCTGATGTAATGCCTGCTTGTGTTTCATACCGGGCGTGCCCACCTGCTGATTCCATGCGGGTTTCTATTGACCATCAAGTCGTCAAAGTGCCTGTGAGATCAAGGCGACACTGCCGGAATCGTATTTTTCATTTTATATTTGTGCCTATTCCATATTCTATTTCAAGTGAATCCTTCTATACCAATTGCATTTGAATGAATTTTGCTTGCATTCCAAACTAAGGTTTGTTGAGTACCATTCTGAGAAGGGCCTTCTCATCTCAATTTTTGTCTCCCAGTCAGTGTCATTTGGATAGTAGCGCCTGCCTTTCGCCCCGACATGCCGCCTATGTTTTTTGGATACCCCAACATGGTTATCAGAGATACCCAGAGAGACGTGTTGGGACCGTAAAAGCCCCTATGATTTGGATTGATTTGGCCCATCACGACCTGTCCCTTTTGTTTTTCTTACAGGCCGAGGATTTGGCATAGTGACACCCCTATCTATATACATAAACACATAAATCTGACCTTCCAGGTTGATCTACATAGGTTGCTTGATTTCGAGTTCAACCCGTCTCTTTTAGAAATTATGATGATTTTGGGAAATTCATCCCTTAATTGATCAACTCGGGCATATCAGTACTTGACTGGGACATCAGTTGCCAGACCCATGGTGATTTTTTCATTGTTTTTCTATTTTACAGTAAATTTTCTGTGTTTTTTTTCATCATTTTCCCACATATTTATCATTCTCTAAAGCTCCAAGCACCCTCTGGGACTGTATTTGTGGGTGGGTTTTGGGGCCTAAACACATTCTCTTATAGCATTTGGAGCACCAGGGGCTATCAAACCCTTATAACAACCAACCAACCATCATTTATCAACTATATTACTAGCATAGCCTTCATTTATCAACGAACAAATCTCTATGTTTTTTGATGGTTAACACATATTAACACATATTAACACATATTAACACACATTAACACACATTGACACATATTAACACATATTAACACACATTAACACATTAACCGCTATAAACCTGTAGATTTTCCGACATCTTCCGTAGCCCTGCGAGGCCCATTTTGCCTGTGGAAGTTTTGCACCTCCAGGGCTTTCCAGCCAGGCCTTTGGGTGGTGAAATGCTGGGAAAAAAAATGTTCTACAAAGATTTCATGGGATTTGATAGGAAAATATCAGAAAATCTGCTATAGATATCTATAGATGCATTTTTCGTCAAACTGTGTTGCAGTTTCGTAAAATTTTGGTGGGTAAATGCTGGAAAATGATTAAGGTAAATACAATTTGTCAAAAAATTGTTTTCACTTTTCAAGCCGGGGGGGAAGAAAACTGTTGCACATCATCTCAGATTTTTTCTCTTGATATTCAGCAGTATAAGAGTTGCAAGCAGTCTTTGTTGGATCATGTTGGGTACCTCTGGAGAACATTCAATTTTGGAAAACTTCAATTCAACTGACATTTTGAAGTGGGCTAATTAGACAATTGACTGTTTGAGAGAAGTCCATTTATATAGCTCGATGATTTCCCATGATTTTCCGGCGAATCTCTCAGCTATGCATGTTCGATGACATCGGATTGTATGAACATAGGCTATCCAAAAACATGATGGTTAATAAATGTTAGTCATCATATTCCCCATTTAATCGCTGTAATTGGGGGTACACCCTATGTTCAGATAGATTGCTGAAGAACATCTCATCACCATTTGCGGTTCATACCTTTTTTACAACTATACAGAAATGATGCGTTTATCAGCTGTTTCCATTGTATTTCCTGCAATGTTAAACCATCATGTATCAACCGTTCTTCATTGTTTTATGACACCGGAGTGTAAACCTTTCCGTTCTCCTATTTTTTTCATTCTTGTCCCCGTTGAAGCATAGAAACCCCAGGAAACTAGCCAAAAAAAAAACATCATCATAGAACCATAGAAACCCTAGGGAACTAGCATAACACCTTTATTTTTCATCATTTTTCCTTGGAGACTCCAACGCGTTCCCGTTGAACAACGCTGAACAACGTCCTGACCGCGGGATGCTCCGCACAGGGATCCCATGTTGGCCAAGGCGTTGCAGGGATTGACCGACCAGGACGGCAAGCCACGGGATGTGCGCGAACTGCTGAGAGTATGGGGTACTGTATATTGGGTTCGGTATATATATATATATACATACATATATATATACATATATATATATATATATCTCAGTCTCGCTATCGATTATATATATATATATATCTATCTCTGTCTCTATCTCTATCTCTATCTATCTAATCGAACCTAACCTAATCTAATTTAATCTAATCTAATCTAGTCAAATCTAGTCGAATCGAATCTAATCTAATCAAATCAAATCTAGTCAACTCTAGTCTAATCTTATCTAATCTAGTCTAATCTAATCTAATCTAATCAATTTTATCTATGTTATCTATCTCTCTGTTTGTTTGTCTGTATGTTTGTGTATCTATCTTTCTATTTATCTAACTATCTATTTAGTCTGTCCATCTATCTATCTATCTTTCTATCTTTCTATTTACCTACCTTATCTATCTATCTATCGATCTATCTGTCTATCTATCTGTCTATCTATCTATCTATCTTTCTTTCTTTCTAAATCTAAAACTAAATCTAAATCTAAGCTAAGGTAAGCTAAGGTAAGCTAAGCTAATCTATCTATCTATTTATCTATCTATCCGTTTATCTGTCTATCTATCCATCTGTTGATGTTTCTATTTGTTTATCTATCTATCCATCTATCTATCTATCTATGTATGTATGTTTGTCTGTATGTATATATATTTTTTGGCGGTGTATATGTATATATATATATATATATTTGGGAAATGTTGTTTACGATGTTTTCATTGAAATAAGAATGTGTATATGCATATATATATATATATGTATTTATATATATGTATATAATTGTATATATATATGTATTTATATATATGTATATATATATATATATTAAAATATGCAATTATGGGTTCTATATGGGCTTGATATAGGCTGTAGTTTTCCTGTAAAATGTTCTGTGCCATAGTTTCGGAGTGATACCTGCTTGTGTGCGATTCACAATCTGTTTGATCATATAGCCATTTTCTGTCAGTGTTATAGAAACGGATGGCTATGCCCTTGGATACTTATCATGCTGACAATGGGTCGGGTTTTGCGAAGTGGAAAATCATCATTTTATGGCCATTATTCATATATCTATATTATATATCTATACATAGATTATAGATAAATGAATTATACAATCAAATCATCTATGCCTATGGGCCATGGCTTCCAGCTCCAAAACTGTCAAATAACTAGATGATGATTGTCAGCAGATTCAGGACACAAAGTGCTTGGATGTGCTTGGAATGTGTTTGATGGGTTACCTGCATGTTGAATCGGCACTTGGATTCACCAAATGGGGATGGATCAAAACCTATTCCCATATGGCGGGGGGAAAAACAATTAACCATCAAGAAACCATCTATCATAGGGTACCTGGGGTACCAGGACCCATAAGCAAATGTGTAGCATATCGTATCCTACAAAGCTACGGAAGCAGCCGCCTAGGAGGTAATTATGGGGGCTGGAAATGCCATGAGCGCTTGAGACTTAGAGCTACATGGGGTGACGCATTGGATGAAACCTAAGAACTCATGGTTTTATTATTGAGCCTGATCATTTTCGATATGTGGGGGTATTTGATATTGAGGTAAAGGATGACCATATGATTTGTCGGGTTCGTTTTTGAGAATGACAAAGCAACATGGTTTGGTCATGTTTGGTCATAGACTAATTAGTCATAGCTCAAAATTGAGGTACCTCGAGACCGCACACGATTGTCTTATTGGCGTCATTGCATTAAACAATGCATTTTTTGGACTCTTTGGTGGTATACTCAAACTTGACCCATACCATCCCATACCCATGTGTGTGTTTATTGGATCTTATTGACATGATCACACATATCTATGCTGCATCATGTTTCGCACGGAAAAACAAAAAACAACAGTAGTCACATTTTTTGGAAATTGATGTTTTTGCGATATTTTGAGTTGGAAATCATTGAAGGTTTGGTCCCAGCTACCCATACCTACCCGCTTGTGATCTGACTCCAGGGAGTGTCCCAGGTGCCGGTTATTGGTGCAGTCTTGGCTGATGTTTTCGTCAAGACGTTGGTTGGCAGGTGCGCTCAAGCAACGCCATGGACTGTGTTGACATCATGGCGTTTGAGTTGTTTCCATTTTTTTCCTCTCCGGCTACTGCAAAACCCAAAACTTAAAAAACATTAAACATCAGCTCAAAACCAGGCTGGATGTGGCAATGGAGGCCGCACCATTCGGGTGGGATACCGTGTGGTAAACCCAAATGGGATGAGTTATAATATATAATAATATATATATATATATATATATATCTATATACAAATATATGTATATACATATAATTCCATACATACATGCATGCATGCGTGCATGCATGCATACATACAAACATACATACATACATACACCATGTTACACACCCCACCTCCGGTGAGTGGAATCGTTTCGGGATTTACGGCATCAGAACTATAGCGGCTCTGGCTACGATTTCATCACCCGGGCCGCCCTCCTGGTATAGAGGATTTGCCAATTGGGACAATGTTCACCACATGAAACTCGTGATGATCCAAAGTGGAACCCCACATTTTAAAATGATAAATCAATTTGGCAAGTTTTAATTATCATCATTATCATCATTATCATCATTATCATCATTATTATCATTATCATCATTATCATCATTATCATCAATATCATCATTATCATCATTATTATCATTATTATCATTATTATCATTATCATCATTATCATCATTATTATCATTATCATCATTATCATCATTATCATCATTATTATCATTATCACCATTATCATCATTATCATCATTATCATCATTATTATCATTATCATCATTATTATCATTATTATCATTATTATCACTATCATCATTATTATCATTATCATCATTATCATCATTATCATCATTATCATAATCATCATTATCATCATTATTATCATTATCATCATTATCATCATTATCATCATTATTATCATTATTATCATCATTATCATCATTATCATCATTATTATCATTATTATCATTATCATCATATCATCATTATCATCATTATCATCATTATCATCATTATTATCATTATTATCATTATTATCATTATCATCATTATCATCATTATCATCATTATTATCATTATCATCATTATCATCATTATCATCATTATCATCATTATCATTATCATCATTATTATCATTATCATCATTATTATCATTATCATCATTATTATCATTATCATCATTATCATCATTATCATCATTATTATCATTATCATCATCATTATCATTATCATTATTATCATTATTATCATTATCATCATTATCATCATTATCATCATTATTATCATTATTATCATTATCATCATTATCATCATTATTATCATTAGATGATTAATCCACTTTTTGGAACCGGTATCATCATTATCATCGTGCCTAATTATACCTATTAACGATGACTTAACCGACTTCCGTCGTTTGATGGCAATTTCCATGGCCAGGTTTCCGAGTCCGAAGAAGACGATGAGGCCATGACCCCATGAAAAACACCATGAAATTCCCATGAAACCCTCTGGTAATGACTAACATAGCGAACTGGAAAGATCCACCATTTTTAATGAGAAAATCCACTATTTCTATGGTCATTTTCAATAGCTATGTTAAATTACCAGAGGGTAAATAAATCTAGCTTGAACACCATAAGTAGAGATTTGGATCCCAGGTGTTTTTTGTTTTTGTTCACCATATGTGAGGCGAATGGTGCCACTTTTCCTCGCTTCAAATGCGGCTGCTGGTTGCACCTAAGGCCTGCGGGGGAATGGATAGATCATGCCTGAAGTGAATCCTTGGATCTTCTCAAAAGAATGAATCAATATCTCGAACTAAAACAAATAATATCAAATATCAAAATAAGTCGAAACCCGTAAGCTGTGCAAAGTTTTTGAATGCTTTGGGGGAAAGCAATGGAAAACTATGTTGGATAGATAAGGTGCTTCATGGTGTGTGTGCATTTGCCCATGGAACGTTTGCAATCTTCCTTGCCATTTTGTGGTTGCAGGAGATTGCCGGATGGCCCTGGTCAGCAGCGGAGCCCAGGGGAGATTGGGACAATCACGGATTCTGTCGATAATTTTCCAGTTGAATTTTTTTTCCTGATTATTTGATTTCAATGAATAATTTTCCCGTTGAATCCGAAAATTTTCGCGTTTTTTTTTTCTGATTCTTTGATTGGAATGTCAATGACTTGATTTTCCAGACACCTCCACCCTTCAGTTGACCTCGGCCAGGCTTCCCCAGTTCGACGTAGCCCAAAAAGATCGAACCTTCAATTCCCAACGTTTCCCAACCACAAAATTTTGAAAAAGACTGGCACCGAAACTCTTCTCGCCCAAAAAAACCCAGAATCGGAACTCCGCCCAGGGGCTGATTTTCTGCTCCCAGGTTGGCACAGGAGGGGGTGAGCGTCCACTCAGGGCGTCGCAGTGAGAAGCTGCTGCTGGGACGGGATGCCAGGCCTGGAGCCCAGTTGTTTTGTTCGGTGGATTTTCCATCAATTTCCCCTATGAAAATTCATGACTGGTTGGTGGTTTCAAACATTTTATTTTCCATAATATATATATACCTGGAACCCTAAACGTCAAGAATTTTTCAGTCATACCCCGTAATACTAGTAATGACATGTTTTTATAGTCGAATTTCCAACTTCACTTGATCTTACCCGTAATGACAGGAAAAACCCATCAATTATTGATAACCTAAGATTATGGTGATATCCCCAACATCCCTTCCTGTGTCTTGGCGCTTCCAGGTGCTTGGCTCCAAGGGGGGCTGGCCTAATTCAATTTGATATCAATGGAGGGCATGAAGCAAACCAGGACAACAATTCAGGATTTCCAAGATATCCAAGATCCAAAATGGTAGCTCCAAAACAGCCACATGGGGATATCACAAAAGATTTCACAAGAACATCAAGAACGGGCTGAAGGGCCAGCCATGTCATTTGCCGTTTTGATGGCCTTTGCAAGGCTGGGTTGTTTCCCAAGTCAGGTGAATTGAAAGACTGCCCGCTGTCAAGTTCATTCCATGATTTACTGATGAGCCAAAATTTTATAACACTGTAGATTTGTGGCTCAACCTTCTTGGCGCTTAGGTGTTCCCTTTCACTGTGTGTGATGCCGCCCTTTGCTCCAGCGAGCATTGATGGAGTGGGCAAAATTTGGTGGAATAACCCAGATTTAAGGGAACTTTTTGATGAGGAGAAAACGTTGGTGAAAAAAAACCCACCAACTGCAGCCATGGCTGTCGCAGATCGGTGGCATGCGGTGCACAATGTTGAGCTGATTGCTCCCATCATTTCCAAGATGCAAGAAGCCCATGTGATCAAAACCCCCTACATTGAACAGCTGGAACAAGAGGTTACCCTCTTTCATGCTTGGAGGGAGTCCAATGGGAAATTGGATGAGAGCAATCCACCCAAGATTACCACAGATGAGACAGTTATTCACCTTGATGCTTCGTCCATCAAAAAGATCTTGATTTGTGCTCGTTACCACTACAAGCGGCCCCATGTACCACGGGACCGGGAGTCCAAAAAAACATAGAATTAAATTGTTAATTGGAGACAAGTTGGGACTACATGGTTTATTCCTTCCCCGCGCCCTGAAGGACGACCAATTCAGAGCAGTTCTTGATCTCTTCGGCCCCCGCGAACCTTTTTTGCACAAAGTTTATCATTCACATGGTGGTTGGTGAAACAGAGGGTGAAAGTCAACCGCGCTGCTGTATGTTCATGTTAGATGGGCGTATTATTGGTAAGTATGATGAAGCCAAAATATGTGTGTAGCGAAGATGGAAATTCAATCAAAAAATCTTGTCATGAGTAGTGAGGCATATGGCTGAACTTTTTATTGAGGTACATGTTTTTGTCGTCATCCCCACCGCTGCTTAGGACCTTTATCATGACATTGGCCAAGATCCTCAGCTACGCGGAGCCGGTGAAGACAGCGACGAGGAATCTCCTGGCCATGTCGAGCAAACCGGCAAGGCTCTTGGTGATCTTGGTGATACCCCTTGTAGGACTACCGACATTGACAGTCAAGAGTCTGCCCCATCATGTTCCAATGGTGATCGCTCCCATCCCGATTGGATGAATGATTACTTGGCAGAACCATGCATTTTTGGGTTGAAAGAAAAAATTGAACGAACAAAGAGGGAAATTGCTGAGGCCAAGCGCCTTGAATTTGAACTGGGTGATGAAATTGTTGAAATTGTTGATGACGATGATTTCCCAGTGCCAACATGGAACCCCGAAGAGTGGCCCGATGCCCAGCCCCGCGGTGAAGAGTGCTTACTGTCACCTGTTTCCCCACAGCCGACTCATCCCGAACCAGAACATCCCAAAGAATGCAAGTTTGATCAAGAGATTCCAGACCGACATCATGAGATTGCCCGCATCAAAGCCCGAATTGCTGAGCTTAAAGCTGCACAGCTTTCTGCTCCGCTCTTCGGTTCTAAATTAAACACCTTTTGGTCTATAGGGTTTAGCTTTCTGTCCGTTCAACATATTTTGGAACTGCATTTATCCCGTATGATTTTAAACTGATGTGTTCGATTCCCAAGGTTGGCCCCTGCTTCGGATGTGGAGGATACGCTCGCTATGACAGAGTCTCAAGTTCCTCATTGCGAAGCATTTCATGGTGCTAAGGTGGCATCTTGGTCTCCGGAGTCACCGGTGAGTGGCACACCCAATGGCCCCGAAGCTGATGATCATATCCCTGCTTCTGGGCACTCAATATCATATGGTGTTGATGCCTGATAAATTAATATTATATAGCTTCAAAAGAAAAGCTGCAAACTTTCAACTCTTAATTTTCTTTGCACGGGATCCATCTTAGGTTCTGCTACGCACACAGCAGTTGGGGATGAAAGCTGACAAGAAGGACAAGGGGAAGAAGGTTGCAAATGCAGAGACGACAGATCAGGCAGAACAGGCAGCACACACCAGCAAGCGCAATCCCGAAGGAATCAAGAAAAAACGAACCAAATCTCAAGCACCAGCTCAAGTTAAAGACATGAGCGCAGGCAGCACGGAGATGCCATGTGAACCCACAACGAGCAAAGCTGCCCCTTCCAAGCGCCTGCGCTGCAAGAGCAAGCCTGTAGATGCAGATTCAAAGGAAGCTGATCCCCCTAGTGATGGCAAGCATGAGAGCAAGAAGGCAAAGAAGGGAAAGCGAGCAAAGCATGCAAAGAAGGCATCAGCTGGGGAATCGGAGAACCAAACCAGAAAGTCAAAGGCTAAGAAATCGGCAAGCAAGAAAGACCAGGGAGAGCTAGGTAACGAAGCAAACTCAGAGACTACCCCGAACGGACCTGAGCATACGCCTGAAGACCAGGATCTTGGCGAGCTTGGTGCCGAGGAATTGGGTTATCTCCACAGGGAAAAAGGGTATCGTGTTGGGAGCCTTTTACTTGGGCAGACTTTGATGATATATTTTTTTATATTCTTAATATAATAACTACCCTGAAAGGAGCCCAAGAGACGACGGTTTGCTCACAACGAATACACCCAGCAAATCAAAGACATGGTGGCGGACACGAACCACCAGTTTGACGGCTATTGCAAGATTGTGGTTTACTGGTCTCGACATGCACTTGCCTTCACCATGTGGTGTGACGAAACCAACAAGTGGAAGCAGGTATGGGGTACCAACCAAACTTTTAAATCCACCAATCTGGCATAGTTGGGGTTGACTCTTAAATTTCCATCCTACACCCTCCCGGGGTCTCCTTGACATCGAAGTCTCATAGCCATTTGCCCATGAAGGTGTCCTACGCAACGGCCGGTGAGAATGGCAATATGGAGATCACTGCAAAAGCTGCAGCGTGTCTTCTTGACTCTTGGTGGCACGGAATCCGACCCGTGGGGGATAGGTGATAGGTGATATTGTAACCCAAGCAAAGTGATTATATACCATACATGGTAACCCAATCCCGAAAGTATAATATATATGCATGATTATGCATGCATATATGGTAACCCAATCCCAAAAATACACCATGATATATACGGTATGAATTCCAAAATTATATTTTACAACCCTGCTGATCAACCTCGTGCTCAGGGAGTGGCTTTCCTTGATGGTACTGACATGGACCAAGCTGTGGAGAAGTTCAACAGCTTCAAGCCGGTTTTCCGTGGCGAAGGCGAATGTGGCCAAGAGGCTGAGCTTATGAAGCTGATTCAGGCATATGAGTTGCCAAACCGAGCTTAGGGTAGGCATGCAAAGCATGCTTGGGGTGGTTCCCGTGCAAATACGGGGCCTATCCATGCAGCTGCCCCAGATGCTGAACTCATGGTTCAACACCAATTCACTCCATATTTCAATAAGAAACATGTTTTCATTTTTAGGGTTCCTGGCCACTGGTGGCATGGCATGGGCTGTTTTGGCTTGGTTCCAGAAAGCCAAACTGCAATGGGGTACTGAGCTCCGTTCAATCCATATATGTATCTCGATAACCAACTGCCCTTGTCGCAAGCGAAAAAAAATCTGGTCTTGCTTGCAAATGTTTTTTACGAATATGCATGCTGAAATTCATGCCATGTATATCATGATTTCAACATGTCAACCTACGAAGCGCTTGCAGGCTTCGATGCCGCTAGCTGGAAACAAATGGTTGGCCAAGCGAGGCTTCTACAAGCCAAGTCAGGCTGACATGTTTTGCTGCTTTCAAGAACTTTGCTAGCGTAATCATTGTGCGTCAAAAAGCATTTGGAAAATCTTCAAAGTTGGAAAAGCTTCAAAACATGTTTTCAGCAGATCATTGAGATGAATCCTATAACCGGCCCCGAAAGCCACGGTGGTCCTCAGCACAAAGCCCATACAGACATAAGCAGACCATGCCACGAACCTGGAATGAGAACGAAATCAGTCGCCTAGTGTACCGGCTCAAAGCCATGAAGGTCCCGAAGGCCAGTTGTCAACCGCAGTGCCACAGGTAATTGGCATGGGATGGGAAAGGTTAAAAAAAACTCTGGGTCCTCCAAACATTCTTTTGTTGAGGAACCTGTGATGTACAATATTTTTTATGTTTCCAATCTATGTAAACCATCATAAAACTGAACCCTTCCACTCCCAGGTGTTTGTCTTCTACTCTTTGCTATGCATATGGAGTATCCCAACTGGCGAGGTGCGTCCTGTCAGGACCTTATGTGTGTGTGTGCATGGATCCCAAGATATAGTTCAACATGAACAATATGTCTACTGGCAAACTTAGGATTACCAATGGGTGGAGCTATTTGCAGGGTCTAGGTCTGCAACGCGAGCAGTCTCCATGGCTGGGTATAGGGCTACATGCATCGACATCGAAGATTACAAGGGATATGGCATTTCCAAAGGTCCAGGTTCTCCCTTCGATATTTTGAGCAACAGTGGTTTTGCGAAACTTAGTTCAATTCAAAACAAAATTTCCCTTGAAAGAGGTCCTCGGGGTGAATGGGTAAAAAGCTTCAATTTGGAGCCCTTCCCAGGACCCCTTTCAAAGGATATTGTGTTTCAAGTTACACCAATACACATTGAGGCTTTACCATATGTTGACATTAACCTGTCATTGGTCAGCATGCTTAGGACAGCGATGTTCGCCATACTACAATCCGATCCAGCTGGATTTGTAATTTGGATGGGAATCCTTTGTGCCACGTGGTCAGCCATGTCACGGGGTTCCACACGAAGATGCTTTCTAGCACCACTGGGTCTAGACTCGCTCCCGTGTGTGTCACAAGCCAATGTGATGGTGAGTAGGTGCAACACTTAACTGCTTGATTTGAAGCCAACTTGTGTAAAAAAAACATTTTGGGGCTCATACGCGCTCCATAAGATTGAAGGTGAATGATCCTTGTCCTCCCAGGTGCTGCTTGTTGATGGCATCAACCTATGCCCTTGGCGGCACCTTCGTGGTTGAGCAGCCACGGCAATCGCTCCTGAACCGGCATCCAAGATTTCGATGGCTAACGTGCATCCTAAGGGTGGGAAACTTATACATGCATGCAGCATGCATGCATATACATATGCAGCTGTTGGCATCATTTGAGTATACAATTCACTAACTTGGATTCAATATCTTCAATACTTAGGTGTTTCGGGCCAGTTGGTGGATGAGGCTTTATGGATCGAGTTCACCAAAGCGCCACATTGCCTGGTCTTCATCAACTTGGATTGTCAAGCTTGATCTTGGAAAACTTAAGGGATGGAAGCCAGAGATGAACCCTGATAAAAAAACCACCAATGTTTACAGAGACGCCTCCGGTAAGAAGAGGTTCTATGGCTCAAAGCATTTAAAGCCTACTCAGTGCCTAGTCTAAATTAGTTCCTCCCCCTAATATTGTAATTACAAGAGTAAAACAAGGTTGATTATCGGACCTGTTCACTTCTGGGGCCCATAGATGAGTTGTCCAATATTTGGGGGAATGATTTCACTATTGTCAGCCATACCCAAGAAATCCCAAGAATTTTGATAAACTCAAGCCCCTTGAATTCAAGGTCCCGATATTATATGCAGCGTCCCTTGCTGAGGTGCTATCCAGTACCATTTGCCCGACGGGTGGCAGCTCTGATGCCCCACCTCTTGGCTGATGGTGGACCGTTGATCTCCTGCCCACATGACGTGGATGGGAGAGCGATCTTTAGCAACATGGAGTTCGACGATGATTGCCATGATGCCAGAATAGTGGATGCCATTGTGTATGTCCGGGGGTCCCGTAAACTGCAAATTCCAAATCATTGGAGGGAAGTCTTACCACTAACTCTGTAAATTGCCGGAGTTGTGGGAAATTGGAGTCAATTACACCAGTGAGACCCCAATTCAGGTTTCAAATGTACAATTTTCTTGATGGAAAAAAACAGTCATTTGCTAGAATTTTCTCAGCGTTTTTATTGACTTTGGGCCAAAGTTGGGCCGTAGTCAAATGTCAACCCAAAAAACGCCCGTTAAAAACCGAAATTTATCAATAAAAAACCGTAATGTTTTTTCAACTTCATGGGCGTTAACAGGCCGTAGTCAGGGTCCACACAGTTGGGGTCTCCATGTGTTTTCCAGTAGCTGTGTGAGAATTCCACACAGTAAATTCAGCATCTGGGATGTCAATTGCGGACAAGTTGCAAAAAAAAACTTGCCGTCCACGGGTTTGCCATATGATGAATGATTTTTTGAACCAATTGATATGTTCTTTTGGGCATCCTTCACAACATCCTTATTACATGTTCCCTTTCAGCCATTTGGCAGTCTAACCAATCAGCCCTGGCCCTCAACGATGGCGAGATCATTGCCATCACGCACCTGGAGTGGAGGATCGTTAGATCTTGGATCCAGGCACCTGGTCACCGTCAAGCGGGAGCTCACCAACGAGCGTGAGAAGGCAGAACAGGAGTTGGAGGCGGGGTACCAGAAGGGTCTTTAGACTATGAAGGCTCCAAAACGGGACCATTATTTTCCAAATGGAATCGTTCCTCACACAGCTTTTAGTCCCAAAACCATTCTTTGCACTAGGTGCTGGAGAAACAGCTGAAAGTACTTGAATCTGGTCGTGGCCATGGGATGCCTACTGCCCGAACCTCATGTAAGCAAACTGCTGGGTATTTGAACATGGGTTTTAAGATCATATGATATCATGCATATTCATGCATGCAGGTATATATCTTTATGACACCGCCTTGTTTTCTTGAGGCCGAACCTTCCCGGGTGAATGAGACCAACCCTGCAAAGAAGGACATGGGATTCAAGTTGGATTTGATTCTTTTGAAGTCAACTTGAACCAGCTTAAATATACTTTTTTTCAATTGCAGGATTCCCAACGTAGCCTTGAAGTGGAGACTCCTCGCCCTGGCATGAATGTCGAGGCCAGTCCCAACTAATTTGCATTCTCAAATTTTGTCTTGCAACCAACCTTTACTTCAGCAGATCTTATGCCACTGGTCAATTTTACCATCATTTACCTTCCAGGAAAGAGAGAAGTTGTTGAAGGAGATATCGGACCTAGATGCATTACGTGCCCAAAAAGCCAAGCTTTTGAATCCTGCCGACGAATGTCTTCTTACTCCTCGTGTGACTGTGTTAGCTCCTACACCTAAGGGGGGTATGCCGACTAAGAGCCCACCGTCTTCTGCACGTGCCCCCAGCACTGCAAGCCGCTCCGGGCAGTCAGTTCCGGGTGAAAGTGATGATGATGATGAAAAGGAGCCCCTGTTGTATTTGTTTGTCATTTGCATGAAACATCATATGGAATATGGAAGTCTTGGAATCGGATTAACCTGATTAACCCAAAAATGTTTGTCTGGTAGGAGAAGATCACCAAGGATGAGTCCGGCAAACTTTACAGGAATGGAAGACTCATGACTGAGTCAGCAATTGAGCAACGTCTTCGTCGCTTTTGCACCAAGCGTAAGAATGGTGCTGCGCCTTGTGGGGACGATGTTCTCAAAAAATGGTCTGGTGATGATCGGGGTGATTTGATCGAGATGTTCAAAGCTGTGATGTTGGATAAGGCCCCATGACTTTTGCCAGCACCCATTGTTGCAAAAAAATCTTCCCCAGCCCACTCTGTGCCATGCCTGAAGACGACGCCGTCGCCACAGGTTGAGCTGAAGCGCCAAGTGCAAGTCCTGGTCAGAGAGGAGACGTCGAAAACTCTCAAGGTGAAATGCGGTTGGTACACTGAGAAGGCCAGGAAGGAAACCCTCAAAATGGCCAAGTTTGATTCTCAGGTTATTCTCATCAAAATGTTTTTTGTTTCCAAGGCTGCATGACCCATGACCCCATTGGAAATTGAACAGATTCTAGGCAAGAAGTTGATTCGGTGGTGAAATACACTGCGGATTTTCCTGAGTTGCGGAGGCCTTGCAATCAACCATGCTTTAAACTCACAAATTTGATCAAATTTGTAAATTTGTCCAAGTTTTGAACAGTCAATTTGGTCATAGCTTATATCGTTCCGCACCGCTGCCAGGAAATGGAAGTATGACAAAAATGTGCACCAGCACTGGGTGGAATTTGAAGAGTCTGGTGAACTGCAAAAAGTGTACCTTCAAAGGGAAGACCATGTGGAAACCAAACGAGTTAGCCATGGAAAGACACTCAAGAACTTGACTGCTTCTCCCGGGGACCCCTTGTCCTCGGCCCCCGCTTCTGTTGCTGATAGCACACCGAAGCCTGACGCAGAGCAAGAGGTGCAGGCCAGCGATATGGAAATTTCCATTGTTTAAGTTTGGAGTTGGGGTGCCTACGAAACTTATGGATGCTCATGATGCCACACAATCATTTGTTTGACAGGAACCGCTTTTTTTGATGGGCAAAACTATGGAAGCTCTTCTTGCCAAAAGTGCCAAGCTTCGAGAAATTCAAATGGTTTTGACAGAAGAGCAAGCGGATCAAAGGTGGGGCCTTGACTGGGAAGATTGCAATGTATAATCAACATGTGAAAATATATTTCCCCATCCTTCCAAATTTGCTTGTTCAGTTTGGTGGATGACGTTACCCGAACCACTACGGCGATGGATGCCCACTATGATTTGATCGCTGCCTCACTGGCACGGTTGCGGAGCACCAAGAACCCTTCGGACCAGCTCTTGGCTTGCAAAGGCTATTCATATTTGTTCATGATTCCAAACATTAAGATCGGGGCACCAGTGATACCATCTTGGACTACGTATAGGTCAGTTGGAGTTGGATCTTATGACAACTTCGATTTAAAGTAAAAACTCTAATGCCAATCATATCCTACCATCTCAGGTTCCTTGCCGAAGTGAGCAAACAGCTGGAACAAGCTGAAGTCTTGTATCTTGTCCTATTCTTTATACGCCATTTAGTCCTACTGCGTTTATATGGGATCTTAAATTCTAAAGCCAAGGGGAAGCAAAGCTATCCGAGTTGAAGCCCAATGTGGGTCCAGTCCTGAGATTACTCCCATCTATCTCCATGTCACCCATTCACACATCGCCGCTGCCTAGGCCTGCCTTGAAGAAGTCCCGCAAACGTCGACCTGACGCGCAGGATGAAGGTGAAACTGCGCCGAAACCGAAGCGCAGGTCTAAGGCAAAGGCCAAAACAACAACAGCCTAATGCCTTTATACGCCTTTCATGCATTTTGTTCAAATTGATTTGCGGTTCAGTCCAAACAAATGGATTGAAATTCATGGTCCTTTAGCGTGTTTGGATTCCTACATGGAAGCCGTTTGACATGCTGTGACAATCTCGGAGGTGAAACCGAAAGACTTGGGGTAAAAAAAAAAAGCGTGGGCACGATTTCCATGCAGCAACTTGAGTTTGAATGTCCACCCCACCCGGCCTTGGAAAAGTTTCCCCAGCACCCATTGCCATTTGGGAGCCTCAGCCATGCCAGGACACGTCGGGCCACTCGGGCAACATGCAGCTGATTGTTTGGCCAATGGAGTGGGGGTCCCAGCATTTATGGGGAGATGTTATTTATAATCGATTCTTATGTAAAGAATTGTATTAAGATAAGATGCAACATTTCCAGCCAATAAAATGACAGAAGCAAACACTGCATTCATAATCTTAAGAATATGGAAGGGTGTTTTTTTGAAAACCCCGTGTCGAAGGTTTGATACAATAAATTTCATACTATATAATTTCATCACCCCAATATTAAATATCACACTAGAAAATATGTTAGTACTGGATACACGTTTTTGAAGCCCACACGGAGTGCATATTACGGGGGTAGGATTATGTTAGTGGGACCCTTGCAAGTTATCTATGTTTTATGTTTCTGCATGTTTCTGCCATACCCCAAGGCCACTGCAAAAAGCGTGGTGGACATGTCCAAAGCCGCAACGCTGCAATTTGGCGCGTCTACTTGTCCTGTAACTCAGAAGCTTTCTCGGACCCATGCGAAGAGGGCGGAAGATGTTTGCCACAAAACGTTCTTTGCTGAAATGATCATAGATCCTTTTTCTTGCCATGACCTGGTATGATCCAAAAGTTTCTTTTTTGCTGTTTTTTGGTCATCACTTTCTCATTGATCTGGAAACTTCAGGTTTATGGAGCACAACCTTTCCATACCAGTACCAATTACCTGGGTACCTCTAGCGACCACAGCTGATCACGGTGTGGAGTTCCCGGTGATAAAGATTAGCGACATGGTGCGGCATTTGGCAAGCCTAGGTAGTTTGAACAAACTTTTTGGTTGCGAACCTGAAGATGGAATACAGACCACACTGCTAGAGTTTTGGAATAGGTTCTCCAAAGAAGTGCCGGACCACCAAGTTTTTTCTGCAAACCTACGCGGTGAGATTTCCCTACAGCGTGCTATACCATACATGGTGCATGGTGACGAAGGGAGATGCTTTAAGAAAAAGGGAATCATGTTGGTAACAGTACAAGGTGTGATTGGAAAAGGTACCAGACCTTTTGTGGAACGGTTTGCTGAGCATGCCAAAGACCGAAAGAGACGTATGGGTGTCAACATTGGTGGCCACTCCTTTGACAGTCGAATACTCTTTGCTGCAATGCAACGAAAGTTTTATGCTTCCAATCCTGACACTCGTTCATATTCTTAGTAAATATCCGCTGTTGTGTACTTTTACATTTTGTTTTCTAACTTAAGGTTTTCATATACATGGGTCTGTGTTTTCTTGCCAGCCTGCTCATTTGCAAGGAGAACTACAACACGTTGATGGAGCACCTTGTCGACGACCTACTTCAGCTGCAGCAAGGTTTTCTACACCATGGTGAGACCTGGCATTTGGTTTGTATCGGGTGCAAGGGCGATATGCCTTTCTTGGTGAAGACGGGTGGGTTTGAGCGTCATTGGTTACGTGCTGAGAGGAAAGCTAACGCAAGAACAAGAACTAGGGCGTCACCTGGAGTTTGCTGGCTTTGTATGGCGGGAACCCCAAATATCCCTTTTGAGGACTGCAACCTGAATTCCGTATGGTCCAACACCCAGAACAGACCTCCGTGGCAAGTTCAACCTGCAATACTTCGGCTATTCCATTCACCATCAGCCCCATGGGACATGTTCAAGCCGGATATATTTCACAACTACCATGGTGGCCTGGGCATGTATTTCATTGCCTCTTCAATTGTGGAATGCATGGTCCTTGTCCCTGGGACTATTGATGACAAAGTGAATCATTTTGCTGAAGCATTGAAAGAGTGGGCGGAAAGAAGAAAGAACCGTTTGCCTCACAGTGGCCCGTTTACCCGGGAAAGAGTGGGGCTTACTTCGTTTCAGGTCCTTCCGGAAGCCCGGTGGTCAAAGTTTGACGACACAAGGATCTACCATTCATTCCTACAATCTTGGCTAGAAGAACGGGAAAACCAAATCCAAGACTACGAAATTCTTTGCCGGATTTTGGAAGGGCTACGTAGTATCAATGGAATGTTCCACATACTCTATACCTCTGGCCTTTGGATGGAAACCCTAGAAGTCAAGAATGCTGCAACACTGGGGCGAACTTTTCTGTGCAATTACTGCCAGCTTGCGAACATGTGCTACCATGCTGGGCGTTTGCGCTAACCCATGGTTGTCAAGATGCATATGGTGGATCACCAGATCCGCAGGATGAGAGAACGTGAATCCCTCAAGTGGTCCTTGAATGTTCTTAGCGAGGCCGTGCAGGCCGACGAAGAAGCTAAGTTAGCAACAAGTTAATGTCAACCCTGGATTAATAAACCCCTAGGTTGTTTAATTGGGGGGATACCATTTAAGTATCAGATTATGACTATTTGGGGAGTACCACCCTAATTAATAAACCATGGTTTATTAATCCGGGGTTGACATTATCATTTTTGGGTTGTATAAGTTGTATTATATTTTAATACTTGTGGTTTAAGGATGTTTAAGGATTCTTTTTGACCGTGTTTGTTATATGGGTTCCATGCTCAAGCTAAGGACTTCGTGGGTCAATGTGCGCGATTAAGTCGCCGTATTTCACCCAAAAATGTTGCCTTTAGAACGCTCCAAAGATATCTTACGCGTGCCAAAATGGTATGGCTAAAACCAAAAAAATCACAGGGGTATGCATCCCAGTTTGCGCCAGTGCTTAAATACAAAAAAAGGCGGCTTTCGCCTTGTCCAGGTTGAGGCTCTGGCATTTTCAAACTCAGGATGCCGGGATCTCTGAGCCAAGGCAAAAAGATCAAGAGCGGGAATTTGCAGTGGCCGCCACCAACATCCACCCATTATGGTTTATACTGGGATCCCAAATGCCAGAAATTTGATGTAATTTTGGGTTAACCCGTAATGATGGAAAAAAGTCATCGACCCCGAACGACAGAAAAAATTCTGGCATTTGGGATCCCAGGTATATATTATATGGGATAATCCTTCCCATTGACGAACTCATATTTTTCAAGATGGTTGAAACCACCAACCAGTAATAATAATTAAAAAATCCACAAGCATCAATAGAAATCCACAGAAAATCCATGAACATCAGATAGTTCAATGATGTTCCCGATGTTCAATGATTCCAAATGAGTTTAGATAGCCATTTAGGTTTACTGTATTTAGTAAGCTCAGGAGTTCTCAGCGGCTCAGCGGCCAGCAATGTTTGATGACACTGGAGGGTACATAGATAATCATAGATCCCATATGATTAAATTAAATTGCTGAACCAGGGGTTTGTTCGGTATTTAATGGTTGTGATATTTTGACAATATTTTGGGGGACGGGTATTATATAATCATATGTATAATATTATATAATCATAATACCTGTAGATATAGTCATTAATATCTATATATAATTATATATATATATATTGTATACATTATACTATATATATATTATATATGCACGGAATATGGCTGTTCTTGTACAAAATGAGACGGTATTGACATAGCAGAAGGCAATACAAACAGCGAAAGAAGCAGACTGAGAGAGGTCACAAGACCTCGATTTGTAGCCAGATGTTTGATTCACGTGGATTCGAGCAACTTCTGTGCGAGGTTCAACTTGTAAGGAGCCAACATGAACTCTAGCGTCTGGGGTGATATTAGAGACGTATTCTTCTTCGGATGGTTGAACCTTGATGACACAAGCACCCAGGGTGGTTCAAGTAGAACCGGTTTCGTGGTCTTGAGGAGAGCATCTGGTCTGCTTTTGGAGGCCAGGGAGGTCGTTTTCTATGGAAGGGCTGAGTTTTTTTCTTCGTTTCCAAGGTCTATGGAGAAGGTCGACACCAAAGGTGACCAATCGATACCATTCAACCAAGCTCCAATCAATCTCAATGAAAATTTTGTCTGGAGATTAGGAAACTAACATTAGCAATGTAAACTCAATGAAAAAGCGTGGAGATTAGGAAACTAACTCAGAAACTAACTCAGCTTTTGACACATTTTGACCATCAAAGAGGCATTTTTTGGAAACCACCTTAAATGGCCCCGATAAAATAAGCGCCAGGCACAAAGTGGTCCCAAAAGCCATAAATCGGTGCTGAGCCGTTTGCATGCGGAGATCATCCCAGGCGAAGTCACACGGTGGATGGGCATAGATGGCGCATAGCTTTGGGTAATTTTATGACAGTGTTGAACTATGTTGAACTTGTTTTTTTTAATGGAGGAACATGTCCCATGGCAGACATGTGACTTGACTTTAGTCACTTTAGTCTCTGGTTTCAAAGCTTAGTCATGAAACAGCCGTTGCTTGGAGTTCATTTTGGAAACACACATATCATATAAAAACTTGAAGCCGATAGAATCGGATCGGGCTTCTGGGGATACTCACATGCATCTAAAGCATCCTAAAATCGATAAACATATTAAAATCGAATACATATCATAGCACTTCTAGCCTAACTTCTAGGGGTTCTAAACACTAACCAACTGTGAAAGCAACAAAACATGTGGATTCCAAACATTCCAAACCCTTCATACCCTTCCACCCTTCAGACCATTTTTTTTCTGTGTCCGAAAGCCAGGTCGTCAGCCTTGCGAAGCGTTCCTGCCAATTGCTGAGATATCCACGAAGTAAATGCAGGTTTACAGTTGGGCAGTTGGGAACATCTATATCAAAAAAAAGGATAAATATACGACATCATCATGATCAAAGGTGCGGTTATAGCATGTTGCTTTAGTACTGGTACATGAATCTGTTGATGTTGGAATAAATCGCGTGCAGTATATGTATACAGAATATACATACACACACACATATATATATATATATGTATATATATATACACATATTATTGTATAATTCGTATCCACTATACATAGGATTTTCACAACAATATTTTGGACACTCCCCCAAGAAGAAAGGGTGATGTTCATGGGACCTCCCATCGGATTCTGATCAAATGCAGGGATTGAACCAGCAACATCAGCAACCAAAAGGGGCTTGACTTTACTTACATCGCCAACATTGGTTTAAGGGAAAAAATACAGGAAAGCTCTGTGAAGGTTTTAAAAAAAACATGGAAAATCCTGTAGATTTTGCCTTAAACCATATAATCCAATGAAACAAATGAAACCAACAATATCCAACCATGTTCTGGGAATAAAAACAGTGGAACAAGATGCCAAGCAGCGACATCGAGGCGAGACTTGGGCAGCACCAACGGCACCTGGGTGCTGGGTAAAGGCCGAGTGAGCCCGCAAGATGTGGACGGAGAGGCGCGGGGAGATTTCAGCGCCGGCGCTGAGACAAGGATGGGATGAAGGATGGGATGAAATGTGGCAGTTTTTTGAGTTTTTGGAACTGCTATGCCTCTATTGTTAGGCACCAAGATGTTGAAAATCCGTCATCTTTTGGAACTCTCGAACAATCCCATATGCTCCATGTATGGAATATTTACCAACATTTGCCCCATATATGACCCAAATGTAGGTAAATATTCCAGCACCATGGATCCTATGGGAATGATCAAAATGGTCCATCATTTTTTGATCCGTCAACATGGTCCAGGCGCTGGCCGGTGGAGACGAAATATCCCTGGGAGTGGATCCTGCGACGTGGCAAGGCAGGGTAATGGTGAGCATCTGGAAAACTGACACAGCGAATTGGAACATCCACCCATTTTTAAGTATCTTTATAATTTATCATCATTTATCATAGATGGGTGGCAATCATAGTTATTTATCCATATTTATGAATGATGATTTTTATAGGAAATAGAGTTATTTTGCCATTTATTTATCATTTATTGATCATAGTTCCCATAGCAAATCATGGCCAAATTACCATAGGCCTTTTGCATCCCAGTTGATGATGACCCTCGAGCCTCTGGTTCATGGGATGGTTGTGGCAGGCAGTATGGCCACTGATACAAGGCTTGAAGACAGGGCTATATACCATCATTGGCTAATATAGATGGTTAATGATGGCTAATACTGGCTACCCTCTGGTAAACGTTTACATAACTATGGAAAGATCCACCATTTTTAAGTTCGGTAAGTCCACTATTTCGACTGGGCCATGGCTTCAATAGCTATGTAACAAATTACCAGAGGGCATTTTTTTTCCTATATGTTTTTCTCTGCCAATTACTGATGATGATGCTATGGCAATTGGCTTTCCAAAAAATCCCAGTTCACTGGTGTGGACGTTGGATGGTGATGGATGGTGGATATGCCCCAGATTCCATGTACAGCAGGGTCTCTTGATTTGGAGCCACCTGGATTTTCACCCCACAGCTATAATTGTCGTTTATTTTTAAGGACAAGGTGCCCCCAAGGCACAAGTGAAACTCATGAAACATGGGCCTTTTAAAGAGCATTTTGTGGCATTTTGCCGTTTTAGAAAACACCCAGCTACCATAGCTGCTAGGTGTTTGTACACCCCAAATTCAGAGAGTTACCAGCTGCGACATCCTGCGACTCAAGGCACTGCACCCGGCGGACCCGACCCAGAAGACTTCCGCTTCCTCTTTCGTGTGGAAATGCACCTGGATAGCATTACTAGTGGATCCTCTAAAGTGACCCAAAAGCGTGCCATGAGGAAATACGACAACAAATTGAACGTACATTTTTATAAGATACTTATCATAAAATATCATAAACTTTCTCTCAATCTATTTATATATTTATATATGTGGATGCTTGCCAAACCATCCGGACATGTCCCTCTCTTCAGGCCTAGCCCCAGGCGCCGGCGCCACAGCGCCGCCGCACCGCCGAACCCCCCGGCGCCGCACCCGACGGCGCCGCACCCTTCGCCGGCGGAAGCGCTGCCGTCAGCAGCAGAGACCATCGCAGCGCTGGAGATGGACGAAACAAACGGTGGGTTGGAGCGGTGGTGACATGGACTCATGATTTTAGGGATCATTTGGTAATGATGGACTCATTATATCTCATTATCTAATATAGATGGTTTAGATGGACATTTTTTCTGTAGTTTAGGTTTGTGCGGAGGGTCTGGACATGGACTCATGATTGGGATGATCATGCCCTCTGGCCATCTTCAGTCATTGACTGATTGCTTGCACCTGTTGGTTCACCTGCTGGGCTCAGACTGAACAATTCATGAGTTTGAAGGCATGCAGATGCACCAGAGTCTAAGCCAGGTAGCCAGCCAGAGTTTCAACAGCAAAGTCCTCGCCCCAAAAAAATGGCTTGCCGACAAGGCAGGTCATTGATTTTGACATTGAGCAGTGAGCAAACTTGATCAATTTGACATTCACACGCATCTTGCTTTGATATAGATAGATAAAAGACCAATGATAAATACTTATATAAATATTATTATCTACATCTGTATGTTATATATTAAAATATAGATTGTCAGATATATAGACCAGCCAGTCCAATCCAGTCCAGAAACATTTGGAACTTGCATGAATCTGCATTGCCCCTCTTGCGGCGTCGCAGCTGCGGACACGTCGCAGACACCCGTCGTGGGGGCTGTGCAGCACTGATGGCGGCGGTGGAGCGGATGTGACGCCGAGGTGACTGGGCTTGGTGAATGGTTCAGCCTGCCGGGGAGGTTCTTGAAGTAGAGTTATGCATAGTTATCCCATATAATGTGGGCAATTAAAACAATAAACCACCCATTTGGGAATGGTTTATACTTTATACCACCTATTTATGGTGATATGGGGGATGGGTTATAAGTTGCGATTGTTGTACCCACATTAATTGATATAGACTTGTTCAAAACATAGCTATACCGTACCAATACCAATCTGTTCCTGAGTGGAACGTTATTTCAAAGTGCCAGATTCTGATCACATGAGCGCTCTTTTGCCATGAAAGCGGAGTAAGAAAGCCTCTAACAAGCTAAAAACTCTTGTTCTCCAGGGTGTCAAACACACTTTGTCTAAGATTGATACCATATGATACGATTTTTGAAGTGATCTCCCAATCTTTGAACTAACATAAAACTATAATAACCAATCTATACCAATCTGAGAATCTTGGAACTAATCAGCCCATAGTTCATATATCGTTTTTCCATCGTTTTTTCTGGACATCCAGCCCAGGATGGCTCCCAAGCGATGCCTGTCGCTCGCCCTCCTAGCGCTGGCCCTCCTAGCGCCGAAGCTTGGCGCCTCGGGGCAACGGCTGGAGATCTTGCGCGCGACACGTGCGGAGCGACGTGTGATGGTGCGACTGCCTGGGTTGCGACCGTGGCGATGCGGAGTTTATGGTTACCCTCTGGTAATTTGTTACATAATGTTACATAGCTATTGAAAATGGACCATTTATAGTAAATTTACCCATTAAACATGGTGATTTTCCATAGTTTTTTGTACGTTTACCAGAGGGTACAGGATGGCTCATTCGACTCATTCACCATCAATTCATATGGACATATGATGAAATATGAGAGGGAGATACATGAATGACTAGAATGGAACACTATCAATATACTAACTGGAAACCATGGTCTATGAGTCCATTTAGTTCGATCATTTACCTATCAATGACCCAAAAGTGTGATTTTCCCTTGCAAAGTGTTAAGATACCGGAGGGTATATCATGTGGCGATGGAGAGAGAGAGAGAGAGAGATTATGCAAATAGTTCGATAATGTTAATATTTGCTGAACCTTTTTTGGCTATGGCTACTGGCTACTTACATTGGATGTTAATAGATGTTAGGCTTTAGATATTTTGTTTTGACAGTTTTGGGTTACTGTATCACACACGCGGGTCTAAGCAACAAGAATATTGGACGCAAACTCAGAATTATGTGTTTTGTTTTGAAGCATAACACCAGAAATATCCAGAAATTCTATTGACAACTATTCTTAAAAACATATAATTAGTCCTTTTACTATCTTATAAGTCTTATAACTTATACTTACCCTCTGGTAAACTAACATAGCAATGGAAAATCACCATTTTTAATGGGAAAATCCACTATAAATCACCATTTTCAATAGCAAACTGTTAAATTACCAGAGGGTAGATGATCTCATGTGTGCTTTATCACCCCCAAAAGCCACAAACTCTGCCCCGACCTTTTTCGGAGCTCCGCAGGTGGCGGATGAAGTCTTAGCGGCTCGGCCGGCCAAAAATTTCGGTGGCTGGTGGATGTTTGGATCCACCGGCATAACAAGATGACGATGGATATGGGTATGGATCAATACCTATTAATACCATTTTTAGTGGGATGAACATCCATTTACCAGCTATTTTGATGTGAACTACAGGGGTACTATTGGTTTTGACACACTGCCATATGTATATTCTGGTTGGTGGTTTGGAACATGTGGATTATTTTTTCCATATGTTTATTGGTAAACATCCCATGATTTATTGATGGTTTATCCATGTTGATGGATGGGATTTACTGGTTATATATCCTGGAAACCAATGGAAATACTGGTTGGTGGTTTGAAACATGAATAGATTATGACTTTCCATATTAATTGGGAATCATGAATAATCCCGACTGACGAACTCATATTTTTCAGAGGGGTTGCAACCACCAACCAGTATTACATTAGGTATATTAACATATAGAGAGAGAGAAGGAACAAAATATGCTCACCAAACACCTAAGTCCAATCACAACTGCGATTTTCATGGGCACTTGCCACCTCAGATCTCACCCCTGTTCGATCAAAATTGGGCACTTGGAGAATACTTGGAGGGTCCAAGTAATAACCGCAAACTAAGAAGATGGGATATAACCCCCATGACCCATAGTTATGGTTATGTCACCACTTACAACTGCTACTTTCCCATTTCTTCTCATTTTCATATGCACTTGGGTCACCCATATAGTCCAAGTACTGGGAACGCTCATTTTATAATTAATATTTTATGCCCCCCATAATATATGGTTCATCACCACTTCGGAAGGACATACCCTCTGGTAATTTAACATAGCTATTGAACATGGCCATAGAAATAGTGAGTTTTCCCATTAAAAATGGTGATTTTCCATAGTTATGTAAACGTTTACCAGAGGGTACAGGATGGCTCATTTGACTCATTCACCATCAATTCATATGGACATATGATGAAATATGAGAGGGAGATACATTCGAATGACTAGAATGGTTCACTTCGGAAGGACATACCCTCCGGTAAACTAACATAACTATGGAAATTCACCATTTTTCATGGGAAAATCCACTATTTCTATGGCCATTTTCAATAGTTTTTTGTATGTTTAGAGGGTAAACGCTTCCAAGGAATACATCGAGATTGACCTCCACTTCAGCGCTCCCGTCTACGTCACGGCCTGCGGCTCCCCCTTAAGCGCCGTGCACGTCAGCGAGGCGCTGCGCTGCGCCTCGTGCCCCAGGGGCTGCATGCTGTCGGCGGCCTTCAGCCGCTTCCCGTGGCGCGGCAACGGCTGACGTCCGGTAAAAAAACGTGGTAAAACACGCGGTAAAACACGTGGTAAAGAATGGAAAGAATGGTAAAGATCATAAAGATCCAAGAATTTGCATCTTAATACATGTTAGTCTAGCAAATATTCGATATATAGTCATAGTCAACCTCCATTGTTTGAGGTTAGTTGGAAGCTTTGAACTCGGCCTCCGGTGTTCTGCATTGTGTGACAGTGTATGTAAACAGAAAACATGGGGTAATGTGTGTGAGTTTGGTATGTTGTGGTGATGCATTTATTGAGGTGTTTGCCTGCTGATGTTTGATCTTTGATATGCTAAATAGTTTTGTATGTTTGTTTTTTTGCGCCAAACTATCCGAAATTAACCATAGATTGGGACTTACTAACAATGCTTGATTTCAATGATGTGGGGATGGCACATGGGGCAGTTTGGGGATGTTGCACCAACTTGCCACTCTGTTTGACGGCCAATGATTTGGAGACCAGCCCCCCTTTTCAATGGACCGTAAGTTCTAGCCTTGCATGGCTTGCTAGTCATGATTCTATCCACTTCCTGATTGTCATTATCCAATTGTTGCAGCATTAGAGGATTCCACTAAGAATTGGTTACCGGCTGTAAAATGTTTGTAAAATGGTTGTAAAATGGCTAGAACAAGCCCCAGATCACACATAGCTCCGTGACATGACATGAAAACGCCTAGAGACTAATCTTCTGGATCCCAAGGTCCTTTGGATTCCTTTGATCCCTGATGCTTTGAGTCAGAGGAGCATTCCCCTGGATTTGCTGAGTTGCTGATGTATTGTTTTCTGTTCAATCGATAGGAATCTCTGGGGCTTGCCCAGACTTTCCATCCCCTTTCACTGGCGGTTGGCAAAAGCGCGGATCTTAGGTATGTCCCAGATCTGCTGCCGAAACTGCAATCCGAACCGGAGTGCATTTGTGGCGTGAGCTCTTCGTCCGCACAGATCGCACAGTCCTACTTTCTTAGTTATTTTACCATGTTGAAGTCGCAGATCAACTGTAGTAAGTAACCCCAACAAAAACACACATATTATTTAATTAACACATAGTGTATATATATAAATCATATTCAAGTTTAGTGATCACCAAATTTCATCAAATCAGACGCCACTTCGGCCACTTCCCAAACCCATCCCGAGGTTACGAGGAGATGCAGCTCAGGACCCAGGCCTGGCCGGGGGACCAGGGCTTCAACGTGCTGACGGAGCGTCGCCCAGCCTTCATCCATGGCGTGCCCCAAACGCCGGAGATCTATGCCTCGGGCATCTGGAAATTTGACGCCTTGCTGGCCAACATCAAATGCCCCAACGAGGCGAGCCGGTAAAAACAATGGAAAAAAAAACATGGAAGTCTGGAAGTATCCACATTCTGCCAAAAAATATCGAGAATGGCACTGTAGGGAAGCCTGGAGGATGCTGATATGTTTGTGGTGACTGGTATGTCTAGAATGTCTACCTGGCGACCTTTTTTCCCAGTTGTACTTGCAAGTGCATATACTGGGCTCAAGCAGGGGCACAAAAACATGGAAATCTATGTCATCGCCCATGGCCTTCAATCTGCTTCTCACCAACCACAACTAAGATAGAACTGCTACGCTCGCCAAGACAGACCAACGATTATGATTTACCAGCGCTTGCTTGTACACCTCAAAATTGTATGAAATGATGAAGTCAAATCACCCTTTGATGAATTGCTTACTGCGTATCATGATTCCCCAAAAGTTGTTTTGACGGTCAACTATACCAACTATTGTAAACCCAATGATAAACCATCCCATATAAACTCCAAATGCTAGTTATTTTGAATCCCACCAATATAACTACGACTATTATTATGCTAGTTTATCACTCCATTAATGCTAGTTAGTTATTTTAACTTAAATACTATTGTCACTCCAATACCAACTATTTCACATCAATTTCACATCTGATTTCCCATGTTCAATGGCTATTTCAGGAACCGATTGATTGGAGGTACCAATCCCATATATAAGGCCTATATCAGGCCTTAATTTCAGGGAATATCCCCACAACATATGGCCTAAAATATGGTACTAACCTACCTCCACCCCCTCTGGTAATTTAACATAACTATGGAAAATCACCATGTTTCATGGGAAAATCCACTATTTCTATGGCCATTTTCAATAGCTATTTTGACATAACCAGAGGGTAAATTGGATCCTGAAGATCTCCCATTGACATGTTCGTTTTTCCATGGTGAGTTACCCCATGTCGAGGCCAACATGACCCCGGCCCTGGCGCGGATCCGGCGTTTCGGCATCAATGGGCCACCCTTGGATGCTCGGCAGTGGAAACACCCATGGCTTTTTAAAAGGTTAAGCATAAGAAAACCATCATTGGCTAATATAAATGGTTAATGATGGTTAATGATGGTTAATGATGATTAATGATGGTTAATGATGGTTAATGATGGTTACAGATCCCTTGGAAACTGGTTGGTGGTTTCAAACATTTTTTATTTTCCATTTCATATATGGGATGTCATCCGAAACCCATTGACGAACTCATATTTTTCAAGATGGTTAAAACCACCAACCATCATATTTAATGACTGTATCTGGACAATTTTCATATCAAACTAATAAAACATGAGTTTTGAAGTGGAAATTGGTCAACCATTATTTTGATTTGGAATGATTTGGAAAAAATAGGTTGATGTGGTAAAACCGGTTAATTAACTTTATTGACCATTTTCATACTGAATTTGATGAACCATCAGAATCATTTTACCAGAATTTATTTGACTATCACCATGTTCATACTTTTCAATAGGTCAATGTGGTCAATGTTAAATTTCCTGGAGGGTGATACTTTTGAGTAGGTCAATCATGTTTTGTTTTATCATCTGAATGAGCCATGGCTTCCTCCATGCTTATATGATGTTATTGTGAGTTTTTGCCAGCAACATGATTCTGTGAGCACATGATTTGACATTCCCATGTTCATGCTTGTTTTGCACTGAACTGCGTGCGACGCAGTGATCACCTGAGCTCAAGCCATTGCAGCAAAAAGGAAGCTGCCTTTTTGCCCGTTGTTCATTTGCATTTTGCCTTGCGTGGCATTCGACCTAACACATAGCGGCACGTGTTATGGTCAGTTGGCCGCGGAGCCATGGTGGGCTTGGCATGTTTGACGTTTTTGGCGACGGATCCGATGATGGTTCCTCATATAGTTGGACTCCCTCTGAGGTCGCAGCTGAAGAACGAAGATATATGCCTGGCAGACATGCTCCAGCCCCTGTTGATCCTCCTCCTTTGGATCCAGCTTGCCAACGAGCCCAATGGATGTGCCTTAAGTGTAGAACTGATGACTGGAGTGTTGATGAAGATGGGATGTATCGATGCATGCAATGTGGTGGATGCGAGTTCTTTAACGTTGGAGAGCCGGCCAAGTTAGAGACAGCCACTGGAACTTGGTTGTATGTGCCCCATCGTTCCACTTCAAGGTCAGTTTCTGGTGGTTCTTCACATGGTTCTGTGGAAGGATCCCCTGTGAAGTCTTCGAAAAGTCCTGCAGCTGCTCATGCAAAGTTTCCTGATGAGCCATCAGTTGGAAGCCATGCAGAGCGTGCCGAGTCAGAGACGCCTACGACTGATCCTGTGGTTGATCTAGATGATGTTGGTTCCCACAGACGCCGACGTCGTAGAGGTTCCAGTTCCTCTTCAGTTGTTCAAGCCCCAGTTGCACCAGCTCTTCATCATGGAGGTTCAGCGGACTCTGGTGGAAGACTCAGTGCCAATGGCGAACTGCTGAATGTGATGCGACAATTATTGAATGATCGAAAGAAGAAAGATACAGATAGTGAGAGCTCCTGGAATAGTGCGCGTGGTCCTGCCCGCGGAGTCAGATGGCGCGGTGGCACTCCTCCTCAGCCACCCAGATGGCAGTACCAGCAGAATGACCTTCGTGCCTTTAGCAAATACGAGCGCAAGGTTGAGACGTGGGTCATGCAATCCAGGAACTATATGACTTCGAGCGAGATGGGTCTTGCGCTTTATGTTTCTTTGACTGGCGAGGCTGAGTCAGAGGCTGAGCACTTCGACCTGAAGAAGGTGAACGCCAAGGATGGCGTGAAGTATATTTTGGATGAATTGCGCGGTCCTCTCCAACAGCGCATTCTTTTCCAAAAACGGAAACTGCTGAGTGATTTCGAGACTGTCAAGCGGACTGCTCATGAAACCGTGCGCCAATACCTGAACAGATATCGACGGATTGAACGCGATTTGGACAATGTGGGCATTCAGTCATCTGCTATGTATGATGCTGAGTCGCGTGGCAATCGGGTGCTTGAGCGGTGCCTTCTTTCTCCGGAGCTTCAGCGCTTAGTCCTCATTGGCGCTGGCAATGACCTTCACTATGAGAAGATTTATGAGAGCCTGTGCCTTCAGTTTCCTGATTTCAAGCCGAGCCCTCCCTTGTTTTTTCCTGGAAACCAATGGGGAAACAGTGGCAAGGGTAGCAATAAGGGTTCACCATCAAGTTCAACGGGGTCCATGACTAGCACTTCAGCGTCCTCCCAAAGATCCTCTTCAAGTAGTTTTTCGGGCAAGTCATCCTCAAAGGGGAAGGGTTATCCAAAGCGTGCATTCCAAACGGAACTTGCAGACGGTGACCAGACTGCTGGCGACAATGAGGAATTTGAAGAGGCAGTTGGGGATGAGAGTGAACTTGGCCCCATTGCAGAAGAAGATGAAAATGCCGAGTGTGCTGATGGAGACGAAGCCGATGCCGATGATGTAGCTTTGAATCCTGATGACATAGCAGAGCTTGCCCAAGTTCTCACAGTTACGTCAAAGAAGTTGCAGGCTTCTGTGCTTGGTCGCAAATTTTCTGGCCGCAAAAGCATTGAGGAGCGCAAGAAGTCCTCGTCATGCAGTGCCTGCGGACAAGTGGGACATTGGGCAGGCGATAGTGTCTGTCCTGTTTCAGCTGAGCGTGGTGGCAAGCGAGATGGAAAAGGGCATCAAACTGGTGGTTCGAGTGTAGCTACCCCCAAGTCTTCTGGCAACTTTGGGGGCAAAGGCATCAAGAAGAGCTATGTGGTTGGACTATCTCATGATGACCATCAACACGATGACCCAGAACACCATGAAGTAGATCCCCAATCCAGTTATTTCACCTTCACCACCAATTTGGTTCTTGGGGCAGATCTTTCGACAGCATGGGTGACCGAAGCAATTGACCTGGGTGGTTTTATGTTTTTGGATACTGCATGTCAGCGTTCATGTTGTGGTGAGCATTGGTTGAAGACCCATTCAGAAATCCTTCATCGCCACGATCTCCGGGTCAAGATGTTTGACTGCACCGACCACTTCCAGTTTGGCTCAGGAGCTCCAGTGGTGTCTTCGACAAGAGCCTACTTTCCAGCTTCAATGCCAGGCCAGGAATCCCAGGGAGTGATCTTCGGTGCAAGTGTTTTGAAGACTGGTATTCCTTTTTTGGCAAGTCGCACTCTTTTGCAACGACTTGGATGTGTCATCGATATGCATACCATGACTTTGACATTTACCAATTTGGGGTTGAGCATGCCACTCACTAGTCGTCATGGGCATCTTGCTGTCAGCATTGTTCATTTTTCAGATGGAGTTTCAAAGATGTCATGTTGGAAAAAGCTGTCGAATCTTGATCTTTGGCATGATCCGGATCCTGAGCTACTATGCGCGCCCGGAATCCTCAACAAGGGCTCAATTCGAGATCAGCCACCCCAACAGATCGGATCGCTCGGCAATGCTTCGTGCAGGGCGCTCAGAAGCTTCCTTTCGATGGGAGAATGTGGTGATCAAGGTGATGATGTTGTATTTTCGGGCCTACAAGGCCATGTCCACGCTGGTGAAATTCGGCCTGATGCCACGACAGTGGATGACCACATGGGAGCACCAACAGGAACTGGAAAGGCAGAAGAAGGAGCTGGCGCCAAAGATGAAGGTGGTCAATCCTGCAACTTGCCTTCATCCAGCCTTTCATCGATACGGCAACGTGCACGGGTCCTTCAGCAAGTGCAAGAGGTGCCACCAGCGGTACAAGTGGGATCTGGAAAGAGAAGGTTGGGTGGTTCATGGAAGTCCTCAGTTGCAACCTTCTTCGCACTTGCCGCCTCCCTCCTCATCCACCATCCTGCCAATCATGGACATGCCAACCAAGGGCAAGGGCAGGAGTGGCAAGAAAGGGACATCTTCGAAAGCCAGAGCGAAGCCGAAAGCCCATGCCACCGACCACCGACCGGTGGAAGCCCTGCAGGTCTTTTTGCCGGAGATGGAGTCGGAGATTCCCTACGACTCGGATGCATACCCACCGAGTTCGGACGGAGGCCCGGACGGCTTTCACGGCTGGGACGTGAACATGACGCTCGAGGACTTTGCTTGAGCGATGAGTGGCAGGTGGACTCTCAATATGTCACTCGAGTTCACCACGTTCCCAGAAAGATGTTGTTTTGTGAGGCTGATTTTTATGAAGTGCCAGATCCATGCCCAATTCACCTCCATCAACTATGCCCGGAGTGCGTTGTTGAGATGCAGTATGAGGATGGCAGGAACCAATCACTCACTTATGAATGGGGTGACAGTTCCGGGGCATTCCAAATGAAAAGTGCATGGACTGGCAAAACAGTTTTCAAGTTGAAGTCTCCACCACATGCAGCTTTGATTTCCAACCGTGACCGGAAGACTTTGCGTCATTCAGTGCGACAGCTTGTGAATTTGGCCCAACTTGAACATGAGGTTTTGACTTCCACCTCAAGTTCAAATCCAAACCCTCTCCAACGGCACAAGCATCGGTCTCGTGTGGATTTGCTTGAGACCTTTGCAGGAAGGGCTGGACTTTCCTTCCGTGCCAAGAGCTATGGACTTAAAGCTCTGGGGCCAATTGACTTCAACACAGGCTATGACCTGAGCAAGGTAGAACACCAGGCCCACGTGGATCACCTGTTGGACTTTTACAGGCCACTGTTTCTTGTTCAGGGCATTGATTGCACAGACTGGTGTCTGCTTCAGGACAATGTCAACTACGTTAGACGCAAAATCCTTCTTTTGATGCGCCGTGCCAAGGCAAGGAAGCTGCTGAAGAAGATCGTGGATTGGTGTATCAAACAATCCAATGCTGGTCGTTTCTTCCTCATCGAAAACCCTGTGACCAGTAGACTTTGGGTGGAGCCTTTGATTCTAAAGTTGTCGAAGTTGCCTGGCGTGAGTTTTTCAATTTGCCATTCAGGAGCCTACGGTGCGGTGAATTCCAAGCACCAGATGATCCGCAAGACCTTCAAGTTCCTGGGCAATTGTCCTCATGTTTTGGCTCGGCTGACGCGCCGTTTGAGCCCTGAGCAACTTCGCCAATGTGTCAAGCTGGAAGGCAAGGAGACCACTTTGTCTCAGCACTACCCTGATGAGATGGTCAAAGAGATGCTCATTGGCATCAAGCAGACTGCTATGGAGCTGGATCCTCAACGCTTCATGATGCCAAGGTCTTCTCAACACTCAGTTTGGGTAGCCCAGCACAATGACAATCCTGAAGATTGGAAGCCGCTTTTTGAATCTGCCCAGCGGACTTTCGACACAACTCGCATGAAGAGCTACGTGCTTGCAACTTCTGATCCTCTTTGGAAGTCGGTCAGTGACATGGTGAAATGGCACAAGCTTGAGCGAGTTCAGATCGCTGTGCAGCCTGCTATGCTACGACTTCCAGCTCATATCCCACACACCCATCGTGGATTTGCATTGCTCTACAACGATGGTGAGATCGACGTTGTTGTGGAGGACCTCTCTGATGTGCGACATCCCAGAGCTCGCTTTCGGAAGCCTGTCAATCTTGGAATTTTCTTCTTTGGACATGCAGAGGTTCTACAGCAAGTACCGCAACAAGAGCGAGCTCCACAACAAGATGTGGTGACTATAGATGATGATCCTCAAAGCATCGTCGCACACACTGTCGATGGCATTTCTTTTCCCAAGCTGCCTGGACTCCCGCAGCAACTGAAGACCATTCTCTCACGACTCCATCGAAATCTTGGGCATCCTCACGCCAATGAGCTCAAGAAGATGTTGGCCATGAATGGCATCAAAGACCAGAAGCTCTATGATGCGGTCGAGGCCTTGACTTGCGAGTCATGTTTGAGAGTGAAGGGGCCATCTCGCCCTGAACCTTCGGGCATTCCCCATGATGTTTGTCTTCAGTTTGCTGATGCGGTTCAGATCGATTTGTTCTATGTCAGGGACATTCGAGCTGTGAACTATGTTTTTCTGGGCATTATTGACGAATGCACCCACTTTCACATGGCTTTGCTCTTGCGAGACCGTAGCCCTGAAGAAGTTGAGTTTCAATTCGTGTCCCACTGGGCACGTGTTTTTGGATTTCCACTTCGCATGAAAGCTGATCCAGATGGATCCTTCAGGGGCTACTTTGAAGCTTCCATGGACCAGGCTGGTGTCTTTGTGGACTTTATCCCAGCCGAGTCCCATCATCGCATTGGTCTCATTGAGCGCCACAACTCTGTGCTGAGAGACTTGATGGAGCGCATCATCGACTCCAGAGCAGTCTCCAATGAAGCCATGATGGAGCAGGCCGTGGTTGCAGCATGCTTCGCAAAGAATTCTTGCACTTGGTCCTCTGGTCGTCCTCCTTTCATAGCCGCCTTTGGCCGAATCCCAAGAATGGGGACAAATCTCCTGTCTGACAGTCGTGGACTTGTGACGGGCCAGACTCGAGATGAGCTTCAGAAGGAAGCCGGTCTGCTGAGGATTGAAGCCCAACAGCACCTCGCTGCCATGAGCATCGACAGCAATCTCAGAAGAGCCCTCTTGAGAAAATCAACTACGACAGGTCCTCAAGATCTTCCCGTTGGCTCTATTGCTGCTTACTGGCGCTGGACAGCCAAGTCCGGTAAAAAGCGCGGTGGCTACAAGCTTGCCAGAATTCTTGGAAGAGATCTCGATGGCAAAAGCTTATGGCTTCAAGCTGGCACCAACACCATCAAGGTTGCCCCTCACCAGATTCGTCCAGCTCTTGGATTTGAGCAGTGGACTCCAAGTTATGAGGACATTAAGTCGCTGCGGTCTGCAGTTGAGAACCTTCAACATGGTGAACTGGCCGATGAGCAGATTCCTCCTCCAGCACCTGGACAGGAGCATCCTGGATTTGACGAGCTCCAGCCTCAAATCGCAGTGCCTCAACAAGAGTTCAGTGATGCTGAGTTTGTTCCAATTCCATCAGAGCCAGTTCCACCAACTCCTCCTCCAATGGTTCTCCAAGACCAAGCTACACTGCAAGAAGAAGCAGTCCAGACAGATCCATATGTCCAGCAGCCCATCAACTTCAACATGAGCTCTCCGACCTATCGCAATACGATCATCCAGAACCAGTCTTTTGGGATGACGGAAGGTCAACGAGCTCAGCCCAAAGTGAACATCCCTGTGAGAAAAACCCATCGATCGAGATCCACCACTCCAGTACCGCAAAGGTCTCTTCGTGACCGACCACGTGGTAGCAATGATCCATTGCCCTCATTGCCTTCAAGACCTGGTGGTTCTCTGCAAGATCAACGACAAGAGAGTCAGGTTCCGGGTGATGCGACTCCGGTTCTTCCTGACGCTCCTCCAAGTGCAGTCATCACCATTCCTGACGATGATGCTGAACAACCTTCAGTGCCACAGCTGCCCATTGGACTTGCCGATCAACCTCTAGCTGAGCCGGCCATTGCACCAGAGGTTGGCGACATTGCTCCAACGACACCTGAGGGCCTGAAGATGACTCCTGCAAAGCGCACCATTGACGATGTTGAGAGCCCAGCTGAACAACGAGTGTCCAGCGCGCATCAGGTGCACAATGTTTCACTTCATGAAGAACCTCAACATGAGGAGACTTCAAATTCAACTTTCAATGCAAGTTCGCGTCGTGATGAGCGCTCTTTTGATTTTGTTTTGGATGATGTGGACGGCATTCATCTCCTTCCTGAGGGCTTTGACGGCTCCAATGACATCTACATGCCGTATGCCCACAAGATCTACATGAATGCCTATAGAAAGGACAAGAACTACCATGGGACAGGGTCTAGCGACGAGTCTGACGCTGACGTTGCAGACTTCAGAGGTCAGAAGACACCCATCGCACCAACCTTGACACGTCAAGAACGAAAGGCCCTTGACAAGGAGATCCCATGGCAAACCATTTTGAAGATGGACCAGTCCTCAATTCAAGCCTATGTCGAAGCAGCCCAAGCAGAAGAGAAGTCCTGGCAACAATTTGGATCAGTCAGACCTTTGACCAACCATGAGGCCAGAGCGATCTTGAATGACAAGAAGCTGAGACGCCGCATTTTGCGGTCAAGAGCGGCCTATCGAGACAAGTCGAAGGGAGCTGAGGCCTTGCGAGCCAAATGCAGGGTCGTGGCAATTGGCTGCCTTGATCCAGATCTATGGACCCTTCAACGCGAAGCTGCAACTCCAACTCGACAGTCAGAGTTTGTCCTCTATGCCATCTTCCTTGCCGGTAAGAATGGTATTCTTTTTGGTGGCAACTCTGGAACTTGGCTGTTGTGGGGCGGTGACGTGAAAACAGCATTTCTTCAAGGTGATCCGGAAGAGCGAGAGCAACCGCTCTATCTTTTACCACCCCAAGACGGGATCACCAAGTTGGCAAAGACTTTTCAGGCAATGCTTTACCTTGTGAAAGGGAACATCTATGGTCTTGCGAATGCCCCGAGAACATGGTGTCGGCATGTGATCGCGACTCTTTTGCGAGCTGGCTATGTGCAGGGCTCTTTGGACAAGATGCTGTTCTTCTTGCACAAGAAGTTCGATGGCTGCAAGCATCCAGTCCTCTGCGCAGTTGCCATCGTGTATGTGGATGACTTTTTGCTGGCACATGATTCAAGGTACGACCGAAATCATTTGCTCCAGTTGTTCAAATGGGGAAGCCAAAATGAGTTAACTTTAGATAACCCCTTAGAGTTCAAAGGTAAGCAAATAACCCTGAAGCAAAACCCTGCCACTGGCGAGTACGAGATTCACCTGAATCAGCAGAAGTTCATCTCTGAGATGAAGAGCGGCAAGGTGAACCGAAAGCTGCTGAAAGAGACCATCGATCAGAAGGACCTCGGTGAGTTCAGATCAGTTGCAGGATGTCTTCAGTGGCTTGCTGGTCAAACGAGACCAGATGTTGCTGCGGTTGTTAGCCTTTGCAGCAAAGGAGCCAAGTCAACATATGAAGATCTGCAGAGCATGTATTCAGCAGTGGACCACCTTCATGCGACGAAGGAGCATGGCATTGTCCTGCAGCCGGTGCCCATCAACTATGCCACCATGCTGGTGACTTTCGCCGACTCATCATGGGCGAATGCTGAGGGGCATGCGAGCCAACATGGATCACTTATCCTTTTAGCTGATCCAAGGGCTACAGATGTGGTTTCACCTGGTTTGCTTTTAGATTGGAAGAGTTCTAGGAGCAGCCGAGTTTGCAGAAGCACTCTTGCTGCGGAAGCTTCAGCAGCAGATGCATCGGTAGATAGGGCATCCTTTTTGAATTACCAATTGAGTGAACTGTTGCTGAATCGTCCTGCTTTCCACATCTCCTCGAAAGAACTGTTGCGACAGATACAGGTTACTGACTGCCGTTCTCTGTATGATGTTTTGGTTTCTGAAAACCCCAGAACTGAGGAGAAGCGGACGATAGTTTCGATCCGTTCAGCGCAGCAGTTTTTGACCAGAGAGAACGTATTCTGGGTCCCAACAAATCTGCAGTGGGCCGATGGACTCACGAAGGTCTGCTGCAAGCTTATGGAAAGCTTTGCATGTTGGTTGCGGAAACCCTGGATACAGTTGCATGAGAGGGGAAATGTCAATCAACAAAGAAAGATGAGTGTGAGTTTTTGCCAGCAACATGATTCTGTGAGCACATGATTTGACATTCCCATGTTCATGCTTGTTTTGCACTGAACTGCGTGCGACGCAGTGATCACCTGAGCTCAAGCCATTGCAGCAAAAAGGAAGCTGCCTTTTTGCCCGTTGTTCATTTGCATTTTGCCTTGCGTGGCATTCGACCTAACACATAGCGGCACGTGTTATGGTCAGAGTTATATGACATATATATATATATATACATATATGTGTGTGTGCGGGAAACCAATGAGAAAACCTATCATGTCGGAATGGTTTATAGGACCCATTTTGTGATTTCGGGGATGTTTTTATGGTTGGGTCTGCCACATTAATATGTTTTAAATGCATGGACATGTTATTTTGTAGATAAAGTAGCTGAGATGAAATGAGATGAGGTTAGATTGATAGATGATAAATGTATTTGCATGCTGGCATATATATATATACACATATTATTTAGATGGGACACAGCAAAGTATTGCCACCTGACGTTGCGGGAGATGCAACTGACATTGCAGCCAAACATGAACCGTGATGTGGTTTCTCCTTCTCAGTAAAGGATGCGACATGTCCTGTCAACATTTGATGAACTGACCCTGACAGTCTTCTACCCTCCAGAAAACTAACATAGACATGGGGGACATAGACAGTTACGTGGTTTCTGAAAACATGATCTACCAAAGGTATTGCCATATCTATGTTGATTTCATGCGAGCGAAAAGGTTCCTCCAATTCAGGTGGTTCTCACTTTGATTTCGTGTATCCCACATGTATGGCTTCAAGGAATTTTCCTGATCCCATGGCAGCTGGTCATGTGTTCAAGTGCTATCACTGAGCAACCTTGCTTGAGTGGATAAACAGGTGTTTAAAGTTTCGAGACCATCAAAGGACGATAATAAACACCAACTCTACTATATATATTCATGTCATGTACGTTGTTGGATATGTTGGATGTGGTGAAATTCTGCTGGGTGCTGACTGGAACATGAATGGAAAAAATGACTTTCCATTCAGTTTTGGGAATGGAATAATCATCCCAACAGGGGTAGTTTTTTTTTCACCAACCAGAATTTCCCAGTCATCATCCATATTTATAGATGCTATTTTCCACCAGATTAACCATCCAGTCATCCATTTATAGATGGGGGTAGGTCAACCACCAGTGAAATTCTGTACTGGTGACCATCATCCATCCAATCATCATCCATCCAGTCAGCCAGGACAACTCCTTGCTGTGGTTCCGTCGCGTGGAAACGGCCTTTGGGGTGGAGGACATCGATCGCCTCTTGGCCAATGCATCGAAGTCCTACAACAGCAGGCCGGCCGGCTGAAACAGTGGATGCTTGGTGATTTCATTGGGAAAATATATGAAAATATCAGGAACACATGTCTACAATGTGGGGCCCCCCAGTTATAAGTTGGTTTATAAGCCCCAGAAACTATAGTTATAAGTACCATAAACCATAGTTATTGGATTTATAAACCAACTTAGCTATCTAGGGGGCCCCACTTTGTATGATACCACCATATTCCACCCAAAAAAAATCACCAATGATGTCTAATGATGTCTATGATTTCTGATTTACCCTCTGGTAAACGTTTACATAACTATGCGAAAGCACCATTTTTGATAGGTAAATCAACGATTCCTATGGGTCATGTTCAATAGCTGTGTTAGTCATTACCAGAGGGTAAGGAACACATGAAAACATCAGGGTTTGATCATGGCAAAATATTGGGATTGATCATTAAGATGGGCACTCTCGGGGTACCATCAAGAATGGGATGTTGCCAGGACAAACATGGGGATCTAATTGCTAATGATGATTTTGAATGGCTTCTATATTAGTTATGTGAGTTGATTTTGCCAGATTTGTTTAGCATCAAAAGTGCAAAAACTGATTCTGATACATGATGACCATCAGCACACCTGTCATTTATAGATGATTTAGATGATTTCTCCAATTATTCACATTATATGTGAGTTTCCCATTCAAAGAATGAAATTTGGGAGGGATTGCCCATCTAAAGATCTGCAAAACCCATAGACATTTACCATGTATGACGTTTTCCCATTTCCCCGTTAACATTCAACGTCGGAACACATTAAAACGTCCAAATTCGATCAAATTCGATGATTTTCCCTATTTTCCCCAGGGCAACATGCGAGAAATCTTCCAACATTTGATGTTTTTTCTCGTGTTTCCCATGGTTTTCCCGCATTTTCCCATGGTTTTTCCCTGAAAAACACCCTACGACTTCCCCTCCACCGGCGCGCCAGACGCGCCATCTTTTTGCTTCCAGTGAAGCGCACCAAGAACGGCCGCACCCGACAGCTGGGACTCAGCTTGGAGGAGACGGTGGATTTTCCAGAGGGGATGGGCATTTTCCCATAACCATCTGGTTGGTGGTTTGGAACATGAATATATATATATATATATGTATGTATGTAATGTATGTATGTATGTAATGTAATGTAATGTAATGTAATGTAATGTAATGTAATGTAATGTAATGTAATGTAATGTAATGTATGTATGTATGTATGTTATGTTATGTTATGTTATGTTATGTTATGTTATGTTATGTTATGTATGTAATGTTATGTATGTAATGTTATGTATGTAATGTTATGTATGTAATGTTATGTATGTAATGTTATGTATGTAATGTTATGTATGTAATGTTATGTATGTAATGTTATGTATGTAATGTTATGTATGTTATGTAATGTTATGTAATGTTATGTAATGTTATGTATGTATGTATGTATGTATGTATGTATGTATGTATGTATGTATGTATGTATGTATGTGTATATATATATACAGTATATATTTTTATATATATATGGTGTTCCATTTCCATATATGGTTGGTGGTTTTAACCATCTGGTTGGTGGTTTTAACCATCTGGTTTTCCATTTCATATATGGGATGTCATCCGAAACCCATTGACGAAGTCATATTTTTCAGGATGGTTAAAACCACCAACCAGCCATAGTTAGACTATGTTATAATCATGATAATCCATTTGTAAATAGAATCCACTGAATGGGGACTTGTACAAAGCGTGGTTATTGTTACTATTGATTGGAGGATCATCAAGGGTAAGTGGTTAAGAAGCCCGGTTAGTAAGTCCCCATTGATTAGTCATGAAACATGGATAAACATGCGGATTTACATGATTTTTAACCATGAAGCAGATGGTGATTTGACTTGGCCGTCGTATATTTGAATACCCTTTGATAAATTTAACAATAATTTAACTATGTACTGTACTTGCATACATATTTACTTGCATACATACTTACCTAGATATCGTAGAGACAGATACATTACACACCAGGAGCTGGCGCCATGCCGTTTGGACTTGCCATTGCTCACAGGGCCCAATGGGGAGCCAGCAGCACCTGGGCTGCTTTGAGGCCCAGCGGACGAAATAAAGGCCACCAGCTAGTTGTGAACACATCCATATCTAATTATAACTATAATAGTATAATATATATATATATAATATTAACTAGAATGCCATAGAATGCCCAGCTAGTTCTTAACTATCATATATATATATACTGGTTGGTGGTTTCAAACATTTTTTATTGTCCATTTCATATATGGGATGTCATCCTTCCCATTGACTCATATTTTTCAAGATGGTTAAAACCACCAACCAGTATATATATATATAGCCATAGAAAACCACCATTTTTTTTTTAATAGGTAAACCATCTATTTCGATTAGGGCCAGCTATACCATGGCTATGTTAGTCATAACCAGAAACTATAGTAGTTATATAAAACCACCAGTTATATTATTGGGTATATCACCAGTTAGTGGGATATCTATATATATATAAGTTAATATTAACTATAGAATAATTCTATACCCAGCTAATTCTTAACTATCATATATATATATATAATATATATATTTTATATCTAACCAATTATGGCCTTATTTCAAAACTAGCAGGACGACCATGTCGGCAAGGACTCCACCAGGCTTACCACCACCACCTTTGAGTCGAGGGGGCCGTTATTGGTTGAATGGACATGGTGAAAAACAGTGGCTTCAACAAATAGCATGAACATGTCAAAAAAAATATATATATATATATATCCATGTATTTATTTATCTATTTATTTATTTATGTATATGTATATATATAGCCATAGCCATGGCAGCCTAACATGTCATGGTGATTAAAATCTGCGACTGAGGACAGTGTTGAACGGATCGGAGCCTTAGAGGAGAAACGCTTTCTGTGCAAAAGCCATGAGATTCAGGTGTGGTGACCATGCTATCCATGCTTCCGGGAGAATCCTGGAGAGGACATTGATGAAATCCTGAAAGTGTGCCACCCAAAAGTTACCCCCTCCATCAACAAAGCCTTACTAAGAGGATATCAAACCCGCTTCGTTGGGGGCCGAGCAGCTGAGCCTACGCCAAAGGTGACCTAATTTGGTGATGTTTGGGTTTATCATAGGGGCATCGCCTCCGTCATTGATATGATAGGGCCTACCAATTTGATTGTTTTTTTTTGGTTGTTTCATGATGGTGAACATCAACACTTGATGGCTTGTTTAGTCTCATTGATCTATAGTACAACTGTGTCGATTACCGCACCAAAGCGGGGTTTGAAGCAACTTCTGTTGAGAGCCAACAATTCGCGCGTTTTACGTTTTTGAACATCATCGACTGCACAACCAGATGCAAACACGCAAATGTGCTTACATACTTGCACCTAACGAGCAGGTAATATACTCATATATGCTCATATCTATTTTCACCGGTCTTTTCAGGGTCGAAGCATATCCAATTTATAAAAAAAAAAACTAACGTCAACCCTGGATTAATAAACCCCTAGGCTGTTTAATTGGGAAGGTACCATTAAGTATCAAATCATTGACACATTATCCATAAATCATGTTACGTTCGCAAGTGGCTCAATGACTCACCCCCCAACAGGTTCCACCTTAAAAAAACGCCGCCAGGGTGCACATCGGCAGATGAAGAGCATCATGGATCGCGTGTTGACGGCTGGGCGTCAGGAGGGGCATTGTCACTTGGCGCGGCATCGTTTGGGTCACCTGAAGGGTCACCTGAAGCTGGAAATCTTCAAGTCATCTACATCACAATGGAATATATATGGGATATTCCAATCTATGGATATATTCCAATGGGATAAATTGATATATCCTCTGGCTATTTAACATAGCCATGGTTAAGCCATGGCCCTAATCGAAATAGATGGTTTACCGAACTAAATAGCATGGTGATTTTCCATGGCGGACTGTGAATGTCATAACCAGATGATACATGCGAATTCGGTGATCTATTCCACATGTTAATGGGATTATGTATATATATATATATGTATTACTAATCAATAGGTAGGCATATATATATATATGTTAAATATTTTATTAAATGGTATATGTAGTAGTGAGATAATACTCACGGATTCGTGATGGACTATTAATAGGGATGCAATGGACTATTGATGGATTAGTAAGAGTCAATGTTAGTACAGCAATGCCATGAACCACCCCTATGGATTGACGGTTGAGAAAGCAACCATAAAATTGTAACAGCTTGACCCTTAGAATCAGCAAGTTTTTAGTCGTCTTCCTATGGATTGACGGTTGGTCCATTTGATGACCATTTGTCCATTGGGTGTAACTTAGGTGTACCCTCAGGTTATTTAACATAGCCATGGTATAGATGGCCCTAATCGAAATAGATGGTTTACCTATTAATAGCATGGTGATTTTCCATGGCTATGTTAAATAACCAGATGGTAACTTAAAGATGAAGAACTTGAAGAACTTGGAACAGCTCAGAAGGTGGTACCATCATTAGATCATCATCCCATCGTTTCAATGGAAATTTCAGGATCCTAAAATGCTACTATACCATATTCCAGGCCATATTTTCTCGGGATATTCCCTAAAAAATGGGCCAACAAAATATGGTAGGTAGCCTCTGGTAAACTAACATAACGAACTGGAAAATCACCATTTTTCATGGGAAAATCCACTATAAATTGCCATTTCCAATAGCTATTTTGACATAACCAGAGGGTAAACCTCCATTTTCCTATGGTTTTCCTATGGTTTTCCTGTTGCTTCCTGTTGCAAGGCACCTCGGATTGGCGCACGACCTTCCCGGCTCGTGGCTCCGGCGGCCCTGGCGGCACATCGGGGAAGGAGAGCGGTGGAGTTTCTGCAGCAATTTCGGTGGCTGGTGGTGCCTTGAAAACCATAGGAAAACCATAGGAAAACCATAGGAAAATGGAGGCTTACCCTCTGGTAATTTGTTACATTTCCATATTTATAATATTTTAATTGTATGTTCCACCAGATTAAGCATCCATATCATCCATTTATAGATGGTATTTTCCAGTTACCCTCTGGTAATGACTAACATAGCTATTGAAGCCATGGCCATAGAAATAGTGGATTTTCCCAGCTAGAAAATGGTGGATCTTTCCATAGCGAACCGTAAAATTACCAGAGGGTATATATAATAGATGGTTTACCCATTAATAGCATGGTGATTTTCCATAGCGAACTGTGCATGTCATAACCAGATGGTATATATGTATATATGTACCATATTAATTGGGAATGTCAGAAAATCCCAACTGACTTTCACTCCATCATTTTTCAGAGGGGTAGGTTCAATCCACCAACCAGATTATGATTAGTGGTGAAGAGTGGCAATTTGAGTATAAAAGTAATCTATATAGTCAACACTATTCCAATTTGAGATTGTTTTTTGATGGTTTTTGTTTTCGAATAGTAGAGCTCGCATGATGTTTTTTGCTTGGGCGGTTCTTCCTGATTCCGTGGGATGGTAGTATCACATGTCGTGGATCTTCCATATCAATGATTATCAATGTTAGTTTACTGGAGGGTAGCCTCCAGTAATTTAACATAACAATGGAACATGGTCTACATATGGACTTACCATGGTCTTACCATGGATTTACCATGGTCTTACCATGGATTTACCATGGTCTTACCATGGATTTACCATGGATTTACCTATAATAAAACTGATCATATTCCATAGCTGACTGTTAAAGAACCGCTAGCCCGGCCGCAGGAGTACGTTTGGGGAGAAGATCCCCAGCAGAACCAGAGCTACTCGCCCTACACCACGCAGGTCCTGGAGGAACGCTTTCGGAAGGTTGGCATCCTGCGCCTTGGCGAAACATCAAAAACCCAAGTGATTAAGTGTATAATAGGACTTAATAGTGATTTTACTACCTGACTATCTATATCTATTATATGTATATATACAATATGTTTATTTATTTATTAATTTACTTATTTATTAATTTATTTATTTATTTATAAACTTATATATATGTGTGTGTATGTATATATTATTAGCCTAAAGCAAGATTATTATGAATAATACTCCCATGATCGGTGTAGGTATATTTTATATTAGCCAACATTGTAATCCTATTGAAATGGGTACTAGCCCGTGAAAGTTCTATGCCTCATTTTTTCGGGGAATACCTGCCCCAAACATGGCCAGGCAATGCCAAACATCTATGGTGTGCCGTAGCCGCCACATCTTGGCTTGTTGGCCCCCAGGTACTATCGGCGAGATTTTCGCACGCCAACCCTGGCTGATGCTTGGAGGTTACAGCATGTTACAGCCATAATTGGGATTTAATGGGACGTTATTGGATTGATTGGGATTCCGTAATGTTGGCTAGTTATATCCCAGAATAGGGATTTGATTAGAATGGAATATTATGGATTAATCGTGGGAATATGAGAAGACGCCAACCAACAATATCGATGATACAGTGTTTGGAAATTGGTTCACTCAGCGACTATTGTTTTTTCTTGTGGATGTCCAAAGCATCTTGGGGAAATCAACATGGGATCACTCAGGACAACATGCCTTGCTCGGTGTATCGCTGGCAGCTCCGACTGCGAGCCCACAACATGCGCGAGCGTGCTGTGTCCTACACAGCGTCAGATGCAGCTGGGCGTTCTGTGTTTTTTCAAATCTGGAAATTTCTAGTTGATTTTCCCATTCAAAATGGTGATTTTCCATTTATTGGAGTTGCAAAAAAAAAATGGATCCACCCCATCCCCCCCAGCAGCCCCAGCGCCAGGAGGTGAATGGCTGTTGGTCCATGATGGAGCACGCCTTCCAGTTCCAGACCATCTCCGAAACCACCGAGTCGCAAAGTTGCACCAAGGATCCCGAAGACAATGCGCCCCGGCTGCGCCGCCATGGGAGAGGTGGATAGGTTGAGATGTTGAGATGTCCCATATTTTTTGGGGCGTGGAAAAAATAGTGCCATCCGGTGACTCAAGATATAGAGATGATGAACTTTTTGCATCTTTTTGTTGCATTTTGTTGCATCTTTTTGCATCTTGTGTTTTTTTGGATGAAATAGGCCGAAGATGTTGAACATCATGGGTGATCGTTCATTGAAGCGCGGTTAGACCACCCCCAAAATTGACGGCCTAAGGAGACAGCTTTGGGATTTGCAGATTGCTTCAATCGGGTGCGTTTCCAAGAAACAGTTTGGAGTCCCAAAACAGTCCAAACACGCATGCTGTCCAGTTACCAGGTTACCAGTATATTACTTTATACATCTGCATATGTTTTTTTGTATGACTCTGTGTTCATTAGTTTTTCATCAGTCAGGTTCTCTTTTTGGGAGGTCTGAATTCCCTATGTCTTTGAGGCCTTCTTTTTCGACCCTTGCTGCAATCTGCAAAAGCTACGGCAGCAATGCTGCGCCACTCGACCATGGGGAAATCATGGGGAGGTGACTGGGGCCTTGGACAGCCATGGATATCCAGGTGGCAAACATCACCAAACCATATGGGAACCCACTAGTGAGTTGACGTTGTATTTTTGGGTCATTTCATTCACCAAAAATGCTAAAAATGCCAAGGCCAAAAGTCTGAATGTCATCGAAAAGCCCGTGCTGGCCTCACTGGACGGTGCAGTTTCCGGGCTGCAAATGGTGGTCGCCTGGGTGAAGCTGCGGTTGTGATGCTCCAATCATGTACCCTCCAAAATGACCCAAGATGATCCAAGTGCATCGAAATGGATCATAACGTGACTCAAAAACCATCAAAACCATCAAAAATCAACAAAATTGATTCTCCAATACTTTTGAACGGTGACATGTACTTTTCATTCATCTTTTCTGTTGAATCACTACGCAAGCTCCTCAAACTTGCATAAAAATCAAGATTCCATCGGAAAAAAACATTTTTCTTAGGAAAACAACACATGTTTCATGATTTTACCACAGAATTTCATTGATTTCTATTTTTTTCAGGGTTTTCACATGGTTTTTCCATGAAAAACTCCCTTGGTCCGTCACCCCCCGTGGCTCCGCCCAGTCCCTGGCGCAGTGCCGCCACGCGCGTGGCGCCGGCTTCGTGAAGGCAGCGCTCAGCGCGGGGCTGGCGTGGCAGCGGCGCCTCAGAGAGCCCAGCGGAACGCAGATTGGATGGAAACAGCTGGCGCTGCAGGAGATGCTTCTTGGGGGTTACCCTCTGGTTATGTCAAAATAGCCATGGAAAATGGCCCATAGAAATAGTGGATTGTCCCAGCTAGAAAATGGTGATTTTCCATAGCTATGTTAGTTTACCAGATGGTAATGATGGGATAATATGGCTTACAGAATTGTGATACAATAGGGATATAATATTATTATATATAATTATATAATATATGTTAATCAATCTGATAATGATAATATATGATAATATATGATAATGTTTTTTTTTTGGGGGTGGGTTCTGGAACTGGGGGATCCCTAAAACCCATGAGAAATTTAGTATTCAATAGTAAAATGCTCCAATGGCTTGGATGTTTGGGGGGTTCAATGGGTTACAGAACAGGTGATATGATATGATTTTTTATTGAGAATTTACCGGTATATTTATATTATATGATAGGGATATGATGGTAGATATTAGATATAGATAGATATAGATAGATCGTGATATAATAGGGATATAAATGGATATGATGGAAGGAGATAAAGATAGAAACTGTAGATAGATGACTGATGATGATTGCCTTTTTAGTGTTCCTTAAGGTCAGCCCTGTGGGAGTTTATAGTCCCAGTCCATCCCCATTTTTGTCACCCAAGCGATTCTAGGATTTATCCTCTAGTAAACTTACAAAAAACTATGGAACATCACCATTGGTAATAGGTAAATCAACATAAATCAACTGTAAATGGGCCATGTTCAATAGTTTTTTGAATGTTTTTTGTATGTTTACCAGAGGGTACAGTTCCCATCCTCGTGTTTTTGGGATCCTGGTGGAGGAACAAGCCAACGCAGCCATGTGGCGTAGCATCGAGCAGTGTCATGTGGACGTCATGGGTCGCTTCGATCGCGAGCTTGGACAGTCTCCTGGTGGAAGATCAAAGATGGTGATGTCATCATTCAACATATGCAGAAACAGTGACTCTTCGGCGGATTCAGCCATCAAACATCATCATAAATCATCGAAATCTGGGATTCAACATGATATTCAACCATTAAGATCATCAAGACATGGCTTGTGAAGATGCTTCTTTTACGCATTGTTACGCATGGTATTTCCGTGAAAAAAAAAACATGGCCGGGCCCAACCACCGGAATTTTCAGAGGTACGTGGGACTTCCGTGCTTGGTGGATGCCGATTGCTTCACCAAGTGTCGCAAACCCGCGCTGGCCAGTCTGCAGGAGGGATTGTTTTTTTTTCTCGCGGAAAGCCCTGGTTATTTCACCATGAGGACTTTTGTCGTGGGATTTATCTACAATAATGAGATTGTTAGTGGGATTTACAGGATATTTGATGTTTACCCTTTGGTCATGTAACAGTTTGCACTGGAAAATCACCATGTTTGATCTGTAAATCATCGTTCGTTGGGCCATTTTCCATAGCTCTGTTAGTCATTACAAGAGGGTGTTTTTTGGTGATCTGGCCAATCGTTCTTTTCCAAACTTAAATCAAGTCCATTTCAGCCCAGCCTCATGTTTCAAAGCCAGGCCAAGGTGGCTTTGAAGGACGGGGAGCTGAGGGGATACCCCCAGTCACCATGGCTTTGAATCCTAAGAAAGAGAGTCATCCATGACTTGGATGGGGGTAGCCATATTTTAGGGAACACCCACATGCTTTGAAGATGAGTCAGATGAGTCAGATGTCTTTGATGCTGATTACCCTTTGTTTGTTTAGTAGTTTGCAATGAAAAAACACCATGAACGAAATGGATCCAAGCGGGCCATGGCTTCCATGTCTATGTTAGTTGACTGGAGGGTATTTCAGGGTCGGGCTGAACACGTTCAAACATCATTAAACGGTGCAGGGAACTGTCCAACATCCTTTAACCCACTCGAGCGGTATATGATGTGCTGAGTTGATTTTGGACGAGATGGGGACATGTGTTTTCTTGATTGCTTGGAATCCATATTGAAGTCCAGACGCAGGCACTTGACCTCTTTATATTCGAAATAAGTTTTAACATCCTTAAATGTGTTTAAACATATAAAAATACACCACCACCTGCATCCAAACTTGCCCAGGATTGTGTAAACGGTTGAAGTGTTGGGAGAAGGCCCCTTGGTCCTGGGATATCAGGAGAACAGCCGACAGAAGACCCTGGTTTTGGGTCGTTGCACTGTGCCCAGTGACAGTGGCTTGGGAGAAGTTTGCTGAATTCGTGGTGTTGGCTTGGGTAGTGCTTATTTATGCTGCTATAGCATATAGCCTCTTATACAGTAACATCAATATCTTTTGTTTTTCTGGTTGGGGATGTTGGAGGTTTAAGTGTTGGAAAACAGCTCTTTGACGGGCAGGGGATGATATCCCCAGAAATTTCAGGGCTGAAACGAGCCCGGTCAACCTCAGAGGTTGCATCCCTGAAAATTGTTTTATGGTATACTGACTTATAGTTCTAGGATATGTTTATATACAGAGCGATAGGACTCTCTATATAGATTATGTTAATATCTCGAATTGTAATATTGGGATATGGCATACGTTTATATTATATATATACATTAGGATATGTTTATATGCAATTAGAGATAATAATTTATATTCATTTATCTTATATATGCACTTGAGCTGCAACGCATTGAACCCCTCCAAAAAACACTCCCGGATTCCATTTCCCGGCGATGAGGTCGTCATGTGTACCTGGTGCGGTGCCTGTCACGACGGCTGGGCACCGTGGTTTCACCGCTGAGGGACTCTGTTGAAAGGACATTCAACATTGACAATTGATGCGGACATATGCAGAAATAATATGTTGAAATATCTGTTGAAAATTGAAATATATCTGTTGCATTATATTGACAGATCTTGAAATATGTCTCGTGAGATTTTGATTGCCACATGAAACCATTGCCATGACTGGCAAAATCGTCATCGTCATCATCATCATCATCATCATCATCATCATCATCACAATCCACGTGTCCAGGTTACTGCAACCATCTTTTCGCAGAAATCCTGTCCAGTTATGGCATGTGATACTCAACATTAGATGTATCTGGATATATGGACAGCCGGGACTACGTAATGATGGTTAGGACTGGGGCAAATGTCCACAAATGGCCTGGCTTTCCTTTTCTTGCTGAATTGTGATGGTTCTTATCCTTGTCACATACGTTTTTTTTTTTTAAAGCACTCTTAAATGACTCTTAAAACACAATCATCCACTATTCACTATATCCAAACAATCTATCAGATGATCAATATCTATCATCTATATTGATATATCATATTGATTTATATTGATAGATATATTGATTTTCTATAGATTCAATATCTACATATCAATCATCTTTCTCCCATGGTTCCATGGCGGCACGCCGTCGTCGTTCCCGTCGTCGTTCCCGAGGTAAGGAGCTGCTGGAGCTCTTGGCCGCCGAATTGGCCCTGGACTTCCGCTCCCGCGACGAAGCCTCGGTGCTCACGGCCTTGACGGAGCCGTGGCGGTGGAAGCGGTGGAAAACCATGTTTTTTTTCAATGGAAAACCATAGGAAAACCATAGGAAAACCATAGGAAAACTAGGAAAACCACAGGAAAACCATAGGAAAACCACAGGAAAACCATAGGAAAACCATAGGAAAATGGAGGTTTACCCTCTGGTCATTTGTTACATAGCTATTGAATATGGTGATTTAGCTCGTGGATTTTCCCATGTATCTATGGAGATATGGGGATTTTTTAATGGAACTAATATCTATATATGGAACTATGTTTGTTTTGAATGGAAATATCAGGGAAATAAACACATTATGGAAATATCTATGGACATCTATGGGAATATCAATGGAATGAATGGGAATATACAGAGACATCATGGAGATATCTATCATGAGAGTATCTTATGGGGATGTCTGGGAATAGTGTAGGTGTTCTCATGGGATAAAGTTGGGAGAAATGATCAATACGAATATCATGGGGATATTGATGATATACTCGTAATATACTGGGTGATCATCTATCCAATGATTTTGTTGCGCGAAAATGATGAACGAATTAAAACGGAGTATTTGATTTTGGATTTACTGGGAATATCATGGGGATTTCTTATGGGATATAAAGTCGGGAGAAGTTGGAACTGGAGAAATGTCAGTTTCATTGGAATAAATAATGGTTTTTCATCGTGACGACTCATTGGTGGAAAAGTATTGAAAAGTCGGAGATGGCTCAGCCATCTCAGGTTCAGTTTCTGGTCTTCCGAAGCCCGAGATCTGATGCATTTGTTTTTGGATTTGGATGATGGGAACCATATTGACACCATGATAGAGCTGGGAGTCACCCATGGTTTCCAGCAAAGATGTTCCCATCCGTTGATACCCTCCGAGATCCGATAGAACATGGGCAACTGGAAATCTCCGACCTAAATGGAGGTTCATATATATATATATATATGTTTTATAGGACAATCATTTTGAATCTACCCTCTGGTAATTTAACATAGCTATGGAAAGATCCACCATGCTATTCATGGGAAAATCCACTATTTCAATGGTCATTTTCAATAGCTATGTTAGTTTACCAGAGGGTAAACCTCCATTTTCCTATGGTTTTCCTATGGTTTTTGCATCACGAATCCATGGTGGCCAGTCGTGGCCGGTCGTGGCTGGTCATGGGATCTCTGACTCTCCAAGGACAAAACCAGCTCCAGCTTCGTTTGCGTTGGTCCACATGCCACCCCTGGAGTCCAGGTGGGTCCTTTTTTAAAGGTGGCAGAAAAGTGCCCCTTTGGAAATCCAGGAGATTCTATTGCTTTTCCTATAGGAAAATCGGAGAAGTCTATGGGAAATATCATGAACCATCAACGTGGATGTCTTATGATGTTTTGAAATGGTGCAATGTCAAATTCCTTACATATGTCGTTTAGGGGAAACGGGTGAAAAATCCCGGGGGACCATTTGACATGTTGAATCCGGACTGGTGCGATGGTTCCATCTGTGCCAGGGTTTTGACCCTAACTCATATTCCAAAGTAATGTAGCCATAAACCACCCATGACTGGGAATGGTAACCATACCACCTATAAAAATGGTGATTTAGGGACTGGTAAACATGACATTGTTTTACCCACATTATTTACTTTGCAGCAAGACCAACTTTTGTTGGTGAGATAACGCACGAATGTGTTCCTCATAAAGTCGTGCTGGAGAAGGTGAAACTTCCACAGCAGCATGTTGATCCACTGAATTGCAGGGGCCACCGGCAACCCCCAAAAAGGGCCTTTGTGCTAGAAAATTGCCCATCACATCCAAACAAACTATATAACATGATTCAATAACCAAGTGTTCTTGAATCCATGAGCCTATCAATTTCGTTAACCCAATCAACAACTTGGAGTTTCACCAAATGGGACTCGACACATATATGAAATTTCCAGGCGCATCAGCTGATCGTGGCAGGTGACGCAAACGCAGTGCTTGAGCGCCATGGGCTGCAATTGGCATCACGAAATCAGGACGTGATCAGACCTGGCAGAAAAACTGATGTGGTACCTAGACCCCCAGTAGCTGTGAAAATGGGTAAGTCAAAGTTAGTCCCAAAATCTTGAGTATAATATGATATAATATGTATCAGTATCACGCCATTTTTCTAGGTACTTGGGCCTAAATCTAATGATGTGATAAACCTAATAGCTAATCATGCTAATCATACTAATGTGGGCTGAATCATTGAAGTCCCTTCCCTGGGGTTTTGCCTTGTCGAAGTGGCAAGCCTGGAACGTATTCGGAATGAGCCTTGAACTGGAAATTGCTTCTATCAGACATGGGTGTTTTTGATGTTGGGGGCCATCGTTTGCAATAAATGCAAGCTTTGCTAGCTTGGCCTTTGCGTTTCCACTTGCACGCCTCTCCACTTTCTCATCATGCACACTTTCCTCCATGTTGTGACTTCCCTCCTTGGGTGATGACTTATCAAAAAAAAACATCTTATGAGTGACCGATTAGTAGGATGGATCGTAACTACCCAACCCATAACAGCGTTTTGTTGAGCTTCTTCTGGGTTTGGATGGGCAAGCACAGCAGATTCATGCAGATTCCATTGATTCCACACATGGATCCTGCAGGACTCGTGAGGAATGCACCAAAGAGCAGTTCCAAAACGACATGTCACTCGTGGGGACTCGATGGGTCCCCTACTTGGGGTGCAGGTCTGTGTTTTGATATGGGTAATATGAAATAACTTATTGGTAATAACATCCATTGCATCCATTCGTTGGGATATGGGACCCCGTTCGACCACTGGAACTACAACCAGGGCAATCATCCCGGGACTGGTCGGAACAATTTGGAGGTGTGGTAAACCTCAGGATGCAACATCCCATGAACCAACCCTGTTTTTTTTTGGGGGGGGCATCATCCCAAACTTGGGTATACCCAAGAGATCCCAAGAATAAAGCACAATCAGGAATGGTTTATTATTACCATCTGGTTATTTAACATAGCCATGGAAAATCACCATTTTTAATAGGTAAACCATCTATAGATGGGCCATTTTCCATGGCTATGTTAAATAACCAGAGGGTAGGTTTGCCACATTGTGAAAATATGGAGGGATGCCATACCATTATGGCTCCTGCATGGCTTTCAAACGCCAACATCATCTCAATATTTGCGTGAAAGCATTGGCTAAACCGACTCGTGAGTTGTTGTTGTTTGTTTCTGGCTTCACTGAATCATCCTTTTTGATGGAGGATGGAGGAATGTATGTACTACATTGTACTACTGTATCCGACGTGTTTTTTTTGCAGGATACCAGATGGACTAAGAACCATGCATGAGAGAGGTGTCATTGTTTTCCAGTGTTTTGTTTTTCCTCAGGTGGGTTTAAAAAATCAGTTTGATCCATTGTGGTAGAACCATCACCTTTTGTGGGTACCATCCCAGCTGAAGACGAGGTTCTGTGGATGTCAGGAAGGCATGTGCCCGCAACTTTGCGACCATGTTGGGATGGGCATTTCCGAAATGGCTTCGAAGCCAAGGAATGGTGGCTCCTGCATATTACTGTAATATACTGATATGATATATAATAATATAATATATTTTAATATAATGTATAATGTATATATTGTATATTATATATGATTATAATATATTTTAATATAATATATATATGTATATATATATATAATTATTTATTTATTTAGATATCTAGCTAGATGGACGCGTAAGATGGAACATGCCCATGTAACGAAGCAGCATTGATTTTTGCAGTGTCGGTTGTAGGTTTGTTGTGGTATGGCTAGCCATAGCACCGCCACAAATATGGCGACAGATCCTCCGGAACAACAAAATGCTGGAAAAATCAAAGTACCCTCTGGTAATTTGACATAGCTATTGAAAATGGCCATTTATAGTGAGTTTTCCCATTAAAAATGGTGATTTTCCATAGTTATGTTAGTTTACCAGAGGGTAACCACTACTACATGGTGTAATTGCCTGCAATTAGATCCGCAGAAGCCATCGGAAGTGAACACCTGGTATAGTCATGTGTATAGTCCAATTCCTGCACTTACCAGATCTTCACTTGCAATACGCAAGTTGTTTGTCACCAAAAAAAATATGCAAAGAGACTTGTTTCGTTTGTTTGCAACACGGTAGGGATGGGGATTGCACCGAGAAACAGAAACAAACATAATATTATTTGGCATCAACAAGCATCAACGATCATTTGGAACCATGGTCTAAAATTCGCCAAACACACATCCAAAAATCAACAACAAAACATCCCAAGCACCATGATTTGGTGAAATAATGGTGACATAATCATCCTAAAAAAAATGTCCCGAAAAAAAAACACATAACACACCACTGAATACCATGAAGACACTATTCAATCCCATTAAATTAAAACGCTATTGAATCCCATTAAAAAGCATCATGAATTAAATACAATTCATTCATGTGAAAGCACCATTAAGACCCCAAAAACATGCTGTTAAAACACCACATCGCCACCAATTTTTCCTCCCCATTTTGCCCTAGTAATATCTCCCCAAGGCAACAAAGCCTCCGCGCGGGGTGCATCACGGGGCAGATCTACACGGACTACTGCGGCGAGGCGCGCGAGATGCTGCGGCCCCTGGAGCTGGACGCTTGGGCCTGCGTGGGCAACGTGGTTTTCCCCATGGGGAACAAGGGAAAGATAGGGAAAACATGGTGGAAAACCATGGAAAAAATGATGGAAATATAGGGAAACATAGGGAAACATGGTGGAAAACTATGGAAAAAATGATGGAAATATAGGGAAACATAGGGAAACATGGTGGAAAACCATGGAAAAAATGATGGAAATATAGGGAAACATAGGGAAACATGGTGGAAAACTATGGAAAAAATGATGGAAATATAGGGAAACATAGGGAAACATGGTGGAAAACTATGGAAAAAATGGTGGAAATATAGGGAAACACAGGGGAACATGGTGGAAAACCATGGAAAAATGGTGGAAATATAGGGAAACATAGGGGAACATGGTGGAAAACAATGGAAAAAATAAATGGTGGACACATAGGTAAAAAAAAATATAGAAACAATGGAAAAATGGTGGAAAACCAATGGGAAAATGATGGAACAAATAGGAAAACATGGTGAGTAGAACAAGAAGACTTGGAATTTAGATATTATTTATTATGTTTTTTTTTGTTCTGGGTGACTGCTGGAGATTGAAAGAGATAGACTCCATCTATATACTGTATTCATATATGTGAATCATATATATATATTCATATTTTATATATATATATATATGTAGATTTATATATATGCGTGTTTATTGCCTGTTGCGACCGCCTGTGAGTCAGCAGAAACTGGAGATGTTCACCAGCCATTGGGGAAAAGCACAACTAACAAATGACTGGAAATGGATGGGTTCGATCCGGTTATCGGATGTTATCGGATATCCCTGGGACATTGGAGAGTGAAGGTGATTGTTGGGGGACTATGTCCACTTCTGCCGGTTTTGTTGCACTTGTTGCACTCTGGAAGTGATGTTACTTCAATTTGGGACGTGGCCTGTGACCGGAGTGAGTGTCACAGATTGGTTAAACTCGTCATGTTCTGCATATCGATCCAGCTGCTAAGTGATGTTGGAGCATGGAGTATGGAGCAGGAGATTTCCCAACCTCACCTCTACATGCGACTCTGGTGATTTGTTGGGTTCTTGGAAAGATCAATGCAGATATATAGATAATAATATACATATACATATTGCATATATAATATAGACTAATCATAATCTATATCCATAAATATTGGTATAAATTTGTATAAGTTATATCTAAATGATATCTAAGATTTCTATAAGATCACACACACACATATATATATATATATACCCTCCGGTTATTTAACATAGCCATGGAAAATCCCAACCATAAATGGAGGTTTCTAGCTGGGAAAATCATCTATTTCAATGGACCATTTTCCTTTATAAATCCTACACATTGCTTAAATCACCATAGAAATAGTGGATTTTCCCATGAAAATTGCTGGTGATTTTCCATAGTTTTCCATTGCTTTATCCATTGTTAAATTACCAGAGGGTATATATGGTTATTAACCCATATTAAGCCATATTAAGCCATATTAAGCCATATTAAGCCATCTATTTCTATGGGCCATCTCTATACCATGGCTATGTTAAATAACCAGAGGGTACACAATAAATGTAGGTAGGAAAATCATGGAACATCTGCCATTTATAAATCCTACACATTGCTTTATCCTTTATAAACCCCCAGAATAGTCACCACCGAGGCCTGTTCGATCATCGCCACCACGGCCATGGAGTTCAAGCGCTGCCGAGACCTGGCCGATGCGTGGCTCGGGCTCGGTACGGTGAGCCGCTGCCAGGGGGTTGGGAAAAATATGGGTGGAGTTTCAGCACTCAAAATGCTGGGAGATGGTGGGAGTTAATAGGATTTCTTGGGATTTTCTTGGAAAAATATATGGAAATATAGGAGTTCATAGGGTTTCTTGGGATTTTTTGTGGAAATATATGGAAATATCTGGAATTTAGGCACTAAAAAAATAGGGTGTCTTAAGATTTTTTTGGAAATATATGGAAATATACGGGAATTGGTGATGAAATGGTGGTAAAATGGTGAAGAAATACTGTGAAAACTACGGTGAACATGGTAAAATCAGTGGACATGGTGATGAAAGGGTGGTAAAATGGCGTAAATGCTGATAAAATCAGTGGAAATGATGGTAAAATTGTGATAACATTTGATTAAAATGGTGATTTTTACATGAAAAAATACTGGGAAAACTATGGTGAACATGGTAAATTCAGTGGAAATGGTGATGAAATGGTGGTAAAATGGTGAAAATTGTGATACAATCAGTGGAAATGGTGGTAACATGGTGATTTTTACATGAAACAAATGCTGGGAAAACTCTGGTGAACTATGATGCTGTAGTGGAAATGGTGATTAAATCGGTGGTAAATGGTGGTAAAATGGCGATAAAAGTGATGACAAAATGCTGGGAACCATGATGAAACCATGGTGATTCTTAAGCCGTTTAACATCGTTTAGCTAAACCAAAATAGGGGTTGAATGGGATCTTGGTGATTTTTGTGGGATGAAGGAAGACCTTACATGGATTTGAGATGATGAACAAAAACAATGAAAAATTGCTAGGGTTTTTGTTCTTGACAAGTATCAGTATAAGTCAGTGGATTGAGTGAGATGCTTGAGGAAAAAAACATGTTTACACATGTTTACATTTACCCTCTGGTGCACTAACATAGCTATGGAAAATCAGCATTTTAATAGGTATATCATCTGCAGAAGGGCACTTTTCCATAGCAAACTGTTAGTTTTACTGGCAGGTATATCACATATTCGATGAAATCCCATGAAACCCAATTCAATTCCTGTGAGGTGCAGAATGTTTGAGATGGTGATGGAAGATCTATCGCATTTGGAGAGGGAACATATCTCTACATATCTCTACCATTTTTTTCGGGGCGGATATACCAGCACTCCATGTTTGTTACCTTCCGGTAATCACATGTGGCAATGGAAACACCCTCGCTAGAAACTTCCATGAAGAGGTGATTTTCCAGCAAGCCACCGGTACCAGAGGGTACAGGGCATTATGTGGGTAAAACAATGTCATGTTTACCATCCCCCGGTTACCATTTTTATAGGTGCTGGTTACCATTCCCAGTCATGGCTGGTTTATTGCATTGTTTTTACCCACATTGCTTGAAATACCGTGGAATTATCAGAGGGTAGGTTCCATGTGAGTTTTCAGGGCTGAGTTCTGCCGCTCGCCAAGGCATAGTTTCATGTTGCTCAGCCGCAGACAGCAAAGAAACGAGTTCCGGAGTTGCCGCAAAGCCGACTTGTTTGGCTTACCCTTTGGTGATTTAACATAGCTATGGAAAATGGCTCATTTATGGATGATTTATGATTATCTACCTATTAAACATTGTGTTTTCCATGGCTAGGTATGGTTTTTTGATGTTTTTAGGGTATTAGCAAGGCTGTTTGCGCACTGTTGTTGGCGATCAGGATTCAAAACCCTTGGTTATATATAATATGCTTGTAGTATTTGATTCTATGATATCAGGAAGGACTGGTTCAGACTGACATTTATTGAAGGACAAAGTTCCCTATAGGTTTTTTTCACAGGTTGAGTTTTGTCCTCATGACTTTCTTGGTTTCGACTGACGGATCATCATAACAATCATAACAATCCTCAAAATATTGTCCTGCGGTACTCAAAAACGTGGCTATAGTAGCAGGTCTCCAGCTGGGAAAATCATGTATCATTGGTCCAGGTGGATTTTCCAGAAAGCCACGTTTGACTACCGGGCTGATTACGTGTTAAGTAATTAAAATAATCACCACTACCATCATCATCATCATCATCATCATCATGATCACAACCGTTCGACAAGGAAATCACGATCAGAACCATCAAAACTATTGACTATTGTAGTGCCGACTCAGAACAGTAGTCCTGATTATCATATTCATCTTTCCAGCAATCATGATGCTGATTTTGACGAGCCTTCGTTGCTGCGAATGAGGTATCGCTGGTGCATCAGCCTTCCATGTAACCCGCGCGATGTCTACTTTCTGGCAGATGCTTGGCGAATGTGTTGCGGATGGGTATCTGGCCAACCATGCTCGAACCAAGGACGAAGGATTTCAAGGAAACCAACCTGGTTCAAATCGATGAATTGTAATAAGAGAGCCAGATGGGAAAGGTTCTACAAGGTCATGCCAGTCTGTTTTTCGGATGTGGTGTCCGAACCTGCAAAAATGCGGGCATTTATTCTGATATTTTGTTTACAAAGCGGAACTGGTTGGACCTGGTTGCATTTGATTTTTCTTCCATTTTCAAACGCTCCCATTGTATGTTTATACCCATATCCCCCGGCTCTTTTTCTGGTGGGTCCGCTGGAATTCATGGTAGGGTCTTGGCAGTGCCAAATCTCATTCGAAGTGAAATAAGAGGAGTCCCAAAGATCATATAGAAAAGCATCGGCTTTCTTGTTTTAGCCGATTTTAACCTTTTAATGAGATGGTCGCAACTCAGTTTAAAAGCATTGTTTCTCGAATATTACATATGCACTGAATCAATCTAATAAATGGAGGCTCCCTTGGTCGGTGTGTGTGATTTTCATTGGGTTCTTTGTATGTTTGTATGTGAGACTTCAACGCATGTCTTCTGCGTTGGAGCGGAGTTTAGCCACCCAGGATGAAAGGTGCAACGACAACATGCGCCGCGAATTCCAAGCGTGTTACGACTCCTGCGCGACTGGGCCACAACGGCCACGATGGGACCTCAAATGACCGCCATAAGTGGCGCGTTTCATGGGGAAAACATAACAAGAGTGACCAAAGACACCATCCAAGATTCATCTAAAATCAGGATTGACATTTCTTTTTAGATAATTCCGTGTTTTTTTGGATTATACAACTTATACAACTGTGTCACTTCTGTGATCCAATGTAGAATTTGGACGTCTGTTGTATAGGTTTATAATGGTTTATCTCATCCAAACGCGCAGCCATTAAATGTGACCGAGGTGATGCCCAGTGGGCCCAATCCAGACATCACGGTGCGTGAGGTTTGTTTCCAGGAGTTTCCTGGCGGACCACCTGGGAGATCCGGCTACCCTCTGGTAATGACTAACAGTTTGCGACATGGAAAATGGATGAACATGGGGAAATAGTGGGTTGATGACTAGCCATTAAAAATGATGATAAAATGAGGGTTTTCCATAGTTATGTAAACGTTTACGAAGGAGGGTATTGGCTCAGGTAGCGTGTTTTTTGAGTCACAGGATGTGCATTTTTTCGTTGTGACACTTGGAGACAGCTGCTGGTGGTATAGACCTGGAGCGCCACTAAGGCTCTTTGAGAATGAGACGGATCAGGACTGCTACCTAAAACCTGGAGATACCAGGGTCACATGTCAGCAATGGGAGTGGCTTGAGATGGCTTGAAGTCTCCATTGATGTTGGTGAAAAACCACTGAGCTGGAACATGAAGCTGGAAAAATGGAATCCAAACATGTGTGGTTCTCGAAATTGCATGACATTGCTCGTGGGTCCAAATTATATAAATGTTTCTGCACAATTTAGAGCGAGGGCTGACGAGGTACGAGGTGAATCTTTGCAATTTAAGCGAGGTGAATTAATTAAATTCAGAAAACGAGGTGGGCAGAAATTGCTTTCAAAGCATGTGCAACGAGTGAAAAAAAACTTTTCGGGCTCCAGAAAGTTTTTTGTTCCCATCAGAGTGAAAAAAATAGAAAATTAAGGGTGCATTCAGACCCGTGAAAAAAAAACTTTCTGGAGCCCGAAAAGTTTTTTTTATCGTAATTCAGTCAGTGCCCTGTGGTGGCATGCCCGGTTGTTCCAGGACTTCCGTATTTGTTCTACAGTGAAACCACTGTTTAAGAACCCACTGCATTAAGAACCTCAGGGGCTGGATTGCTGGATTCAACTCTGTCTACCAGCTAATTGAAATAAGAACCCTAGGGAACCCTGAAATTTTGGTCAATAGTTCTTATTCACCTTTCCCAGGTAGCGCGACTAGATTCTAAAATTGCTAAAGCTTGAGGTGTAACGGGGTATCCTGGTGCTGCTGCTGCAGCTTCTCTTCTCTGGGGTCGAATTTGGGGGGAATCGAGCCCCTGCAAATCCGCTTGTAAAAGAGGCATCTCGGAAACAGGAAAAAACGTTTTAGGCCCTGAAAAGTTTTTTCGGCATCCCCAAGCCTCTGGAGCCCAGAGCGCTGCTGCAACGACGACAAGGATAATTCAAAAAAGTTCAACCCAAAAGGAGGCAGAGGACTAGTTCGAATGGCTTGCGGTCAAGAAAGAAATGGGACGAGGGCTGAAATCCGTTTTGAATGTAACGAGGCGAGGACTGAAGATTTAATCAGAGGGGAAAAGTAGATTTAAGACGAGGAAACCGTTTTGAATTTAAAGTAAATTTTGCAGATGTTTGAAAAACGGCAGACAACTGTTTCCCCATCAAAAATCAGCAGTTTTGGATGGCAAGTTTGGGATGCCCCCATTTCAGAAAACCACATTTGGACCAATTGCCGTCATTCTGACAACTGCGTAAAGCATCGTAAACCCATGAACCATTAGCAGACTATCTCCCAATGATGAACCAAACCACTAGTTTAGGGAAAACTTGCTTCCCTAACCTCATCCCTAGACTTCGTTCACTCAACTTATCCACCAGAAAATTCCAAAATCATTCCCTATAACTTCCATGTTCTCCAGCAGAATCCAACCATTTTTACGGCCCAAGGTCCACTACAGTCCGCCTCTGGGAGCCGAGACCATCCAGGAGAACTGGGCTGGCGCCATGACATTGGAGCTGCCCATCACCCGTAGGCGCATTGGGGCAGGTGGGGATCGTCAAAAGGGGGTTCCCTTTAAAGTAAACGGTTTCATAACGGAAAATCATGGAAAATCACTATTTTTACTGGGTATAACTATGGAAAATAACCTTTTTTAATGGGTAAATCAACTTTTCATAGCAATTTTAATGGAAAATCAACCATCAAATTTAACACAGCTATTGAAAATGGCCATAGAAATAGTTGATTTACCTATATTGAAAATCGTGATTTTCCATAGTTATGTTGGTTTACCAGAGGGTAAATCAGAAATAACAGATATCATTGGTGAACACTTGGGTGGAATGTGGTGGTATTTTTAGCGAATTGTCATTGCTTAATGATTTGGAATTTGTAAATCAGTGGTTAATAAGCGGGTGAATAGTTGGTTTAACCCAATCATTACGATTACCATTACCCAATCATTGGTGAATGCTAAGAATTGGTTAATGATAGGGAACTGGTAAGAATCAATCGTATAAATCATGTTTGATTTTGCGATGTGGCAGTTTTTTTTTGCAGATAACCTTCAGATCTCAAGAACCATTTTGGTGTTTTCCCTTGGGATTACCACTTTGCCCAGTGTTTTGGTTGATTGAAAAGTACGCGACGGGGCCTTGAAAGAGAGATTTTTTTCACACAATGATAGAACATGGTTCAACCCCCTCGAAACAAAAAGGTGAGCACCTTTCTGCAGAATTCTGTTCAACCCAATCATTCATTCATTCCTGGCACTTCAGAATTGGGTACCATTTTTACAAGGCAAACCATGGGGACTTGTTGGGATTTCATAGCTAAAATGGTTGGCTAACGTTGGTTCCTGGAACCATGGTGCCATGTTGGGAACTCCCTAACGTGCGCCGGCTTTCTGTTTGTCAGGCCCAGATATTGCTCTATCAGATTCTGGACCCTTGGCTGCCAGCGATGGATCACATAGGATCCATGGTGCTGCTATATATGGTGCTCCATGGATCCCATCAATATACCCCATAAATGTTAGCATTAATATACCAGCACCATGGATCCTATGGGTACTATATACTGCTATATGTTGGTTATGATCGGCTCGTCTATATCTAGTTCATGATCAACTATGTTCTAAGCTGTTAAAACATGTCGTATTATAGTTGCATTTTTTTTTGGTGTTTTATCGTATGCACATATATGAAACCGTTGATAGATCCAAATAACATGGATTACAAGTATTATAACTAGTGATTTACATACCCTCCGGTGATTAATTATAGCAACGAACATCACCAATTTATAGATGCTTGTCCCCTGAAAACCTGCATTTCGAGTGGATTTCCAATCGCCGTGTTGGATGACTCCGGTTGAAGGGAATAATATGGAAAAATCATATTTATAGATAGTTGTCGTATGGATAACTGAGGTCTATAGTTATAGGATGGTTGTATGGATATGTATGGATTGTTGTACCTCAGTTATCATCCATATTCTTCATACAACAATCCATACAACGATCATAACCATTACATACAGATAGTCAAAACATCCCTTACAACAATCATAAGCACAACTACATCAAGAAATCATACAACAATCATAAGCACAACATAAAGATAGTCCGACCGTCCGAATTCCACACAGCTTCCCAGGCATTTCCCCAGCCATCGCCCCAGGCAGGAGCTGCAGCAGGCGAAGAAACCTCGGTCGCTAAACGCGGAGCGCGCGCGGCTGCTGTATCGTCTCAGTCGGGAGGCGGAAGCCAGAGAGGTGGAGCCACTAGGCTGATGATGGCTGGGATTTTGATGGAGAATGGCTGGCCATGGGAAAGCCATGGGAAAGATACCCTCTGGTAATTTAACATAACTATGGAAAATCACCATTTATAGTGATTTTTCCCATTAAAAATTGTGATTTTCCATAGTTATGTTAGTTTACCAGAGGGTATGGGATATAGAAAAGATATGGGAAAGATATGGGGATGGACTGGGATGAGGTTGGCATGTTAAAAAATGATTGTTGGAGAGATTCTATAGCTATTTTTTGCATATTTTTGCTATTACTGGTGTTTTGTGAATGCCAAGGAATAGCAATTTTCCATGTGGGATTCACATGGATCCACCAAAAATGCCATTTGCAGCATCCCATTCACCAACCCTCGGGGTCAAAAAAAATCATCCCAGTCATATATATCCAATAGTAAACGTTTACATAACTATGGAAAATAACCATTTTTAATGGAAAAACTCACTATTTCAATGGTCATTTTCAATAGCAAACTGTTAGTTTACCAGAGGGTATCCAATAGTAAACCTTTGTTGGGGATGGTTTACCCTCTGGTAAATTAACATAGCTATGGAAAATAACTATTTTTAATAGAAAAACTCACTATTTCAATGGTCATTTTCAATAGCAAACTGTTAGTTTACCAGAGGGTATCCAATAGTAAACCTTTGTTGGGGATGGTTTACCCTCTGGTAAATTAACATAGCTATGGAAAATCATCATTTTTCATGAATAAATCCACTACAAACGCTATAAATGGCCATGTTCAATAGCTATGTAACAAATGACCAGAGGGTATTGTTGGGTGAATCCCACAGTTCAACGGGGATTTTTTTTCGGACGAGTTAAACTCGTGACGAAACATGGATTCCAGCGATTTTTCAAGGGCTGCGGATTCACCCAGCGGAGGAACTTGGGAGTTCACCACTCAAAGTACCCTCTGGTAATGAGTAACATAGCTATGGAAAATCACCATTTATAGTGACTTTTCCCTTGAAAAATGGTGATTTTCCATAGTTATGTTAGTTTACCAGAGAGTAATGCGATGATTCCTCAATTTTTTTGGAACTTGGCAAGCGGGTGATGAAGTTAAGCGGGTGATGAAGTCGATGAAGAGCTTATCCATCTCTTCAGGTACACCAGCTTCTGCAAAGTGACCCTTTTGAGGTGCTTAAGTGGCCATTTTTGGGTTAAGTCTGTTAAGTGACCTCGAGTTGGTGGTTGAAAAGGTCACTTTGAAGAACCAGACATTTTGATTGGATACTATTCTCAATAGTCCATGATGTGTTTCCCGCCTCAATTCAGTTGGCCCCGAGGTTGCGACGGACTGAAGGCCAACGACGAGAGGATGAGGTTTTCTTAACACAGGCCCCCTGGATGGTCCGGTGACTGCTGAAGATTGGGTCCGCAGTGTTAGGAAAATCATCGGGAATGCAGCCTTTTTGGGGAACAGATGGGAACAACACCTTCTTAAAATCTTCAAAATGGGATGATGTGCATTGATTTGCCAATACCGTATAGGTCCAATTGCCAAGGGATAAACATCAACATGTTCCGGACATGCTTCACGGTAACAAATCCAAAGTTTCCTATTTTTGAGCCAAATGGATCCAAATGGCCCAATTGTTTATCATGTTTTATCATAGGCTAAAGATCCAAACGCGTCCGGAACACAAGACCCACATCTCCCCAAAATTCAACGACAACTCCAACACTTCCATAATTTTCCCATATTTTTTCCAGAACAACTCCACTTTTTTCATGGCCTATAGATGCTTTGCCAGGAGCCGGAGCGCTTCTTCGGCTGCGACATGGGCGCCTTGTCGTTGACCGCCGAATCGAGCCAGGCCTGCCGGGCCAAGACGGAGTACCTGTGCTGCTTCTCACCAGTAACCTCGCTGGATTGGTCGGCGGCAAGTTGTAGGGAGAGCATGGGGATTTCGTGGGGATTTCATGGGGATTTCATGTATTTACATATGATATATATATATGGTATGTATATGGTTAAATGCTGGTAAAGCAAGAATAAACTTTAGCCATATGTTTTTGTTTTTTGTCCACCCATTGATGGGAGATTTGGGGATGGTTTGCGCCTTACTACTATTAATTGGGATACAAAAATGGCGATATAGTGTGACAGTGTGACAATATTTGACATGTTAGTTGACCAACTACTCAATCTATTTACTGTAGATTCTACTTGGTGGCTCATCCCACTTAGTAAGTAGGTTAAGTAGGTTATAAACCTAGCTATAAGTGGATCAACCTATAGCTAGTCCAACTTATAACTAGGGATATAACCTACTTAGGATTCATGGGATGGGCCAAGTATCGATTAGTCGCCATTCAGTGGGGGATGGTGGGACGGTTCACCATGGCCTTTTTCGACACATCGCGATCCCCCAAATCATCCGTTCTAATAGGATCTAATAGGATGTTCCATGATAAACCATCCAGCTATTCAGGTAGCATCGGGTAGCCCAAGTTTGGGAAAGCCATGGAAAGCACCAAAATTAGTGGGATATGATATATAATTCTTGATGGACATAATCACTGGGATAACATCCAGACTCATGGATTGATTGATGATATTGATGCTATGTTGCTGGGTCAGCCCTGACTCATATAATTGCTCCAGACTCGTGTGATTTGTTCCGAAATTTCCCACATCTACAGGACACACACACACAAACACACTATGTTTTGCAGGGCGGCATCTAAGATCGACCATATGCCTTTGGGATCCTTTGGGGATTATATTATAACAAAAATGGAGGATGTGTGGGTCGAACCAAGGTAGAAGGTTGAGATCTGTGGTAAGCAAAACAAATGAGCTTATGCATGACTGACAATCAGCTTGGGAATTTCAACTGTCATTCAGGCACCTCAAATGGGGACCACTGTGCCATCAAAGTGGATTTTCACCCTGCAGTTCTTGCAGCACCAATCACTCAGGGAAACCTCACCAGTGGCACTTGTGAATTCTGTCGTGAAGCCAACACGACCTCCTGTTTCTTGGCATTTCTTGGCCCTTAACGTGTTTTTCAGTGGCTCACGATGCTCACGTCTCACAGTCGAATGGTGATTGTGTTTAGATTTAGAAGGGCTATACAGGCTATACACATGTAACCTGAAAGGTTTGGATTCTTGACACCAGGGATTTCAGAGTCATTTCTCCTGTCATTCCAGCTTTTTTACATCAACAGCTTTTGAACACACAATTGAAATGGGGACCTCCATGGAATTTCCATCTTCCTTGAGACAGAAACACATCTAGAAAATTGGAGATGTTGCCTTGCTAGGTCAAACATTCCGCGGGTATTTCGAGCATTCCTACATTCGGCTCCAGAGAGTCGGTTACCCGTACCCATTTCCACCCGATATTTCAATCAACTATATGTTGATGGTGAAATCCGATGGAATCCGCATCAAATATCATACAAATATCATAAAATCCCCATACATCCCTATGATTTCACCATTTTTTTCGCCAGGTTCCATTGGTCAGAAGCTCATGGCCATTTGGGCGCCGAATTTACAGCGACTTAGAGCGGAAATCATCATAGAAGTGCCACCACAGATAGGGGGGGGTTCCTGTGAAGATTTTCCGGATGTTCCCTTGATCCAATGACTTAGATGACTTGGATGGTTGCTCCGTCAAGAAAGCTGTTTTTGGTTGTTTCCCGGGGGAAACATCGGGCATGATGCACTAGTTGCATCATCATTTGGGCTAAACCAAAGCATGTTAAACCCAGAGCACTGTTGAAGCTAGAAAATATAGGACAACCATGAGGACTTCAAGGCAAATCCCCACTTTTTGTTAGATAAACATTTGAAAAAACCTGGTTGAACCCACCCAGTTGGGTAACTTTAGGGTATTTGGAAGGCACCCAGGCACTCCCCCGGAAACCCTCTCCGGGGATGATCAGAGGATCTATGCCGCAACCCTGGCTGAAGACTTGGGTTCCGACTTGGCACGCGTGGACTGGGAGGCACCAAGGGCTGGAAAGGTTGGACCCTTTTTGGTGATCCAATTGGTGATCGATTGCCATGGTAAACCCCCAGCATTTTGACGGCATTCGAGGTGATTTCAAACGGTCCCGCATGGTCCCGCAATTCTTCGCAACCTGGTTGTTCAACCTGGCACTTTTTTTTTATGGCTGACGTCCTATATTACTATATGTATCAATTTCTTGAATTGACAAGGCTACAACCAGTTTCGGGATTATGATATATATATATATATACACATTATTTTATAGATTACAATGTATTTATTTATTTATTGATTGATTTATTTATTCATATTATATAAATATATTTATTTATGCATGCAAATTTTAAATATATCAGATAGGCAGATATAGATAGTCTATCTATAACAAGTAGAATCTGCCACTCTGGGCTTCCCAGTCACCTTTTCAGCCGCCAGGACGGGGACATCTACTACCGCCAGGTGCCCTGGTCCTGGCTCCGCACCATCAGCGGGGCTGGCTGCCACCCGGTCTCTGAGGGCTGCGCGGCGCATTCGCAGTGCCCCTTCCGGAGCTACTGCTTCAGCGGCTGGGTGAAATGTGGGGGGTGACTGATTTGGGGCTGGAAAAAGGTTGATTTCAAGGGATTTTTGATGGGACTTTTGACGGGAGAAAGTGGAAACTAATGGGAAACCCTGGGCGTTAATGGAAGTTGATGGGATTTTTGATGGGATAGAATGGGACAATCTTGAAGACTCGGGGGCTGGAATTGGTCAGGTCTGGGGGTTATATGAATGAGAATGTAGCTGGTGAAGTTTATAGCTGGAAATCGATTGCTGGGAAGTTGATGAATCCAATTGTGGGCCCCAACAAATGGCCAGACAGAGATGTTTCTAGCTGGCTCATGATTTCAATGTATTTCTTAGTTTTTCAAACTGGAGCCAATTTTCAAGGTTTCAAGTGGGTAAGCCATCCATATCTTACATCTATAATTTATATACAAATTGAAGCAAATGTCCTGTTGATTGAAACACCCCTGAGTACTGCTACAGATTTCCTAAGCTCAACCTTTCCATCGGATGGCAAGGTTGCGAGACATGTGCGCTGGCCTATGGAGGGACTCTTGGCCAACTAAGAGCGACCGTAGGAGGGTCGATCTTTTGGGGTATACCCACAGATGACATTCTTTCATATCCCATAGGATCCATGTATGGTATATATGCTAACATTGGGGGTACATTGATGGTAAATGTTACCATATATAGCAGCACCATGGATCCTATGGGTATTCTTTCCAAGATATCCATATTCTTTCCAGGAAAAATAATGATATGTTTTTTTGAGAAAGCATTGAATCAAACTCTCTGAGATTGCCAATGGACAATTGTGGACCAGCTTCCGGATCCATTCGCCATTCTGGGCCTTTCTGAATGATATCCAGCAACCACTTCAAGCTGTTCTATGACATTTCAGGATTACAACCCCCCAGTTTACATCAGTTTTTCTAAGAGGGGCAGGTACCAATCTTAATAGGAATGTGGAATGGTAATGTCAATGGCTATATCAGGAACCTCAATGTAAGGGCTAAATTTCAGGGATACCATCTGGTAAACTAACATAACTATGGAAATCACAATTTTTAATGGGAAAACTCGCTATAAATGGCCATTTTCAATAGCTATGTTAGTAATTACCAGATGGTATATCGACCTGCCAGGAATCCACCTCCCGGACTCTGCGATCCGTGCCCAACCCATCGTGGAGGCGGCTGTGGAAGCATCGACGCCTGCATCCGGCTGCAAGATAGCTGCCTGGCTTCGTTTTTTGGGAGCGTTGAAGCATCTACAATAAGGATTTTCCATGGGATGTCATGGGTTTTTATATGGTTTCATGGGATTTAGTGGGATACATGATTGTTACCTTCGGGTAATTTCACAGCTTGCAAACTGGAAGCCACGGACCATTTCGATGATTTGCCCATCAAACATTAGCTATGTCATGCTATGTCAAATTACCAAGGGGTAAATCATGGTAAATCCAATGCCATAAACCATCTCCAATGACTTCTCGTTTTGATGGGTGCTAAAATCATCTCCAAATGGTAGGTTCGTTAGTGGATTTACCACATTGCAGGACTTCCCGGGCCAGGGGGGAAGCAAACAAAAATATGTCAATTGGTGCTAGATCTTGTTGTTCATTCTGTTTATTTTCAGATGTGTGTGCGGGAACAGTCGAGCACCTGAGGTATTGATGGGGTTTGCCCAACAGAGGGCTTGACAGTGTGTCCCTGCAAAGAGGAGTGGAGCGCGGCGAAGCAGCAAGGAGCGTTGCGCATAGCGTTGCGCTGTTTGGGGATCCTTTGTTGGTGGATTCAGTTCATATGACAATACCCAGATGCTCCACGTATGGAATATTTACCTACATGGAGTGTCTGGGATAACTACAAGAGAGAATAACTATAACTACAAGAGAGACATCCATCCACGCTTTTTGATTATGTGAGCCCCACTTGTTTGGTCTTGGGGGCCCGCACAAACTACTTGGTGGCTGAAAGCTAGATGTGCGATCAGTAGGTTCCAGTAGGTTCCTAAGCAAAAAGAACGGATTTGCTGACCCATGGTGCCCAAGTCCGCTAAGGTGAGGTATCAATATCCCGGAGCTCCCACAGAAGAGAGCATCAACGATTGCTCCTCGGCAAGTGCCCATCAACAGAGTCCCGAAGTTTGCTGAGACGGTGATATGTTATTTTCCCAATCGGAAATCCACCATGACTCGTAAACCGATTCTTCTTTTTTCACTGGCCCTCTTAATCAAATCCAAGTACTGGAATTGAGTTGGACCTTCAAGGTACAGCACGGTGTGATATGCCTTTGATATAAGTTTTCGGGACCCTCGCCCTGGCATCATGAGGAAATAGCTCTTGGTTTTCGTAAGCTAGGTTTGACGGCCCCAGGTAACTCCTACCGGAAAGAACCAGGGATTTCTATTCCTCATTAGATCCTGGACTATTGTCATTTCCGTGTAAGGTGATGCACCGATGCCAAGACACGTCTAAACAAGATGTGATGCTGTGATACCACCACTTCAGGTTACTTCGACAGCTCTTCCAACACACGCTGGTGTGACACCTGGCAGCATTTGGCAGCGGGGCCGGGTCCCAGGGAGTTTTTGGGTGACGCTGTTCGTCGGACGTCGTCGGTTGCTCGGTTGTGCCTACCTCCCATCCGGTGAGGAGGTGGATGCGGCCTATTACAACACGGGATGCCACTTGGTGCCGATGGGTGAAACAATGGCTTCATGGCAATGCTGAAAAATGGGAAAACCCATGGGAAACAGCCGCAACGTTCACAAACCTATCATGACATATCGTGTACAAAACAGGCAGCTTTATAATATGTTATATGTTTTTATATGGCCATGTTAGATAAGAGGAATCGTTTACCATCGTGATACCATAATGTTTTACTTCATCATCCGGATGGTGAGATCTGAGATTCAAGGCATTGGGGAGAACGGCCACGGCCACTCAACCCATCCAGCTGTTTTCAGAATGTGCATGGCAATGCGTAGCAGATCCAGGTGCATATCCAGATGCAGCGTCTAATCTGACCAGAACAACTTGTATTCCATGAGATTTCCGAGTTTGATTATGTACCCTCTGGTAAACCGTTTGCTATGGAAAATCACCTATTTAGTTCGATAATTTACCTCACCTATATAATATTAAAAAAAGTGATTTTCCACGGCAAACTGTTCAATCACTGGAGGGTAATGTTATGCCACGCTTAGAGCTCACTTCCCACCAAAGGCATTGCAGCGCTGTTTTGACAGGTTAAACCTTGTACAGGCATCCCGCCATGTAGGAAAAAATATATGTTGATTTCTTGGGGTGTTGGATGGATACGTGTAATTTTGAATCTGCATAAGATTTTACAAGATTTTCAAAGACCCCACCAACAAATTGGTTCACAAGCTGAGGCAACCTGCAGCGCATCGTGGGCAAGGATCGCTTCATCTTTTGGCAAAGTTGTCGTCCAAAGACCTGTGATCACTGCGCCTGGGATTTGGAAGATGTCGTAGGACGGGTGTATGGATGTCCTATGCAATAGATTTGTTATATTAATATAGCAATAATAATATACATATATATATACATATTAACACACACACATATATATATATACAGTATATAATATAGAAATTGAAACACACACATATATATATATATATATATACATAGATAGATAGATAGATAGATAGATATAAAATGTTCTAATACATGCTATATATTTGCTTGTGGATAATTTAGAAAAAATACCTGTTTACCACAGGTACTTATAGAAGGTAAATGAGCACACTAAGCATACACAGCCAGTATGCCATATGTAAAACTAGTTTATTCAACCAATATCCACATATGTTTATTTACATATGCTATATATATATAAGTATATACCTTAGTCAACCAACATCCACACGCACATATATATATATAGGTAGTTTTCAGATGTGCAACGATGGCAGTTTGAACTTGTTTTGCAGCACATTTCTCCGTCAGCACAGGCAGCTGCGATTGCAGCAGCCGCTGCCAAGCCTTCGACATTCTGCCGCTGCAGGGACGTTTGCCCGTGGAGGTGCTCGTGTCTCCATGGCCGGCTGGAATATCTATCATTTATATACGTATTTATATATATATACAGTATACGTATTTATATATATATATGTGTGTGTGTGTATTTATATATATATAGATATGTATATATAATATAAATATACAGTATACGTATATATATATATATAAATCCTTTTGTCTTAGTAATGAAAGTTCAATTTTAGTGGAAAATATGTGCATCTATATATAATGTGGCTATAATGAGCAAATCTGCCCAGCAATTGAATCCACCATGTGGTTGGAAAATTTCCTTCCATCTATATAACACTATTTTCCAGCAAACCATGTTTGATTTCCAGAGGGCACACAATGGCACACCCACAATCCCAAGAAGAATTGGGGCAAATGTAGAAACCCAATCATACGCCTCTTGTCTATATATGAAGAAAAAACAGACCCCAGTGATCATGGCTAAATAGCTAAACTGTATGGGTCAAATTAACAAATTTGGGTGCCCGTATAATGGGATGGACAACATTGGCATTGGTGAATTTATGTGTTAACGTCTCCAAAAAATAAAGTCATCGCCAACCAGTTGTCGAATCCTGGGATGGTCATAGGTAAACTGGTGCCACTGGTGAAGCTGACTGCTGAATCTTGCTTTATGAGTTGATTTTTGGATACATCTTTCGGAAATTTGAGATATTCCTCTGGATTTTTTTTGGATACATCTTTCTGGATGCAACTGATGTCCTCCCAAACAATCTGGTGTCCAGGCCTGAAGTGAGAGGTTTGCTCAAAAAGAAGGTGAAATCAGTTGAAATCACCCCCTGTGTTACCCTCTGGTAATGACTAACATAGCTATAGAACATGGCCATAGAAATAGTTGATTTTCCCATTAAAAATGTTGATTTTCCATAGTTCTGTTAGTTTACCAGAGGGTACGTTTTTTTTTTTTCTGTTGCCAACTGCACCAACTCTCCCCAGACGTGGTGCGACAAAAATCATGGCAGGTGACGCTGGGACAGCTGGATGCACCTCTGGACAACAGCTTCAAACTTTGGGCTGGAGTCTCTGGGACAAAAAAAAATGGCAATACGACCCACAAAAGATCCAGGATCGTTTGGGGCTTAATTTTCGTCTGTCAGTTTTGTTCATTTGGAAAACTTTGGTACATTAAAAATGATTTAAGCAAGAAATACCAACAACAATGCTAATCAACGCTGAACTGAAATATAGTCATTCAATGATATTCAATGTGTCTATTTATTGGTTCACTGGTTTTTAAGTGTCTATTTATGTGTCTATTTAAGTGTCTATTTATTGGTTCCTTAGGGACATGTCTTCACTGGTTTTCGCCCAAGAAGCCAGGCTGCCCCGGCTGCCCCACGATGATCTCGTCCCAAGGTCATCGCCCCCAACTGCACGGTTGGCAGTTCCGCCCGTATCCGCGATGTCTGCAAGTTCTGTGTGGCCTGTTGCAACGACTTTTGCCACTTGGATCCCAGCGGGATCGGCGTGCAGGCGTTGGGGACCTTTTGGGACCTTTTATGTGGGTGATGTGGTAAACCATGGGACACCTAATTCTGGAAGTATTGAGAAACAATGAGAAACAGTTAGTATGAGAATGTATGAGATATGATGAAAATAGTAGCAATAGTCTAGTAAGACACTATGTCAACAAAACATGACGTGGTTCTTTTCTTTGGTTCCAAAATAAGGTTAACAATTGGGTTCAGCAGATGACCACAGGCCATGGCGAAAGAATATTCCTATACTTATACTTCTGGGATCTTTTTAGGGTAAAATGGACCTGTTTCTACTAGGCTTCACACGTCTAATTGCGCCAGTGATTAAGTTGCTGAGGTAATGCCAAGGCCAAGAACGAGGGCGGATTTGATGCTTGGACCACCTGTGTGATGAATTTCAAAGTGTGTCTTCAGAGCTTGCAATGAAAGTTTTTTTTCTGATGTGTGAGTTCTTGGATGAAAAGGCAGACATTCACAGCAATCAGTTGATCATCAAGATTCCTCTGGTAAACTAACAGTTCACTGTGGAAAATCATATCAAGTCACTATTTTTGATGGGTAAATTTGGTAAATCAACCATTTCTATGGCCATTTTCCAATTTTCCCAAGGACTGCACCACCACCCAAGTCTCGGGCTGTTCGGATATGGTGCATGGCTGGGTCGACAGCGTTGGACGTGATTGCCCCACCTATGCCAGTCGGCCCAACTGGATCCATTCAGATCCACCAGAACCCGCTGGCACCAACTTATGGAAAGTCACCATTTTTAATGCGAAACCTATGGAAAGATCCACCATTTTTAATGGGAAAACTATGGAAAATCACCATGTTTAATGGGAAAACGAACTGGAAAGATCCACCATTTTATAGCTGGGCAAATGAACTATTTCGACTGGGCCATGTTCAATGTGTAACTAAGTTTCGGAGCGCCTTTTGAGGTGATCAATTCCTTGTGCACGCAGCAAGGGCTCTACGGTACCAATTGGGTGCCTTGGTGCGCTCCGGGCTGATCCAATCATATCATTTGAATAAAGGGCTCTATGAAAAAATGTGGGAAAAGTGCTGGTTTAATGGGATATCATGGGATTATTAATGATCATTAATGGTTATCTGTCTGGTTGGTGCTTTGGAACATGAATGGATTATGTTTCCCATTCAGTTGGGAACAATCATCCCAACTGACGAACTCCATCATTTTTCAGAGGGGTAGGGCTCCACCACCAACCAGATAATCATGTGCAATCATAGTATATACGATTGTCATATCATTCATAGAATTGGATGATGGGAAAATTTACAGGAAACCCTATATTTGATGGTAAAAACCATGGTTTCCTGTAAATTTTCCCTTAAACCAATCCAGTGAATCATCATATATCCCCAAAATCACCAGCTACGTAGTTTTTTCTCGCTTCCTCACACAGCTACAGGGTGACCATGGTGACCGGACAGCGTTTTTGAAGAGAGATACAAAAAAAACAACTCCGAACACATCAATCTTTAGATCAAAGAAAAGATATTTAAAAGTATAAACTACTGTATATAGAAATCTCCAAGTACATAACAACACCAACTCAGAATATCGATGAAGAACATGGAACATTAGCAGAACATCCAGCAGAACATACCCATACAAATCCCCAACTACCCAACTCCGCAGTTATAAGTTGGTTTATAAAACCCACTAAGTATACTTTTATATGTATATAATACTTATATAGCGGTCTATTAGTCTATATATCTATATATACTATTTATGTATGGACCCCCCATAAACCATAGTCAACCATACTATAGTTTTATCATGTTTTATCCCCATATCCCCGATCAAGTACAGCCAAATACTTCCAGTAGTTGGCCATAGTTAACCCCAACTCCCCCAGCTCCCCCACCTCTTCCAGGTCTACAACCCTCCGCGCAGCTTCGCGGATTTCTCCTCCAGCGACTTGGCCGCCACGGACGTGTGCTGCGACTGCGGGGGCGGAGTGGACTGCAGCGATTCGCCCTTTGCGCCTTGACGAGCGTGGGGAGCCTGTGGAGCCTGGAGATTTGGGGGGATAGTCATGGGAAAACTATGGAAAGTTTGGGAACATGACAGGAAAACCCTGGAACATTTGGACATCAATCCAAGACTCCTGGGAGGTTTGCTGATGTCAGGCTTCTCTACTTACTTTTTTGTTCCCTTTCGCAGGGAAAGCCATTGAGTAAATCTGCATTCCCAGGATTGGAAGGATGCAGATGGACACCCGTGCTCCACTTACGAGGTTTTCAAGCCAGGGGCCCCAGAAACCCCCAGACGGGTGAGACATGGATGGTTGAATCCCCAAGAAAACGACCATGTTCCACCCCCTCACATTTGATGGGTCAACCAGGATCATTCCAAATGGGCAAAGTGGGGGTGTTTAATCCGTTCAATCGAGTTCAATCCTCCAAAAAAAACTTAAAAATATTTGGGCTTCGAATGATTCAATATGATTCAACTGACCAACTTATAGAAAGTTCAACCCATTTCAATCCTACAAAAAATCCAGCCATGGCTGGTTTCATCGGTTTTTTCCATGACGGGGTTGGACACTTTGGACCGCGAGGTGGTGCAATCGCACCGGCTATGGCCCTGGCTGGGACCTCCAGCGAGGTCCCTTCACCCTGGGCACATCAGGAGCTGCGCCCTGGGATGGACCTGGTGGGAAGTTTTCACATCCCGGTGAGGAAAATCTGTGAAGCATTACCCATGACGGATCCATGGTGCTGCTATATATGATGACATGGATCCTATCAATATACCCCCTTTATGTTAGCATATATACCATACATGGATCCTATGGGTTAGGATGTTCCATCCGATGATCTCGGGTTTGGTTCCCTAAAATTACGTGGCTACCCTCTGGTAAACTAACATAGTTATGGAAAATCAATGAACATCACCATTTTCAATGGGAAAATCAACTATAAATGGCCATTTTCAATAGCTATGTAACTATGTAGTCATTACCAGAGGATGTGATGGCAGCGGGTGGGATGGCCCCACGATTCTGGAGATCCCAGGATTGGTGGAGAGTTGTTTTTTTTTGACGAAGCGTTTCCCCACAAAAAAACGCTTAGTCAAGACATTCGGAAGACCATGTATTTGTTCGGATTATCCGTGGAACCATCTGCCAGAAACCACGGGAAACCATGGGAAAATCAATCATAAACCTACCATTTGCGGATGCTTCATACGACCCATTTCTGGTGATTTCGGGGTGTCTCCTTCGATCTCTGCAAAAAAGGCGTCGATGCGCACACCGCCTGCTGCGTTTGCGGCGGAGGAGATGCTTTGTCGGTGCCAGAGGCGACACAGAAAACGGCCTGGCTTCAGAATGATGGTTTCAAATGGTGTTAATTAATGGTGTCTTATATGGGGTTTCAATTACATTTCATGGTGTTCTATATGGTTTAATATTTAAATCAGTAATATACACCTTGCCTGCCCAGTGATGTTTGTTTATAATTGTTTATATAAATCCCATTATAAAACCAAAATTATGGGAGTTAAGAATTATCCAGGGGCCCCGCTTTGTAGGAGGTTCCTGCAATTGTCTATTTAAATCATTTAGGATCATTTAGGGATATTTAGGGTGCCCACTTAGATTTCCATTTTTCAACACAGCTGCAACATCCCCTGCAAGCTGCTGATTAGATCCGGCAGGATCCGCCAGAGGGCGCCCTCTGGATCCAAGCATGTACAAACATATGTGTGTACATGTGCTGATTGGCGGTTTGGAACATTTGTTATTTTTCCATAGGTTGGGAATAATCATCCCAACTGACTTTCATATTTTTTTCAGAGGGGTTGAACCACCAACCAGTGTGTGTATTCTAAGACATTATGACATTGAACATCATTGAGCGGAAAAACAGAATAGAACCTCACCAAAAAAGAAGTCATGCAGGTGACTGAATGACTACTCTGGTAATTTAACGTAGCTTTTGAACATGGCCATACAAATTATTTATATTTGCCCAGCTAGATTTTTTTTGGGTGATTTTCCATAGCAACATGTTACTGTAGTTTACCAGAAGGTAGATGCATAAAACCCTTCCGCGGTCGCGTCAGGTGGTGAACAACTTGGTTGACTCCGAGACGGTCTGCCTGGCCGTGTGGCCAGGCCGTGCGCAGTGGCGCACACCACCCTGGTATCAACGAAGCAGCACGCAGCAGCGCTTGGGTACTGGGGGTGGTTGTCAGATGGGCCAAAGATTGTTACATATACTGTAATTGTATATGAATATATATATATATAATTATATACTATACATATACTATACTATATATATAGTATATACGCACCACCGAAAACCAATGTCTTTGGCCACTACATAGCTAGGTATATACACCATTATATATAAGAGGATTATCAGATGATAGTAGCACTTTGTTGGGTCTATACGTTCTATCATCCGTATAGTCGGTTTAAGAAAATAAATGAACCAGAACAATTAACAGAACAACATGTAATTTAGCAGCATTACTGTTCAAAATTCCATGTGAATCATGCCATATCCGGTTGTTGGTTATGTACCAGCAACTTCCTTTACAGGACAAGCAAGGATTCCCATCCACATTATTGATTTCCCCCTATACATATGTGCCATGTTCAAAACATGAGTTTGATTTTCATTTAAACAGGATGGTTCCCAGCTCATCAATCGGGGTCAATATACCCATTACAAACTCGTAAAAGGAGTCCTTAATGGTTGGATGACCATAGCCTATATAATCTTACACACATCTAATAGATATACCATTTTGGCATGGTGCCCCAACGGATCCAATGAATACCCTCTGGTAAACAAACACTTTGCTATTGAAAATGGTGATAGAAATAGTTGATTCACCCATGAAAATAATGGTGGATCTTTCCATAGTTTTCCCATTAAAAATGGTGGATCTTTCCATAGTTTTCCCATTAACAATGGTGGATCTTTCCATAGTTTTCCCATTAAAAATGGTGATTTTCCATAGTTTTCCCAAGAAAAATTGTGATTTTCCATAGTTTTCCCATTAAAAATGGTGATTTTCCATCGTTTTCAACAGCCATTTGTAGACCGGAAGCCCGCTGGATTGGAGCCTAGGCATCCACCTTTGTCAGCTCAACAGCAACGTTTGCGCGCGGAAGTTGACGGCCACCAAGTACGACCCAAGCAAGGCAGCCAACGTGGCGGACGATGAGAGGAGCGGCTAAGCGGCTACGCGGCTACGTGTGTTTGACACGGGGGTTTCATCAGATGGATGTTTTTTTTGTTCCAATTTTATAATGTGGTTAAAACACAATAATAAACCACCCTCAAAATCATCATAAATGACTCGTGTAAACCATCAAAATATGGGTGTTTTATTATTGTTTTAACCACATTAATGATAAACCTTGTGCAAAAGCATCCCGATGGATCATGGCTTGGTGTTGCCTGCGCTTCCACAGCACTGGGATAGCTGATGATGGATGATATTGTTGGATCAAGGGTCACTGCTATGATCACTGAAGCACACGGTTTGTCATTGGGTCAGGGGGCAAGTTTTAGCTCCATTAACCGTATTGAACCAGGACAACCTTCATTGATGGATTCAAACACGTGTTTAATGTTCCATCCCTGCTTCAAGAGATTCATTTGCACCTGACTTTCAACCTTTTGTTGAGATGGCCAGCTCTATCAAGCCGCCAAAAATCAAGCAGGATCTATGGCCTTTGTCTTCAACGTGCTTACGACACCGGGACCCTGCCATATCTGGAAGACTTCGAGATGTCGCTCACACCGGTGGGCACGGGACGAAGGTTGGCCAACATTTCCAACTTGTCAGAGGCCGGGGCAGTTGGTGACGCTTTTTCATAGTTTTTTCATGGCAAGTCACAGTGGGTAAGTCTGAAAATCGTGTTGGGTGCCCCCCATTCCAATGGGTTTTTCATGATTTTCCCGATGAAAATGGCCATTTCGGGGGTATCATTTTCGCATGAAATGTGAGTCGCAGTCTGACATTTGCAAGAGAACACCCAATGGGAGACGACAAGAAGAAGAACAACAAGAAGAACAACAAGAAGAACAACAACAACAACAACAGCAGCAGCAGCAGCAGTAGCAGCAAAAGCAACAGCAACAGCAACAGCAATGAACACAATCGCAACAGCAACACATTTGGTGGTTGGATGTGGTTGGTGTTTGTGTTTTTGATTGTTTTTTTGTGATACGGCCATGCCAATCATTGTGTTTCTTGGGGAAACCTGCGGGATCATTGGTAGCAACGAGCAGGTTTTCCCGTAGCTTCTGGGACCCAAGAGATCTTCCAGCTTAAATCAGAACCCAGGCTGAGCAAAGGCTTCTGGCCATCTTGGACCGGAATCAGGTGCGATTCGCGGCCCCAGAATCGAGTCCAGGGATGTGCAGGGGGGATATATCTCACATTATATATATACATATATATATATGTATCTATTTGCATAAGAATTATATATATATATATACCTATTATATAAGCTACCTACCACAAGCATTCCCCATTAATTCCCCACAATCTTCATCCATTTTCCACATTGGTGTTTCAACATGTCGGTAACTTTCCAGGAGATGGACCCAACGGCCCTGACCCGGGAGCTTTTCCTGGACGGTGCCGCCATTCGCTGCCTGGCATTTGAGGTATTTTTTAAGGGGATCTAATGGGATTTAGTGAGATATCATGGATTGGTTTTTGTGGGATTTAAGTGGATTTACCCTCTGGTTATTTAATGTAATTTAACTTAATACTGTATTTAATGGCACTCTTAATGGGATTGAATGCGTTTTGCTGCCAAGAAACGTGAATGAAAGGTAGGGAACGGCGGAGAGAGTATGGTAAAAATTCATAAAAAATCGCTGCCTAGCGCCATTTGATCCCTGTGTGTTCCTTAAATCTCCATATGTTTGCTGGTTGAACTATAGGGCACCACCTTGTCAGATGTTTTTTTTTGGGGAAACCGGAAACCCAGTTGAGGATCAGACTTCTTTGGAAACCGCGGACGCGGCATGTGCGTCTATCGGATGCCCGATCCACGGCAGATGTTTCTTGGACTGTTCAAGGCTGTTTATTCAGGAATCCAATGGGGGGTTGTTTGATTTGTTGGGAACACCATTATAACTAATTCCAATGGATATTTTGCAATTTGGGGGTATAGCAGTACAGCCGTCTAGCCAATTTTTGGACTGACAAATCCATGTTCGGCCGAACAAAGAACTATCAACATTTTTTGAGGAATCGGATATTGAGATTGTTGGGATTGCTGCACGTATGCGGAACTGGGTCATGGGGCCAACAGTGCCAACAATTCATAAATGCAACAGTCTACATACATTTTGACGTATCAGAATCTTACTGTACTTTCCAGTTGCATGGCCCCATTACAAAGTGACATGTTCATACATTTTTTTCACAATCAAAGATAACTTACAGCATTTGAGCCTCGTTTTGGCAATTGTTTCAACCCTCCTACTCAAACTATAGCTAACCTTCATTGATTATATCTACTGGTTGGTGGTTTGGAACATTTGGATTATTTTCCATGTCATATATGGGATGTCATCCTTCCATACTTCCGAAGTCCATCATTTTTCAGAGGGCTAGGTGGCTCAACCACCAAGCAGTATTTCCCAGTCATCATCCATATTTTAATGGTATTTTCCACTATAAACCATCCAGTCATCATCCATTGATGGGGGTAGGTCAACCACCAACCAGAAATTGACCCACGGAGCACTAAGGTTCGGTGGGCCCAACCGGCAGATGTATCCGCCTCCCCTCCTTCCGCCCCTCCGTGGCTCTGTGGATGTCTTCGAACGGCCCAGTCTGCAAGCGCTGGGATGGCCCAAGGACGGGATACCGGGGACCGGGGACCGGGTGGTCCCATGGTGGTCCATTGGTTGTTCCTCCAGGCCTACTGAGCTGTTTAAAAAGAACAGCAAAGCATGGCCATGGTGGATTTACCGCAAGGGAATTCAGTGCAGTAAGCAATAAGAAGCCACGGTTTTACTCCAATGATTTATGTAAGGATGTCCGAAATGCACCAGGATGTCAGCATAAACAATGCATTGTAAGTAGTTTTCTTTTCAGGCAAAATCATCTCCAAGGATGATTTATATTGATTTATGTCTTATAAACCATACTAATCTATGTTTCCTGAAATGGTGGTACCCCAATAGCTGGTTGGTTGATTTCATGGAAAATCTGATCAAAATAGATGACCCCTTTTGTTGGAGAAAAGAATGGAAAAGATGGATGGGATTTATGGCACCCCCATGGTCCCCATGACTTAGGAACCCCCCATACACTCTGGTAATGACTAACATAACTATGGAAAAATCACCATTTATAGAATTTATAGTGAGTTTCCATAGTTTTCCCATGAAATTCATGGTGGATCTTTCCAGTTCGTGATGTTAGTCATTACCAGGCCGGCTATCCCTTCCCCTTCCGCGCCTAAAGAGGCCTTCTTCCCGGCGCTCTTCGAGCAGGGCGGCGCGGAACTGGCCATGGCCCGCGCGGTGGGCGAGGTCTTCGGGGGCCAAGCCCTGGACACCTCCACGGACATCAGCAGCGTGCTGCGGGGGCTCTTGGCCAGTGACCTGCCAGTGATAATCCATGGGAGATGGCAGACATGGGAGGAATGGTGCCAGATATTAAATGACTTAGATGACTTAGATTTAATTGTAACAGAATAGATAGATAGATAATTAGGATATTTATTTATATATATATATATATGTATATATATATATACAGTAGTCAGTAGTACCATTATCAGTAACTATAGGATGGTGAAGATATTGGATGATGTTAACTATATAGTATAGTCATCCGTATAGTCGATGATTTTGGATGATGTTGGACAGAAGTTGTTCCAATCAAAATAAGTGAACACAAACTTGGAAAACCGATACTTTCTTTGACTTGGGTGACATAGGGGGACGGATGGGTAATAGGTGGGGATGGGGGTGTGGATTCTTGTGGAGACCACTGGAGAATACATGGGATGAACAAAGGGGGGCTACCAAGAGAAGCTACCAAGAGAAACGGGAGGATCCAGGTTAGAAATGACACCACAACACAAATTACTGGTTGGTGGTGACTGGAACATTTGGATTATGTTTCCATATATTGGGAATGTCATCATCCCAACTAACTGACGAATCGAACTCATATTTTTCAGAGGGGTAGGTATACCACCAACCAGTATTTCCCAGTCATCATCCTAATATTTTAATGGTTTTTTCCACCAGATTAACCATCCAGTCATCATCCACTTATAGATGGGGGTAGGTCAACCAGAATTCCGTTGCTGCAAGAATTCACGGCACAGTCCCCACATGTCCCCACGAAATCCATCGGCAGAGGTAAGGGGATCAGCATTGTCCCGGAGGGCGAGTTCCAACAAAGAGCGACTGGGTGAAGTTGGAGGTCTCCAATGTGCCATTTTGTACTGATGCCAGCCTGATGGATCTTTAAAGTATATATATATGTATAATTGTATGTATATATATATATATACATATAATATGTATGTATATTTATAGTTTTTATTTTGCTTATGCCAGTACACAATGTGCGCTTAACACAAGTGTATCATATTCCAAGGTGCAACAATGGATGAACTTGGTGGCACAGGTGGAATGCAGCTTGGCGGCGAGCACGCCGTGACGATTGTGTGTCCATCGGGTAGGGTATGATTATTTTATCGTCATCACCATATGGATTTTTATTGTAGATTATGATTGTTATCACTCATTCTTACACTTAGTCACTTATTCTTGTTGCGTATTAGTTTTTGAGATTTCAACATTGAACTTGCTTCCCCAAACCTCACCATACATCGAGCTCACATCCTCAGAGGTTCCTCGGCTTCTCGTTGCCGCCTTCGCCGCCGAGGTAAAGGACCCAGGGACGACCTGAGCAAGTTCTCGGAACCCACGCAGTGGTCGCCCTCCATCCTCCACGATCAGGTGCGAGGATCCCCCGGGGTGATGTTTGAACTGTTTGGGTCGGGATGCTGGGAGTTTTGAACGGCTTGAATTTTTATACTGATTCAATTTCAACCATAGTTCAGCACCCAAAAATGGATATTTAATGATTTTAAGACCAGTGTTGATATTTTTTTGTCCCAGCCCCGTTTGAAACACCGCAGTTTTTCGTTGTTTCTATCTGTCTCAGGTGAGTTGCGAAGTGGCCCGCTGCGACGTGGATGAGATGATCCTGGATGATCTCCGATGTCGTGGCTTGAAAGGGAGATCCGTTAAGACTTTCCCAGAAGCCATCCCAAGTAAGGTCCCATTGTCCAATTTTTTTTTATGTTTGGGAGGATTTATGGTGGTTAATGGTGGTTAATAGTGGTTAATGGTGGTTTAATGATTTATATGACGTTATGATTTGTTTGGGATGATTTACCGGATTTACCCTCTGGTAAACTAACATAACTATGGAAAATCACCATGCTATTAATGGGAAAATCCACTATAAATGGCCATTTTCAATAGCTATGTTAAATTACCAGAGGGTATATGACATTATGATTCATTTCAGGGTTTATGATTGGGTTTACTCACTATCTATTGACCTGTCAGTGTTGCCAATGAGGACCCCCCTATGGGCCTCACCCTTTCCAGCGCGTTTCTGAGGTTTGACCTACGGCTGCACTGCCGACTGCACTTTTTGTGCGTCCCCGGCCCTTGCCACACAAGACAACGGCTTGTGCATTTCGACAGATGTCGCCCAATGCGCTACGTTGCTTGACCATGGACATCCACTGCCATTTTTTTTTTTTCACATTTCGGAGATGAGTCCCCATGATATACTGATAGACAGGCTAGACACACGATGCTGTTCCATTGCAAGGGTCCAATATCCATGATACCCTCCAATAAACTAACATAACTATTATGGAAAATCACCATTTTTAATGGGTAAATCCACTATGAATTGCCATTTTCAATACCATTTGATTGCGGTTTTCATCCGCTGTTCGCAATTCGTTGGGTGATCTATCCATGGCACAACTGGGGAAAACTTGCAAAGGCCAACTGCCTTCGCACACCGTGGAACATTGCTGTGAAGGGTAATGGGTATTGTGGACATGCAACAAGTCACTGGTTGGTAGTTTCAAACATTTTTGTTTGTCCATTTCATATATGGGATGTCATCCTTCCCATTGACGAACTCCATCATTTTTGAAGATGGTTAAAACATGTTAAAACATGTTAAAACCACCAACCAGAGTCAAGACATAGTTTTTCTTTGTGTTTGCATCAACCTTGATACATGCCTTGACTTTCTCGGTCGCCATGCGCATCGAAAACATCACCTGGACACTGGTTTGCCGAGCATTGAAAAATACCCCAAGTATATGGAAATCAGATACCCCAAGTATACTATAATTAGATTGGGGTATTATATTGAAACTGGTATACTATAATCAGTTTTTTTTTTTTAATCCATCTAGAGGGATCACACGGGGTTCCTATAATCACGATCAGTGGTTCTACAGAATCCCTTGCTATACACCGCCAGCAGTTGGTCCTTTACCCACTTATATCCATTTATATCCTTCTCAATGATATCCGCACTGTATCATATTATATTCCAGGTTTTCCTATGGTGTATCGTTTATACCAGTAGAAATTATCGTAGTAACATATCATGTATATCCATCTATATATATATATATATCATTATTCATGTTATATTCCATGATTTCGCCATGATATCTTGATCAATGTGGCTGGCACCCAATGAAAAATGAACCATCCGCAGTAGAGGCTCAAATGAGAGGACGGGTGTTCCACATTAATTTAGATATGACCACCATGCATATCTTCATGATATCCTCATTACATCAATGGTATATATTATTCCATGAGGTTTATCATTTATCTCTATTGATGTCCTCAGAATAAGAATAACCATATAGATTATATCTAATGATGTGTGTATAATCCCAGTTAGTTTGTGATACCACATTTCATAAACAATGCCCAGTCATGGTAGGTTTTTGGCAGCCATGCTTTCCCACATCAATAAGCAATGAAAATCGTGAACATCAAGCTATTATTATCATTAATGACCATGTTAGATATTGTTAGATAAACAAATAACTATTCATGTTTTATGATTACTATTAATATCCATTATATATATATATATCAATTATATCATATTATATCCCACCATTATATATCCAGATGTTATATCCATTTAGAAGCCTTGTTCCCAGGCTGGGCGGCCTCATCCTGGAGGGTGACATCTTCGACGAGACCATGGGCGTGAAGCGCTTCCAGCGCATCTGTGCGCTGCGCCATCGGCCCTTGATGTGCCGGGGCGGATCCACCGATGGAGGGAACATGGAGATACCTAGAGACCTAGAAAATCCATGAAAATCCTAGAAAAAAAGGGGTAGTAATACAGTAATACATCATATACCCATCATTACCCATGATTTTTGGGGATGTTTACCAATGTTTACCAATTTCATGGGCATTTGGAGGGTCTAAGGATGCTCGAAACGTACCAAGATTAAATGGGCTTGCGTATATGTCTTTGGATTTGAATGACAGCATTTATATCTCACACTCAGACCATCAGACTTCTGAGAGATTGAGAGCACCAACTATATGCTAATAACACATTCTACAATCAGGGGCTCCAAGAGGAGGCTGCTTTTTCCACGGGTCTGCAGGTGGTAATTTTTCAGCATCTGAGGTATTGTTTGGGGCCTGGTTTCTCCATCAAACGCTGCGAGAACTTTGATGAAAACAGCTGCCGCTTGGGTTTTCGGAACGGGAAATTGGGGTATCTTGGGAAACTGAGGATCTGTGATTTTTTGGCTCAGTGTTGGAGGATCTCCATGCACAAACATCATGTTACCAAAGATGTTTGACCGGAAAGGAACACTTGCCTCTGGATCAGTTGCATACATTTATATGTTTGCTCATTCTGATCATAATACACATCTGCCAAAAAAAACAATAGAGAGAAACCATAGATCCATAGCATCCGCAGAACTGTTTGTCTTTGGATTAGTTTAACGGGGATACTTGCGAGAAACCTCACACCTGGGTGGTTTCAGGGAAATTGACACCCCTGGATGACTTTTTGGGAAGAATCACTGTTTTCTGGTTTGAGTTTCCTTCAACGTGACCCCGATGTCGATCCTAAACTCAGGTGAGTCAGACCCCGTGGCTCAAGTCATGGGTTGCTTCCAAAGCGTCAGGCGAAGCTGGTTGCTGCGATCAGACCTGGAGTTTTTGCACCAAAAGATGTGAGATTGGAGACACGGCATGGGTTTTTCCAAGATGTGCCATGGTCACAACACCATAAAAATTCCAGATGGTCATGTCCCCAAATTTTTTGGACGTTCATATTCACATTAATTGCAAGGTCACACCGTAAGGAAACCCATTCCTGATGGTAGGGCGACTGTTGGATGCATAGCCCATTATATGCCCATAATATTCCAGTTATACACTCCTATGATAGTTAATCTCCATGTGCCATATGCCATATACCTTTTTCGTTTGGATTCTTTTCGCGCATAGCTGAAATGACGTCCCAGTCCCAAAGTCGTCGCCGCTTTTCGTAGGACCTGTCAGACAGAAGATTTGTGCACCTTGTCGGGTCACTGCAGTGACCGTGATATCGGACTCAGCCACTTGGCCATCGTAGAATAAATCACTACGAGCACAGCTGAACTCTCCGATACGGCGATGGAGAGAGAGCGAGAGAGAGAGAGAGAAAGAGATGAGCATATTGTTTGTTAATGAGCTGATTATTGCGTTGTTTGGATTTGTTGGACTTGGTTTCGTTATTTCTTTTGAAATCGGCGTCTCGGATTTCTAATGATTTCTGGAGGGCTTTGTTGAACAGTGGTTTGATGGTGCTTTTATGTCCTTGTGATCAGGTTTGAATCCTCAAGCATCAATGCCTGGGGTGCTGTCCTTCAAACAAAACCACCGGTACTCGAAACAAATCCTTTCTAGATGATGTTCTTGTTCCAGATGGCGACTGTCATAGATCTTTAATGGTGATCATGTTCCTTGATTTTCCCATCCAATATGTCATAATATGTCATAACCTCAGTTTTCATAGCAACGAAACTACTTGAAGCAGTTTCTCACAGTCATTAAACTCACAAGTTTCCCATGGTTTACCAGTTTTTTCCCCAAGAATTTGCGAAGGATCCCAGCCACTCACCATGCAAAACATCAATGTTCCACAGATTTTCGGCTGTTTTCCACATTTTTCCACCGTTTTCCCCCCAAAGAAAACTAGGCTGGGCCACGCCGGGCACCTGTGTGGTGACGCCCATGGACGACGACTACCTGCAGCAGGGCTGTGTCATTGGTGGCGCCAGCTCGTGCCTGGGAATTCAGCTGGAAATTCAGCAGGGTACTTGGTTAACTATTGGTTTATGGGAAATGTATAACTGTATAACTAAATTTGTAATCTATAACTAAATCGTACTAAATCTAACTATTTAAAATAGTTTATGGGGAATGTATAACTAAATTTATAACTACTGTAATTGTGGTAGCAGGCATTTAGTACCTGCTAAAGTTCATCAGCAGTGCGAGATGTCTGGCATTGGTTGAGGTTACTTTATGTTCATCTATAGAAAAGTATAGATCATCACTGTTTGAGAATTTTATGTGGATGTTACCAACTTCTATCTTTTTTGAGAGGTTTTTATACCAGCATATTAAACCATAACTTCATTTGTTAGATTTATAGTCAATGATTACCAATTATATTGATCCAATGGTAAGAACAACGTAACACAATCATCATGGCTACAGCCAGGGAATGATGAAGTTTATTGTTAGGGGTTACAAGGTTAATGTGATGATGCTGGTGCTGGCAAAGTGGTGGTGGCCGGGGTTATCCTGGGGTCAGTGACGGTCAGACGGCCGGAAAATGATGATGAAACCTTGGTGATTTGAAGAGGGGGAGAATGACCTGGGAGTGGCGCCGTCCTCACAACATGATGGCGAATGGAGGGGGAGTCATCCATCCCGGAATCTGTTGATGTTTGAGTTGGAGATGAATCTAATTTTGCCCAGATGGTGCGTGAAACCAAGTCGGAATGAGGATTGAACCCACCAAACTTGACCATCCAAGTGTGCAGATGGCCCTGTGAATGTGAAATGATAGGGTTCTTGTGGGTTAACTTGTAGCCGTACCTCTGAAAAGAACCAACAACATAGGGTTGCATATAGATATAGATATAGATATATATATATACATACATATTAATATATATATATATATATATCTATCTATCTATCTATCTATCTATCTATATCTATTATATATATATTATATTTATTATAGTAGTATATAATTAATAGTATCATCCATGTATACCATATGTATATATCCTATCCCATGGTTTCCACGATGAAACTCCAGCGGCCTCAGGTTCCCAGATGGCACCTGTTTCTTCCGCTTGGATCCTCCCTTCGGAATGGAGGCGCCACCAGGGGTCGTTTGGGGAACCCTTTGTGGATCCGATTGCGACCCTCCAAATGGCCATTTCACGGAGCTCAATCCTAATCAATGATCAAGATTCACATCATAGTCAATGATAAGAGACATTCATAATACGTCATAATCAACTACAGTTGAGAATTCAGAAAATTTTAGAAGCATGGCTTTCATATATGAGATTGTAGATGTGATTGTGAGATGAAACTGACACATTCTGAGATTCAGAGTTAAGGTGATATCACTAATGTGACAATCACCTATTATGACATCATAATGACAATTAACTCATAATCAATAACAATGAACATCATGATGCTTCACATCAATGAGAACCAACTACACCAATGATTATTGTAACATCAGTGAAACAATATAATCTCACGATTAACATCATAATCGCTGAAATCAAAAATAAAGTCATTGATCCATGATAAACCACATATATATTTGCATCATAATGACTAACATCATATTTACAGCATGATTAACATCATAACAATGATTTAATCATCATACTCAGAATGATTAATTGTCATAGTTATAATTTTGATACATGCACCATGACTAATCAGTTATCATAATTATTGTCATATCATCAACGATTATGTTGGTTACAATTATCTACATCATTATCACATCATTTACTATTACAATACTATTATCATAACATAATTACAATAAATTATCATCACAATCTAAATAATTTTGATAATATTATGATAATCATACGACAATGACTACGTTGGCATTTCGCATATTTTTTTATTTTTTTCCGTTTGTGTGAGTGTCTCGCTAGCGTCCTTAAAGTAGCCAGTTTGGTTCCAGCACCACTGCATAGTCAAAGCCATCGCTTTCCTTGGTCTTGCCCTCAGTCAGATTTGAGGCTAAAGAGCATCCAAATGATGCTTCCGTATCACATTTGAGTTTTTTCCACATCATAGCTTAATTTGATAGCAATTTAAGGTCATTTGCTCTTCCACCAGTCCAGGGGTCCAACGGTCCAGTAGTTCACCCATCGCTCTGTGCCCAGGCCCTGTCCAGCCGTTGCCTTCTGCGGTGCCAAGCCACATCTCCCCTTTGCAGGCCAGCCTTGACCGGGATCAGGATGACTGGGAGCAACGATGTGCCAACTTGGACTTTAATAATTGTAAATTGGCTGAAAATTCCTGAAATAGCCCATGGTCAATGCCACTCACTTGCTATTTACACCATCATTGCTGCCCCCTGTTTGCCCAAAGAAGCTCTCGGCTTGGTGACGTCACATGGTTCCTGCGGTCCTTGCGGTCATTGCGCGTGGAGTCAGGATGGCGGATCAGGAAGGAGTTGCTCAGCCGGCGGCACAGCCAGCGTCAAGCCACTTCTTTGATGTTGCCTGCATACCTTCGGAGATGGTTAGATGACTGGGGCCCAAACATGCGGGCTCGTGTTCAAGCAGCCCTTCAGTTGCTGTCCTTGAGTTGCCCAGCAGACAACTTGCTTGACCACGGCAAAAAGCTGTTTGAATCCCAGCCCCTGCGAGTTGGCACAGATTGCAGCGGGGTAGAAAGCCCAATCCATGCTTTGAGGGCCATGGCTGTGCAACATAGCCACATCTGGAGCTGTGAGAGTGGACCTGCCCCGCGCAAGGTGATCAGTGCCAATAGTCCTCCTGAACATGCCCTGTATACCGATGTCCTGAACAGTGCAGAGGAGGTTGTTCCGTACATTGACCTCTATGTTGCTGGCTTCAGCTGTAAGCCCTTTTCAATGCTTCACGTGAACACGAGGCTTCTTGAAGAGGACCAAGCAAAGATCTTCTACTCCGTAGTCACCAGGGTACGCAAGTCTCAGCCCGCTTCATTTGTTTTGGAAAACGTTCCAGGAATACAGCGCTGCATGGATGAAGTGATGCAGACGTTGAGGGATTTGGGTTACATGGTGGTAGTTCACCTGCTCAATCCCACGGATTTAGGTGAGCCCGTCAGCAGGCCGCGCTACTATTTTGTAGGAGTTCGACAGGATGTGGCCATTGTTGGTGAAGAAGTGGCTCAAGGCATGTACAACCATATTTGGCAAAGGTTGAAGAGCTCCAGCGGTCCTGCGGTCCCACTTGGCAAGAGGCTCTTGCCTGCAGAGCACAAGCTTGTCTTGGAAAACCAGTCCCTTCGCCAGCAAAGGTGGGAAGATGCCAAAGCTGCAAACTTTGGTGGCGACAGTAGGTCGCAGAAATGGAAGCAGCGCCATGCAGCCTGGCAGTTGGAGCATGCTGAGAGCCAGATCCAGCCAGACCCAAGCATGCCAAGCCCTGATGAACTTTTTCTTCACCTACCACGTGAGCGTGATGTGTGGAAGAACTTGCTGACGGACAAGAGCATGCCTAGACTGGCAGTTGCTGACTTGTCCCAAAGTTTGGGCCGTGTCCCTTTGCGATCTGATTGCACACCTACCATCACCCCTGGGTCCCACGTGGTTGTGTCTGAAGCTCGGAGAATGTTAGCTCCCATGGAAAAGCTCTTGCTACATTGCCTGCCAGTGCACACCATGTCCTTTGAAGGCATAACCGATGCTGAGTTGGAGGACATGGGTGGGAACATGATGCATCTCCAGACTGTGGGAGTAGCAATGTTGGTTGCCATCACCCTTAAGCCAGTGCCAGGGCATTTGGGTATTTCATTTGCATTTGGTGCTTTCACTGTGGCCCTGGCATGCCAAAAGCTCCTATTATTACGGTGCTACTTCGGCCATCAGGAAGTTATCAGCCGTATGGAAAGTTCCAGCCGAGATGCCCTTGCAAATACCAGACTGGGTCTTCATTTCAAGTGGTGCAAGTATTTAATGCCATCAGAGGTTAAAGTGACGTATGGAAAGCTCTATGCAAGGATTCTGCAAAAGATCTCTACAATGGATTTGCTCTATGCAAGGACTCTGGTAAAAAAAAAACTCTACCATGGATTGGATGGTAAGATGGCAAGCTTTGTGCAAGGACCATGTAAAGATTTCTACCATGGATGGTAAGCTCTACACTAGGACTCTGCAAAAGATCTCTACAATGGATTTGCTCTATGCAAGGACTCTGGTTAAAAAAAAAAGAACTCTACCATGGATTGGATGGTAAGATGGCAAGCTTTGTGCAAGGACCATGTAAAGATTTCTACCATGGATGGTAAGCTCTACACAAGGACTATGCAAAAGATATCTACAATATAGAGGCTTTTGAATGTACTTACTACCTAACAAATGTGTATGGCAACGTAAATAGTTCTGGCATTCCCCACACACAAGTATTATACCAAGTCACCTACCACCTATTGTTTCCCTGTCAGTACACACAATATATAGTTATACATATAAAAAAATAAATATATAAATATATGTATATATATATATTAGGAACAATAGTTATATTTATGTAAATATAATAATATAAATATGTATAATATATATGTATATACATGATATAAAATAAATATATATATATATATATGTATATATATATGATATAATTTATAATATATATAAATATATAGATATGATATATTATATTTATGAAAATATAAATATACATATATATATATAGATATCAATGGTGAATATGCAAATATATATTTATATGTGTATGTTTTTAAGTCTCCATACCCCAAAACAGCCACAAGAAGAAGTAGGAAGTGACATGAAGGTATTGAATTTGATTTCCGGTACAATGGACATGTATGCGCAACCTAGCAAATTCACACTTGCATTCACACATGCTTCTGTTTTTTGCCCACACATCTTCCTCCCTTTTTTAACATCAGACTTTCAACATGTGGCATGAACTTCACAAACTCAAAGTCAAGCACGTGGTTTACCTGTCAACTTGTCATATTTTATATTGGCCAGAAGGCAAATGATGCATTAAGATAGTTTGTTGTGAAATTCAACAAGTCTCTTGATAGTTCTTTTTGATGCAGCATTTGAAACAAATACAATGGTTTCAGGAAAACTTTAATCATGGAAAGTCACTTCAAACTGTTCCAATGATCACCTGTAATTGCTTCACCTGCTACCTTTTGCACCTACTACTTCTTAATGGCAAACCATCAGTCAATGTTAGTCCACATGATACTAATGGAAAGTCGCCTGTCACTTACTGCCACAACTTGTTACATTAGAAACTCACCTGTCACCTGTCATCCACTAGTGCGTCCCACTGACAGCCAACCTATATTCTATGTCAGTGGAAAGCCACTCACTGTAACCTAAAATGTTTAAAAGGAAAGCCATCTCCTGACTCCTGCTTTTTGGCCTGCTATGTTGGCCCTGCCATTGGTGATGCAGACTTCTTTGGGCAAGGCCAGCGCCCAAGAGCACCATTTGGAAAAAAGGAAGTGATTGTTATTTCAGTCTGAGGGGATGCAGCTGTGGGCATTTACAATAAGAAACAAAACGATACCACAGAATGTTACTTCAGCAAAGCATTTGTTTTTATGAATTCATGTCACAATGCCACAAAAAATGATAGACAGTGATGCCATCACTTCACCATATTTGTTGGCCAAGCCACTGCTAGGATGGCTTCACAGGAGAATCAGCCATCCTCATGCGACGTAGCTGGCTCAGCAATGCCCAGAGAGGATGCCCTTTTAAATTTAACATCCCCCTCATGGGAAAAAAGTGCCATCCCCCCCAAGAAGAAAATTACAAGTCAAATTCATGCAGTTTCAACCTTCCCATGACCATTCTGAATCTGTTTTGTGTCAGTGGCCTGCTCTGAACTTAGGTTAATGCATTATGGTCACGTGACCCAGCAGCTTTGATTCCGATGCCAAGTTTGTCACTGTCATTTGATGTTTTGGATGTTTGAGATGTTGGATGTTTTGTTTATGAATGTTTTTGGATGTTGCATTTGAATTTGCCACGCAGCCATTGAGAAGATCTATATAGGCCATTTGTCACCTGTCATCTGTCACCTGTCATCTGTCCCAATGTCGCACCCAATGTCGCGGTCACAGAAGCCATTCATGA